ATTAGGATATTGTGAACAAGTTCAATATTGGAGACTCATGGTAACAACAATAAGCATTTCAAACAATACATATCCATAGTGCTTTCAAATACACAAAATTAATATGTAGACGTTGCTGGAAAATATAAACTGCAATTTAACAAAACCATGCAGTCCCATGCTGTCCAACTTCCTAACACCAAAGCATAACCACTAAAAACAAAACACTGTCAAAGCATACTGTAGAACAGGAGTACACTTAAAACATACTGATTGTGTAGCAGCACATCTCTAATACTGTAATAACAAAGACATGTTTGTAATGTTTCCTTCACAGATCGTGCACGAAGCAGCATGGTGTCAACAGAGAGTGCGTCTTCTACCTACGAGGAACTGGCCAGGGCCTATGAGCATGCAAAGATGGAAGAGCAGCTTCGTCATGCCAAGTTCACCATCACCGAGTGCTTCATCTCTGACACTTCATCTGAACAGATGACAGCAGGGACCAATGACTATACTGACAGCCTGACCTCCAGCACACCATCGGAGTCAGGCATCTGCCGCTTTACTGCTTCACCGCCCAAACCTCAGGATGTCAGTCGGGTATTGACCATGGCTGTGCCCAAGGCACACAGACCTGGTGAGGCAATTTACTCTGCGATTACTTCAATCATACAATCGCCAAGCAATATGTTTGGCTTTTCCTCTTCTTACAAGACAATCAAGTGGGCCTCATTACCAAATTAATTCATATTGGAAACGACTATCTCAACTTTATTTAGCTCAAACACCAATCAATCTTCAGGCTGTTGTTAAACGCAGCAATTTAATGCCACATATTTTTTTAAGTACAGATTATTTTTAAAGGTCTTCTGTGGGAGTAGACCATAGACTGTATATACTATGGACAACTTGGTTCCGCCTTCCGCCAGTATACGGATTTGAAGCCGAAAAGCTCTCAGTAATCCCGCGTTTTTTCTCTTCTTCCTGAAACCAACATTGCGCAGTAGTGTTGCACTCACTTCACCACTTGCGCAGTAGCATTGTATGCATTCGGCGGAAGAGTCGCCAAAAGTTCAAACAGCGTATCCCCGGGTTGAGCTACACAATCTTCGTACGCCAATCATAGAAAACATGAACCCCCTAATAACTTTTAAAAATGGAGCTGTACAGAAAAAAAGAGAACTTGAGCACAAACCAGAAATACAGTAACTGCATGTCAACATCGCAAGTAGGGGGAAACAAAATTCATAATCTATGTAATAAATTTCTAAAGTTTGTCCACAGCTCCATAGAGATTGCTGGCGGAGGCGGGACTTATGACCTATACTGCAGCCCGTCACCAGAGGGTGCTGTTCTTGGAGTGGCTTCACTCAACGACGAGGCAGACGCTGTCCATTCTATATACAGTCTATGGAGTAGCCCTATTGTTTTCCTTTTGCTTGATTCACTTATGTAAGCATGTCTGTCGTGTTAGAAATACAGATGGCTATACATGACTTTACATGTCCACTCATTTGACTATTTTTTTTTTTTTTTCAATTCAGCGCAGGTTATTTTTTTCCTATATATAGCAGATTGTTCTGTGTACCTGCAGAAAGTCTCCTATGGTATATTTTAGGCTTGCAAGGGTTAGTCTTGGGGGTTTTAGTCGGCTCAAACTTGAGGATTGATGCATGTGGTAACTTGATATTTATATTAGTCCTGCAGTGTACACATGGGCATTTGTGATTTGAAAGGTAAAATTGTTGGTGTAAAATGCCAAAATAATTCAACGGCCAGAGTTTGTGCTGTCTGCGGTGCTGAAACAGACCAGACAGAGAGAGGAAGAGAGATGCACATCATAAATAGCCAACTGTCTACAAGTCAAGGACAAGAAGGTCATAAATTTGTTCCTACGGATGGATGTAGCCGCACAGTTTTTAATGTTTTTAGATAGACAAACAAAACTGCAACTGACAGGAAATCAACAAATATGTACCTATTTCTCCTCTGTGTGTTCTCTTCCAGGAGGGGAACTGGTTCACCTGCCGCCTTACCTCCGTATGGACTTCCTGTTAAATCGTGGTGTGCCACTGGCAGCCCGCAGTGGGGGTATCAGCGGCAGCACTGGCAGCAGCAGTGGAGCAGCAGGGGCAGAAGGAGGAGGAGGAAGTGGTGGTGGTGGTGGTGGTGGTGTTACTGGAGGAGGAGCAGGAGCAAGTGGAGTTGGTGCTGGTGCTACAGGGGAGACAAGAGGAGGCGGGGCAATGGGCCAAACTTGTCTGGAACCCCAGAGGAGCCGTACCCTGAAGAGGCCACCTCCCATGGAGCCCACTCCAATGGAAGCGCCGTCACCCAGGGAGGTGCAGCAATGGCAGCCTGGAACTGCCTCCACCTTGCCTCATAGGGATGCCCGGGAGAGGGGAGAGGCCCGTGGAGAGGTCAGGGCAGAAGACCCCTCCACAGGAGACCTAGCCCAAGCACAGGCTGCCAAGCTCAGCACTTCACAGGAGTCACTGCTGGACTCTAGAGGACACCTGAAACAGAGCAACAACCCCTATGCCAAGTCTTACACACTGGTATAACACTGGGACACACTGCAGACCGCTTCAGACAACAGGACTGAAGGAGGAAGGTTTAGAAACACACGACAGCCACCAGACTGACAGTTTTTCATAACAGACATTGGTGTATATAAATCCATTTCCGACATGCGTCAGAAGTGGACGCTTTTTCTTTAAGTCTGTCTTTCTTTATTTCACTTTTTTGTTCTTTTGCTCTCTACTTCTCTCTTTGATTTCACGATTTTCATTCTCTTATCTCATTCCTGATCAAATTAATTTTCTCTAATAGTTTTTATTTTCTCTTGAGTATTGCTTTATTCTAAAGTGACAACATACAAGGATTGCCAAAATGATTTATTTAAAATTTGAGAAAGAAAGAAAAAATATTGAATTTATATCAAGGACAGTTATGGTCATTATTATTATTACTATTGTTGTTATTATATAAAAGCATAAAATATCTTTAAAAAAAAAAAACATAAGGACAAGGGAAGAAGACTCTGAAGCACTCTACAGGAGAACATTGATTTCTTAATTTATTTTCTTTCATTGTCGCAGTGTGATAAAATCTGTTATTGAATATCTGAGGGGATTTAGCACTACAAAGAACCAACAGAGGAGATGACAAGTGACGCTGGACTCGACCGCCAATGCTGACCAACCTTAATGTTTTTCAACCTTTCTGACGACTGCATGGCGACTGATCAAATGACTATTAATAGGAATGGCAGGAAATCCAAAAAAAGATCATTTTTGTCACACTATGAAATTATACAATGTGAATATATATAAGAGATCACTTTTATTTGTGAATATTATGGGGGGAATGATTTGGTTAATAAAGTCCCTTAGTCATGTTTGCACACATCTGACTTATTTTTTATTGTTCAAGCACAATTTCCCTCCTGTCCGTAACAGGTCCTTTCTTTCTTCTGCAGTTTCTACCACCTGTATTTTTCTTGCATTCTCACTGAGATCTTATAGTGAGTGTAAAACAAAAGATATCTTTAATAAAGATTTGAAATGGACCAACTCAAATATAAAACACATCAAATTTTCGACTTCCAACCTGAATCAAGCCGGGAATATACACACAACTTTTATGTGATAAAGCCATAGTAACTGTAACTATGGCTTTATCACATAAGACAAAGTTAAGACAAAGCGTTATCTACTATGCATCTGAACTATTAACACAGAATAAGCAGGGTGTGTTTATGGTTGATATTTTTACTCTGTAAAATTAGACAAGGAGTCAAAAATCCATCTAATTATCTAGTATTTGAAATAAAGCACAAAAAATCTGGAAATATCCGACAAAGATGTAACCAGTTGAGTTTATTTCTGATACATTTAGTCACATTGATCTCACAGATTTGTGTTACAACTGCTTTAGGACACCAGTGTTACATGGGCTTCAAACAAATGTCTTTACCAAAGCTTAGAGAATCTGTTCCAAAATTAGACCACGATAGCCAAATAATCCCAATTTTGGCAGACTTTAAAGATAGCTTTGTGGTGAAAAAAACCTTACAATTAATATGGTTAGTGGGAGACCAAACAAACTGAGTACTTGAGACTCTAAATGACAAATTATTACATTTTGTTGCAAAGACCCAGTATTATACTAAATTTCTATTACTAAATGACAAATCTCATGCAGCAGAATGCAACGTTAAAAAGCCATTCTTCTGATTAATTTTACTTCATTAGTTATAAAGAACACTAATGTATCGTACCACTATCATGGAACTACCAGCGTATTGTACTACTAATGTATGGTACCATATTGGTGTGGTCCATAGACTGTATATACTATATATACTGTATATCTTATATACAGTCCATGGTGTAGTCAAGGTTGTTTGAGTCTTTATCTTCCTACAGTACATGTTAGCTACAAAAACAAACTGTCCCAGGTATTAAGAGGTCTAAGGAAGGAGCCATTGGATTTTATTACTGAATGTGTACCTCCCTGTGTTTGTACTTAAAGGAACCAAAAGAAGGATTTGTTTTATTAATTTTAACATCTTGGTTAGTTTCCAATAAGAAGCACTTACTGGAAACTAATTCAAGAAAAACAAAAAGATTTGGACAAGGATTCAGCAATTAACTTCTAAGGTGACTGGTATGGAGGACTTATTCTTTAATATGTATAAAGGAACTGTTTTACAAATGAATTCAACATGTTTGAATCCAAGGTTAGTTTCATGCATAGAAAAAAAAAGCAATACACTAAGAGCTTTCAAAAGCTTTCAAAAGCTTTCACCAGCTCCGAAGGAAGCCTTTTCACAAGGAGTAGGAAACAATGAAGAACAACACTAATGACCAAACACCCCCAAAAAGGCACTAATGCAGGTCATTATTGATCACACTGTCAATCATCAATAGTGAATATAGTCCATTTGTGGTTACAGGGATTGAGTTTGTGGATTTTGAGACGGTGGAAAAGGATTTTACGTCACCAAACTGTTTGTAATAATCTAAAGAGAGACAGTAAGGGCAACCCCAGCAGTCTGTTCCATTGTGCTGCCATTAGCAGGAGCACACCACCCTGAACACAAAATCATTCATGAATCAGCATGTCAGAGTACCTTAGATCAGGTTTATACTGTCTTTCTGGTCCTATCGTTGGTGATATTATGTAAAAGACAAATATGCACTACGAATATCTCAATGGAATTAAAAAAAAGGTTATGTTTCTTTATTGCTGTTTTATTTGACTTAAACAGGAAGTGGTTTAGTGTTGTGCTCAGATTTTAGCTAACCGGCTGTCAAATGTGTTTCTTTGCCTTGAAATATGGCCAGATCTCTCTTCTGGCTCCCACCTTCCCTCGTCTCAATGGCTGCGTATCAATCAGAGAGCAGTAAAATAACTAGAATTTGTGTAATTGTCTGAGTTGTACAATTAGCAATCGGGAACACAGAGTTTCCCATCCTGAGGTTGAGGTCACTAGAATATGGCTGCTATAGAAATATGGTTAATTGAACCAGTCCTTTAAAAATATGGACCTTTTATGTCTCTGTTTCTTTTTTCCAAACGGCAAATAAAAAGACAACTGATTGGTTTTGGACATAAAAAAGAAAATCAGATCATATAGATTTTACTCTTTTGATTCAAAATCCAAAGAATCAATTATTTTTGAAGAGAGAGTCCAATGACCAAAAGTCTGGACCAAAGGGAAACAACACTTGACAATGGCAGCAAGCTTCAGGTTATGTAATGTCTGCAACATTACCTGCTTGATCATTAATTTTAGTATGGTGTAATAAGAGTCCATAGATTGCAGGCTAGCTAAAAATGGTGTTAATGTATCAATACCCTTTAATTATTTTCAAAATTTTAGTGTTATTTGTACTAAATAATGTCTATATCAAGAACATCTAAAACAAGGTAGTAGCTTCATTTTCCTCTTAAAAGTGATGGGACCTCATGACTAACGTTAAATCTATGACCAAAACAAGAGAATATCAAGCGAACTGAGCGGCTGGCTTTTTAAATCATTCTTCTTTATTGCATTTTCCCAATATACAAGTCTTGTTCAGATATTTCCCTCCTTATTTAACAGTGTGATTATTAGACAGTAGTATTGGCAGAGACAGTGATGGAGGAGAAATAGTTTGTAGGCTTGAAGTATTTAAATATCTCATTGCACAGCCACTAAACAGCGTATCTGCATTACTACATTCAGTTAGTAGTCAATAAGGCACAACTGGTTGTAAAACTACACTAAAAAAAAGTATTTTCCACAGGTTGAGTACACAGAAATATAAATCTCCTGTGTAAGCTGATGAGCCAAGGTACAGTTTTCTGCTACTTCTTTAAATTAGACACAAGACATATGTTTGAGATTTACAAAATTACTCCACATTCTTACAAAAGCATGTCTCTACAGACGGTATATAAAAATTAAGTCAACATTGCAGTCAAGAATGCTTAGGGTGGGGGCAGTTGTGGGTTTGGACTTTTCAATATTCTCCACACACAACAGGCAGTTTCCAGTGAAGTCCAGTGTGGCCTATAGGGAGGGTAGAGAGGATGTCTGACAGAAGAGAGGGAGGTCAAGCTTCAGGCTGTAAGAGACCAACAGATGAAATCAAAAACAAAAAATACTCACACTTACACATTTCCTAGTTGTCAATGGTGCGCCAACAAATACTATGCCTTTGTCTGCATATCTAAAGCTCAATTTGCAGCTTCCTCTAAAAAGGCATAACAGGGGCCTGCAAGGGATTTGGAGACAGCTGAGAGAGCAGAGAGACATGCTCAGCAATCCCTCCAAGCCTGCACTTTGGCTCTTTCATTAGTGGGCCATGGATGTCTAACAGGCAGAGGAGGACGAGAACTTTAGGCTTTGAGGATTACAATTTTCAAATCATTGCCATCGCCGTTCATGCAACAGCCTCAAGTAAAAGGCAAGTCTTGAAATGTGTTTCTTTACGGCATTAGATGATTTGTATGACATTGTATCCTCTCTGAAGCCATTTGCAGACAGCTGCAAGGGTAGCCCATCTACCCTGTCTATTCTCTGACTGAAAACCTCCATGTGCAAGTCAACATTAGAAACTGACAACTCCCAACATGAGCAATAAACTCCTTTCACTGCAGGGTCAAAGAATCAAACAAATATTAAACTTTCAAAAAAGAAGCGTCTTTAATTTATTTGGTTGCAGAACTGATAAAATGCTACAGCCCAGGGGCCGACTCATGTGACAATCTAAATAGTAAAGATTCACTGGCCTCTAGTGGTCAAGTCAAAGCACTGACACGAGGCAGAGGGGGAAAAAAAGTGTTTTGCCTGGACAGTTAAGTCAACATGGCTTACGTTTCCTGCCTCTACTCAGCCTCTTCCTCCTATTAAAAGACACTGTAATATGTCTATAACAAACAACATAGATAAGTTCTCTTTATGTTTAGGATTATATGAGGCTTTTTGAAATTAGCGTGTTAATACGATTTTTCTATAATAAGAAAAAAAATGATACGCTGGCTCAGCAAATTTCCCTGCACTATCTCAACTCAACTCAAACTTTATTTATAGAGCACATTTAAAACATCCATCAGCAATTACTATAAATAAAATTAATGCTTAAATAGATAAACACAGCGCTATGAAGCGGAATAAATTAAAATAGAATAAAACTAATAAAAAATCAAGTTCAAGTCCACTCAAATCCAATTAAAAGCCAGACAGAATAGGTGTCTTTAGGGAGGATTTAAAAACCTCAATTGATTCTGCAGAGCCGATGTGCCAGGGCGGGTTGTTTCAGAGCCTCAGGGGGCCTCGTTTTGGGGACACACCAGTGGCATATAATGTGTAGCTTGTTATTTTAGCCCCTTAATTATTACAGGTTGGATAGAGATGCTTTGAACTCGGTGCCACATTCATACCTGGATCTGCTTAGTTTGCAAAGTTGTGTAAAATAAGATGTGAGGTTTTCTTATAGAATGGGTATAAAAAACAGTGTTTAAGATTTTTTTACTTGTTCCTGATTCATTATTCATATGAGAATAGTGGGAATAACTCAAATACTATGGCATGTATTTCTTGTTTCATAAAGATCTACCTTCTTCATAAAAAGGATGAGATATGGTTTTCAAATGTTGGGCACAAGCAGTTTGCATGCGACCACTTTTTTTTATGATAGTACCTGTGTTTCTTCCAAGCCTTCCTCCTCCCCCTCCTTTGAAGTGGTAAAAAAGAAAAAAAAAAGCATGGTTATATAAAGCCAGGGGCCAAATGGAAAAAAAAGGTAGCAAGAGAACTTGGAGTGTTAGTGTTTGGAGTTGCAAAAGAAATGTAAAGAAATCATACAAGAAGAAGAAATATGGGTGATAAAAAACACACACAAATTTCAAAATATCCTGTGATGACCTCAGTGAGACAATTGTAAGATTTGTTACAGTGCTTTGCAACTGAAGAAACTTTTGATTGTTTCTGCTTGGTCCAGTTTTGTGACTGCTCCGTTTAAGGGAAACAATGTCATATCCAGAGACAAGAGACTTGACATAATCAGTGATAAGAAACTATCACTGCTGGACCCCTGCCATAATAAAGCTTTATATAACAAATACTACAACTATAACAACTATAACAACTAAAACAACACTACTAAAACAATACAGATATTACAAAATTGGGCAGGGGTTTGTAATCTAGTAGATTTTCTCCTCTTCACTCTTCTTCCATGCAACATAAATTGAAAACATGTCAAACTTAACCCAACCTAGAGTTGCCAAGTCATACACATAGACTGTATATAGAATGGACGGCGTCTGCCTCCTTGCTGAGTGAAGCCACCCGAGAACAGCGCCCTCTGGTGACGGGCTACCGTATAGATCATAAATCCCACCTCCGCCAGCAAAGCCTATGGGGCTGTGGACTTTATTACACAGAACTTTTCTCCACCCTGCTTGCGATGTTTTCATGTAGTTATTGTAAGACTGGTTTGTGCTCAAGTCCTCTTTTTTCTGTACAGCTCAGTTTTTAAAAGTTATTAAGGGATTTATGTTTTCTATGATTGACACTTGATACAGCCTATAGGCGTTTGAAGACTGTGTAGCTCACCCAGGGGATACACTGTTTGAGCTGAGCATCATCACAGTGACTCTCCCACCGAATGTGCACAATGCTACTGCACAAGTGATGGAGTGCGTACAACGCTACTGCACAATGTTGGTTTCAGGAAATGGAGAAAAAACACGGAATTACCGAGAGCTTTTCGGTTTCAAATCTGTAAAGTGGCGGAACCAAGTTGTCCATAGTTCATACAGTCTATTGTCATAAAATGACAAAAAATAGTTTACAATCTCTTCTTAAGTGATAAAAGCAAACAAACCATCTTGGTGGATGTGTTTCACTTTTACACCAGACTTAAAAAGAAAAGTTTCTTTGCACATAGACGTATAGTCTTGAGATGCAACCAGATCATGCATTACAATGCAAATAATTCACATCACACAAAACATTAACAATGGGTGTAAAGCTTAAATCTACCTCTTGACCTTCAGCCTCTTCTTCGTCCTATGGAAAATAAAATCAGAGGAGTAAGAGAAGCCACAGAAAAGAAAATAAATCGATATATGGAGTCAGATTATTTTCACAAAGCTATATCCACCTGATATACAAATAAAAACTATCCGATTTGTCATGCTGCACACTGTCAGGTCTCTGCACAGAAAAGAAGTCGATGCAGCACACAAAGAGAGAAAAGGGGAAAAGAAAGGACCATGGAAATCTACCCTGTAATGCCTGAAATAAAAAGAGCCTAAACATTATACAGAAACCACCTGCCTTGTTTGTCTTGTTCCAGCAAGAGCAGTGGGCAACACCAAAACAGATGGAAGGGTAGAAAGAAGGTAGAAGGTAAAAGGCAAAGCAAAGCAAAAGCAAAGATACACACATGATAGATCATCAGGCAGCAGCTGGAATGTTGCAGAGCAGTAGAGCTCCACACAAAATTTTGCACAGGATCATTTGTTAGGCTGGAATTTTTTATCCATAGGTCTAACTTTAGGGGTTTGGGGTGTTGTTTGCTGAAGAAGACTTAATCTGATCTGGGAAGCCTTAACTCCTGAGGTAAGGTGACTGGCCAAGCAATGCTGTAAAAAAAGATGCTGAGTAGATCATGACATAAATCTTGCTCAGGTCATCTGAGGCCCTGTACTCAAAGCTTAGAGCAGTATGAAAAGGAAGCATTAAGGTTTGGATTCAAGAGTGCCCAGGTCATAATAAAGTCTGAGTTCCTCCAGTATGACCCTGGAAACCAAACCCACAGCAAAAGTTGCAGACATAAAACGGCTTATTTACATCATTCAATTAAAGAAGGGGGTATTAACCATTTCAGTTTTAAAACATAATTGCAAAGGTACAATGTTAGGTATTCATACTAAAGACATGCGTATATTCAAATCATGAGGTAAATGTTTGTTGTAATGATCCTAGAGACTATAAAAGTGCTTAAAATGGTTTGTTGTGAAATCACATGAGATCTCATCAAGACGTCCATAACACTTGCTGAACTGATAAGGTCACCGCATGAGGCTCTTTGAAGTGGTTCATCTGGGGCCCCCAGTACAGCGGAACGGCCTGCCCCAAACAACTCGTGAGGTATCACCCACAGCAGAGTGGGGTAATGCTACTCCGCTGTATTGCTCCATTGCTCAACATGGCCTCAATAGAGAGGGTAGACCCAAAACATCCTGCTCTGCCCTTGGCCGACCTCCCAAAGGTCTACAAAGAGCTGGCCGATCAGAAGAGAGTAGGCTGATTGAGTGGGGGGCCTTAAAGAGACAGCGACTAAAACGAAGCATTTCAGACAGAGGTTGTAATGAGGGTTTTCTACAACACCAGTGTGAGAAACATTAGACTTTTAGCTATTGAGGGGTTATCAGAAAAGAAGTGATACGGTTATTGCTCTGACAATATGAGTATCACATCATTACAGAATAAGTTTCCAATTATAACTGTTCACACCTATGATCACCTGTGATCAGCTGCTAGCCCCGTGTAGGACAGTGAAGCTAACTTGCGAAAGACGTTCCCCATGAGGAGAAGAACAGCACCGCAGTAAGGACATTTAACTTTTAGCCATTAGCATGATGCCTTACTATCTGCCCAAAGGGAATTCTCACGTTGTCACAATAGTTACAAACGCCCCCTCACCCTGCTAAGACCAGCATTGCTTGTGATGTCCTCCACTTTCTTACAAACAGGCCACAGACACAGTACCCATAGGCTCTCCTTCCTATCACCAGGGATTTTAATCATGCCTCTCTCTCCTCAACTCTGTCTACCTTCACATACAGATGCAGACATATAACAGACAACATGAACATCTTCTTTAACAGATTTGACCAGCCATCCACTCATCTCTTTTTCTGACTCATCCTGCTGTAACCACCACCATCTCCACCTTCTGCTGACTGCATGACCCCCACTTCAAAGACTTTCACTATAGTACCCTCACAACACTGCTTCTCCAACTGAATGGCCTGCATGCACCAGCACACAGTCCAAAAGCTCCAGTCTGCCCTTCACAATGTCCAAGGCGAAGAGAGAAACGTAGGGACTTCAGGTTAGAAAGGCTGCAGATCCAGACGGCATCCACTCGAGGCTCCTCAGATCCTGTGCAGACCAGCTGTATGAGATTTTGGAGCGGCTTTACATCCACAACATGACTCTGGTGCTGGGGAGAGTGCCACAGCTGTAGAAGACATCCATCATGGTACCAAAGATCTCGCACCTCAAGGACTTCAGAAACTACATGCCAGTGGCACTGACAACACATCTGATGACCATGGTGAGGTTGGTCCTTTGTCATCTCCTATCAGCCAGGCGTTGGGGTGGATGATGCTGTCATTTCCCTCATGCAAAGATCTCTTTCTCACCTGATGAGAACTGGGAGCACTGTGGGACCATGTTGTATGGTTTCTCTGGTGCTGCCAACACCATACAGCCTGTGCTTCTCATGTTGTGTTCACACCAAGGGTGAATAAAATAATTCGAACAAGTGAATTCCAAGTGAAGCCGTCGTGCATTCTACTTGGGTGACGCAAATGACATGAAATAGGCAGCGCGACTTGCACAAATTGAGCAGACTATTCAAGGGAATGGCGTGAATTAGCATTGCACCTGTTGTTATTTTAAGAATCGAAACGAGATATAAATTTACATTTTTTGTCACTTTTTCCTCTCTGTTGAGATTATAAGAAAAGATTACTGTTTTAGCCAAACTGCTTAAATGAAATATGAACATTATTTCATCAATTTAACTAGAAATGACAACCCCAAAAGGAATTGCACAACCTCAGATAATAGCTTTGCAATGGAAAAAAAGATGTACTTGTATATTTAGCTATTAATGATTATTGAGTTAGGTTACATATAGAAAGATTACTATTTCATCTGTAGAGTTTTGCAGGCCTTTTAAGGTTTGGAAAGATCATTGTTTTACCACAAGTACTGCAACTTCAAATTTCCATTTGTGCAGATGCTGCAGGATCGTGTCAGCCACAACAGCCCCCGACACCCTGGGCCTTGAGGAACTCTGGGCGGATCTCATTCAACCCCAGGACCCTGCCACCAGGAGCTTTTTAACCACCTCAACTCAAGGTTTTAATCAACTGATTTGTAAACTAGTTTATTGATTTATTTTGTAAATGTCTGATTGCTATTTACATTTTTCTGTAACCTTTGTTGTCCTCCATGCTCTTTCGCTTCATTTTGACCTTATTTTTGCTCTTACAAGAAACCCATGCTTCAGGTTATTTTCACTTCAGACCAAACTACAATAACAGCGAAAGAGAAAGCTAAAGGAAGGATTGACACGCTTTCAAGCGTTAAAAAAACATTCAACAACAATGATCGTGATGAAGACATAAGCTGAATCAAGTAAGGCTTAGGCACGTAAAAAGGAAAGCATATAAATCTACCTCAAGCTGTTGTAGCTCTTCTTCTTCCTAAAGGGAAAAACGGAGAGCAAGTCAGCAGGCTGTTAAGGGAGCAAGGCAGCATGTTGCACTACAGGCATGTTAGGCACAACTTGTCTGAAAAAAATCAAAGTTATGAGGATAGTTGATGATGTCAGGAAGCGGCTACTGAACTGGGAAGAAATGAGGAATGTGATGTCGGCACAAAAAGAGGAAAAAGGGTTAATAAAAGCAGAAAAAAGATAGGAAAGAACAGGAGGGGGTGGTAAAATCTTGAAAGGGAGCAGATGAAAGGATATCCAGGTGAGTGGTAACTACCAACCAAAAACCCAACCAAACTAAGCTGCTTCACTTTCCCAAACACTGCAGGGGACACTAAGAGGGGTCAAAGAAAAAGATGATCACTGGCACACAGTTACCTCTGACTTCAAATCCTCTTCCCCCTAGAGAGAGCAAATTGAGAGATGGACGAAAAGAGGGCAAAGAAGGGGTGAAATGCCATTAAGTACATGCATGTACGAGAAACAAGACAGGTGTAACCGCAGCAGTGGGATCTCTGGAAGTAATTCATGTATCTGATGTAATGTGAGTCAGGTCTGCAACACAGAACAGAGTTTTATGTCCGTTTTAAATGCATCTACCAGAAGGTGAAGGTAATTGATCACATCTAGATTCATTATTGAGCAAAACTTTTAGCATATGAAGAATCGTAACAGAAAAATTATCGTAACAGTCACTGCAAGTATGTCCTCTTTTTATATAGTTTTGTCTTGGCAGTATGAGGCTAGTAAAATTTTCTGACAATCACATCATGGATTCCCACTAAAAGTGTAAAAATCAAAGTTTAACAGGTAATATTTTTCGGAGAGCATAACCTAGGAAGAAAATGACTTTTGCGTTCAAATGCTTGTGCACGGTTCAAAGGATGCCAAAAACAAAACAAGTTAAGCTGTGTACAACTACAGTATGTTCTTTTAAAGTCGCTGTGGGTTTATACATTTATAAATGATTTTTTTCACAAATACAGCCCAAACTAACTTTCCGGAAAAAACACAAGACAATTTTGATCATCAGCAGTATCTTCAAGACTCTCTATGTCATGTCATGTTATTTTTGGAATCCTATACGTGTTTCAGGCCTATCTTACATGATGTTCAGATGGCTTATTGCACAACTTCAATTTACTGCTACCGAAGCTGCTTGTTCCTGTATAAAAATAGAAAGACTGATCTCTTCTTTTTGTGAACTTGTCTCAACTTCATTTAAGCTCTTCATATATTGTGGCCATTTATATCAAATGTGTGCACACTGCCACAGCTTAAACTTTATTTAAACACATGAATCTTTCATTAAAAAAGGATATTCACTGAAATGCAGGGCTCTTCAGTGTTAAGTGTATTTAGGTGTGCCTTTGAAAAACCTACCTGTCCTTCTTCTTCCTCTGCGTGAGCCTGCTGACAGAGAAATAAGATAGTGTTAGAGACTTATATACTATATTGTGCATTTACTCACCAATTCACATCCAAGCTACTACAAACTATCTATAATCATACAGAAAAACAACAGTATCCACAGCTCAGGCTTGCTGAAACATACAAACGGAGCTGTGTGTGACAGTTAATGAATATGCAGTGAGGTGTGCAATGTGAAATCATCAAGGAAAGTTGCAACAATTTCATTTCAACAGATTTACAAAGACACATGAAGGGAATGGAAAACATACAAGAAACCCACAAAAAGTTGCAATAATATCACAGTGAAAAAGTTAGCTGTCCAACGTGCTGAATAAAGGTCAAACAGGGGGAGTAAACAGGAATGTTATGTGTTTGGTTAATGCATTTCTGTGTTCACTGACAGGGAGATGCAGGGTATGGACGACATGAACTTAAAAGGAGGCAAACCCAGTATGGCAGGAAGGGAAACATGAAAGGAAAAGTGGAGATGCTGAGGGGAGGAAAACAGAGCATTCCAGGAATGATGGGAAGGTGGAGGTAAAAAAAACCAAAAACATTCATTACATTAAAACATTCAATGGAAAAAAAATCTAAGGGGTGGTGAACACGGGTTTAAAATCAATCACTAGGTTTTCTGTGACCTCATCTGATTCCTCCACTGCCTCATCTTCTTCATCTCCTTCTTCCTCTTCCTCTCCCTCTTCCTCTTCCTCTTCCTCTTCCTCTCCCTCAGGGTACTCATCTTCTATTTCTTCGTCATCTTCAGTCTTCTCCTCTGTTATTTCTTCCTCCTCCTCATCATCTAGCAGCTCCTCATTGTGTGCGACACCATTACGTTCCTCCACTGGGACTTCCTTGTTGTGAGGTGAAAACAACAACTGGTGGTCAAGTTGAATAGATGAGAAACTTTAATAACTTTACACATGCATCAATGGCACTGCCTCATCAGCACTTAGATGGTCTGCTCATTATTATGAAAGATTGGGAAACTGGGAGGAAAAGGTTTAGGCATTCCTGGAGGGAGAAAATGTAGAAGGTGGAGATATTGCAGTTTAAATGGAGTCTCGAGTGTTAGCACTGTTGATGAAAAAAATTAGCCATGATACATCATTAAATAAAAACAACAATTCATTTATTGGTCCCAAATAAGTGCCTTTAAAAACATTTATCAATATTTGCACTCTTGTCAAGGATGAGGAGACAATGTGGAAATTCACGTCACTTTTTTTGGCAAATTAAAAGTTATATTAACAGTATTTATCTATCTTTGTGGAATCAAAGGGAAACACTGCACCTATCGCTTTCTTATCACTGGCATCTCTGAAGCCGACAAATAATTGCAAACATCTTGTTCATGTAATTAGTACAATAATTAAACAGTTTGCCAGTGGGGTTGTTTCATGTTGGATTGTTACAAATTAAGCAAGCAAGGCCTAAAATGTTAAATACTGAGCTGTTGAGATTCTTGTGGTTGTATTTTGTTATCCTTCCATGAAGCCATGATGGCTATTTCCCTAAGGTTTCAGTCTTAGTGGTACATAAAGGTGACCACCTGACAGCTTTATCTTTATTGTAATTATATAGAAATAATTGAGATTTCTTATCTAACGCTTTGCTAAAATTGTCTTTTTTGTGAATACTGCTGTAGCAACATTATCATTGCCTTGTCAATGTTCACTGATAACAATCATAGTGTCAGTAAGCTTTTAATTAAGTGTTCAAATGTTTGTATCTTGTGGAATCTCAATTTCATTACGGTATGAAAGACATGCTTGGGTGCCTGTTTGGCATAGTGGTTAAGTTGCTTGCCACATGTGCGGAGGCTTCAAGAGAATGACCCAGGCTCAATTGAAACCTATAGCCGCTTTCTGACATGACAATCCCAACTTTCTCCAGTTTCCTATTCTACGTACTGCCTTATCTCTTTTGTTTGGTTTTACTTCAAATAATTCAGTATCTTGTCTTTTGAGAACATCTTCACTTTCTTCTTTTTACCTCCTCAAATATAATGCTACATCATAGAAAATCTGTCCTCTTTCTACTATTATTTGATGTTTTTTAGCTCTAGGCATGAACAGTTATTGCCACCTTGTGGCCAGCTGTCTTCACACCTGATCATTGAACTATCCTCTCCAAGTTAAGGTGTTCCAGCACAAAAAAGGACTTGGTTAAAAAGGCCAGTACAAGACTTTAATTCTCACTTATTCATGTCTACGCAAAGAAGCTCCATTAAGTGTTTGTTACAGAAAAATCTTTAGGCATTTGGCTGTTAGGCACATTCAGTTTCAAACAATTAAACTATTAACTTCAGTCAAAGCTTTAAAGGAATAAACCAAAGAAGGGGCTTCTGAACTCCTGTTGGGAAGAAATCAAGTTAAAATGAATTGAATTAGTAACTTGTTTTCTGCAGCAATACATTATAACTCACTGACACTGGGACATTGTATATCAGCTTTTAAAAGGATGTGTGTGTGCAGACTTTCTGCAGATACAACAACAATAAACTCTGGTTCAAACCTAAGATGTGGAAGCTGTGCCAGGCCAAGGAGGAGGCCTACAGAGGTTGGGACCAGGTCCTGTACAAGCAAGTCAGAAACTGACAAAGGAGATCAGGGCAGCAAAGAGAAGCTACACAGAAAAGCTGAAAAACAGCTTTTCAGCCAAAAGTCTGCAGAACATAACCAACTACAGGAGTCCATCACCCCAACAGGTAACAACAGACTGACCGAGGACCTGAACAAACATCAGCTAAAACCTGCCTTTGCACCCTCTCCCCTCCACTGCGACCCCCCATCAGCCCTTAAGATCAAAGAAGAGGAGGTGTGTGCTGAGATTTCTGTGGATTCTCTGAATCTTTTGATGATATTTTGGATTGTAGATTATAAAATAACTAAATACCTTGCAACTGAATGTTAAGAAACATTCTTCTTCAGCTCTTGGACTATTTGCTAACGCAGTGGTTCACAAAGTGGTGAACCTTGCTCCATCCTTGTTATTAAACAACTCAGCCATTTTAGGGGTGACACTCAATCATGGCACACACCTGTTTCCAATTCACCTGTTCACCTGTGTTCCAATTGTTCCAAACAGGTGTTTTTGAGCATTCCTCTACTTTCCAAGTCTTTTGCTGCCCTGTCCCAGCTTTTTTTGAAACATGTTACAGGCATCAAGTACATGTAAGTGAATATTTGCACAAAAAAATTAAAGTGTATCAATTTGAACATTAAATATCTTGTCTTTGTGGTGTTTTCAGTGTAATGTAGATCAAACAGGATATGCAAATCACTTTATACTGTTTTTTTTTTTTTTTACATTTGACACAATGTCCCAACTTAATTGGAATTGGGGTCTGTAATTTAGAAAAAACAGATTCACTGCAACAGGGGGATAAAAATGTTGATTATTATCATTTTTTTTTTAAGTTTACTGAAGAAATAAATAAATAAATGAACAAAAAAACAGAAAGTTTCCAACCTTTGACCCTGGAGGAGGGGGAAGCCCCAGGAAGGTAAAAATGGCGTTGTCCTCTTTGGCATCGAAGAATGTTTCGTAGTCCTGTATAAAAATGAAATAACCATATTTTTAATTTACCCAAAGCTGGTTAATAAGGTATCTGTCTTGAGAATAATGTATGTTTGTTGTTTTTCATGTACTTACCCCACAGTAGCTCTCATTATTGAAGATCTGAGGGGGCAGGGGAATACCATTGGTAGGCTTCTTCTCTTCTGGGACATTCTGCCTCATCCACATGCGGTTCTCCTCACTGCAGGCAATGTCCAGCTGAGTGTAGTCTACTTTAAGAGCCTCCAGAAAGCCCACCACATCTTGCTGCTTCTTTTTAATCTGGAGAGCAGAGGTAATGGATTTCACTTTTTCTCCTTTATTTTTTTTTTAAAAAAAAGGACGTTTTCATGGAATGCTTGTGGGAGAATTTTATAATTAATTTAAAAGACTTTAACATGAACCCCCCTGGTAATAAACAGACACCATTATGATTCAAACCTGGCATGTGCTTCTTATCTAATCTTGTTATCTAGTTTACTAATTCATGAGTTTATTGTAAATATTGAAATAGTTTTTTGTTTTGGCTCTGTGAGGTGTATGCATTGGAGTAGGCCTATTTTTCTCCTTCTGAACAGATGCATATGTAAATACAGTCTGTACAGTCTGAAAAAGAAATAGAACAAGGGCAGAATTTTTAAAGATAAAAACAAGTGTTATTTTCACCTTTCATATTTACTCTGGAAACAGAGCAAAATACAGGATGAAGACTGAAAAATACTGTTGGGCTACAAAGTGAGACTAGGGCTTGAGCTTTAGTCAATACTTGACACATTCTCTTTTCTCAACATAACACATAGACCTGACCTAACTTACAGATACGTCATGCTTGACTCAGACAAGTTAGGGACAGGCAATAGACGGATCTTTAAGGTGACCTCAATACTTAAGGATACAGAGCTGGCCCAAGGCATAAGCCAACTAAGTGTCTGCTTAGGGCCCCGTGGCCAGTAGTGGGCCCCCGAGAGCAATAAAATAATAACAATAATAATAATATTTTAATTTTTTGCATGTATGAGTGATGCCTTCTGTATGATCAAATATATAGTATTGTAAAAATAAAATGAAATAAAGTAAAAACATTTTAGTGCTGCTGCTGATGCAGACCTATGATTACTGCCAATATGTCAAAGCTTAGCTACTGTTATGCTCCTCCTGCTGTGCAATGTGCACTGAGCATCCAAAGCGCAGGTAGTTGTGGGGCAAAACAAAGTTGCAAAAAAGGACATATCCTTCAGGAGCAGAGAAAAGAAAGAGGGAGAAACGCCATATGTTTGCATGTCATGAAATGTTAATCAAAGAGATTTGTGAAGGTGTGTGAATGATCAGTGATCAATATTATGGGCAGAAATAGAGGGCCCCAAAATCAAACTTTACTTATGGCCCCATTGAGGCTTTGGCTGGCTCTGTAAGGATATCACTGTTGACCAACTGGCCAGCCATGCCACTGCAAGAGTGTTTCACACCACTAACTCACAAGAGTTGAGCCTGTTAAAAGACAGATCATACAATCGTCCTTGTTGTGGTTGATAAGTATCATACCTACATTCACAATAAAGCTATCTAATGACAAACTGACAGGAATACTGGAGTATTTAAAGCAAAATCTCTTCCATTTTAGGTGGAAGGTCTATGATGTATGGCTTTTATGGCGGACTCGCTAAAGGAGTCCCTTTTCTAGAAGGCTCTATTTATCATATCGACGTAAGAAACAATAACTCATCGCAAACATGCCAATAGTACTTAAGAATAGTTGTGGTAGCCTATATATGTGACTGCTTTGAAGCATTCAACTCAATATGAAACAAAGTCTTCATTAGTTATGTTTTCTTCAATGACAAATCAGCAGGCTGTGGTTACTTACCGCAGTGGATCCTGACGAGGTGGCGAGGAATACTTTGATAACCATATTGTTTATTTTCTTAAGGACTGTGCAACAAGTAGGCTCTTAAAGACGCAGCAGACTCCTATTATTAGAGCGCACTCGGGTCGAAGACGGCACTGAGATTACACGCTCGGGCACGCGCATACATACGCGCGCGTCATACACGCATGCGTGTCTCACACACACACAGACACACAGAGGTTATTTTTGTCAAGGCTCTATCAATGCGGGATTGGCGGGTTGGCCTGCAGGGCTGAAGGCAGATTGATTGGCAACTTCAGCTGTCTATCCGGGCAGAGCACAGCGAGTAAGCCTGTAGGTCTTTACTGAGTGCATATATGGAAAGAAGGAGCAATGACTAGCAGGGCCACCATGACTCAGACAGAGGGAACAAACAAAGCTACAATTTGTTTACTTAATCCAGTGAAGAAGGTGGACAGTGGTCCATGTGTCCATTCAAAGTTTGAGGAGCCTGTGCATAGTTGACCTTTACCCAGACAAAAAGCTATGAGAAAACCAAGTAAAAACAATAGAGATGGACCAACAATTTACATATTGGGTGGCTTTTGCATTGTACTCGTCGTACTCAAAACAACTTTCCCCAGTTCATTACATGGGGAAAGTTCTAGTGCCACAACTTCCACAAATCAAGGTTGAGATATGAGACACATGATCATGTCAGTGTTAGCCCACCCCCACCATCTACGTAGCTGTGAGGTAAAAAGCAAGACAGGAACACCATGCATTTGACACCAATTCATTACGGTGGCCGAGAATCGCCACTGCTGCAAATAAAAAAGAATGCAAAAGAAAAACAAAACAAAAAAAAAAAAAAAAAAAAAAATGCCACAACTTAAGTTACTGATGAAAAAAAAAAAAAGAAACCAAAGCCTGCTGTGAATAAAAAAAGAGGCGGTGCAGATGGAAAAAAAAAAGCTAATGAAGCAAAAAAATGTGGTGATGCAAAAAAAAAAAAAAAAAAAAAAAAGTTACTTACTGCGATAATTCAAGGATGCAAATAAAAAAAGCCACAATGGAAGTGAGCTGCCGGGGACCAATAATGATGACGCACCAGTGTTTTACGATCTAGGCAAAGAAGACGACGGCGAGAAGACGCGCAAATAAGTTATTGGTTATTGTTTAATTTTGCTCTGTAAACTTTTCAATGTGTCATTTGGTTAGGCCATGTAGCGCCTGAGTCGATATGAAGTTACTGGAGGATGCGGGAGTAGTGTTAGATTCAACTTGGTTTGTGTTGTTAATTAGGCGGGCTGATGTTACATTTAACATGGCCATTGTCTCATGTTTCCTCGGTTTGAGGTCCATGTTCCACTGCAGTCACTACATCATGAAAGTGTCTAGAATCCACAAAACAACACAAATAAAAGAGATGAAAAGTGTTTGGTGTTGGGGATCGTTTTTCCAGGCAGCATCAACTGTTGCAGGTGGGCAAATCCCTTGTAACAATGTTAACACACTTTAGGTAAAATAGCTTACATCTTGGTCATACTGGAGGTATAGTGTATATAGAAATATTTAACATTAGACAGCAATCAGATTGTTGACTGATACACTTCCATCCCATCAGTGACGCTATGGTGACATATGATTTTGAAGGCAAGTAGCGAATGTGATGCATTATAAATATGAACCTCTATTGGTCAAATTTTTGCCATCAAAATATCTTTTAATGCAAAGCCTGTAGAGCAGAGCAACAACTCTCTTCTTTGTCTTTCAACCACTATACTTAATGCAACTCACTTAACACAAAACAGCTTTGTTAGCCCACTAGGTGGTGCTGTAGAAACATGGTGGCGCAAGATAGCAGCCAGTGTGAAAGAGGACCCACTCCAACATGGACATTGCTCTGGGTAGACTTTAGTATTAAACCTGCAACAGTTTTTATATGACCATCAAAAAATGGTGTCCCCTGTGACAATGATAGGTGACTCTCTATTGTTATACTGCAAGAATGATCATTTTCCTTCATTTTTGTAAAATTGATGTTATTACTATAAATAATTGTTCCATTATACTAATAGATTATATTTGTTTGTCTTGTATTCAAGAAGAGCTTATATTCAGACCTTTAAAGCACTTTTATTAACAATTTGAAAACGAATTTGTTGAAGTTTATTTTTGAAAATCATTTTTAAAAATGCTAAATAATCTGCTTGCTCTCACACTTGTTTTATATCAAAAAGTTGTTTTTGATTTAAAAAATGTATCATGTTATATTTTTACATTTCTATATTTACCACAGGGAATGAAATGATAAATCAATCTGCTGCTGTCACAGAAATTACAGTCGCTTAAGGGGACGCATGAAAGTCAAAATGCCAATCAAAAATGTATCATATTTTATTAACACAATGTTGTGCTGTTACCAGACAGACAATGTCATATTGTACAATTAACACACAGCACTGTTATTTAAAAAAAAAAATACAGCTAACACGGCTTGCTGCGGCTCAATGACAGGCTAAGGTTATCGTAAACAGTAGCAAAACTACTGGAAATAAATAGTATGGTCCCACATTTAGGCCTGACTGTACCAAGATCCTCCTTTTTTCACTGAAAACTCTATTGCCTTCTATCTTTTAACTTGGCTTTGATGGTTCACATCATTCACTAATTCAAAATAAAATATCCAGAATCACAGAAAAATATGAAAGAATCATATCTCTGATGAATGTTTTTATTTTTCCTTGAGAACCTCAAAACTTCCAAATTACTGTAATAGTTACAGTAACTAAAAACATCCTTATGAATAATTTAAACAACTTTAAAAAAAAATCAGCAGCAAAATCACAGCAATATGGGCTCCTTATAATTTAATTGCATCCCAACATTTTTCACTGAAGACGTTGAAATAAAGAAGGCAGAAGAGTCCAGAGACCACTGATCTCCTTCACTGAATGTTAAGTAATAGTGAACCTCATTCAGCTTAAGTCTCTAGCTGACAGCATGGAGACCCAGTGTAATTACTTTGTTGCAAACCACCAACCAGCATGTTATTCCCACTCCACCTGAAATAAAGAACAATTCTTTGATAAATAAATAAATAAACACCTTCAGATTTATGACAACTATAGGTGACAAGAAAACAAATCACTGTAATTCACCAGAGTTTCCCACACCTAGACTGTATTTGTGTTGAATAAAGACCTTCTTATTCTGATTTTACAGTTTTGTGATGCTGGTTGCTTTAAGTGTCATCCTGCTCTATCTTAGTGTTGGGTCGTTACATAATTAACAAGTCTTGCCTACATGTGGATCACCTATGATATAAGTGTGAGCTCACAACACCGGCTGTGTTATTTGAGGCTTTTTGTGAAATCTGCTGTTGATCTGCTAAATCAATACTTAGCAGTAGTATTAGAATTATTAGACATGACCTAACACAAAAAGGTTATATACTAATTACTCGTCTCCTATCTCGTAATCTCCCTTGCTGCAGGTACAGCATCACTCTGCAGGAAACACTGCATCTATGCAAAGACAATGTATCAAACAAATCAATCCTATGTGAAAAATATTGTCATAGTAGATATTTTATGCAGGTTATGTTTATACATCATATTCCATAAAATATCAAGCAAAGATTTATTACCTGCCACTCCTGTTGGGAAGGCCACAAGGCGCTCCACAGGAGCAATCCATCTACTTGGGACCACAGTAACCGGATCAGAGTAATACTTCCATATCAATGAGATCATCAGAGCTGCCTGATAAAGAAATATGTACATATGGGATTATATGTATATGACTAATATGAATTTTCTGTTTTAATTTCAAGCTTTCCATTTTGCAAGTAACAACTTTTTCTTCTGTTTATAATGTTAAAATATTATTTAATAATATTGCCAGGAAGCAAAACAGACATAACGGTAACTGATTTTCTTGTACTAAATACACACACAGCCATAACAGCACAGCGAAGATAGATCATCTAACAGTGATATAAAAACTGAAAGACAATGCCTTAGTGTTTTCACTTATCCACCTACCTGCAGTATGTAAAAGACAATGTTCACAATCCATTTCATTTTGGCTTGTTGAGCTGTTCTTGATTTCACTGTTTAATTTAAAAAAAAAAACAGAACAGACAATATAGTTAGACCCAACACACCGTTTTGTGGTGTCAAAGCCACTGTAATACCCTTGTGAGTCTTAGCCTGTTTGTCAGTTTAAATACAAGAGGAAAGTTTTCTACAGTGTATATAAAAGTCTACACACCCCTGTTGGAATTCCAGGTTTTTCTTATGTTAAAAGATTAGACCAAGATAAATTATTTTAGAATCTTTTTCACCTTTAGTGTGACCTATAAACTGTACTACTCAATTGAACAACAAACTGAAATCTTTAGGGGAATAAAAATAAACCAGAAAATTCCCTCTTGGAAATTTTGAAAGGGTCTCGGGGGCTACTACCAGAGTGTGTACGTTATAATGAGATTCTTCAGAGATGTCAAAGAATTAATAGGCCACTAGTAGCATTGTGATATCATATACAAGGAGCACATCCGCAACAAACATTCCTTTTCAAGCACTAATTTATACGACAAAGACAAAACAGATCTGGAGCAGTAGACATTAAAAAACTCCTGTAATTGTCCTTGTTTTCGGGTGGGGGGCTCATTCATTGACTTCAGTGCAAAATTTTTACAACCTTTTTTGCATCTTGTGTCATAAAAAACTCATAGAATTGGGACCAGTAACGACACACTGACCCCAATCAAACCCCATGTTTTGATATATAATTTGTCCTACAACTCTTCAAGTTGTAGGTAGTGAATTGAAATTTGGCCTGAAGAGGAACAAGAAAAAAGTCTACAATAAACCAACAGTGCCTCCAAGTCCTGAGGCATTATTGTATAGGGGCCTGCTGTAAAGTTTATAGCATCTCTGTTGTATAGGGGGCTAGTGCCTCAGTGCTTTTGCCCAGTGACCCTAACAAGGATTTTGATTGAGAGTCAGTTTAATTGTTTTTTTCAAATTGCTCTAAAAGTGATTCAATGATGCAGAAATATCAGGGCACTCCCTGATTAGAGAGTTGGTTTCAGCTGTGGGCCTGGCCTGAGGGTCACAGGTTGCCACAGCAACTTGAACTGGTTGCCCATGACGATAGATGCACCACAGGCTAAGGCAGTCAAAATGTCATGATAAAAAGCGATTTTTTACCTCAGCACTGGTCTCACACTTGGGCTTAAATATGCGTCTAGAGTGTAATTTGTGGCCAGGAGGAGCTTGGAAAGAGAAAAGTTCTGACAGTTTCATGCAATGTCTCTCACTCTAGCTGGCAAGAAGGTTCTACACAATACACACCCATTATAATCTCAAATTTTCTCCAAAAATGATCATGGTCATTGAACAGTGAGTGAGCAAAAACTACAATACCTATCAAAATGTGGATGAATACACTGACAGATGAGACTTGTGTCTACATTTTAAAGTTTAAATGGTGTCTCTAGATAAACAATATCTGCCTTACCATGTGTTTTCAGCTTGTCTGTCATCTTGTTGATTTTGCGCTCCAATCTTGCATATCTAGCAAACTCATCCATCATGCTTATTGAAGACTGCTCCTTTTTCATCTCTTGGATTTCGGTTCTCATTTCACTCTCCTGTTCAGCATCTTTCTGCATCATCTTTGTCAGCTTGAAAAAAAGGAAGTAACACAATGACACACATGTAATGACTTCAAAGTATGAAAGTATTTTTGGTGCAAAAGGTTTGTGCATCGGTAAAATGTAATTTGTAGCTTTGTACAGTGATTGTGTGTGTGTGTAGTAGTAAATGTGAAATCTGCACTCTATGAGTTGTGTACTTGTAGATTTTTTGTGTGTACTTGTTGATTTTTTTATTTTATTTCCACAAGTACAACACAATATTTACACATTCACGAATTGTACTTTACATGTCACAGTTTCAAACTCTAACACACTCACATTTTTGCTCCAATTGTTGCAGACTATTTGGTGCAATTGTGCACCTGTATGGAGCAATGTGATGTTGTGGACAAAATTTGAATATGTGTAGATCTCTATGTGAACTTCATGAACGATGTGTTCAAAAGAACTGAATCTTTGAAGTGAACGTACTGAATTAAATCACTTCCCCAAGTGATTCGTTCGTTTTTCACTTCAGTTGAGCTAAAGTGAGAAACAGCATTGCCAAGCCAGCAGCTGGCGATCGAGGGATGCCATGCACCAATGCCTGAGTCACATGGTGAACGAATCACGCATTGAGCTACACTCTCTGGAATCATTTTTGTCGGACAAAACTACCTTTTCTTTTTTAACTGCTAAATTGCCACCACGACAACTTGCATGCAATTGGACAGAGCATGTAACAAGTAGTGCATTAAACCCGGAGCATCCTATCTTTGCAGTGGTATGCGAGGGAACGGTGCATGTTCAGTGTAAATTCTTCTAAACGCTCATTGAATGAATAACTCACTGAGTCCAGACCTAATAAATAACATACCATAGGACAGTACACTTAAAACATCATGACTTATAAGTTCATTTTTACAAACCTGTTTGCCAAACCAACACAGCCAAACACTCAAACAAAGCTCTGAATTGAAGTGAATCCTAAAACGTTCAGCTGTGTATCAGTTCAGGAGGTCGGAGTCGCAGGCTTCTACTGCCAAGTGTTAAGTGATTCTGTGATTTGGTAAATGAATCTTTTGAACAAATCTTTTTAGTGAATGATTCTAGTGATTCAGTACATCAAAAAGAACTGCCGTGCCCATCACTTCCAAAGATCGGGTCACTGAATTCTTTGGTGCAAAAGGCGGTCGCTGATCTGAGTTTGATGGGTATTACAACCAATCAGAGGTGATAGCATTTCGTCTCACAGCCAATCAGAGGAAATAAGGCTCTCTACACGAAGAGTGGGAGAAAATCTACAAATACACAACTCATAGAGTGCGCATTTCCCAGTTACTAACACACATGCACAATCACTGTACACAACTACAAATTACATGTTACAGATGCACAAACCTCTTGCACCAACAATACCTTCATATAACTGCCTCCTACTCCGAGCACCAAAGCAGAGGTAATTACCCAGAGTTCATGTGTACACAACTAAAGGCTCCTGTAATTTAGTGATGAGCATAGCAGTTCTTTTAGATGCAACAAATCACTAGAATCGGTTCACTAAATAGATTTGTTCAAAAGATTTGTTCACCGAATCAATTAGCGCTTAGCGGGAAGAGTCTGCAACTCTCACTTCCTGAACTGATACACAACTGAACGATTCAGGATTCAGTTCAGATCATAGCTTCTGGAACCGGGAGATGAGAGTGTTGTGGCTGTGTTGCTTTGGCAAACAGGTTTGTAAAAATGAACTTGTTTACAACTCATGATGTTTTAAGTGTACAGTCCAATGGTATACTATTTATCAGGTTTGCTCAGTAAGTTGGGCTTAAGTGAGTGATTCGTCCACTTAACATTTTGAAAAATTCACACTGAACATAATTCGTTCCCTTGCAAATCGCTGCAATGACAGGATGCTGCAGGTTTTATGCACTTCTTGTAACATGCTGTGTCCTTTTGTATGTATTTGTTGTGATGGCAATTTAGCAGTAAACAAAACAAGTTGTTGATTCAGTTGTTGGTGCATGCTGTCCCTCTGCTCACCTGGCAATGCTGCGTGCTATAGCAGCTGCACTGCTGACAGCTCAACTGAAGTGAGAAACAAACAAATCACTTGAGGAAGTGATTCGGATCAGTAAGTTCACTTAAAAGATTCGGTTCCTTTGAACGAATCATTCGCGAACGACATAACACTACTGTTATTAGCCACATACAGGCTACTCTCAACCGCGCTATTCCCCTTGGACATTACATGCGCTAACAAAAATGTTCCCCCCTACCAAATAACGTGCACAGCGCTGGCCACATTACTATGGGCAGGCTGAATGTTTCCTCTTAATATAAAGCTAGTAACGCGGATACGCCCACCCCCGTTTGTAGCTGGACGGATAGGATGTGAAAGCTAGCTGGTTAGCCCTGGTTAGCACTAGCTTTTGTTTTCCTCTCATTGAAATTGGCTTATGTATGGCAGGTCGTACGCTACCCGTGGCGTTAAAAGTCAATTAATGAGTGCATTTCTACTTACGAATGATGTTATACACGGAAGGAGTGTTTTCATGAGATTGCAGAGAAAAACCGAAACCAGGACAAGGAACCATGCATAGCCGGCCGCCATCTTTGTTCTTCCGCCTTTTAACCTCGTCTTTACCATAGAAATGGTCTGAACAGCAGCTGGAGCACAAAGTGGTGCAAGTCATGAAAATATTGTGCCACTTACTTTCTACTGGTCAAAGATAATCGTGTAGTTAATAAAACAACACGGGGGTTATTGGGTGAAGGTCTGTTTGTTTGTTGTTATTGTGGCACAGGCTTTAAAAAATGGGTTTAAAGTTTTTACAACGCTTTGACTTCATAATAATGTTATTTTTTATTTCTACTTTTGATTTTATCTAAGTGTATAGGCCCCTAAAAATACGAGTTTCACAAAATGACTACAGAAAACTACTACTGGGGAAGTGCAAACATTTATTTTTATGTAAGTCTTATAATAAATCAAATCATCAATAAATTGATTTACCCAATCATTTAATACGCCTCTTTTTGAAATTGTACGCAAATCATGTATTCGCCCAATTAAGCAAATACGGAAACAGACTGCGGTATAATATGTGAGTTTCTTAAATGTTGACTGATTGGCAAAGAGCTTACCCACACAGGTAAGATGTTATGATTCAAAAAATGGGTTTGCTTGACCTCAACGCCAATCACTGGAAGCAAGGGGCGGGAAGAAAGTCCTCTGGTGGGTTGGTAGGATAAGGGATAAAATACACTGAAATATTGGATCCAATCCGGTTTGAGCGAGTCCTGAAATGCGCAAACATTTACGTTGAACTACACATTAGCTGAGGGACGCACCTACCGTCGTCAAGGTGTAGGCACAGGTATTGGACGAACTCTTTCAGGATACTTACCAGCGAAAGCTATTTTCCTCTTCCTATCTCCGCCGAAAGACTCAAATAGCAATGGGAAAGAAGAAGGTAGGTTTTAATGTGTATTCTGTTACTATTACTAAAGCCTATATAGTTGTGTGCATGCAGTAGGCACTGTTTATACACTGTAGTGCACGATTATTACGCTTTGTTATTTGAGGTTTATTGATCTTTTTTCTCTGTTAAACATATATTGCTCCTTATACATTATACTGTGCGCCCATGTGCCTTTGTGTCGCCAATCTTTGCCCTGCTGTGGTCTGTAGAAACCACTCTGTTGTTACAGGGAAAAGGCGCCTTGTATATCACAGCCTGTTGTGCAACGTTCAGTTTAATCGAGCTTGTAACATGTATAAACTTATACAGTCAAGGTAAATGCTTTTACTCGGCTTCGTCGCTTTAATGTTCATCTGGTTGGATATATTTTGATCAACAAAAATGGTGTTAATTCATTTATTTAAAGGTGATTTATAGGCTGATGTGAACCCATTAAGCATCCAGTATTCGCTTTTTGTGGTCTTTGCCCCACATTTATAAGTTTTTCACCTGTGGTCTGGATTCAATATAAAGTTGGGGACGTTACACTTTTTAATATTTGTTTTAGGATTGTTCAAGGCAGCTGATATAATGTCAAAAAGGCATATAAGACCTATTATTATGTAACCCCACACTGTATGATTTGCCCTCTCTTTTTTTTTTAAATTAAACAACTATGGATTACATGTTTTAATGTATTTGGAAATCATGTAGATTCCTCAGAACAAAACTTCCTTCAACTTTGTGACATGCTTTTTTAAAGAGCATTTGCTGGCTACAACTAAAGTTGCAGATTTTTAGTTGAGCTTCCAAGTAGTAGTGGTCCCCCACCCACTCACCCACAGGCGCACACATATTTGTATGATGCACCCACTTCAGCTCACTCATGAATGGTTGTTGATGATGATTTATTTATTTGTTTCTCTTTTCTCATTTTTGTACAGTCTACCAATGATGCAGATGCGGGCGCAGAGGTTAGTATTTAGGTCTCTATTCTCAAATTGACCTCAGCATGGCTTAACATGCAAATGAACATTTTGTTCTATATTGTGTGATATCATAGAGACTATGTAAGTAGATGTAGGATATATCATTTTTTATGAATTGCTGTCCTTTATAGTAGTTTAAGTGAGAAAATGGAAAACTTTGATGCATAAATGACTCAAAAACTTTGAATGTTGGTGTTTTTATTGAAACCTTTTCCCTTTGCTTGGAGGAACTGCCAGCACTAGTAGTAGTCAGTAGGGGGAGCTGGTTGACAGACTGGCCAAATGTAAATGTCCCAGTACCAAGTTTCTGCTTTCTCAGGGAAAACATTTAACACACCCGCCCCCAACCCCCATCTTTGGACTTGTTACTTGTCACTCATTAGTCAGTGCTCTCCTATTTGTGTTTAACATTTAATTAATATCAGTTTAATGTGTAAGGTATTCTGTGGACCTTATTCAGGGTTCTGTAAAATGGAAATTATACTTTCAGTTGATTAAACTGTCTACTTTAAATGTGTATTTCAGCCAACAAGGAAGTCTCCACGATTCCAATCTGTAAGTTTTACAAAATCCAGCATAGACTGTTTTATATATATATATATATATATATATATATTTATATAATTATATATATATATATATATATATATATACTCTTCTACTTCTTCAATGTGTTTGTTGTGGAGCATAACATTTTAATTTTGCATGTTTCAGAAATCGCAACCAAAGATTATAAAGGTAAAGGGACAACTTTTTCTGCTGTACTACGACACATTCATCAACTAAAATGCATTTTCAAATAATAATACATTTGATTGTGCACTTCATGCTACTTTGTCTTTGCTCATTAGGAAACTCCCACAATTGAAAAGGTGGAAGAGTCCAAACCAGAGGAGAAACCAATTGAACCTCAGGAAGAGACAGTAGAGGCTCCGACAGAAAATGGAGAGGCCAACACCCCAGAGGTATTATTAGCATTATTTGTTCATATAATAGTGTGAAATTTCCCTTTTGTTTGCAAGCAATGTTTAAAGAGAATCGGTGAAAAAGTATGTTTTCTCTTTTCCGAGTAGCAGCCTGCAACAGTTGATGAGGCCCAAAAAACGGAGGACACAGCTGAAGAAAAGGAAAAAGAGCCTGAGTAGTTCTGACTCCTTGAAACTCACTCAGAGAAGCTCTTTTTGAATCGAGACCATTTTCACCAACTCTTTTGATAATGCAGTAATTGTTAGAGGAAAGTGGAACTGCATTTTAGAAATCTTGTAAATTCTTTTTATTGCAAGACTTCTGTGGAGGAGGAGGTCAGTGTATCCCAGTTTTGACTTCTTTTGCTTGTATAGGTTTAAGTCTTCCTCATGACATGAGGTCATGGATTTAATGTTCATCTTATGTACATTTTATTTTTACAGTATATGGGTTTTGTAACCTCTGAACCTGTTCATTTTTCCATTACATTAAACTTGATATGGAATAGAATGCTCTACATTTCAGAGGCCTTGATATGCTCAGTCTTTTTTTTGGAATTTAAAGGAAGTGCATTTCAGATAGCACTTGTAGTGATGTTTTTTATACAGTTACTGATTGTTTATTTGAAATTTATAACATTGAGGCACTGGGATTTTATCAAAATGAAGTGATGTAATCCTGTCATGACTTAAGAATGAAAACTTTCAATAAAACTGTACTGCAAAGGATTTGTTATACTTTCGTTTGTCATGAGTTTTTGATATATTGTATTTATCTTTTGATTTATATGTATGTGTGTGTATGTATTAAAGTTATAATGTTATATATATATATATATATACATATAAATTTATTTATTTATTTATTTTATATTTATTTTATTTATATATATAAGAGAGGGACACTCACAAGTGTTTTACACGGAACACTGACATTTCAGGCGATAAATAAGTACCTCCTGTCCCCCAGGAACGACATCTGATTTGTTGGAATCGAAGCTATAACAACATGTTACAATAGTGGTCTTCAAATGAGATAGCCTCTTGGCCGGGTGGTCGAATAATCGATCAATGATCAAGAATTGCAGATGGTGATCCATCAAGCAGGCTTAGATTCACTTGAGTCTTTTGTTGCAAGTGCTCCTCCCCACCCCCCTTTTCCTGTGTTACTCCGCTGTGGCGGAAGTTAGTCGTATCAGTAAGGCCTCGTCCTTCCAATGGCGACTGCACACAAGCTGAATGGAAAGCGGGAGCAACTCGGTGGGGCACAAGCCATTGTAAGCTAATTAAATAAAAAACATAACTTCTTCTATAGTGATAAAGTTGGACTGTACATATTTCGCCTCTCCACATCACGGTCGACTCAATGGCCCAAAGTCGGAACATGTCGCTGCTTGAGTCGGGTAAGACGCTAAGGGAACATAATTGATGGCCTTCTGCATTATTCGGCTCTTACAACATTATTTGCACTATTTGGAGCACGGATTTCTATTCATAGTCAATGTACTGTTAATTTTCAGAGCTCTATTACCTGATAACTCGTTTTTTGACCACGGGTCCATGTCGGAAAGCGGCGGAGGTAAGATGGTGTGCTTTGACTGGCGTTAAGGTTTTTCATAAAGGAGTTGCTTAAGATTGTTAATGCTATTGTGAAGACAAAAAATAGTGAATATGTATCATCTCTTTCAACCCACCGTAGGTTCTTGTGAGCGAGATTGAGGAGTACCAGGTCTGTATTACCGAAGCTATGCTACTTGTTTACTGCTAGATGCTAACCGTTAGTCCTGACTGAGGTTGGGCACAAACATTGCATGAATAAATCCACCGGTATCCGATGTAGCAGTGTCACTTGTTTGACATAAACCTCTTTGATGTGCCCAATATGTGGATTCTTATGTTGACGTGGTCTCTCCATTGTACTAAACTGTTTTGGACAGCTGTTACCCGGGAGGCTGGATTGGCTGGGAAACGAACATCCAAGAACATATGAAGATGTGGTAAGATAGACCTTGATAACTGTTCATTGTTGACACCTGTTATAGCCGTCTTAATTAATTCTGTCCCCGGTTTCGGCTTGTTTACGCTCTTACGTCTTCCATTCTTAATATGTGTTACATTTCCTTGAGTCTTAAGCTCTTCAAGGTCAAAATATATATATATTCCCTTTTCAAATGTTATATCTACTTGTGTTATGGTCGCTCATAATTCAGTGGAAGGCCGAATGCGTCCTTGTTAAGGATCACTCACTAATATTTTGGAGAGAGTATGTGTTGTTCGGCTTTTTCTGTGTTCGGATGTGTTCAGTAGCCAATCAGAAGCTGAATTGCAACATTTCTGCGCTATTTTGCCTGTAGCTTGTGCTGTGATTGGGCAGCAAAAAAACAAAACAAAACGATTTGCATAGGAAGCAACGCCTCTTAGTACAGGAAGAGCAAGGTTGAACATGAATACAACCTCACACTGTTGAGTGCACAGGCAAGTGGTGGATTGTAGTTTGTCTAATAGATAAAAAAATAATGATCAGGGATGTGATTTGTACTATTTTAAGTGGAAATAGGCAGCGTATATTAATCATGATAACAGACATTTAGTTTAATGTCCTAACATGACACAGTTTGTCCTGTTCATTATTGTGGCTGCTGTAGTGAACATCTACTCGGAAATTTTAGCTATCACTTAAAGACTTGAGGTCCTTACACACCGGGACCGTTTTTGTCGAGGGATTATTTCGGACGTCAATATTTTTTTTTTCGAACCCGCATCCTGTCAATACAAGCATTCAGATCAGCAACGTTTTCCCGTTCTGCAATATTGCGGCATTTATTTTTTAGGATCATGTTTTATATACTGTGTGGCCACTTCTGACCAATCAGATTGCATGTTGTTGCGACGTCAGATTCACTGGTATATCCAACATGGCCGACTGGCTGATTGTTTATGATTGTTTACACAAACATTACAAAGATAACGACCTGAAGGGCAACTTGTGGAGAGTCATAGCGTCGGATTTCTGATATGACGATGTTTTGTGTGCTTTTACAGTTTGCTTAACGTCTTTGTTTTAACTTTCATCTGTGCTAGCGTGAGCTAAAGGTTGTTACATTAGTTTCATGTGCTTATCTGGTACTGGCCCGACTCAGTACATGCTATCATGACAGAAAGCCATCTCAACACTAGTGTCTAGTGTCTAGTTCTCTGCCTCTTCAAACTTGGAGCTAACTGTTTCAGCAGAACTTCAAATTGTCCAACGGACATCCGAAAATAGGTTCTGAAGCGACCGTGGTACAGTTTCAGCTCCTGAACCAAGCAGTGAAACTCACCAAGTTCTCTTCTTTTTTGTAATATTGGATGCACCCATGTGCTACATTTCTTTTTCTTTTGAGAAAGCAAAAGGAGCACCAATTCGCCATCACTTGAAGTCAAAGTAGACTCCATTTTTGTCCTCTCACTTCCAGCCGGGACGCTGTAGGTTGTTAAGGGAAGGTCCCACCCTCCTTCGTCGCTGATTGGCTATAAGTGCTGACCATTTGGCTTGAGCGTGTGATGACGTTTCCAGCTTTTCTAGCCAATCAGAGGCAAAGGAGGCGGTACTTTCCTTCAGAAAAGTCTTCCCTGGGATGCGTCTTTTCCCCCCCAGAAAGTCGCAAAATCGTATCGGGCTTGATGTGTATAGTCAGGCTTGTCAAAATTCGCCCTGGATATTTCATGATTTCGCGTTCTATATTTGTGTCGGCCCTGGTGTGTAAGAACCTTTATTGGCCAATGAGGATTCACCCACATGGGTTATGCAATAATAGAGTCTATGTGTTTGTGTCAGAACTGAAAACAAGAAGTTAGGGAGCGCTAATGAGAAAGCTGCGAGCGCAACTGCAAATCTGGCAGCGAGAGCACAAGTTTTTTTCTTAGAAAGAAAAATGGAACAAGTGACTTTGGAAACTAAGTGTCAGTCATATAATACAATATCTTTGAAACTATATGCTGTCAGAATCAGATTCAGCTTTGTTGGTCGTTGAGTGGTGTGAATGGGGCTGTTGAAGGGTGTGAAAACCTCTTCTTGTGTATTAGCCTGTCTCCTGGTCATTCCTCCACATTGTTTACACAGTGTTGAAGGTCATTAAACCCTCTGGCAATGGTGCGTATGGATGTGTCACCCTGGGAGACCTGCCCTACCCAAGTAACTTCTGTGGGCTGCGGACAGCACCTCATGCTACCACCAGTGGCGATGGCACTGGAAAAATGCTAAACTTGCTAGGAAACAGCCAGAAAGCTTTCAGAGAGGGAAATGTTCTGTGGCCCCCTCCTTTAACACCACTCCATAATGGGGTTGTCTTGCTAATTGCCTCTCCTATCCACCTGTTGTCACTTTCATTCTTGCTCCCTAAGTGGACCGGTCAATATTAGGAAAAGTGATAGACTTGGTAGTAGCACTGTGATGATTATATGTTCTCTTGTTCTCAGTTTTTTCAATGCTCATGATCCATCATAAGACCTGATCAGCTGTTTTAGGAGTGAACTGTATTCACTGTCATACCAACACTTTTTCTCTATTTATTGACTTCTTTCTGACAGGTTGCAGCTACCAGACATGTTGCGCCAGATCATTTGCTACAGATTTGTAGGCAGATTGGACCAATTCTTGATAAAGAGGTGCCATCTTGTGTCCCAGGTGTGCACTCTCTCCTTGGGTCAGGAAAGCAGTCAATGCTCCGCACTGCAAAAGGTACAGTCTTTAAGTGTTTCTATGCTTTCTGTTTTTTTTTTCTGTTTGATAATTTAAAATTGTACAAAGGCTTAGAAACATTGTCTTTTTGTTCACATTTACCTTTCATGTGAAACTTCCAGTTGGTAATCAGCTGACCCCTTTGTTGATTTATTTTCAGACTGCAACAATGTGAGGTTAAGGGCTTCGTCATATGCAGCCCTTCATCGAGGCAGACCACCAGAGAGGCCTTTAAACTGCAAAAAAAATCCTCATCTAGGTAGGTCTGACATAATGGGAATGTGTTGCTACTGTACCTACTCTGGTATTGCTTGGCATTGTTGGAAGTAGGGCTGCATGATATGCATGGGATATTAGTTATATATCCTGAAGACATCATGCCGTCACCACTAGCTTGTTGTCTGGGATAAATCTAGGATAAATGTCCTTCCGAAATCTTGAATCCAGTCCACCATTTAAACACAGAGAAACTGAGCAGGTAGGGTCTGTATGTGTCATATGAGTATAGAGTTTAAATATGCATGTGCGTTGCAACATGGTTACTATCATCGATACCAAAAAAATTCTTGATAGCGCAAGATGGATAAGATAATTTTGTCCAGCCTATCCAGGTGCTGATGTGTTGTGGGCACATCAACATATCTTAAAATTAACGGGACTACTTCGTTCACTTTAAGCATCAACACTTGCAGGACATTTGGTTCTTGGTGGTGATGTCAAAAATTGCAAGTGGCTGCAAGTTTTCGTTTCAATTAGAGGAATCATCACAGGAATCATCATGAAAGAAATGATTGATTGTGTCAGTATATCACCTGTGCATATGAGTAAAGAGTACTCAGCAACATGTTGCTCTCTCTGCACTCTCCTTTACTCTTTTGTCTCTCCAGCATGCTGTTAAAGCTGCTGTCAGAAGGCTGGATGCTGCCTGACATCAGTAGGAGGGAGAGTCGATGTGATGTGATTTTTTTTTTCTCTACAAATAAGGGCCCACCAGCTCTCCAACACCAAAGTTTGACATTTTGTTGCTCTGCCACAGCAAAACCAAATGCAGTCTCAGCTGTTCTTAATGCCAATAATATTGACCATTAGTTACTTCATGTATGGGTTCTCCACTTGAATAATATACCTCTATACATTTCTCCGATTCAGAACTATCTCTGTCTGCTGCTTATACTGATGCATACATTTTTTGTCAAGGTCCAATAGGTCTCAGTTTTGTAGGTTAGTGTTTTTATAAATTGAATGTCTTCCAGCAACGGTTATACCTTTGCTTATATTAACACTTTAAAAATGTGTGCCCTCATAGTTTTTGCAGCCATCCCTTAATAACAGTGATTTGTATCGTTTTGTCTACAGTGAAGGTCCACCGAGGCAGAGAGCTGACAGGAGTACAACACTTCAACTCCATCAATCCTGTCTGCAATTATGAGCACATGCGGCTGCACAGGCGCATCCTGGGGCATTTGTCCGCAGTGTATTGTATTGCATTTGATCGCACCGGTCTCAGGATCTTCACAGTAAGAGGATTTGTCCGCATTTCCTGCTTGAAAAAAACTCTTGTTTGTTTCGCAGTGTTACTTGTCTTGGACTCAAGACATTTCAGGTTATCACATAGTAACACTTATTTTCTGTGTCAGGGTTCAGATGACTGTTTGGTGAAGATATGGTCTTCTTTTGATGGAAGGCTTCATTCAACACTGCGAGGACACTCTGCAGAGATCACAGACTTGGCAGTGAATTATGAAAACACACTGATTGCAGCAGGAAGCTGTGACAAGACCATCCGTGTATGGTGCCTTCGTACCTGTGCCCCCGTGGCTGTGCTGCAGGGGCACAGTGGATCCATTACCTCCCTACAGGTAAAGTCCAACAAATAACCCTCAACTTAAAACCAGTGTTTTCAGTGTAGTGGTGATGGTGTTTTAATGGCTACTTTATTGTTCTAGTTCTCACCTTACGCAAAGGGCTCAAAACGTTATATGCTATCAACTGGAACTGATGCTACAGTCTGCTTCTGGCAGTGGGATGTCAACAACATCAACTTTAGGTGAGTGAGTGTGCTGAAGAGACACAGCTTACAGTAGTCACAGAGACTAGCCAAAGAAGAACTACTGCTGTGATAGTCCTACAGCTCTGAGTGTGATGATGAAAAGGAACAGATCCTCAGATGACACCGGGAGATATATAGCTTAGTTTGGGTCTCCAGGGTTACACATGCTGGTAGGTATAGCTAAAGCTATGGATGGTTTTGCTACTCAACCGGCACAGACTCTGGCATTCAGGAAGGATGAAATGCAGCCACCGAGTTACAAGGATTTCCTCGAAGAATTTTTGAAGCTGTGGGGAAGGGCTTTGTCATTTTCACAAACTTGAGCAAAATACTTGTTAAACTTGTCTTAGGTACCTTCCTCTCATACTTTTCTCTCTCCCTTTATTCCCCACTGTCGCCTCCTTGCAGAGCAGTGTCACATTTGATGAGTACAATTCTACACTGTTGTTGTGGTCCATAAATGTGCACAAACATAGACTTTATGTTCATATGGATCCATGAAGACAATATCATTCACATTTGAAACGTGGGGAAAGAAGACCATAATTCCGTGGGCATGGTGGCTTTTATTTTGGCAGGGCAGCATGTTATGATCATTTACATGTAGCGGAAACCCTGGTTACCATGTCTGGTCTTTTCCTTTCAGATTAAAAATTGTCTCAGTAGAGCTCTGCTCTTGGTCCTTTAATTTCTCGTGCAGATGAGAAATTAAAGTTTGACAAAAAAAAACAAAAAAAAAAAAAGAAACCTGTGAAACATTTATATCACTGCTGCCTACTGACAAGCCTTCCAAAAGTGTGTTTGGATGACATACACAGCCTTGCAGGGACCAATGTGTAGTACACCTATCCTGAGTGATTCTGATGGTCTTAAGGGAGAGCAACACGAATGGAACTTAAATGTAATATAAACTTCAAGAGGTCTTTTTGTCAGTCCCCCCTAAACTTCAGGATAAGTACGATGGATGTGAACAGGCACTGATGTTTACTGTTTGATGAACAACGAAAAACTTAAGTTTGTCAGTTTTATTGATAGCAAATGAAATTTTGGAAACATATCTGAGTTAAAACAGTTGCTGTAATGAAGTTAAAATACCCTTAACTATGGGTTTAACTTAATGCACAATTTTTTTTAAAGGGTGCATCAACAAGTAAAACTAGGTATAGAAAGCATAATATTGCTAAATGTTGCAGTGTCTAAAAGTATGTGCAATCAAATTCAGGTTTAAATTGTGGAGTGCAAGGGAGTGAAAATGTCTGTGCCTGACTTTCCTGTCAAGTAAACATGGGTACTCCTGTATTGTTTGTGTTTATTAACCATTTACTTCTTTCCTTTAGTGATCGGCCTCACAAATATACAGAGCGGCCAAGGCCAGGAGTTCAGACAGTGTGTTCCTCTTTCAGTCCAGGTAATGCATTTTATATTAACACTGTTTTTGTTAAGCTCTCTGTCTATCTGTCTGACTGTTAAGCAGACATCAAATTATTTGGACTAACGTTTCTTTATTTCTGGGTTTTCAGGGGGGATGTTCTTGGCAACCGGAAGTACTGATGATGTCATCAGAATATACTACTTGGGAAGCGGGAGTCCAGAAAAAGTATCCGAGCTTCATGAACACACAGTAAGAGCATTCTCAAGAGCTGACCTTTTTGCTTGAACAGGAAGAATAACAAGTCGGACTATGTTGAATGTATGAAATAATTGTGGTCCATATATCTGTCCTCTGTCTAGGACAAAGTTGATAGCATCCAGTTCTGTCACTCAGGGGAAAGGTAAAGTGAATGTATTGTACATAAAATTCATTTTATATACCATTAAGACTGACTTAAATATCATAGCATAAAAACATGTTGATTGCTGCCAAAGGTTTGTGAGTGGAAGTCGAGATGGGACTGCACGGATCTGGAAGCTCCATCAGCGGCAGCAATGGAGGAGTATCTTGCTCAACATGTCTGCAACTCTTCCAGGGTCAGTAGCTCTATTCTGTGTCACACCAGTATTAGTGTGGCCACATATATCAATGTATTTTTCTGGACAGTGTTTTAATAGTCAAACTTGGCATTGCTGTGAATATCCTAGTTACTCTTATTAGCTCAACTGTCAAAGTGTTATTAATCTTACAACTAGCATTAAAAAACCAAAGTAATTAACATCTTGATAGCCATCTGGTTTAGAATTATCATTAGGTAAAGTATTTCATGTTGTTCTGTGTGTTAAGATAGCATCAGAGTTTTTACAGGTGCATCTCAACAAATTAGAATGTTGACAATAACTTTATTTATAGTTTAATTCTAAAATGTATACTTTTTTATTCTTTGTATATAGTAAAATATTTCAGACATCTTTCGTTTTGGATGAGTATGTGTTGTGTTTGGAAAAGAAGACTCTTAGGATGGTTTCCAATCCAAAAAGGACTTAAAATCAAGAAATATTCAGCTTCTGGGAAATATCACCACACTTGAGCATGAATCACTGTTTGAACTTCGCTCATTAATTTCATTTAATTTCTTTGATAGTGTCAGAAAGGTACAGTCTAGATATATCATTATAGAGCTGTTTTGAGCTCTTTTTAAAGTTTAGGCCCTGTCCCTCTAATGTCCCCTGGTTATCCCTGTTATCAAGCATAGTAATTTCATGGTCGTGGCATAATAAGCAGGTGCAAAGTCCTGCTGTGAAAGGAAGTTGTCAATTCAGTAGTCCCTTTGATTGTGTTAGCATGTACTAAGACTAAGAGAACCAAGGATGTCTGAACAGTTACATAATCAATGTAGAAATTCAGTATTCCGATATTTGAGATGTTTTTTAGAAGTTTAATTCAACTGGAGGCTTTAAAAAATATAAAAAGAAATGCTTTAGAGGATTCAAATCCTTTTCTTTCCAAAATTACTGATAAAAAGTGAAGAATTTCTCATAATGTTCTTATTTGTTGAGATGCATCCATTAGTATATATATATTTTTTTGTATAGCTGAGAGGATCACATAAATGTTACAAGATGCATTGTTTGCTATGTGAGATAGGTGGTTAAATGAACAGAATGCTGCATTTTCTTTGCAAATGTGAAGCTGTTAACTTAATTATCACCTTCATCTAAATGGAAGAGTGACTCATGATACAACAAATAAAGAATAGAATGCAGCAATATGCATGTCACAACAGGACAAGGAAATTTTGCAGAAATCTGCATCGGCCAAGTTCAATAATGAATTAAAAATGCCACTGCTGCTTCAGTGAAAAATATAATGTTGGTTGTGCTATCCTAATTTTTTTTTATTGTATACACCTTTTTTATTAGTGCTGAACCAACAAGTGATGAGGACACCTATTTTAAACCCAAAGTCACCATGGTAGCGTGGGATCGCCATGACAACACAGTCATCACAGCTGTCAACAATCATCTCCTCAAAGTGTGGAACTCGAGCACAGGACAACTGCTACATATCCTCAAAGTAATTTTGCATCTTTGGTTTCTCTTTCTAAAGACACAGTACACACCCCCGTTCAGTTTCAGAAATCAACATCTTTAAAAACCAGAGAACCTAAAACCTAAAATTGTTTTCAGGGCCATGAGGCTGAGGTGTTTGTCCTGGAGCCCCATCCTTTTGACTCCAGGATCATCCTCTCTGCTGGTCATGATGGGAACATCTTCATATGGGATCTGCTGCGAGGAGAGAACACACAGCATTACTTCAACATGGTACAATGACACTCTTAAAATGTTGCAAGCACCAAATGGGAAGATTTTAAGATTAGATTAGATAGAACTTTATTGATCCTTTTGGGAAGGTTTCCTCTGGGAAATTAAAATTCCAGCGGCATCAGCACAGGAAAAAAAAAAACATAATGGTCAAATAAGAGAGAAATAAAAATGATATAATATTCTGCAGAGTGAATTTAAAAAAGATTATAATAAAAACAATAAATGAGTTTGATTCACCTCTAGAGCACCAAGAAATAAAAGTTCATATGTTTGTGTCGATAATGACTTTACTCTTGGGGATAAATGAAGTTTTTCTATTGTATTGCAACAGGAGTTCTCAGGCCTCACACAAAGTGTCTTTTTTTACACTACATCAGTCCCTCTTTACTTCTGAATGTACTTCTTTTTCTTTTACAGTTCTTTTTTTAAGAACTAAAGGTGTTACCAGCTGTCTAATTTGAAAATTTCCCGCCTGGTTGTTGAATGCAATTCTGAGCCAGAAGTCCTGCATTAACTGAAAATAAAATCATGAGCACCTGCTTAAAATGACATTTTGAAATACTGTTTGTAGTGTATCTACCTACCCTGATTCTGGACCTGAAATGTTTTTGTTGTTCCCCTATCTAGATCGAAGGCCAGGGTCATGGAGCTGTTTTTGACTGCAAATTCACCCCTGATGGACAGCGGTTTGCCTGCACAGATTCCCATGGCCATCTGCTCATCTTTGGTTTTGGCAGTTCGAAGCCCTATGAGAAGGTTAGGATAAACTCCACCTGCACATTGTTCATGTGTATTTTTTTTCCAACATGATAGACAATAAAATATTTTGGAACTACTGTAGTGATTGAATCTTAGATCTCTCTGTCTACAATCCACTGGAGAATCTAAATGTCATTACTGGCATCATAAATAGGTATAAGCAGAAAAAAATCCTTAACGCATGAATATAACAAAAGCAAGAAAGTGACGTCATATACTAATCTCAAACTCTACTTTTTCCTTGTTGCCACACAGCTCCCAGATCAGGTGTTCTTCCACACAGACTACCGACCACTGATCCGGGACTCAAATGGCTTTGTACTGGATGAACAGACCCAGCAGGCCCCCCATCTTATGCCACCACCCTTCTTGGTGGATGTGGATGGAAACCCTCATCCGCCAAGGTCTGCCTTTATATATGCTTGAATATTTTATTTGTTTCCTTCAAAGCCTGCAGTTATGGTTTAAAAGACGCAAGATCTAAGTCCAATATTTTTTATGTTGACATTGTAACTCTTCTCAGACATGCTCAAAGTTCTTACTTTCTGAAATTACCAGGTAGAGCTGTATTTATGGCCACCAGCAGCTGTCTAGATGTCTAGTTTGTTAAAAATGATACTGTAGCATAAATCAATAGCAGAGGTGGTAAATTTGCACCATTTATAAGTTTTTAGGTCATGAATAGGGATTAGAGAACTGTGAGAATGAAGCAAGCATTTGTTGGTACTTTTAAGGGCTGCAGGATCTGTTTATGATGTATGTTTGTGTGCATTGCAGGATGTACAATATCAGTCATGTCCTGTAGACATCATGCTGTCACCACTTTCTTGTTGTCCAGGTTTTTAATATCTAATAGGTGTCTGAAATCTCTTTTATTCGCTGAGCAGGCTATGTTTGTATCTGTGTCACAAGACCATTGATTTCGAATATGCACGTGCATTGCAACACAGATCACAGATACCCAGGAAATACTTGTTTAAGCGAAACAGTATTCTCCCACTCCCATTAATGTTGGGGAATGTTGAAGATCACTGTAAGTTTTTACTGATCTAAAGGAACTCTCACAGGGCAAGCCTGTAAAATAAAGAGAATGACATGTAAGTGAATTGAAATATGTGAAAGGGTAACATTTAAGGATCTGTAGTTTAATCTTGGCCAGGTTTGCTAAACATCAAACCATGACTGACTCCTGAGATCCCCCATAACCCTCTGTCCAACAGGGAAGACTAAACAATGGTAAAGGGTACCTGTGTGAACATCAGTGTCAGACTATTTAAGGGGTCAGAGCTCCTACAGTCTTCTCGAATTTTTCAAGAACTAGAGTGAATATCTGAAAGTAGCGAGTCATGTAACTTTCCATCCTCTGTTTCACTTTTTGTCTAATGTGAGTAAATAGTGGCAACATCTGTTGTTTGACCTTGTAATTCTTGTTGAAAACAAAAAAAGTCATCCAATTACTCAAACTTTCTTTTCATTATTTTTAGGTATCAGCGTCTGGTCCCAGGGCGGGAGAACATTTCTGCTGAACACCTGGTTCCACAGCTTGGCTATGTAGCCACAAGTAAGAAAAGAACTAAATACACAGCAACACCATATCTTAACCAAAAATACACTCAAGTTTAAAATATACTCAATGGGCTAAATCACCTCAGAACACTTACACAGTAGAGCTGCCTATCTCTGGAGGGTGGGGGACCCATCTTTACGGCGGTGTGTAATCGATTGTAATTAATCAGCTGTGTTGTCACTGACAACAACCACCCTACCTACCCAGCTACTGTTGTTTTAGTCTACACACAACACTTTTTTTTCATTCATGACACACATTTCCAGGGACACCTTTAGCCAGGGATATGACATTCAAAACGGGGACTGTCCCTGGAAATCAGGGACGTGTGGCCATCCTATAATAGAGCCCACTGCTACGTTTCTCTGATGAAAGCAGTTTACAGGAGAACACACAGCAGGACTGTGAGTTTTGTTTGGAGGAAGAAAGGGCGTCGAGTATACTGGAGCTCATATCTTAGACAACATGAACTTCTTTTCTCAATTTTTTTTTTTTTTTTTTTACATTTTTCTAATGTTAAAATATATTTATTCACATCCAAACATCAATTTTTAAAAAATATTCTCACATGAATCTGACAGCCCCACTCAAAAGTGTCTTTTCTGCAACGGAAAGTCAATTTATTGTTGATAATTCAATAAGCTCATTGATTTAGTATCAATAACATCCTACTCTTGCTCTTCCTGTTTGATTACAGGTGATGGAGAGGTGGTTGAGCAGGTGATCAGCCAGCCGACAGCAGAGCACGATGAGGTTGCAATAAGACGTGTCAGCCTCCTAGATGAGGCCATACGTCATCTACAGCAGCAACAGGACCGGCAGAACCAGCCTGCATCAGAGGCTGCACCAAGCGCCAGAACAGGACCAGAGGTCCAAGCTGAGGCACAGAGTCCAGCTGTTGCACCAACGTTGAGCACACTGCGCAGAGGTTTGAAAACATATTATCTATATAACCTCATAATTGTTCAATGCTTGAAGTGTTTTTTTAAAAGCTGATAGATTGAACAAACAAATCAGTAATTCACTAAACAGTAACATTTTTTGTTTTGCTTTTTGGTAGTGTCTGTGAATGAACTGGCTGATGTGCAGTCACCTCCCAATGTGGGTCTGCGCCGCAGCGGACAGGTGGAGGGTGTCCGGCAGATGCACCAGAATGCCCCTCGGAGCCAGATTGCCACGGAAAGAGACCTGCAGGCCTGGAGGCGCAGGGTGGTTGTGCCTGAACTGGCAACCAGCAGCTACAGGTAAACCCCTGTTGTCTGTCCCATTTGCTAAAATTTAAGGGAAATTGATTCACAACCAATCTTGCTTCATAATTAGACAGGCTGATATACCAGAATACATAATCATCACAGTGTATTACTCTGACAGCCCAAGAGATTCAGTATTTCTTCATTTTTTTCCGTTTCCCTTGATTTTCTTAACACTGAGGAATTTGACTTTTAGGGACCAGGAGGACCGTCGAGCAGCTAAAGGAGAGGAGGAGATCACCTTGTACATAACAAAGAAGAGACGCATTATCAGCAGCAGCTGTCGAGTATGTATCTGTGTATATGCAAAAATGTTAAATGGCAACTAGTTTCTGTATCCCCTGTTTGTACTTTAAAATCTGCGCCCTAATTGCTCAGCAGAATGAATGTGACACCATAGGTTTCTTCTTACTGTGCAGTTAAGGGTTGCATTTTAACCACAATAAGCAAGGATAAAAACTCTCCCACTAATCTGCTGAAGAAACTGTTGCACTGGTATTGAGTGTGTGTACTTTTTCAGGATGATTCCGATGATGAGCCTTCAAACACGAAGCAATCACGCAGTCGAAGTGACAAGCTGGAATTCATAGACTCCTCATGTGAAGAGGGAGAGGAGACTGCAAGCTCAGAGGTACACACTGTATGTCACACTCCTCTCTTTTCTTCGTCTGTGTTATGTCATTTACAGACACTTGTGGGGTTTTGTTTGAGATTTAATCCTTTTCTTAACTTTCTATTCAGGACAATGAATTTGATGGGAGTGATCTGGATTCCTCCAATGATGAGGAGTGGAACAGCGACAGCTCAAGGTGTGTTTTGATGGGTTTGGATACAATTTGTGTGCCGTGTAACAGATTAATGGGTTTCTCTAGATAATGAAAGCATCTTGGCCATTTTTTTGTCTTGTCTAAGTTGGTGATCCCCACCCACTTAAAATGTAAACTGAACTTTTCAAGAGTCTTTTTTTCATGTTCTTTATGCCACTTTAAAGTGTAACCCCATCTGGTTTGATTGTACAGCCACACATCGAGTGAATATTCAGACTGGACAGCAGATGCCGGTATCAACCTACAGCCATCCACCCCTTTGTCATCAAGGAAACGGAGACGGCGCAGGCTCAGCAGTTCTGAAGAGGATGGAGATGAGAAGAATGAGAGAGAGGAGGACAAACAACAGAGTGATGAGGAGAAACCTCTAAAGAATAGAGAAAAGGCAAAGAGAGCAAAGAATAAGGCGCCGAGGGTGAGTTGTTCCACCAATTCCACCTCATCTTCACTGGTGCATATTTGTGCAGACTACTTGAGCTTCTCTTCCTGGAAATATAGTGACAATTTGTGCAACAGAAATTTTACAACAATATCTCATGTACCTGTTTAATTTTTCTATCCTGGTGTTCAAAATTGGCACCCTAAGGTCCGGCCATCCATCAACAGAGAAGTGTCTAATGAGTTCAGGCCCTCTCCTTGGATCACTGATGTCATTCCCAGGAAGTCTCCTTTTGTACCTCAAATGGGCGATGAGGTACGAATTTCTTTTATTGAGAGAGGCGCCAGAAAAGTCAGGATTAGTTGGTTCTTTCTAAGCTGTATTAACCCTTTAAAGGAACAGAACAACATTATTACAGTATAAAGTCCCTGAATCATTTATGTAAGAGAAAACAGGTGACACTGCTGTTTAATATATAGCTTAACGGCTTTAGGGGGAAGAGTTATAGTTAATCTTTGAAGTTTAGTTCAATACGATGATCATCATTCTTCGACAAGTTGTTCTAAAAGCTTTGGGTATCCCTCTGTTTTACAGGTGATCTACTTCCGGCAGGGACATGAGGCTTATGTGGAGGCAGTGAGTCGGAGTGAACTATACCCAATCAATTTAGACAAACAACCCTGGAAGAAAATGGAGCTGCGGGTAAGACACAACTCAAAACAATCTCCTGTCCTTTCATCGAAGTCTGTGATTCCTGCAGAATAGCACTTTAACTGTGTGGGTGGGGAATGGATAGATGCTTTTTGATCCCAATTTTAGACATCTAGTAGCACACAATGTAAAAGACAAATAAAAAAGAAAAAACACCTGCCCTGCCTATAAGTACAAGTTAAGCGTGTGTGCTTTTATGGCAGCTTTGCACATTTGGCATTCTGTCAACCCACTTCATGAGGTTGTCACCAGGGATGGCTTTCCATTAATGGGTGTGTCTGTGTAAAAATAATGGATGAGGGTAGCCTATCCAAGTTTTGTCTGTGTGGCAAACACTAGAAGTCTTGGAAAATCTGTGAAATTCAGTTATTTTCATGAAAGAGAAAACAATGGCTACAAAATGTAAATATTCTTTATTTGTGCAGCCCTTTACAACAACCCTTTTGGTGAACCAAAGTGTTTTACCATCCATAGTAAATAAAAATTAATAAATAAAAAACAATAAAAAGCTATGAAAACAATAAAAGCAATTGAAAAAAAAAACTCACTTTATCATAAACCAGCAGCGACGACACTTTATGAAAACAAAGCGACAAAAACAGGACAATACACAGCAGAGGCAGCAGAGACAGACGACCAGCCACACACAACGGCACCATCTTAAAATCACTGGTACAAAAGTCTCTTTAAATGTGGAACACAATTAAAATAAATTGTATTTTTTTTTTTTTATATTGTCCAGGACCAAGAGTTTGTGAAGGTAACTGGGATCAAATATGAAGTCTGCCCTCCAACACTTTGCTGTCTGAAGCTGACGCTTATCGACCCTGGTACTAGACAAATCACGGACAAGTCGTTTTCCATCAAGTAAGCAGACTTGTTTAATTTACTAGTCCCTTATTTAGCAAATTGTTCATGTTTACCTTTGTTCTTAATTCTGTAAGCAACCCATCGAGAAGATGATATATGACTGAGTCTAAAGATTTTCATCAGGAATGCTCTCATTTTAGTATTTGGTTGCTATCATTGATAAAGTGATCCTCATTTGGCTTCGTCATACTGGCTTATTGATAATTATTGAAGATTATCTTTATGTCATTTAGTTACTCTCATTTTCATCAAGACAAATTTCAATGATCATTGTAAATCCTCTAATAGTTTTTTTTCTGATTTCGTTCACAGGTATCATGACATGCCAGATGTGATAGATTTTCTTGTGTTGAGACAAAGTTATGATGAGGCACTCCGTAGAAACTGGCAACCAAGTAAGTTTGACACATGGTTAGAGCTCAAATAATACTGGGATTGTTGTTAAAGTCATTTACACATAGAGGGGATTCCCAGTTATAACTGCATTACTTTTTAAATATTTTGTTTAACTGAAGCTCTTATTGCTGGAAATATATTCCAATTAATTATATCCCAATTACAGATGACAGGTTTCGCTCAGTGATAGATGACGCCTGGTGGTTTGGGACCATCGACTGTCAGGAGCCATACCAGCCAGAGTACCCTGATAGTCTCTTCCAGTGCTTCAAAGTGAGGTAGGAAACACACAATGAGGCTGTATAGAGCCAGTACTAGTGATATTTCCTGACTGATCTGATCACAGGTAGACAGCTCTGAATAGACTTTGTAAAACATCAAATAAAAAAGGGACATAGATTCATAGCATAGAAGGTGAGGGCTGCACAGATGGAGGAAATGTCAGTTTGATGTTTGATGTTTGCCTCATTTGCCACCATAACAGCCATTAGCTCCACGTCAAAACCTTAACTTATTTTCTGGACGTGTTAGAGATCACATAAAATTTCATGTTATAAAGTGATACTGATCCTTACTTTTATATTTATGACTGGTAGCAATACAGACTTAACTATGTCGCCTTAATTGAATTTCCGTTAATCCTACCTCATTTACTTAAGATTTAATGAGTCAGATAATTCACAAATACTCTGATTATTAAAAAGTATATCTTGTTTTCCGTTTTAATTTTCATATGAACTCTCTGATTTAAATTCTAATAACCAGTTTCTTCCATATTTCACCAGATGGGACAACGGTGAGCTAGAGAAACTGGGTCCTTGGGATGTGGAACCAATTCCCGATGATGGTAGTTCAAACTTTTCACTTTCCGATCAATGTGTATTCAAAAATAGCCACTGGTGTCTGTTCACATAACAGTGTCAATGGGTTTCATTACATTTTGAGGTCTCTGCTCTGCAGCTCAGCATCCAGATACTGAAGGCGGTGGTATACCCGTCACACCAGATGAGATGAGTGAGCTGATGTACAAACCTCTACCGGGCGAGTGGGGGGAGAGGAGCAGAGATGAGGAATGTGAGCGTATCATTGCTGGCATAGATCAGCTCATCACTGTTGGTAAATGTCTATCAATATATAATATTATATATATATATTATTTACGTCCTTTTTATCTCTCTCTTGTTTACTCACACTGTCACATTCAGTCATTTCACTCCAGGGACACCAAAGGTCCTTGTAACTATGGAAGAACTTCCTCTCTGTGACACTAACATATCTTACCCCTTGTTTTCTGCAACAGAGATCGCAGCACCCTTCTCCGGTCCTGTAGACTTGATACAGTATCCCACTTACTGCACTGTAATTGCTTATCCCACCGACCTGGGCACCATCCGATTTCGTCTCCTGAACAGATTCTACAGGTCAGTCACACACCTTTTCCACCTGATGCGTATTTATGCTCTTCTCAATGTTTGACTCGGTCCATAAAATGTTGTTTTATGGTAAAATTCCAACTCTGGTGATTTACAGGCGGCTCTCAGCATTAATTTGGGATACCAGGTATATTGCACACAACGCCCGCACTTTCAACGAGCCAAGCAGCAAGATTGCCCACTCTGCAAAAATCATCACAAATGTCCTCCTCAAGTTCATCAAGTACGTCTTAATGCTTGACTGTCATATTTAAAGCAACATAATAGCACATAATGACTTTGCCCGCACATTATATTAACATGTTCTTCCTCTTTTTTCAGTAACCGGGGCTGCACAGATATCATGGAGATTTACAATACTGTTGAAGAAATGGATGATGACGATGAGGTGAGTCAAGATAAACTGAAGCTTTGTCCATTTGGAAACTGCTTGTTTAAGTCAGCATGTACTGTTTTCAGCTGACTGCATGTGTGTATGTTTGATGGACAAGTAAACCGAATAATTACCAGAAAATAATGGTGCCAAGAAACATTGTCAACTGATTGTTGTTGGGAAATTACTTTTCTATTTTTAGTTGCAATCAGTTACAAATTTTAATACATAATGCCATTCAGTTTACGAAATTCACATACTATGTTTCCTGCAGGAAGATGAGACAGAAGTACCAGGTACATCCTCTGGACAAAGGCTGCGCCAGGTAAATTATATGGATAACTTCAAATGAAGAAGTGTGATTGTGTACTGTACTAATTCTTCACATAGGGCCTGTTTTGTTTGTCTGATATTCAGATTTGTTTGATCCATAACGTCTAAGTGTGACAAAAAGCAAATTTGGAAGAATTTTGTAAGGGCGCTAAAAACTAATAAAACAGAACAGAGTTCTTTGTGTCAGGTTGATCTGATCTTTCTCCTCTTGATATTTGCAGCGCTCAGAGGTTGTGCCTGACCGTGACTCCTGGAAGGAGCAGTGCAAAAATCTGCTCAACTACATATTTGACTGTGAGGACTCGGAACCTTTCAGACAGCCTGTTGATCCTCTCAACTATCCTGTAGGTTGAAACAAAACACTGAGACCATGCTGTTAGCTAAATAAAATCACAGTCATATTTTCCAAGTTAGGGATGGGAATCGAGAACCGGTTCTTGTCAAGAACTGGTTTCAAATGGTTCAATCCATCAACATCATTGACATTTTATCTTGACGATTCCCTTAACGATTCCTTTCTTCCGGGTGCCTTTGAAAATGGTTTCGCAAATGCCAGTCTACGCGAACGAGAACAGAGTCTTTGAGGGGAAAAAAGGTGGACGGTATGAAAAGTAGGCAGAAACGATCTAAAGCGTGGCTCAAACTTTTGCCCGCTACTCCGCCCCGCGTAGTAGTGTCCTCCTTTTGGGGATCCAGAATATGGTCACCCTAATTCGACTTAATACTTACCACAGTAAATGCTGGACAAATAGTTTGTTGTTTGATTATTTTTTTTAGACTCTCACCGAAGGTGGCATACATCTTTTCTGTAATTTTGAGTTAATGGTGAAAACCTATAGTCTAGTATATTTAAATCAAAGAAAGGCATTGGTAAGGGAATCATTGAAGAATTCAATCGTTAAGCAGAATCGATAATCGATATCAATAAAATCTTATCAATTCCCAACTCTATTCCAAGTTGTGCACTAAGTGTTTGCAAGGAGGTAGTTTATTTCTAATTATTCCTTGTATGTATGTTTAGGACTACCTTGAGATCATTGATACACCAATGGACTTTGGCACAGTCAAAAGGACCCTGGAGTCAGACCGCTATGAAAACCCTGTAGAGCTGTGCAAAGACGCCAGGCTTATTTTTGCCAACGCTAAAGCCTACACTCCAAATAAACGCTCCAAGGTAAGAGATACTATCCAAGTTCATGTAAGAAGTGTGAGATTGACTGCAGTCCTCACCAGGACAGAACTACATTTATTGGTCAGAGGTTTAGGGTTAGGTTAAAATTTTGTCCGATACGTTTTCACTTGAGTAAAATTGCTCATGACTCTTTTTTCTTTTTCTTTCATTTCCAGATTTACAGCATGACTCTGCGGCTTTCTGCTTTCTTTGAGGAGCAAATAAGAACAATCATATCAGAGTACAAAACTGCTGTAAAGAGCAGTGATAGACTTCGCCGCAGTCAGAGGTTCCGCAAGAAAATGCAGCAGCAGGACCAGGCCTTCTCCACAACAAGGTCTGTTTGCACCCTGTATGAATGTGCAGTTTGGGGGTTGTTCTGTCACCATTGATCAGTTATGAGTATGTCTGTTGGCATCTCGTAATAAAATGTTTGTCTGAATGCAGGATTCTGGTTATGACTTTGATTAGGACTCACCGTGGGTGGTTAAATCTGGACAAATCTTGATTAAAACTTGTTTCTTCTTGACAGATTCTGCACTGGAAACAATGATAAAGAGGGGTAAGCAAACATCACATTTTTTTAATTGTTCAGAATGAGAATAGTCATGTTTTTTTAAGTAATATCTTTGGGCATTTTTGCCTTTACTGGGTAGAAAAGCTAAAGAGTGACAGGAAATGTGGGGTGGACATGCAGCAAAGGGTTGAGGTCGGGATTTAAACCAGTGACCACTGCATAGAGGACAATACAAGAACAATACAAGAACTTTACTTATCCCCAAAGTGAAATGAATTTGTCTGGAGTCTCATGTCATCTACTTTTATAAAAGAAATGTATGTGTATAAATCATAGTCTGATTTTGAGGACTTTATAATTTTATTGGTCTAATTTTGTGTGCAAATTCTTTACAAAGATCAAAAGTTTTTGAGTATTAATATCTGTCCAAACTCTTATTCTTTCCTTCAGTCAAAAAAGAGCTGCTTTCAAATCTCAGGAAAAAGTGGAGTTGATGTCAGTGGCCAAATCTACCTCAGCCAAAGCCTTGGTTCCTGATAGAGTCAAAAGGAACCGAAGCAGCAGTTCAGGTCATAGTTCCTCGGATGACTCCAAAGCTGCTTCATCAACACAAGGTAAATGGAAAAAAATGACCATAATTTAAGTTTCCTTATAATAGTTTGACATGACGTAATTTAACTTTATAGTCTTTTCTGATTCCTTTACATTTTTAAACCTGTGCATTCAGGGTGAAGATTTTTACTTTTTTCAGAAGCAATTTATGATTACTCATAAATCTCAAAGCCAAGGTACAAAGATGCACACTGCTAAAGATACAAAAAGCGTGGAGTTTGTGATTCAAGTGTTCCCTTTTTTGAGCAGTGTATAATCTCTACATTGATCACAACCTTTTCTCTGCTGTAAAGTCAAAAGGTTCAGTCTCCTTTAGGAGTGTTTTTTTCCTTAAGGAGAGGGGTCTGCTGCACAGACAGTTTGAAAAATAGCTCCTTTTTTTCTTTCAAAACAGGCTAAAGATGTACATTTTAGACTGTATTCAACACCCCAGGCTGGTTTCCATCAGCATTACAATAGCAGTACAGTACATGAACTTTTTGAGGATGTTGCATTGACTTTTGCCTCTTTGTTTGAGTTTGAATGATGTTACTGAGAATCTCTATAGACAGAGGTAAGATTTAAGTGAAGCAGTGTTGTTTTCATTGATGAAAATATTTTGTCAATGTCCCTTTTTTTTCCACGACAAAGACATGACGTTGACGAGCTAAACATAAGTCTTAGATGACTAAAATGTGACGAGACGAATGTGCGTTCACGTTGACGATACTAGACGAAAACGTTAGTGGTGGACGACGAACAGAGTTGCAAAATTCATGAGCATTTCGTCAGTCAAACGCTAAACATATATTCTGCAGTGTTGTTTTGACAATGACGTTGACGAAAATATTACCAACACTGAAGTGAGGGTACAACAAAGATTCCTATTATTTTGTGTTTCTTTTTTCTTCTTGCAGAGTCTGAATGTGACAGCGAACTGAGTCAAATAGAGGTGAGAAAACAACCGGGTAGCTCAAGGCATCAACACCTCAAGAAAGCAAGACGTACAAGAAGCAACCGCGCCATGCCACGGAAAAACGGTGAGGAGCAGCATTATACCCACTGATATTCAGTTCAGAACACTCTGGTCCATTTAAGTTTGGTCAAAAGAAGAAGACCAAAAAACTATAATAATTGTTGGTTTTGGATTTAAAATAAAAGGATATCACTCTAAATATCCAATGGTTCTCAGATGCAGAGAGTGATAGTGAGGAGGAAGCAGAGGAGGAGGAGGAGGAGCTTGACAGTGAAGATGGAGAAGATGCAGAGATGTCCTCCCAGTCTTCAGGTCCTAGTTACCCCAGGAGGAGTCAAAACAGCAGGAGCACACGGCGGACCAGGAGCAGCAATGGCACAGACAGGACACATACAGGTAACACTACTGACAACTATCAAATACTAACCAAGCTAATAAGTCCCCAAGCACAAATCTAAACCCTCTTTTGTGTGACTTAATTTTAGAGAGCAGAGCAAAGGTGAACGGTCACAACAGCAAGCCATCTCGCAGGGACAGAAGTCACAACCAGGCTTCTGACACGGCCCAATCCCAGGGCTCTGGGGAAGAGGAAATAACAGTGCGGAGGTCACTCAAGAGAAAAACAGCAAGAGCAGCAGTGAATAAGATCAAACTCCTAGGGGCCTCAGATGAGGACTACGAGGAGGAGGAGGAGAAGCCAGACAGGAGCAGCCGCCTCCACCACGTAGCCCGTGCTTGCAAACGCACACAAGTGATCCAGAGCTCTTCTGAATCTGACCAAGAGTCGTCATCAAGGGGTAGGCAGATCATTTTTTTACCTTATTTCACACAGCGCAAAATGCATATTATACTCTTTTGATTTTAGGAAGGCTAAACGGTGCATTTTGGCTGATTACTGCAATTGTTTTACATGTTAGCTCCTCGAAAAAACAAAGCATCAAGACATGTGGAAGATGGCAGTCAGAATGGAGACACAAGGCCCAACAAACAGAGGACATCAAGACAAGACTTCAAGACCAAGGAAAACGGTGTGAAATACTGTCTTTTAGTCAACCTCTAAAATAATTCTGTGGCACTTACAAGAAAGAGATCCTAATTATGTGGACTTATTTCTAATTTGCTTTACAGATAAGTTGTCTCATGTGAACGGGCACAGTGCAAAACATAAGTCCAACAGCAATTCTGAGCCAGAGGAAGCCACTGATGACAGCTCTGCAGAAACTGAAGAAGAGGAGGAACAGGAGGTCGTGTCACAGAAAGCCTCCAGACACAAAGCAACTGCTGCAGGCAGGAAAAAAAGGATTACAAGTGAGGAGGAAGAGGAAGAGGAGGAGGACACTCCAAGCAAGACCCCACAACACAAACCTTCTAAAAGCTCAGGTGTCCAGGATGAAGACTACAGGTCTCAGCAACATCTCTCCCAAAATGGAGGAAACGCAGTAGATCCAATCCTTAAAGAGTCTAAGAAAAAGAGGAGGGATTTATCGTCAAAAAAACAAGTGAGACAAAAATGTGCCACAACTAATAAAATGGGAAGTGCAGATTCAGAGGAACACAGTGATACTCGAAAGGAATCTAGCCCATGCAAGAAAACGCTGGAAAGAAGTGGAGGAAGTGAAATTGAAAGCAGCGTCTCCTGTGATGAAACTTGGACTGAACGAAAGCCCAAGAGACCATCCAGAGGCGCGAGTAAATCTAAACGGCTTCATTTTGACACTTCAGGGTCTGAAAGCTCTGAACAGGAATACAAGCCCAAGAGAAAGCAGAGGAGAAAAGGCTCCTCTGGTTCATCAGACGAAGAGTTGAATAAATCGAACCCCACATCAAACAGACGGTTTGGCCTCCGAGCCCTGCCAAAAAAGAAATACATCAGTGACAACTCGCTCTCCGAGGAGGACTTTGCTTCTGAAAACCAAGGTAAACAGAGAAACGGCAACAACACAGCAACGCTGGAAAACAGGAATAATAAAAGAGAGTTCAACAGAGCCTCTCACAACAAATGCAGGTATCAGCTGTCTTCCAAGAGAAAACGTATCCACACCTCAAACTCTGATGATACTACGGAGGAGTCCAAGAATAATAAAACTAGCCGGTCAGGCTTCTCAAGGTTTACCAAAACAGAATCCAAAAAAATTGAAGGCAACAGAAACAAGGAAGGCTCCGTTTCTAATTCCAGTGAAGACGAGGAGGACGCTGCTGGTAGTTCAAGGAGAATGAAAAGGGACATGAGGTGGCAAAATCACAAACGGAAGGAAAGCGTCAGCAAGAGCAATTCCAGTTCTGACTTTGAAACCGAGCAGTCCTCATCAGCCTCAGAAAACTCTTTTGCCTCAGGGTCCCAAAGCTGTCGACAAAAAAGAAGCCACAGACTGTCTCGGGTCGGTGAAAGGACTTCTAGCCGCCAGCTGAGGCAGCGCTGCAGACGCTCTGCCTCAGAGGAACAAGATAGTGACGAGTTAGACGGCACAGAACATCGAAAGACTCGTGTGAACACCCGTAACCGAGGGAAACGAACTGTAACTTATAATGACAGTGAATAAATCCGTGGCAAATGAAACACTGTTGAGTGAATACAGAGACTGACATCCACAAGAGACCTTGAAGATTCTTAGTGGCCACATTATGGTAGTAGCACTGGAGTCCCTGAAATAAACTGCTGTGAATCTGTCTCATTCAGGGATATTTATATTTTCTATGAAAAACATGTTTATTAATGTAATACCAGTTTCAGGCATTATGACTGCTGGTTATCACAATGATACAAAAAAAGAAAAAAAAAACACCTTCCATACTGCTTGTTATCTGTCCAGCAGACAAACCATTCTGGGGGATCTTATCAGCTTTGGTGCTATCTAATATACCTCTGTCTAATCAAGCATATTGCTGGCTTGCACTAGGGTACACTGTAATGAAGTATACCACACACTAGTTTTGCATTTCAAACTCAGGGGTCAACTCAGTGTCAGGCATGCAATTGTTTTTGAGTTGGGGTAAGGACAAGATACAATTGCGGGTTGGCAGATGCACAAGCACAGTTACTGGGGCAAAAAATTAACCTTTGTTCAGACTTTTGATTTTAGCACTCCTTGGTAAGTCATGCTTTACTATATTACCAGTTGATGTGAGCCAAATTAACAAATATGAATTTTTCCCCCCTGTGACTTTCATTCTTTAAGTAAAATTTTTGTTAGATCCTAGTGAATAGATGTAAATATATGATTGCGAATAGCTACATTTGACAGGTTTTGCTTCTAGTAAGTAAAGGAATTTCAGCTTTTTCTTTTCTTTTTTTTATATTTAAATGCATTGTCTTGCCATATGTCAAATGATTGGTACCTTTTTTCTAAGTACAAGTAACCAAATGTACTTTACACAGACTACTGTGATTTCTCATATTGGGAAGACCTTTAAATGTTGTCCTATGTCACGTACTTCCTGTATTTAATTCCTGTTCATAATTGACTTTAACATTCAGCCAGTCACATGGTTAAATTTTGTTATTGGGATCTTTCTAAATACAGTTTATTTCTGAAATTTTGCCGAATGTTTTCACACCTCTAATAACAGATTTCACAGACAATGTGGTTGTGGAGTGCAATGAATTAGTTTTTTCATCCTTATTAATAAAGACATCATTTCAAAAGTGCCATCTGTGTTTTCCATTGAAATATTAATTTGGTTGTTTATGATCCAGTAATGGGGAAACTTTAAGTTGAATTGATTCAATTATACCTTCCCAGCAGTAAAAACAGTACACTTTAAATATTTGATACTGCATGAGTTTGAAACTTGTGTTTTTAACTACAAATTTTGTAATTACAGTTTTATTAGCCGAGTTGCACTTGTTTTGTAATGTTTACGTAACCTGTAATATCTTAAAAACACCAAAAGAAAATTCCTTTTTAGCAGTACTAAGCAAAAGATATTTTTCTTGGGTTCACTTCACTAATCAGACAGGTACTAAACTCTACTTTTTAGAAGTTTCTCAGTCTCCCCCTAACAGTACTACATTCTTCAGATTAAAAAAAAAAGTTTAAATGTAATTTTACCAAAAATATATATATATATATATTTATAGTAGATAATGACTTATTGATTCAAAGGCATAGGGTCATTATTAGTAACATGAGACAATAAAAAACTTCTGACAGAACTACAAACTTGAGAACTAAAAGTGTTTCAATGTAATTTTCTATATTTTTAAGGAACATCTGAGGGAAACATCTCCAAAAGAATCAATAAAGTTTGCTAAACGTCTTTGTTTTAACTTTCATCTGTGCTAACGTATGCTAACTGTTGTTACCATAGTTTCGCCTCTGATTGGCTATAAGTGCTAACCGTTTGGCTTGAGCATGTAACGACCTTTCCAGCTTTTCTAGCCAATCAAAGGCGAAGGAGGCGGGACTTTCCCCAGCAAAAGTGTTCCCCAGGATGTGTCTTTATCCCCCAGAAAGTTGCAAAATAGCATCAGGCTTGATGTGTATAGTCAGGCGCGTCAAAATTCAACTCTGAATATTTCGTACTTTCGCATTCCATATGCGTGTTGGCCCCGGAGTGCAAGGACCTTTACAGTAACTACATGTCAACATCGCAAGCAGGGGGTAGAAAAATAAGTATTCTGTGTAATTAATTTCTAAAGTTTGTCCACAGCTCCATAGGGATTAGTGGAGGAGGCGGGATTTCTGACCTATACTGCAGCCCGTCACTAGAGGGTGCTGTACTCGGAGTAGCTTCACCCAGCGAGGAGGCAGACGGCGGTTAGCGCGCCTCCCTTGTTTCCACTCCAGTCCAGTAAGTGGCGGTAATACATCTTAAAGCTGTTGCAAACCGCCAACCAGTATGTCGTGGGAGACGAAGAAGAGGAAGAAGAGGAAGACAACATCGTTGAACTTGTCTGTACAGGCTTCTGTCATTGCTGGAGGCTTCAGTGACGATAGAAATCATCAGGACATTGTACAGTTTCAGATTAATAACATGTCTGGCCTCAAAAGCTTGCTTCGCTTGGTCACGCACAGAGGCAAATGGAATCATGTTCATAAAACGGTGACAACATGGTCTTCGGTAGGAGCTGCTTTCAATGCACACACTCAGAGGAGGTTGAACCCACTGGAGAAAAACGTGGTTTGTGTCCTTCTGTGGTTTTGTGCGGCTACAGCACCCTAACGCTCAGTAGTAACCCTAACCGTATATATCATAGATTGAATCGGTCCATGGTACCTCTGTGTAATGTGTGACCTCTCTTTTCAGGGTTTGTTTGGAGTACCAGAGCTCCGCTGTCCTTCTGGTTTTCAGCTGGCAACAGAAACAGTTCTTAAAAACACAGACCATCTGGTAGAAAAGGCTTGTTCTTGTATATCCGGGGCTGAGACAGTGGAGTATTTTGATAAGCTATCAGATGGTTTGTGTAAAGTGGCTGATTTGGTGAGTTGAAAGTGGGAAAACTAAAAACATTTAAATATCTTTGTACACTACTGACAAGACGAAACAGATATTGCACAGTAGGGCTGGGCGATATAACGATATATATCGAAAATAAATGTCCTTCGGTATCGATATAAAACTTTGGCTGTGTCCGAAATGGACCACTCAATCCCTAACCCCTAATCCCCATATGGGGTTTCGCTATATAGCTGACTATGTAGTGAGCTCAATCACCCGAGGTTTCGGACACTACATGGCGCACTGTTGTGACATCACTGTCTTTTATTAAAGCTCTGATGTGACAACAGAAGTGAAATAGAGAGGCAAAAAAACCTCTGGGTTGGGAAAGCCCTAAAAATCGTCTTCCCAGATCTTCCTAAATCGAGCACAATAACAGCCGTTCCAAGCAATTACAAAGCAGTAACATTACTAAGATTATAAATACGATCGAAAATAATACTGAGAGAACTATAAAAACATTCTCACTCCCATCCAGCAGCGGAGGCAAATCGCTTCCCTGAGAACGGGGAGCTTTTCTCCACCTTAAAATGATAAATTTATCCGCGTCTTCGTCTGTACCTGAAGGTAAAATAAACAACAGATATTTTCTGGTGCTTCTATGAAACACAATAAATATGAAGTTGCGTATTTTGCAGTATTATTTTAGGGCCAATGTTTTGACATCACATTTCTTTGTCTTTTACGACCAAAGCATTTAAAACATATTTTTTCTCAAACTGTGCTGTTACCTGGGATTTAGATCTATGCGTGAACTGTGATTTCTCTTCTTACAACAGGCAGACTTTATCAAAGTAGCACATCCAGACCAAGCATTTCGAGAGGCCGCTGAGAAGACCTGCATAGAGATCGGCACAGCTGTGGAGAAGTAGGAAAAACATTTATAAAATTGATTAAAAATGCAGAATATATAAACAATGCACATTGAGCTCATGGGCACAAACATATTGTTTCATTCTGCTGATACAAAACTAATCCAGGTCACTGAAAGACTTTTTCAATGCTTGCTTGTTGTATGTTTCAGATTGAACACTAATGTAGAGCTATGCAAGAGCTTAAAAAAATTGCTAGACAATCCCGACATAGTGGCTAAACTGGACCCAGATACCAGGTAATCTCACTACCATCTTATTTGAAATGTGACTCTGAGGAAGGCGTTGAGATTTCTTGGGATACAGGATTTATCTCTTCATTTTTTTCCCCTCGCAGACGAGTTGCAGAGTTGTTCTTGTTTGACTTTGAAATCAGTGGAATTCATCTGGATGATAAACTGGTAAGACAATCATAAAGGGAGACATGTATAAGAACAAGGAATTTGACAGATCTAAAATCTCAAAATCTGTGTGTCTCTCTCTCTCATTTGTGTCTTTGCTCTTTTTGCATTTTTTCTGCAGAGGAAAAAAGCCGTTGCCCTTCACGTGAAGCTGTTGGATCTTAGCAATGAATTTCTAGTTGGTACTCACCTTCCAAACAGGATAGCAAAATCTGTTATTCCTGAGCATCTACAGCTACACTTTGCAAGTGAAGGAAAATATGTCCAAGTTACAGGACTGCATGCAGATTCCCCTGATGATTTGGTATGTATTGAGTTAATCATAAGAGCATTTATCCCTTTTCCTCAGGAGGGGGTACTGTTGAACTTCAACAGATCATGTACATGACTCTGCGACATATTGAAAATTATTGTAAGATGTACTATATTCTCTTCTGAATTGAAATCTAATTGTTTTTCAAAACCTTGGCAATGTGATCTTTTAGGTATATCTATTATTGCAACATTAGTTTGATTTACCTTTCTGCTTTTGATAAGCAATTATGTGTAGCTATGCACTATCTCCAAAATGACAAAAAAAAATTGTCATACTTGCGCTGCAAAAATCTGACACTTCAATGACTATTTGTGGATCAATAACCATTTGTACATACACATACACACCATACACACCATTTGTGTATTTTTCTGGTCCTTCTTCATTGTTTTCTTTGTCCTCTCTTCCATTTAAAGGTGCGAGAAATTGCCTACCGGATTTTTCTTTATCCGAATACAGATCTCATGGAGTGTGTGGAAGAGCTGCTAAAATGTAGATACAAGCTGGCCAAACTGGTGGGCTATGAGACATACGGGCACAGGGCCCTAAAGGGGACAATGGCAAAAACACCAGGTTAATGTGAACGCTCTCTGCTTCAATGTCACCATGGCTAGTATGACCACGTGTTGCAGATTCTTTTTTGGTAAAATTTCTCATATAGTTCAACACGTTTCAACAAAGTTTGACTGCCTTTCACAGAGACAGTGATGAACTTTCTTCAGCTGTTGACAGACAAGCTGTCAGACAGGTACAGTTAACTCTTCAAAGTTTTTCTCCATGATGTGAAAAAAGTATCTAAAACAAACCATCCAAAAAATGCTATCAACGATTTTGTTGATGACTTAAAGTGAACAAGTCTAAGATTGAGGCCCAAGAGGCAATCTTTATTTTTGCTTGAGTGCCCCATTTATGAATTTACCCTTATTTTTGATTATGTGCTTGGTGCTTATTACTGTTGGTGTAAACTCAAAGGGATTAGGGTTTATGTGTCAAACTTTATTCATAGGATTACCTAAACAGTCTAAAGTTACAATCCAGCACGACACAAGAACTTTATTTACCCTAAAGGGAAATTTGTTTGCCTGTAATCTCAGATAAACCAACTGCAGACAAACCAAGTTATAATCTGACCTGCCCAGTGGTGGTGATGCAGTGGCTCTGTAGGCTTCTTTGACGTAGGCATACAGCAGATCCAGGGTTTTGTTTTCTCTGGTAGGACAGTCAACAAATTGTGTAAATCTAGTCAGGTGACAGGAGAAGGTGGCATGGTAAAAGTCATGTGATATTATTGCCTCAGGATGTTGAGTCTGTATCCTAGCAACAGTATCATGGAGAACATCACATGGAATTCCAGAAATTGTAAAAATTGACTTATCTCTAAATCTCACAGGACAGCCAAAGACTTCGAGATGATGAGGAACATGAAGAAGAAAGTCAACCCTCGTGGCTCTGTGAGTCGTTTATTCTCTTTGGCTACAATATTTCTAAATACAAGAGTATTTTCCTTGGCTGTATAATGACAAAACAAGTATTGTAATAAATGGAAAAATATCTTAACACTCTTTTCAACATAAATATCACATAAATCCTTGACCAGTATTCAGCATTTTATGCTTAAAAGTTCAGTAAGTTAAAACGTATTATGTTGTATTTGTGTATTGATTTATAGGACCTCATGCCGTGGGATCATCCGTTCCTCAGTGGTGTTTTGCGTGCTGAAAGGTGAGTGGTTACTTTCCTTATCTGGGATTGTTTTAGAAAGTTATCTTGATTGTACATCATTCTGCGGTTAAGTGTTTGTGTTTTTAGGTTTCTTGGTAGCATGTTGGAGGTTGTCTGTAGATCCCAGTTTGTTGTCAGGGCCGAGATTTTCAAAGCCCATCTCTCCGGTTTTGCCTGTCTTAATTGGAATCCATCTTGAAATCAGGTTATCCAAAAGAAGAAAAGGATTCTGTTATCAAATGAGTTTCGAGGGTGATCTTAAATCGCCTAAAGCGTCGATATTAACCTAGATGGAGATTGGATAACCTGCGTTGTAGGACAAAGCTCATTATTTATAATTAGTCTTTGAAAGTGATGTTCTTCCTCATTCTTGTTTTTGTTTTTTCTCTTGGCAGGTACAACATAGAGCCCAGTCTTTACAGTCCCTATTTTTCTTTGGTTTCCTGTATGGATGGTTTGAACAACCTTTTCTCTCAGCTGTATGGTGTGTCTCTCATGTCTGAACAACCAGCTGCTGGAGAGGTCTGGAATGAGGATGTCCGCAAACTGGTAAATATACATAATAACAAAAAGCTGGTTTTGTTAGGTCTCCGGCTCTTCTTGGTATGAGTTATGTTTTGATGATAGTTGTTTGTGAGAGGTCGTTAGCTGAATGCTGTTCTCAAAGGTCTGAATGTTTTCTAATATGTGTGTTTTATTGTGGGTTTATGTTTGTATGTGCATTCTCAGGCTGTTGTACATGAGACAGAGGGATTATTGGGATACATCTACTGTGATTTTTTCCATCGCCCAGATAAACCTCATCAGGTGAATATGTCTACTCTCATATCCTTAATTTTTGATGGTTCATGTTTGCTTCTTCACTTTAAATATAAACCAAATTTCCACTCAGGGATAAATAAAGTTCTTATCTTGTCATATCTCATTAAAGCAGATCCGGTCTAGTTAATAAACCATCCTCAGGAGGTTTGTTCTGACCCCTGGAATTTTTCCAGAAAATTGTTGCAATTCCAATGTTTTTATTTTACATGTTTATTTCCTTTACGTGCATTGGACCAACATCAAAAAAGCAGAAGAAAAAAGCCAAAGTTGACATAATTTGACACAAACTCGGCTTGTAAAAACCTTAAAATATCTGCTATTTGATACTAGTCAGTTAAGTATCCATATGTAACAGGGTTGATGACCTAAAAGGATGGTTTGTTTTCAATTGTATTCCAGGAATGGAGTTGTTTTATTTCTTAACAGTGTTGGTCTTCCCACCATCATTTTCTATCAGGATTGTCACTTCACTATCCGCGGCGGCCGCTGGTGCCAGGAAACTTCTCAGTACCAGCTTCCAGTTGTGGTGCTGATGCTGAGTCTTCCCCAGCCAAACAAGAGCGCTCCCACCCTGCTTACCCCTGGCATGATGGAGAACCTCTTTCATGAGATGGGACATGCCATGCATTCCATGTTGGGACGCACTCGCTACCAGCATGTGACAGGTGGGCTAATCTGTCCAGACCTTGTTTACACCTGTGCAATGCAAGAAATGTATCACTAACTTTTTATCGCTTTAATTTTGTGATATCAGAGGTTGCAAACATAAATTACACTGTAAAAATACAAAGTTTATTGTTGCACTGCTCTAAGAAGCATCATCACCAGCATGGGATAAGGATTTACACTCAATAAGAATATGTTCTGTGCAACATCCTTTTTATTCTTATTTAATACTACTAATATTATTTCATGTTTTATTCAGGGACCAGATGTGCGACTGACTTTGCTGAAGTCCCCTCCATCCTCATGGAGTACTTTGCCACAGACTATCGAGTCATCAGCCAGTTCGCTCGCCATTATGAAACTGGACAGGTACGTTTTAACCCTTAAATTAAATCCGCTGTGAAGTCTTTGCACCAAAAACAGTGGGAAGTGGTTGTAGAAATATGGTGGGGATTCCAATTTATAAGTTTTGTTTACATCATTCATTACTATTTGATGACTATTTCATATGTTGTATATGAGCAAATAATAACAGCAAAATTATAACATTGCAAAGAAGGGATTATATAAGGTGAAAACAATGTTTGACATGATTCTGTCTGTGTCTGCTTCTGCTCAGCTTCTGCCTGAGAGTATGGTGGCTCGCTTACGTGAGTCCAAGAAAGTATGTGGGGCTGCAGACACCCAGCTGCAGGTAAGATGATGACCAGCTGAACATACAAAACCTACAGTTCTCTCTCAAAGTATATTTACCTTTTACAAGAACCTCAAAATGTGGTGGGGGGGTCTTTTTTAGGATAAAGCATCAAAAGATGTCTAACTTTCAACATCTAACAGCACTTGATGATTAAAGGAGCTACACAGCCTTTTCATATATATATATATATACATATATATATATATATATATATATATAATTTGGTGTTCATTTTCACCAAATTTCACCAATTTCAGTTTTTTTCTAGTTTTGAAGCAAATAAAATGATTCACCATTTTTTTATTTTAATGTAAGTGCTTCTGCTCTGAATGCGTTATGGATGGTAAATAGGGACATCATGACTAACATAAGCAGTTCCCTCTATCGATGTGGATATTTCCTGTTTTTTTAATGTAAAACATGAATGTGTTTGACTTACTTAGTTGAAATTGTGTCAAACTCTATATTCTGCCTACGTTTGACTCACTGTTTCACTCAATGAACAAATCCTCGCCCTGTCATGTTGTGTTTTTTATGTTATATGTTTTGTGCCCAGTTGTCACATATGTATGTACTGTATTACTAAAAGAAAACTAATAAAAAGTACATTCAAAAAAATAATAATAAACTCTATATTCCTCTGGGCAGATTTTTTATGCTGTCTTGGACCAGATCTATCACAGCACGCCTCAGAAACACACTACCACACAGATCCTCCAGGAGATGCAACAGAAATTCTATGGCTTGCCCTACGTACCTAACACGGTAAATCCCTCACTTTATATTTATGATTCAAAATACCGTCTTTTACTAATATATTTGCCTAGTGTCTCACCATTAAAATGTTGTAAAATTTGACCAAACTGTCACTGCTAAGCTGATCAGAAACAAAAATATTCTTGAAGGAAAAGTCCTCACAGAACTCACAGCAGCAGGATAGTTTAGCTTTTCTTTTTGGTTCTTCACAAACTAAGAAAGCTTGCTATGTTTACATTAATGTGGTATTTGAATCTGGAAGTGCTTTAAAGAAAAGAAGATTCCCTCCTTCTGAGTGTGCATAACACTTCATGTCAGTCAGGTTTTTGTCATCAAATTCCCCATAGAGAGAGTCAACATGCTGTTTAGCATCCTCCATATTGACAGGGCTTGAGACTGCGACCAAAATTGCATATAAAACCTTATTTCAGCGCGTGTTGGTAATAATGTAATCTAGTCACATTTGTGCACCTGCATATATTTTAAAACTCACTCAAACACAGGCCCTGTATTAGACATTGTTGTTGAAAGTTCCCCTCTTTTTCACTGGCTTAGTCAGTCTCCTCCACCTGCACTCTCTCCTGTCCTGAGGACAGAGCGCTGTCACGTACACGCACGTATGTGCATCACACATCAAAGACAGACAGAACTTCACAACAAGTTTTTCACTGTTTCCACAAATGGAGCGCTCTATCGCTGATTATATAAAATAATCAAAATGAGGAGAGAGAGGAGCAGGCTGGTGGTGAGGGAGAGCCAACAGAAAGTGCCAAATTAGACAGTAGTGATGATGAAAAGAACAGGGAGACGCAGAGAGCCGAGCAGCAGGTGAAGAAGAAAAATACTGCTTTCAACCATAACATGAAACTTTAATGTGTTTTTTTATTTCTACTCAAGGCATGGCACCTGAGATTCAGCCACCTGATTGGCTATGGTGCCAAATACTACTCTTACCTTATGTCCCGTGCTGTAGCCTCAATGGTGTGGAAACAGTGCTTCGTTCAGGATCCTTTAAACAGGTAAGTCAACCTTTGAATGGTAAATTTCAAAAGTAAACTGTCAAATTGAGCAAACTGAAATGGCAGACAATGTTTCTCAGCTTTTATATCAGTCTTCTCATTTGATTCCTTCAAAACTGATGATAATGGCAGAAGGAATCTTTTTGGACTTCAGCACTGAGGATGCAAGGACCCTATTGGAATTTAAGGAATTATTGTTGCACTCTCCGCCAAACAAACTGCCTTTTTGGAGGCCTTAACATGCCTGACAACTTGCACACCCATCAGGCTTGTGTGAAATTTATGGATTTTAAAGATCTGGAAAAATGATGCTCTATAATGGCCCCTAAACTTTTCAAAAAGGCCTCCCCATAAAGGGTTATTGTGACCTACATGAATGAGTTTCACTGTGCCCAAAGACTGAGCTTTTCTCTTAGCTGTTCTTCAGGGGTAACACATTTCTTTCCTGGTAGTAAATCCAACCAACTTTATTTTTTATTTATGAACTTTTTTCTTGCACAGCCAAAAGGCAAAAATAGACTTGACTTTGTGTTTCAAAATGTTTGTGATTACAGACACTGGTCTCTAAGCAGTAGCACTAGCGTTGTTCTGGCAGAGTTAGTTGAGCTTTTAGGGAAGAATATCACATGTTCCCAGACAGTGTCTTATGATTTTCTCTCTTGTCCTTTCCCTCTCTCTTTGTCATGTCAGGGACATGGGTGAACGTTACCGACGAGAGATGCTGGCACATGGAGGAGCCAAAGAGCCAATGCAGATGGTTGAAGGTAAGACATTTGGGCCTGTATTCTCTTTCAGCATTTTGGGGGGCTCTTACCCTCAGGCAGCAGTCTTCCAACCTTTTTCTGGACATATACCATCGTCATATTCATCTGCTTTGTTTGTTGTGTAGTTTTACAGTTTATTTTTGTTTTAGAGTTTTAAAATAATTGTTTTGTTCCTTGACATATTTGTTTGTTTGTCCCCAAAAATGGACATTTTGTCATAATTCCTAGATTTTTTAAAGGTTGTTGGGCTGCTCTTTCAGATTTAGTCTCTTCAGCTCAGCTACTTGCAAATTTTGCACAAGGTCTTTCTTCTGATTGGCCACCTCTCCCAGGGCTTTCCAAAGGTCACACAAGGACAAAGCTTGATGCTTTAGGCCCACCCCCTCTACTGTAGTCATGTAAAGCAATCGAGTAGTGCGGCAGAGCAGTGTTACACCTCTCCACTCAGGGCGTCACCTCATGCGTTGCTGGGCAGACCATTCCACTGTGCTGGAAGCACAGATGAACCAGTTAGGAGAGCCTATTCAGTGTTTCCCACAGGATGGGAATCTATTTCTGGTGGTGGGTTGCCAGGGGTGATCCTAATGACAAACTTATGTTTAAGGACTGACATCTGAGTTGCCAGTTAAGAGAATGTTAATTCACTTGAAGCTCTGTTAGTTTGCAGATAAATAAAGCATATTCTTGACAGCTACTGTTGCCTCAGTGACAAGACAGGTTGATGAGGAAACCTCTTATTCTAGAATCTTATTGCGAGATGTCGCTAAGTATTCTCATTCTATAGAGGTATTATCAGTCTACGTCACTCCCCACTCTACTGTGCCCATGTTGCCTTCAGCGAGAGAGCAGCAAGAGCATTGATCAAAACGCACAAGTTTTACAGAATACCATCAACTCGCACACGTTTCAAGGCAAACAAAAGACAAGTTGCTTACATGAAATATCTTTAGTATTATGCCCTATGCACATAGTATGTGTTGAACTTTGAGTTTAAATTGTCATGTTAAAGTCATAGTTATAAAAAAAATAAACATGCAACACCACCAGAGTTCCCTCCTTCATTAAAAGCTGCTTGCTTTTTGTTTTTGTATGACAGCGATGCTGCAGAGGCAGCCCACCATTGAGGACTTTGTGGATGCCCTGGTGTCTGAACTCCACCCCAATTTTGAGACATACATCATGGACTCTGAAAGTTGAAAAATGCCTCTGACAGCATGGGAACGGACTTGAATCTCCGGGAGTCAAAGAGAATTATAACTGTGATCTGTTTAAATATTTAAATGTATTTTATATTTTGCTGGCCTTGCTGATGTCAGTTTGATTCGTTTCACTAATTTTACCTTTGCTAACCAGCAATATTGTGAGAATAAAAGACCCATAAAAATCAAAACCTTGAAAAGTCCTTACTATCTAAATAAAAGACTTTATGTAGTTTTATATTATGGATAATATCATGTTATTGATAAAATGAAAGAAAGCAGGCTTACTGTCAGCGTCTTACAAAATTGACTTACAAACTTGTTTGTCATAGGGATTCTCATTTTGAGTGCTTTTAATAGAGATGAGATATTATACTAATCCCCAGCATTAGGTTGGTGCATCATCACAAGGACAGAGTCAGCAGGTAAGTTAATACTGTACAATGAAATATAATTTGATATGTGAAAACAATTGGTAAACTAATCAGATAAAAAAGAAAAAGTTCTGTACAAGACAGTTAAGAAAATCGTGCTGGAAGTGATGACTGAAGTGAAAAGTATGGGATTGAGTGACATGCTCTAATATGATCAAAGTAACAAGTTTACATCAGGTCAATGTAAACTAACACGGCACATAGTGTATGAATTAACATATAATCATGTGCCCTCCCTTATAATCAATATAATAACTGAGTATTCGGTGAATGCAGCATCTACAAATATAAACAACAGTGTAATGCAAACAAACATGAACTTTATTAATTTCAGAGCTGGCCCAAGGCATAAGCAAACTAATTGCCTGCTTAGGGCCCCGCGGACAGTAGGGGGCCCCCAAGAGCAATCAAAAAGTATATATTTTTAAATACTTTTTTTTTTTTCCATGTATGAGTGATGCTGTGGACGGCACAGTGGTGTAGAGGTTAGCACTGTCGCCTCACAGCAAGAAGGCTCTGGGTTTGAGTCCAGGTCAGGGCATCTCTGTGTGGAGTTTGCATGTTCTCCCTGTGTCTGCGTGGGTTTACTCAGGGTACTCCGGTTTCCTCCCACATCCCAAAAACATGCAAAAGTGGGGTTAGGTTAATTTGCCACTTTCAAATCACCTGTAGGTGTGAATCTGAGCGTGGATGGTTGTTCGTCTCTATATGTCAGCCCTGCGATGAAGTGGCGACTTGTCCAGGGTGTCCCCTGCCTTCGCCTGAAGATGCTGGGATAGGCTCCAGCCCCCCTGCGACCCCCAACAGGAATAAGTGGTAGAAAATGGATGGAGTGATGCTTTCTGTATGATCAAATATATTATTGTAAAAATAACAAAAATTTTTTAGTGCTGCTGCTGATGAAGGCCTATGATTCTTACTGCCGATATGTCAAAACTCCACTACCGTTATGTGCCTCCTGCCATGCAATGTGTACTGAGCATCCAAACCGCAGGTAGTTGTGGGGCAAAACAATGTCGCTGAAAAGGACGTATCCTTCAGGAGCAGAGAAAAGAAAGAGGAAGAAGAGAAAAAACGCCAAGATAAAGGTATGTTTGCATGTCATGGAATGTTAAAGAGATTTGTGAAGGTGAGTGAATGATTAACAATCAATATTATTGACAGAAATAGAGGGCCCCCAAATCAAATTTTGCTTAAGGCCCCATTGAGGCTTGGGCCGGCTCTGGATACATCTCTTTTTCCCCCCCTTATTGGCGCCCCAGACCTTTGTTGTGGATTTCAGTTAAAATATCAGTGTATATTTTGTTACTTGGTATTATTTGTTTACATCTATGTATGTTGTTAGACACAAAGTCATCCTATATATTTGTTTTTATGCACTTTGTCATTCAGTTGTTTGCTTATAATGTCACGAATGCCCTTCTAGGTTCAATTAACAAAAAAAAATCTGAATGTCGGACAATGTCCTACAACGCATGCGCAGATCGAGATGCCGTCCCTCTGCAGTCTGTTTTTTTTTTTTTCTGAAACTCAAGTAAGAGCCTGGTGACTACGAAAAAGCTCTTACGTAGATGTTGTAGCACGCAGTGCTGTCAAATCACAGCTGCGGACTCCTGGTGAAAAGGACAGAGATTTCAGATGTGATGGTGCGCTAGACAACGCGGAAGTGGACGAGTGAGATAGTTTGAGCCTGAGCCGCATCGTGCTCTCTCATGCAGCGCAAATGACTATAATTAGAACACTGCCTTTGAAGGAAGTGGCTTGTTGATGGAGGGGAATAACTTTTCATCCTCTATTGTCATCGATACATCCAGGGACACAGGCTTTTATCAAACGTGACGGCTTTGTGGGATGACCGTTTACAGTGAACGCCGGGCAGATACAAGTAAGTCATTAGAGTTGGTCGGGACACGAGCAGAATGCTACGAGAGGATGATGTTACACAAACACCTAAACGACGGAGAAAGCCTCTCTTTACCGATTATATGTTGACCCTATGGTTGTTATTGTACAGGAGAACCATGACAGGAGAATTTCCCACTGAAGCTGACTATCATGGTAATCTGGCAGGTGACTTGAGGCAACTAACGGTTCTCTTGTTTTGCGACAGCCGTGGCCTGGGTGGAGTTTTCTGCTCAGTGCAGAGGACGGTCCAATGAAAGAGTACCTGCAGACATAACTGCAACGCGATGGGCAGCTCTGCACAGCCATGGTAAGTGCGATAGCTAAATGATTAAGTTGTGACTGCTGTTGGCAAAGGATGGATTGCTTTCCTTGTGACCAACTAAGAGCTGCGTCATATTTTGCAAGCCTGGCCTACAACTGCATCCTGTCTGTATCATCCTAATACAAGGTCCCACCAGCCCAATCACTGTGTAGTATAGCCTGAGGAGCTTTCAATCATTCTGCTTTCCCAACCCCACCCATACCAGCTTCCATGAATGCACCATAGTGGGCATGGTTGCATAAGTCAGGTAGATTCAGACTGGGCCTGAATCTGCATAATTATAGGGGAGAGTGGGGTAAGATGAGCCATTTTTTCATGTTTCGGATCACTACATCAAGGCAATCATAGTTTTGTCTCTAACTAGTGTATCTGCATATATTTCAAGATGTTGTGCATCCCTGCAAACCAACAGGATGAGTGTAAATATAACTGTCTTGATAATATGATTCAAATGATTAGCTCGTTATCAAGCTCTGTAATGGCTTAATAACGAGCTGATAATTTGAATCAGGTGTGTTGGAGCAGGGAAACATCCAAAACATGCAGGACAGTGGACCTCGAGGACTGGACTTGAGAACCACCGGTCTACACTATACTCTACTTACAAAAACCTGATGCAAAGATGGGATAAGACTGAGCCCCATATTGTAAGATCAGACCCTGTCCCATACTAGCATTATGGGACAGCATTTAGCAAGGTGCAGTGGCAGAGAAAAATGTCCTCTTAGTTTTAATGTCCTTGAGCAGAACCAGACTCATGAAAGACAGTCATCAGCCCTACTGTATATTGTTAGTATTACAAAAGACTGTGAGTTGACTTGGGGCCCTGACGTTTGACCCGTGTTATTGCTGAGCCTCACAGCATACTGGATTGATTCCTCTGCTTTCCAGTTTAATGGTGGTCCAGTTCAGCTGATATTGTGATCCAATAGGGGAGAAAAAAAGAAATGTAGAAGGGAAAAAACAATAAAAGAAAGCCAAGTTAATGACCAACATTTACTTTCTATGAGTTGTAGCGTTGCTTTGAGTTTAAGCATTTAGTATTAGCACTTATACCAGTTGCATAGCTTTTATAAAACAGAGCATGTAAAATAGATAATATTTAAGTTTGACAACATATTTTATTTTATTAAGTGAGTTTTTTTGTAGAAAACAACAAAAACTGTGTGAACCTCAACCATCTCAGCAAATATAAGTATCTGATTGGGACTTTGTCTTAACGCAGATACTTAGTATTAAAAACAGTTAGTATCTGGGCCAAAAAGAGCAGATCAGGACATCCCCAGACAAAACACTCAATCCTCTACACTGTCGGGTCCCATGATAATTTTGCCACTGTTTTGCTCCTAGGTTGCCATGGGTGACAGTTCGTCATGAGTACATTGGCCCGAGGTCCTACCAGGTATCTCCTGTCACATCTGTGAAAGATGTCAAACAACTGCTCTACGAGGAGACAGACCTGCCTGTCATACAGCAGCATCTTACTCACAATGGGAGACTGGTATGTTTTTGTCTATGAAAAATGATGTAGATTTTCTTCTTCTTGAACTGCTTTGAAACTCTCCAAATTAGGTGCCAGATTTCACCTGTAGTAGAGTATTTTTGCACCATGTAACAGAAAAAATCAAAAGGATTTGCCCTTTTTCACCACTTACATTTTAACACTTTCCAGTTTCTCTGTGCAGTAGAAACAATCAGGGACTTCAGTGATTCACAGACTTGTGAACATTTATTTTCAAGTTTACAGCTGCAAAACTTTATATGATTGAGAACACACTGATAGGATCATTCAGGACCTAATGATGACTTAGATGCCATATACAACCCTGGTTGTGTGTCAGTATGTGTGTGACATCAGGGCAGAACTCCGATGTTCACATTACAGAGAGTAAAGGAAAATTGTAAATCTGTAGAGATAGAAATGACAGGCTGCCATGTTTTGCAGGGCTGATGTTTTGATGAGTTCGATAGTAATGTACATACAATGGGCCTTTGCATGATCTGTAGAGATCAGGGGGTAATACTCTCATATCGAATCACTGTTTCAGCAAAAACACTGATATTTTCTAATGAGAGCACAGCTGCAAAGCAAACACACTCTTATGGTCACATCCTACTGTCATGTTAATGCACCCTCTAAATAGCAGGAAAGCACTCTCAGACTTAAGAAAAGGTTTTTATAGCTTTGAGGTCCAGATGCTTTGTGCCCCCTCAAAGTAGCATTGCGCCATGTTTGTGACTGACTAGACCTCATTTCAAAACCAAAACACCAAAGGGTGCTCACATGGGTTCGAGTTCACCTTCTATTTATGTAGCACAGGGCCTGTCAAGTAGGTGGGGCAGAAAATAACAATGTCATTTAACACTGTACACCAAAATACCCTCTGATAAGTAATAAATACAGCCCTTCATGTTGATATTGAAATCCAATAACCAAACAGAGAAACTTCTTCCTCCAAAACTCCAACTTGAGCTTGTCTAAGAAATTTATAGATACACAACAATATCTTTAGAGTAGAGCAGAGTATCTGCAGTCTAAGGATAAGTTAGTCTTATTTCTAGTCACCAGCAGAGGGTACTGTTCATAAAAACAACCTTGTGCCCATTGCCAGTACAAGCACGAGGATATCTTTTTAGGGATCACAAAAAAATGTACAGGTAAGTGGTGACAAGATACAAGATCTAGACTTTGACAAAATGTCAGATAGATTAGCATCCTATATCCTATAAATATCACCAAATTAGTTTCATACAGTATGTTTCCGTGAGACATTCTCTCATGAAATACCTCACTACTCATACTGTAAATCCTAAATTAATAAAAATCTTAATTTTATATTATATTCTGTGGCCAGGATACTTATAATAACCAAGATTATGGTTATTGTTGGACAAAGCAAAAACATATCAACATACAGAACAGTCTGTGTATGTCTATGGCTCAACCTCTAATTACTTAATTTTGCAGTGTCAACATCATGTTAATAATTTTATATATGGTGTGTGGCTTTGCTTTTTGCAGTAAAGCTGATCCATCACCAGAAGTTTAGTATAAAAATGTCATTTTTATGGTTTGTGGCTTTGTTTTCTTTTTGCAATCTGGGTGTTTTACAGAAAGAGAGAGGTATAATTTTTTTTCTAAATAAAGACATAAGGAACCATTTAAATTGATGCTAACTTGACTGGCACACAGGATCTCTGTGAATAATGCAGTTTGTTTTTGGCAGGAGACCCTCATTTTGAGTAAAATTAAACAATTGTAATTCTCAGAGACTGAGAGAATTTGATTTAAAGGCTCTCTTCAAATAAAAACCTGCTTCAAATAAAGGCCTGGTACCTGAGTCAGTCAAAACAAACCTCAGGCCCAGCCTATATTTAAGTAGTTGCGGTATTAATTTATTTTGTAATAATTTTCTCCACATTTTGTTTTTCTAGCTGGATGACAGTGTGCAGATCGGGTCTTTGGTGCCCGCTGGAAGCCAGGAGGTAGCTGTTACCCTGGAGGGAAGAGGCCTAAAAGGAGGAGGTAGGACCGAAACAACCACATATTTGTAATATAAGCATTCCTTACTGTGCTGACAGCCTACTTAACTTTGCTATTGCAGGGAGGTTTGGACAGACTACACCACCACTGGTTGAATTTTTAAAAGATATTTTGAGAAGGTACCCTGAGGGTGGACAGATTCTGAAAGTAAGTGTGACTTACATAGTTGTTTGAGACAAATCTTAGACTGTGTCATTTGGGGAATGTGCCCTTAGTCAAAAAAAAAAAAAAAAGTACAGTTGCTTCTTTTTAACTTTTAACCATGTAACCATGAACTATATCAAGGAATTTTTCAGGACTTCACTTCGCTGCCAAAAAGCAGCTTTATTTGACACTGTTTTGCAGATGTAACATATTCCTCCAGATGCAGCTTACTTTTGAAGGCCACGTAAATTTGCTGTGTACAGTGGTAGTAATACTGTAAATTCATATGTTTGTCTGAGATCATTTTAAGCAACCAGTGCTAAACATCTGGTGGGTTATTATGTTTATTTCAGTCTTCTTATCTGCTGCTAACACAGTGTATAAAGTAATCATATCGGATGTGTCATTGTTTTTAATAGCAATGACACAACCCATAGACCATGGGTTGTGTCATTGCTATTAAAAACAGTAAAAGCTGAAAACTTTCTTTGATGACACTTGGCTCTTCCAGTTTTTCTTATTAACTTGTTAGACTTGAAACTAGTCTAAAAAATATTGTGAGGCAGGGAACTTGGCATGTGTAGGAATGTAGACTGCACCCACTGAGTCAGTATCCTTTGACTTAGTGCTAAAATACTGTTGTTACCAAGCGCCACTTTTGAAAGGAGCAATTCATGGGGTTCATAGGCACTGGCTCATGGTTGATACATTTTCACCACCAGTAAACTTGGACCTTTCGTTGTACAGGAGTTTCTTTCATCTATCTTTGGTTGGGAACTCAGGTTCCCAGAAGTATCCTTATAATAAATGACATGTTCATTATTGTCAAAATCCCAAAGTTTTTTTTGGGTAAGGTATATTTTTTGTCCCCTTTGAGGGTGCATGTATTTACACCAATACCGGTTATTGAGTCACATTTCTGCAATTAGCTGAACAACACAGTTGAATTGATTGTCTGCAGGGTTCAATAGCCTAGCTTTCTTACCAGTTATCTGGTCAGTTTCTCAACAAATGTACCAAGCTGAGTGGGATCCCCTGTGGGTAATACAGTATTGACGACATGCATGAACAACTCCAATTAAAAAACAAACCATCAAAAATAAAGTTAAAGCTTAATTCAGAGTTTTGCAGATGAAAGCATTCTCCTCATCAGTTCATGGGTCAGCTTTTCCAAATGAATGCATTACTTGTGTCTTAACTTGTAGGAACTGATTCAAAATGCTGAAGATGCTGGAGCCACCGAAGTCAGGTTCATGTACAATGAGACAGAATATGGAGTGGAGTCTCTGTGGTCAGCGAACATGGCTCAGTATCAAGGTCAGTTTCTATGGTACACACATGGGGTAGCTGTGGCTCAGAAGTAGAATCAATGTGGTGGGAACATGTGAATGTAACTTGTAATCTATAAGTGCCCAAAGCATTTAGAGTGAGCAAAGGACAAGAGACAGAGCTATGTGAATATAGTCCTTACACCATTTACACTCCTCTTCAAATGTATTGGAACCATAAAGCTGATTTCTTTATTGTTGGTGTAGACTGAAAATATTTGGGTCTGACGTCAAAAGATAAATATAAGACAAGAGATCAACATTTTCAGTCTACACCAAAAATAATGGAATTGGCCTCATTGTTCCAGTTCTTTTAGAGGAATGTGTATATACACAACATGACAAATGAGACCATCTTGGGGAGAATAAGAATCAGGCCTCCTATCTTTAAGCAGCTACTATGTTGCATGATCCTCTGCTCTGATACCCCTAAAAAAAGGGAGATCTATAATAGATTTGACACAATAGTTATTAACTGAATAAACACCCATGATACAACAAACCTTTGCTGAATATGCATCTTAAGTGATACTTGCTGATTTTAACTAAATGGATTGCAGGTACAGCACTGTATGTCTACAATGATGCTGTCTTCACTATGGAAGACTGGAACGGCATTCAGGAAATTGCAAGAAGCAGGAAGAGAGATGACCCTTTGAAAGTGGGAAGATTTGGGATCGGCTTCAATTCTGTGTACCATGTCACAGGTGCGAGGTGTCTTGAAGCAAACTGTGACCCCTGTTATTAAATGTAAACTAGTTATCATGGCAATATATTTATATACGGTATATATTTACTCAGTGTTTGTTTTCACATTTGTGCCAGAAATAAGTCATCACCAATGAGTTGAGATATACATCAGAACAGATCAGTGGAAAATAAGTGGTTCAGACACGATTTTATTAAATACACTTTGACACCATCACCAAGTAATAGACCCAGACAAATGATAGATATTAACATTCAAAACATTTGATAAGAGAAAGTTGCTTTTGTATTTCTCAAATTGTACAACCCTGAAATTGATCATTATCAATCTTATTTTATTCACTAAATTTATTGAGTCTACATCCCCAAAGCCAAAATGGTCAGAACACAGTTTTGAGGTTTTTGTACTCATATAAACCCTTCATCTGATCTAAGCATATAGTGTTTGAGCAGGGCATGAAAGGCAAGCTCTCCTGGAGGAACTAACCGCTGAGCTTATCCTCACATCTGATGGCAATGTCAGATACTCATGCTATTTGAGCTGCTTCAGCCTGCCTTCTCTAGCTGCTTCCATCTGCAACTGTCATTGTTGCACACAACTTCAAACATTTGGATCCAAAAGTAAATTTTTCTATCACATGTGAATTAACATACAAAGAGCCAAATCTTTTAGCAAGGCTCAATAATAGAAGGATCCTGGTCCTAAATTAGCCTACCAGCCGCCTGATTGAAAACATTTGATGCATGATGAAAATTAAAAATACCACATAGAAGACTCCTTCCTGACTGTTGAGCGGAAAACCTCAAATTCCTAACATTTCATACCGCATCCTAGCTTTTTTGGAATTGGTGTTGCAACTAAAATATGATGCAAAATTGTTACTGTTTATTGGAATCCAAGAAGCAAAAGGCAAAGCTTGCTTTGTCTGGAAAGTAATCTAATTATTAGAGATAATAAATTAAGAAAAAACACATAACACATTGTAAAAAAGGTTAACAACTCCCTGAAGTTTTAATTTAGAGTATTTGTGTTTTCTTCTCAATGTCTAGATGTACCTGGTATATTCAGTGGAGACCAGATTGCCATGCTGGACCCTCACCAGACCTTGTTTGGAGTCCATGAGTCTGGACAATGTTGGAACTTAAAGAAAGACATAAAAGAGATCACAGAACTGGCAGACCAGTTTTCTCCCTACATTGGGATTTTTGGGAACTCTGAGAAAATCTTCAAGGATGGCAGCTTTCCAGGAACATTATTTCGCTTCCCACTCCGCATGAAACCATCCCAGCTCAGTGGCAACATTTACAACAAAGAAAAGGTTTTGGAGCTCTTTGAGTCTTTCAAAGCAGATGCAGACACTGTGCTCCTTTTCCTCAAGAGCGTTCAGAAGATCTCCTTGCATGTACGAGAGTCTGATGGTACAGAACGTTGTCTGTTTCAGGTTACAGCAACAGAGAACACTGATAATAAATTAGAAAGGCTGAATGCACTGAAGACTCTGAATCAGGGTGTAGACAACTACAGCAATGGTGTGCCCATGAGTAAAGTCACATGTGTCACATATAAGGTCAGCATAGAGACACAGGATGAAACAGCTAAAGAGACTCAGAGGACAGACTGGCTGGTTTGCAATGGTGTTGGGAGTAGAGGACTTTGTGCTACGTTGGACTCTCTGGCAGATGAGTTAAAGTTTATGCCCATCGTTGGCATTGCTCTGCCTATTACTTTGATCAATAAAGAAGATGAGGGTGCCACATCTGGTTTCTCAGGACGAGCTTTTTGCTTCCTCCCTCTACCACCTGGAGAGGAGAGTGAGACAGGACTTCCAGTTCATGTAAGCGGCTTCTTTGGCGTCACAGACAACCGCAGGAGTATCAAGTGGCGGGAAGTGGACCAGTGGAGGGATCCAGCAGCATTGTGGAATGAACTTTTGATAAAAACTGTCATCCCTAAGGTTTATTTTACACTCATAAGTGACACGATCAAAAGGGTACAAGCAAAAAAGGACCAAGACCTCACACTATCTCCTACAGGGAGCTATAGGGCTTGGCCAGACCCTGAGCAGGTCAAGTCTCACTGGAAAACTATCCTTAAACCACTGTATCAAGATTTGCTGCAGGAGCAAGTCATTTATTCACTCAGTGATGACTGGGTGTTGGTGGATCAAGCTGTCTTCTCAGAGCTTGACAAAGACATTGACGTTTCAGAGACTGTGATTAACTACCTCAAAAGCTCAGGAATGCAGGTGGCAAAGGTACCCGCAACTGTGAACTCAGTCTTAACTACCTACTCTGAAATAAAAAAGGTAACGCCATCCTTCTTGCGACAAGTGATCAGGAAGTACAAACATGAAGGTTCCTCACAGGAAAAGCTGCTGCTGCTTGAGTTTATTCTCAGTGATGGGGATTACAGTGACCTCATTGGATTGGAGCTCCTGCCACTTCAGGATGAAACATTTACATCATTTTCATCTCCTGTCAGTGAAAATGATGCCATTTACATCGCATCTGGAGAATTCCCCAGGTAGGAATACATTGAAATAGTCTATTTACACAACAAAGCAAAGTTTGCATGTCTACCAAGTTGCAATTCTTATTTTATAACACAAAGTATCCAATGTTTTTTGTGTGGCCTTAGGTCTCTGTATCCTGGTCTTGAGGGTCAGTTCGTGTCGGAAAGCATTAAACCTTCAATACTGGGTGCTTTGAGGACAGCAGCAAAAACCAAAGGTACTGTCTAATGTTTTATTTATAGCCACATATGCAGGGTCATCATCAGAGGTTTCCATCACACGATGCAGGTCGCAGAGCACAGGCAGTAATACTGAGCAGGAAATATAGGATTTCCCACCCAGAATCTCAGTTACACACCTGCAGTGAAGACACACAGCCACATACACACAGAGGGAGAGATGGAGGAAGAACAAAATGATTATTAAAACAAGATGAACGTAATGTATTTTCTTTTACAAATGTATTTTATTTCAGCCTAAATTGTGTCTAGATTGCTTACTTGCAGGGCTCCAGAAGAGACTTCAGTTTCTCCAGTTTGTCCCATTCAGTAGATAAAGGGTCGCTTTATCTACTGCTTGGTTGCGGTTTAGACAATGTAGTATCTTGAAATTTTATCCTTAACACTGAAAAGATAATTTACTTTAACTATACAAGTCATGCAAAATTTGAACAAACTTGTGCAAAGACTTTGGTTTATACAAGTGTTTAAAGAGTTTCTGTCTTTCAAATATATATATTTTTTTAGGCTGTTGTGTTAATTTCAACATTTTTAAAGACATATGCATTGGCTTCCACGTTTTTCAGACTGCAGATGGTTTAAGACCATCTAAAGTTTAAAGACATTTCTAATGGGGAAAAGGTTTTTCTTTATCTCTGAAAAAGAGAGTCCTTTGTTGTGCACCTGATATATTTTTGAAAGTGCTTGTTGCCTTTTGGTTAGATTACTTGCCACATGACTCATTTTCCCTGAATGCTTTAACAGCGGTATACCATATCTAAAACTGCTGCTTAGTTGTTATAGATAACATTCTTTTTGGTAATAATGACTAATTATAAATATTTTGTGATTTGACAGGAGAACCCTGCACTCAGCTGCAAGAGCTGAACCCTGAACGATCGGCTCGACTGATTAAGGAGATACTATCTAAAGCCTGGACAACTACGGACTTCATTGTCCAATGGGAACCCGGGAACAGAGAGCTGGGGCATCCTACGTTTTCCTGGCTTAAGATGGTGTGGAAGCATCTCTACACAAACTTTTCTGATGACTTGAGCATCTTTGAAGACATGCCTTTGATTCCACTCATGCCACTTGAGGAAAGCGTTGAAGAGGTAAAGCTTCTACGTCTCAAAACTCCATCCCCCATAATTCTCGCTGGTGGGGAAGATGCGCAGCGCTCTGAGAGTCTATTTAACATCTTGGAAAAGCTGGGAGGCGTTGTGGTGAAAAAGCTTGATCCATGTTTGCAGCACCCACTGCTTAGGAACTACATTCACCCTTCCTCTCCCAGTGTCCTTCTACATATTATGGGCAGATGGTCAATGCAACAACTCTCCAGTAAAGTCTCTGTCTTAACTGTTGAGGAAAGGATTACACTCAGAGGTTTTCTTGCTGCTTTAACTGATATAACGGAGAAAGAAAAGCATACCCTGCTTGAGCTTTCCATCTTTGAGAAAGTTGGGACCTGCTCTGAAGGTACCTCAGGATTTACTTCACTGAAAGGAGCAAAGGCTTTACACCACAAAGCCAAGTATATGCCAGATGTGAAGTTATCTGTAGCTCTTGTTGCTTGCTCTGATGAGGAATCAATTCGCCTAATCAAGATGCTAAATGTGGAGCAAGTCAAAACCACTGACTACCTGAAGATGATTAATCAGGATATTGAAAAGGGGCTTCACACATTCGACGAGATAACCAAAATCATGCTTTGGGCACTCACACATCTAGCATTTTTGAAAAATGAAAACTCATCAGTGATTGGATGGCTTTCCTCACTGAAGCTTATACAGTTGCCTTCTGGCAAGTTAGTGAAGGCCTCTGACCTTTTTGATCCTGAGCTGGAGATTCTACAGAATCTTTTTTACATGGAAGAGAAAACCAGGTTTCCCACAAATACATACAGTTCTTCACCTGATATTCTTCATTCACTCAGACAACTGGGACTTAAAAATGAAGTACAGCTCAGTGAAAAGGATGCACTCAAAGTGGCACTGAAAATAGAGGAGTTACTAAGTAACAAGGAACCTCAGTGGGAACGCATAATCAAAAAAGCAAAAACACTCCTCCAAATACTTAACAGGCAAACCAAGCTGATAAAATCAGCCAATGCTCAGACATCATTGCTAAAAATAAAATGGGTACCTGTCTGCAAAGAACGACCTCTAACATACCCTAAGTCTCTTGCCTGGGTTGGAGATACTGTCAATATCTGCTCCTTGTCTGAAATGTGTGATATTTCCCATGCAGTACTGGTGGGATCATCGGTAGCATTGGTTGAACACACTTCTGCAGGTATGAAAAAGGCACTAAAACTAGCTTTAGAGCCACAGGTGGATCAAGTTTTACAGCACCTGAAAGCTGTGAATGACTGGCATAAATCTCAAGCGTTTACCACGGAGGACTGGTATCAATTCCAACAGATCTTGTTTGAGATTTATGGTTTCATGCAGGCTCACTTGGAAGATGCTAGAGAAGCAATGAAATCACTGCTTTTCGATTGGGTTTGGACAGGAAAGACATTCTCATCACCTTGCAAGACAGTCCTGAAACCCCTCTCTGATCTTGACTTGCAGCCCTATCTATACTCCCTGCCAAAGACGATCAGAAAGTTTCACAAGCTTTTCAAGTTTTGTGGTTCAGTAGAAGAGGTTGGCCCAAGCCATGTGTTTGAAGTCATCAGTACCATACAGCAAAAATGTGAAGGAGGGATTACCAAGGAGGAAAGCAAGCATAATATCCTACTCTTGACAAACATCCTAAGATGGTTGTACAAGAATCAGATACCTGTAGATATCAACATGCATGTCCCAATTCTTTTTCATAAAGACCCAAGTAAACTAGTCATGAAACCTATTCATGAATGCACCTACTGTGATATCAAGGTCGATGACCTGAACGACTTACTTGACGATGCATCAGAGCCCATTATATTGGTGCATGATGATATCCCCATGAAAACTGCAGAGTGGCTGAAGGTGCCATGTTTAAGCACCAGGTTGATAAACCCAGAAAACCTTGGCTTTGAACAGTCAGGCCAGAGAGAACCACTCACAGTAAGAATAAAGAACATCTTGGAGGAATATCCATCCATAGCAGACATTTTCAAAGAGCTTCTCCAGAATGCTGATGATGCTTGTGCAACTGAGTGCAGTTTTCTCATTGACATGAGAAAAAATACTGACATTCTAGAAAATCTCCTCGATCCTGGGATGATTGTCTGTCATGGGCCTTCCTTGTGGTCTTACAACAACTCTGTCTTCTCAGATGCAGACTTTCTGAACATAACAAGGCTTGGTGGATCAGTCAAACGACGGGAAGCAGACAAAGTTGGCAAGTTTGGTCTGGGCTTTAACTCGGTTTATCACATCACTGATATCCCAATCATAATGAGCAGAGAGTTCATGATCATGTTTGATCCAAACATCAATCACATAAGCAAACACATTAAGGACAGCTCTAATCCAGGGATCAAAATCAACTGGAGCAAACAACAGAAAAGGCTGAGAAAATTTCCAAACCAATTCAGACCTTTCATCAATGTATTCAACTGCCAGCTTCCTCTTGCACAGGATTCTCCATACAAATACAATGGCACACTGTTCAGACTACCATTCAGAACAGAGCAGGAAGCCTCAGTGAGTGAAATCAGTAGTCTTTACTACAACACCACAGACATCTACTCCCTGGTTGATGAGTTCAGCATATGTGGCCACAAGTTCATTCTGTTCACCCAGCATGTTGGAGAAATGGTCTTGAAATACTTGAAATGTGAGGAACCAAATCCTGTGGGATCACAAGATGTTGTCACCATCAACAAAAGTGTGTGGTCATCTAAAGCCTCATATGGACCTCTGAGTATCCTTAAATCTGCAGCAAAGGTTATGAAAAAAACAGCAAGCACTAGCAAGATACCTGCAGATGTTCCCAAATCTGGCTGTATCATACGCGTTATGGTAGAGGAGTTTCATAACGTGTTCAAAAGAATTGTGGATCTTCACTCACCGCTGTTTAGGGGATCAGAAGAAGATCCTAACCAGTACTTTGAGATGGCTGCAAAAGGTGTTCAGACAAGAAGACTTACAGATGAAATGCCTCAAAAGGCAGTGGAAGTCACGAACTGGCTCATTTGCTCATGTATGGACAGTACTGAAGCCCTCAAGTTTTCCCTCAGTGACAGTGGAATAAGGCTTGGACTTGTACCATGTGGAGGGGTGGCTGTTCTGCTTGCAGAGAAAGAGAACGGCTTATGGACAGTGAAGACAAATACCATACCAATCGGAGAGGTTTTTTGTTATTTACCTCTCCGGATCAAAACAGGTCTTCCCGTCCACATTAATGGTTGCTTTGCTGTGACCTCCAATCGTAAAGAGATTTGGAAGACTGACACCAAAGGACAGTGGAATCAAGTGTTCATGAGACATGTCATTGTGCAAGCATATTTAGCAGCACTCTCAATGCTTCGCTCAATGGCTGAAAATGGAGAACTGGTCAACTACAGCTATTATGCCGTGTGGCCAGATCCAAGTCAAGTACATGATGACTTCTCACTGATATGCCAGGGTGTCTACCAAGAAATTTCAAAAGGAGGTGACTCTGAGCATGCAAAGGTTTTCTCTGATGGCAAAGTCTGGGTGTCTATCAAACACATTAGATTTCTTGATGATGCCCTACTCTGTAGGTCAGATATTGGTCCTGCTGCTTTTAAGATATTCCTAAAATATCTCAAGAAGAGTGGCTCACAAACCCTTTGTGCTGTTGAGCTTCCCGACTGGGTGAAGGAGGGATTTGAAGATGCTGGGTGTAAAGGGAAACTGGCAGAAAACACTCTGACAGAGAAGCAGTTTTTCTCCGATGTATTTTTCCCACACATCCATGAAATTGACAAAGAACCTCGTGATCCCCTGATGCTGTATGTTTTGAACGAGAAACTTGAAGAATTTGCAACAATTCTCAGTGATACTCCATGTATCCCTTGCACTGGCCCAAATGAGAATCTGGTTTTGCCTTCTAGGCTCATTCATCCAGAGGGAAGAGTTGCAAAATTATACAATAGTGATGATGGGAGATTTCCTGCAGGAACCTCTAAGGACTATCTAAACCCAGTTTGTCTGGTAAAGCTAGTAGAGTTGGGCATGGTCAAAGATGATCTGTCATGGGAGGACCTTATAGAGCGTGTTCAATCTGTCACTGATCTCAATGAAAGTGACCACACAGCTGCATGCTTTCGTAGCAGTATACTACTGAGTCTTATTGATGAGAAACTGAAGATGAGAGATTCAGAAGCAGCTGAACATTTAAAAAAGCTCAAGGACATTAAGTTCCTCCCATTCCTGACAAGACCTGCTGGCTTTTCACTCCCATGGCATGGGAATGACTTTTCTCCAACAAAAATGTTCTCTCCTGCAGAACTCTACACAACTGAGTATCAAGACACAGTGTGTCTGATGAAGCCAATCCTAAATGAAAATTCTCCATCTTTCAAGGGTTGTGGAACGATGTCATTGGCTGTGAAAGACTGTCTTGGTTTGATAAGGAAGCCCTCAGTTGCACTGGTCATTAGTCAGCTCAAGAAACTGTCTGAATCATTCGATGGCATCACACTGTATCAGGAAAACATAACAAATGCCTGTTACAAGTTTCTTCATGAGGAAATGCTGCAGGATTTTCAAGCAAAAGAGCAAGTAACTCAGGAACTGAAAGCATTTAATTCCATCCTAGTGGAAAATACATACATCAATCCTGCCAAAGTTGCTTTCCACCTGAATTTTGATGTGGCTCCACATCTTTTTCAACTCCCTAACAAATACAGAAACAGCTGTCGTGAGCTCTTTGAAAATATTGGGGTACAGCCAAACTTCACAGTTGAAGATTTCTCTGCCGTTCTTGAAGTTGTGAGGGAAGATTTTGGCCACAAGCCTCTCACTGAGGAGATCTTTCAGCTGTGTCGAAGAATCATTAGTGAAGGGATATGGAGTTTAATACGAGACAAAAACCAAGAATATTGCAAGGCCAATTATGGTTGGATTCTTTTACCTGACTCAAAACTGACTTTGCAGCCATCAAAATCCCTGTGTTACAATGACTGCCCTTGGATCCAAGTGAAAGACTCCTCTGTAAAATATTGCCATGGGGACATTCCAAGAGAGGTTGCTGTGAAACTAGGGGCTGTCCCAAAACGGCATAAAGCTTTGGAGAGATATGCCTCCAATGTCTGTTTCTCTTCACTTGGAAGCGAGTTTGGACAGAAAGAAAAACTCACAAGCAGGATTAAAAGCATTCTCAATGCTTATCCATCAGAAAAAGAAATGCTGAAAGAGCTGCTGCAAAATGCAGATGATGCAAAAGCCACCGAAATCTACTTTGTTTTTGATTCCAGGACACATCCCACAGACAGAATATTTGATGATAAATGGATCCCAATGCAAGGCCCTGCCCTCTGTGTATACAACAACCAACCTTTCACAGATGACGATATCAGAGGTATACAGAGTCTTGGAAGAGGTACAAAAGAGGCAAATCCTGGGAAAACAGGACAGTACGGCATTGGATTCAATTCTGTCTATCACATTACTGACTGCCCATCCTTCATTTCAAACAATGATATTCTGTGCATCTTTGATCCACATGCACAGTATGCACCTGGAGCTACATCTGAGAGTCCTGGACGAATGTTCAAAGACTTGGACAATGACTTCCGATCTCAGTTTTCCGATGTTCTAAATCTTTACTTGGGGAATCATTTCAAGCTAGAGCACTGCACAATGTTTCGATTCCCTATTCGCTCTACTGAGATGGCAAAAGCATCAGAGATCAGTTCTATCCCTGCATCTGACAGAATGGTGCAAAACCTTTTAGATAAGCTAAAAAATGATGGAGCAGAACTCCTTATGTTCCTCAACCACATGGAGCAAATATCAATCTGTGAAATTGATAATGCATCTGGAGAACTAAAAACACTCTATACTGTGTCTGCCAAAATTACCGATGGTGATCGGCTAAAACGCAAACAGTTTCATTCCTCAGTCATTGACAGTGTGACTAAAAAGAAACAACTCACGTCAATCCCTGTCCAACAGATAACCTACACGATGGACATACAGGATACTGATGGAAATACAACAGCATGGATGGTCTGTAACCGATCCGGCTTCCTTACAAATGAAAATGTCTCAAAGAGTGTGACTTCAGCTTACAAAAATGGAGACATAACTCTCTTTCCACGTGGGGGTGTAGCTGCATGTGTAAGCCATAACTACAGAAAACCCCTCAGAGCTTTCTGTTTTTTACCCCTCTCACTGGAGACTGGCTTACCTTTTCATGTCAATGGACATTTTGCATTGGACTCTGCTAGAAGAAACTTGTGGAGAGATGACAATGGAGTGGGAGTCAGAAGTGACTGGAATAATAACTTGATGACATTGCTGATAGCCCCTGCCTGTGTGGAACTTCTGATTCAACTGAAGCGTAGATACTTCCCAGGTCCTGATCCCACCCTGACCATTCTACAAGGAACACCACTTCATGTTGTCAAAGATACATTACGAAAGTACCTGTCTTTCTTCCCAGTCAACAGACTTGCCATACAGCCAGATTGGTACTGCTTGATCAAAGCAGTTTACAGCAATATCCATGCCAACTTGATGCGCCTCCTTCCTGTCGTGAGAGCAGTGCATCATGACAGCTCTGACATGCACTCTGTTGTTTACATTTCCTGGGTGAATACATCAACCGCAAACAAGGGCAGAGCTTTTTTTGATAATCTGCTACAAGATGAGCTTCAGCACCTGAAAAACACAGAGTACAACATGACCTCAAGGAAGTCTGTGGCTGAAAATGTCTACAGGTTGAAAACCTTGCTTCTGGATATTGGTTTTAACCTTATTCACAGCTGTGATGAGACAGCAAATCTCTATTTCTGCTTGGAAGATGCAGGGATACCAGTGCATTATGTGACGCCAGAGGAAGTGCGTGTCTTTCTCCATACCTTTTCATCACCAGAGACATTTTGCCAAGTTGGAAAACTCCCCTGCCGTCTCCAACAGTCGAACTATAAGCATGTTAACAACTTGAAGCTTTTAGTTGAATATTGCTTCAAAGACATGGAAGTAGATAATGTTGAAATTGAGGGCCTGCCTCTGTTGATAACGATGGACAACATGCTGCAGGTGTTGGATTCCAAGAGACCTAAGTTCCTGACAACACATTATGACCTTATCTCATCTAGGAAAGAGCTGTTCATGAATACAATGTATATAAGGTACAGCAACATCCTTTTGAAGGCAGGAGCTGCAAAAAACTTTGACATAAGCCACTTCGGTGACCTACTGGGCTCAGTTCTTTCAAGAGAATACCGGACAAAGGTCCCTGTAAGATGGAAAGACACCTTTGCAGGTGAAACTTGGTTGAAGAATGTGTGGACCTTCATCGGTGAAAACACTGCCGTTAAAGATGATCAGGTGGACAAGCCCAGCTTTACCACAGTGCTTGATATTCTTAAAGATTGGGCTTTGCTACCAGGAATAAAATTCATGGCCAGAGAAAGAATAGTTGTCCCTGAGCAAGACATACTTTTACCTCTGAGTTTGATCAACATAGCTCTCTTCCCACATGGTCAAAATGACAAAGTTTTTCACACTCTGATGAAAGCAGGGTGCATTCAGCTTGCAGTGAACAAAATCTTTGCCAAAGAAAACCCATTGATTCCTTTTCTCGTCAAACACACTGTGAACATTGATAATCCATCAAGTGTTCTTAAAGCTGTGGAGTACATGATTCAGACATCTGCTTTTAAAGTAGCAAACCTGAACGACAAAGACTTTGAGGCTCTCATGATGTATTTTAATTGCAATCTGGCCAACCTGGCACAAGAGGACGTTCAAAGACTAAAACTTCTTCCATGCTTCAAGTCAGTGAGTGATAAATACATCAGCATTGTGAACTATGAAGCAAGCTATGTCCTTGCAAAAAGCATTCCTGTTGCAGACATAGACAAATGGGCACACACATCCTCCTTTGCCTTTCTTGCTGACAGTATGCAGCTTAGAGAGCTGTATGCCTTCCTTGGCTGCAAGCCAATTGATGACTTAGAAATCTACCTTCATCATGTCCTGCCAAAATTTGAGAATCTCACCTATGATGCAAGGGTTGAACATGTCATCTACTTGAAGGAGAGGCTTTTGTCAATTGAAGAACCATGCAAGATAAAGGATCAACTCTTTGAGAAGTTGGAGGGACTCTCGTTCATCTATGACTACTCAAACAGGCTAAGGCCAGCCAAGTTTTTCTATGATAAGACTGTGAAGGTGTTTGATGCAATGCTCCCCGCAAAACTATTCATACCAAATGACTTTTTTAAGAAAGTTGAGCATGTGTCAAAACCTAAGAATGGGACATTGTTGCTTCCCTCATGGATAACCTTTCTGAGAGGTATTGGTCTAAAGAATGAAGTGTCACCGCAGCAAGTTCTACAGTTTGCGAAAGAGATCAGCGTCAGAGCTCAAACAGAGAGCTGGTCCAAAGAAAAAGCGCAAACTGTGGTCAATGTTCTCTTGACTCACATTTTCAATGAGCGGACGGATTTGTTCCAAGGCACTTTTCTTAAAGAACTCTCTATGATACCATTCCTTTGTTCAGAGAAAGCCCCAGAAGAGCTTATCCAGCTTCATCCACAGTTTCACGACATGAGTGGCTCACTTTCCCTGGTTCGCTTCTATGGGTCTCAGGTCAATCCAAAGTTCAAGCAAACAGATGTCATTCACTTGCTTTGGACATCTTGCCCAATTCTACCTGAAAAAGCAACACCATCAAGCATAAAAGACCAGGAGGGAAGCACTCTGACAGGACAAGAACAACTTGACCAAGTGTTGAACATGTTAGGTGTTAATTTAGACCCCGTGCTAGAAAAAGTCATAAGCAACTGCAAGAATATCTGCAACATTTCAAATCCGCATGATGAGGTAGTGAAAACCAGGAACAAAGTTTTAAGGTCCACTTATGAGTTCCTGAGTGCAGAAAAAAGAGATTTCCATCTCCAGCTCCGTGGGGTAGCGTTCGTTATGGTGGAAGATGGCTGGAAGTTGCTTAAACCTGAAGAGGTTGTCATTAATTTGGACAATGAATCTGACTTCAAACCCTACTTGTATAAGCTACCTTTGGAGCTTGGTACCTTTCATCAGCTCTTCAAAGCACTTGGAACAGAAGATGTTGTGTCAACTAAACAATACGTTGAAGTACTCTGGCGAATTTTCAGAAGTTCAGAGGGCAAGCAACTTGATCCAAATGAAATGAGAACTGTCAAAAGGGTTGTTTCAGGGCTATTTAAGTCTCTCCAGAATGATCCAGTGGAGGTTCGCAAAGCTCTTGAAGACTTGAAAGATTTAACATTTTATCTCCCAAGTCATGATGGTAGATTAGCCAAATCCAATAGCTTGATGTTTGATGATGCCCCACACTACAAAAGTAGAATTCGGGGTAACATTGGAGTTCTGATGCTTGTGGACATGAGCCAGTGTTATCTTGGCAGGGATCATGCGTTCCACACAAAGCTGATCATGCTACTTCCACAGAAACTGAGACCCAAACTGTTAAGCAGCATTCTTGAAGAGCAACTAGAGGAAGATTCTCCAAAAATGTGCCAGTTTGGAGCTCTTTGTTCACTCCAAGGTCGCCTCCAGTTGTTGTTGTCTTCAGAGCAGTTTATCACGGGACTAATCAGAATAATGAAACATGAGAGTGACAATGCATACCTTGTGAATGAAGAAAAAGCCATTCGTCTCTGCAAAGCACTTTGTGAAGGATTAAAAGTTTCATGTTTTGAAAAACTCCAGACAACATTAAGGGTGAAAGGATGCAGTCCAATCCCTCACAGCCGCAGTGAAACACTTGCCTTTTTAAAGAGATATGGAACAGCTGTGATTCACCTTTATATCCAGCACTCAGACAGCAAAGACATCAATTTTCTTTTAGCACTAGCAATGACACTGAAATCTGCTACAGACAATCTGATTTCTGATACATCCTATTTGATTGCCATGCTTGGATGTAATGACATTTACAGAATCTCAGAGAAGTTGGACAACCTAGGGGTAAAGTATGACTCAACAGAACCTTCAAAACTTGAGCTACCCCTCCCTGGAACCCCAATACCAGCTGAGATACATCACACACTCCTTATGGATCCCATGAATGTGTTTTATCCAGGAGAATATGTAGGTTACCTTGTGGACTCAGAGGGTGGAGAGATGTATGGGTCCTACCAGCCTACATATACATATGCCATCATTGTTCAAGAAGTGGATAAAGAAGAGGGGGAAAACACAAGTGTCCTTGGAAAATGTTTCCAGATTGACATTGGTTACAGTGAGTACAAAATAGTCAGTTCTCTTGACTTGTACAAGTTCTCAAGACAAGATGATACTACCCATGCTCATGACTCCAGTATCCCATCAGCAACTCCTACAAGCCCAAATAGCTGTTCCTCTGGTCCAGGAGTAATCCCTCCCCTTTTTACTCAGAAGGAAAATCTGAGGACCTCCTCTCAAAAACAGTCTCCAAAAAAGATCAAGCTTAATGCATTGCCTGAGATTTTGAAGGAAGTAACCTTGATAGTTGCACAAGCCTGGAAGCTCCCTGAGATGGAAAGAAAGAAGATGATTCGAAGACTGTATCTCAAATGGCATCCAGACAAAAATGCAGATAATCTGGACATAGCCACAGAAGTCTTCAAGCATTTACAGACAGAGATCAACAGAATGGAGAAACAGTTTCTGGCTGATCAACAAAATACAGACAGAGCTTCCAGGAGATCCTACTCCACATCATCAACTCGCTTCCAGTCAGAGAAATTTTCCTTTCAAAGGTTTTATTCATCCTGGAACCAAGAAGCAACAAACCACAAGTCTGAAAGGCAGCACTTTAGGGAACATTTTACAGGCAATGTAGGTTCCTCACACTCCCCTCGTTTTTTTGTACCCCCTACTTTTAAAACAGTTGGTAACCCTGTAGAGGCCCGTAGGTGGCTTAGACAAGCAAGAGCCAACTACTCTGCTGCTCGGAATGATCTTCATAAAAATGCCAATGAGTGGGTTTGTTTCAAATGCTACCTGGCCACAAAGCTTGCACTTATTGCTGCTGACTATGCAGTCCGAGGAAAGTCAGACAAAGATGTGAAGCCAACCGCCCTGGCTCAAAAAGTTGAGGAATACAACTCTCAGTTAGCAGGTCTTGCCAATGACGTCCAGATACTAGAAGGCTATGGAGTGGACAGCCTGAGAACTCGCTATCCTGATCTCCTGCCGTTTCCTCAAATTCCAAACGACAGATACACATCTGAGGTGGCAATGAGGGTGATGGAATGTACCGCACGTATTATCATAAAGCTCGAAAATTTTGTGCAGCAAAAATTATAGAATTGTAAAAATGGCATTTGCATAGATCCTGTGTAACAGAGGATGCATTTGGCTTTGTAATGAATACTTTTGGGTCTATCTGAAGCATCTAGCCAGCAGCTCATACTATATATGCATTTTCTACGAATAATGAAGAGTTTGTGGCCAGTGCTAAGTTAATGATATATAACTTGTCGGCCCTCTCTGTTATAGAATGGCATTATGATAAGATTTCTTCTTTACAATGCTGAATTCATGTTTTTTGTTTTGTTTATTTAAATACATACACACATGTTCTGACAGATACACAAACTCGGATATAGTTTGTGTATGTATATATATATATATGTATGTATGAAATATTTGACAGTTTAGAGAAACATAACAGATTTGTTTTATACATGGTGATTTACATTGTGTCAAAGGAAGCTTAATAAATTCCCCTTAAATAAATTGTGTTTTTATTATTATTTTAATTAAAATTTTCTCATACAAAAAATGATTGACTTTAACTCTAAAATCATCATTGTACATTATATTTTCTTGATATAAAATATTTTTAATTCCTTAAAGGGGGTATTGTGCTTTTCTACATTTACAACAAAAGTTGCAAAGTTGCAATGTTTGGTGTCCGAACGAAATGTCTGCAAAGTTTCAGACCACGAGGTAAACATATTTTGTCATAATCCTGGCAAATATATATTAACTGCACAAATCTTGGACAAACAAACGATTTAGTAACATTCTTTTATAAGAATTGTAAGTTCTCCTTACTGGTTCATCTGAGCCTGCGGCAAAGCAGAACGGCTTGCCTCCAACAACATGTGAGGTGACACCCACAGTGGAGCAGGGTAACTACTATGGAAGTAACGCTGCTCCACTGTGCAACTGATTGACCACTATAGAGAGAGCGGGGCCAAAACACTCCAAAACACCGAGCTCTAGCCTCGGCCAGCTTCTAGAGAGTCACTCGAGAGGTGACTAATCCGAAGAAAGTGTGCTTGTGAGAGGGGGGCCTGAAAGGGATAGCAGCTAAAACCACGCACGCAGATGGCACTATACGACCCCCTCAGATTCACAGTGAACCTGACCCCACCCCCCCACCCCTCTCTCACACACACACACACTCAGGACCCTACATAAGGCACCAAACATAGGATTAATGTTTTGTTAGTTAGACTAATTTGACTACATTGCAGGGTGCACTGACAGCCTGGTGTTTATGTGCTATGACTAATGGTGCATTCCAGCTGGACACAGTTGTCGGAATTTCTTGAAGTCCAAGTCAGAAGTTTAATCAGAACCCCATAAAGTTGGATTTCCAATTCAGACGCTAAACAGCAAGTTGGACCTCTCCAAGGAAAATCTGAGCTCAAAACCCCTGAGCCGGCAAAGTGTTGGACACACATTGTGGGAAGGAGTTTTCTTTTCACCAAAGCATTTCCGGCGTACTTTTTTTAAATTTAACCTTTATTTAACCAGGTAAGAACCCGTTGAGATAGAGATCTCATTTACAAAAGTGACCTGGCCAAGAGATCGGCAGCACACATCACAACAATAAATAATAAAGAAGAAGAAAATGACCAAAATACCATATTTATGCAAAGCATAGGAGTTTAACACATTTGTTCATATTCCCTTCTTTCTTGAGTGTCTTTGCTCATGCAAAATGAAACATGATTAATTTTGATTTAAAATAAATGAAATGAAATCATGATTGATCGAAATTACTCCATGGCAACCCTGTGACTAATCATATTAAGAGTTTTTATTGTTTGACAGAACTGATATATACATATATATTCCTTTTAAAACCTTTATATTGTCAATAGTGGTGAAAATGTTTTAACTGGGGGACAAAGTTTAGTTCATAGACCTTACTGTCTTTTGCACTTCTACAGCTTTTGCTCAGCCAGCAAAAAGGTAAGTATAAAAATATGTGAATAAATGCAATTTAAAGATAGAAGGAAGAGCAAACTTTATTCAGAAATATTACTCACAAACTTGGCATACTTTGCCACTCATAAACATAATACAGCACCACGTAATATTGAATTTTTTAACTTGTTAACTGAAATGGCAGAAAATCCAGCTTGCCAAGAGGCTTAAAAAACAAAACACTTTATCTTATGAACTGAGAATGTCCTTAACTTCTACATCATGTAATAAAATTTGGAGGCAAAAACAGTATGTCCAACATGCAACGTGCATTTTCCATTGAAAACTATTTTTCAATGGAAAATGTTGCCCAACACAAAGACAAAAAAGTCTTCATAATGACAGATTGTAGACAGTGCCGAGAAAGTAAACCAAATTTATCATTTCTGTAGCATTTGATCACTTTTTCTTATCATCCTTGTCAGTATTTCTTTCCATTATACAACAATTCAGCTAAGGATGTAAGCTAACAGCTCCTTACTGTGATATTGTGTGTCCACAGTTCTGATATCAATAAATATGAAACTGACTGCCAGTTTGTCAGGGGGTCTTGGATGTTAACAAGTCTGTGCAGTTGCTGTTGTATGTACTGTATGCCAACAGGTGTTTCTATATATCTCAAGATCTTATGTACAAAAGGTTATATTATAAAATCTTTGACATCTCATAAATACTTTTCAAGAAAAGAGTCATTCTAGCATTCCTGGTTCTCGCTGCATGTGGAGGTGACCCCGGCCTTGGACAGGAAGACTTTTCCACTGAGACACACACAAACCTCGTAGAGATCCAGTGTGTTTCCAGAAACCCCTCCTTGGCTTTGTGGCAGATTTGGCATACGTACAGTCTCAGCATCCAGCACCAGCTGTACAGCAGAAGATGTGGAAAAACAAGGACAAGCAAAGAAACAATTTCAACTAAAAAGGCAAGAGTTTTTTTTTCCCCGTCAGCCTCCTATTGACAATAAATAGTCATGTTGATTTTTGATAAAGCAGAACTGTAGAGCTTAAGTAAGACTGATAACCATCAGTCCAATCCTATGGCTTTCTGAAAAATCTGGACAACAATAGCTCATTAAAAAGGACAAGCTAAGCCTCTTTGTAACACTTGGGCACCTGAAGGGGCCACTTTTGATGATAAGTTCCCAGCTGTAACTAAATTTTTTATTGAAAGTTCCCAGGTGTTACTGTGAGAGATTATATTTCTGCTTTGGGAGCAGCTTTATGTTTTCCCTCTATAATCATTTGGGGAAACAGGCCCAATGTACACTACAGAATTCATGAAGGGAACATGGTTTTACTACTCACCAGTCCTTTGCTAGACTGTAGAATAACATCCATGTTGGAAGCAGCTTCAGTGTTTCCAGTCAGTGCTTTGATATGAATTCCTTTTGGGGCATCCATAGTGAGAGAGCGAGTAGGGGACTCCAACCTAAATCAAATCAAATCAGCGTTACACAGGCTGTACTGCTCTATCAACAGTTCTTGTCTGAAATCTTTTAAAGGGTGTATAAAACAAGATCCTGTTTGCCCATTACATAAAATACACCTCAGTAATAATGCAGTTTAACATGGGAGAATAAATCCTGCTCATTAATTATTTTGTTTCTGCAGGTATCAAGGATTCTTCCCCCCTGCAAGAATAAGGCTCATCAAAACACTTTTATGAATAGCTTTATAATCTCCAAGGGATTTATCCATCACCGCATCACCCCTTAAAAACAGCTGAAGCACTAACCTCAAGTCTTTTGAAGGTTCTGATTTCAACTGGGGTACCTCGACTGAATGCTGGAACAAGGCACCTTCAGGACCTAACGGAGAGAGAGTTACACAGTTATATACTGTACCTCCCTAGAGATAACATGAAATCAGAGTCTAAAAGAATCAGCTGTAGCCTGGTGTGACCGGAGGTAGTTTACCCCATGCCACACTATGGCACCAACAAGTGCATAAATTGCTGGGCATCGCCTGAAGAAGAAACAGATTACTCTGCATTGGGCCCCACTTTGGGCTACATGTGGGCGCATGTGCTTCATGCTTCAGGCATTGTCCACCTTGAATCCCTTTGTTTCTGATATGCTGCTCCTGGCTGATAGTGCTTGTTCTCCAGTCTTAAGTTGGGGTATATCCCAGTAACTGGAATGAGCCAACAGTAGAGGAGAGTGCAGAAGGGTTCGGTCCACTGTCATCTCTACAGTCTTGGGTGGGTTCAACTCCAGATTGTTCTGAATGCACCAGAAACTGAGCTGTCTATATGCAGAGTTATCACAGTCTCAGATGAAACTTCAGGAGTTTGACAGCCAGGTCCCCCTGAGGTGTAGCTGTTGGGCTGGAGCAGGGTATGATATTTCCAAGCCTCACCTGCTGGAACCAGAGCTCCTGTCAGGAACCTGGTTATCACTGACAGATGGGAGCTGGCACCATGAGCTGGGTCAGTTTGTGACGGAGGAGCTCAGGAAAGATGGTGATAGCTTACTAGTAATATAAAAAGTAATATAAAAGATGTTTTGTTGTAGATTTTTTTCTACCTGTGACTCGTAGCTTGTCTGGTCCAATTACAGTCTGGTCGTCACTTGCAGTGAACAGCATGTTGCCATTATGGGAGTTGATGAGTAGGTTTTCAGCGTGTCCATGAGCCTCTTTTTTACCTGCAGCCAAAAAACAAGAAAAAATAAAACACTTTTTGGAAAAGTGAGAAAAAAAAGCTATTACTCTTCCAGTCATTGTGATTTATGTGGCATGGCCTTTGCCCTATGGGTCTACCCCATCAACTGTAAATACTATGGACAACTTGGTTCTGCTTTCCATCATTATACGAATTTGAAGCCAAAAATTTGCTGCAACAGGACAAGCGTAATCCAACCATGGGATACTTTGTGATGTGAAGTACATTATTTGGGTGCACATGTATCGCCTCTTATGCTCTTACCGATGTTCATCGTCCCTGTGACGTCACCATTTTCTTTGCGGGCATAAAGGGAAACATTTTCTGATGAGTTTGCTAGAAGTATTGAATCCTGAAAAATGAATTCCATTTGTCAGTGCCGTGAAAATGAAAAATCATTGTCAGTATTTAAAAACAGTAAATTATTTAAAAAGCAAACATGTTAGCTATGTTACACTATGCACGGCAATGTCAGTCCAGTCTGAAAAAAATCAAAATTATTCTGAAACATAAATAGTGTTAAGTGGATGTGACATATTGCTATTTTAACAATTATTCTGTTTGTGTCTATAAATCAGGGTAGAAATACAACCCATCACATGTCAACAACTTCAGATCAGCGGATCTTTCAGCTAGTAGCAGTCAACTATTTCCTCTGAGGCTTAAACTGTATGTGCTTGATGCAGTTCAGTGACCATTTAGATCATCACTGCCACATCTGTGTGTGAGATCTTTAAAAAAAAAAGTCAATGGAACAATTTGTTGAAGGATATAGTCGTGTCCTATTAGAAGACATGAGTAGAAACTATTTCACTTCCTTTAAAAAAATAGATCTAAATGACAACTGGACACTAAATCTGTGCAGATCTTAATCATAGCAAAACTTGGTTCAAGGATGATTGAAATCATTAAGAGGGTGTTGGGCCAGTTAATGAGAAAGGAGGAGCTTTAGAACTGGAGGTTAAGGACAGAAAAGAGGTAATGCACAAAAACTAGACTGTGGTCAAAACAAGTCATAAAAGTGTCTCTCTGTTATTCTTACTTCTCTTGAGTGGATTTCTTCAGCATAGAGGGGGAAAAGAAACTCTGACTCTCCGTTTTCCAGCTTGACTCCATGTGACTCTACTTGAAGGTGTCCCATCCCCTCCTTCAAACAAAGTGCACAAAAAATCAGAGACATAGGAAACAAAGGGCCAGTAACAATCTTTAAACAAATTCAAGTGCTTTAATTCAATATATTAGAGACTGGGAATCCTTGGTCTTATGGAATTAAGGTGGATTTAGGGAAACCAACAAGCTAGGACATGATTAACAGGCCTGACAGCATATGGTGGGAGCAAGAGCTCATGGGATAAACACCACACATCTGTGTGCACATCACACCAGCTAAATTTTGTTAAGTATGACTTGGATTTTGTAGATTGAATTGCCCCTCATAGATAAATAAAGTTCTTGTTATTTATTAAAAGAAACAAGGTAGACAGTTGAAGGGTGGTGACAGCTATCGAAGCAAGAATTTGAATAATTCATAATGTGACATCCGTACTGTATTAAACCACATCAGTCTGAGGATCCAGATGGTGAGGGCAAAGTTGACTGCCAGGATAACAATGAGCAAAAGGACAAATAGATAGAGGCAGCGTTTCCTCCATCCATAGATGCCAATTTTATAGACATGGTCCGGCCCCAGCGCTGGAAGGCTGCTGCATTGGGTCGAGGAATACTGCTCCTGCACCATTGGGCTCTACACAGAAAAACAAGGATAAACAAAAACAGGTGCAAAAATTACACAAAGGCATGAAATGATCTGCACAGTTGGACAGGGCATGAAGGAAGTGGTAAAATGTTTTTTAAGCTTTCTTGAAAGAAAAAAAAAAAACTATGGGACTTATCTGGTTTGGTTCTGTAAGTAAAGCTGGAGTGAACAGTAGGAGTTTAGCTTTTGATCAATGTTATATGTTTGAAAGGTGACACAACAATTTACATTTTTTTAAAACTGACAAAACTAAAGACCCTCAGTTTTGGCAGTTTTGTATTGACCAGTTCAGTGTGGGCGCAAAATTTGCTGGAAAATTTTCCAAATTTCTGTGAGGGTATAAATTATAGACAAGTATTGAGCAGACAGTACACCTATATTGAAGCAAAATAACCCACAATTTCTTCTGGCATTTTCTCAGTTTTTGAGATCAGAGATTGCACAGTTGCAGTTGGTGAGAGAGATGCTGTGAGGACATTACTTTCTAGCAGAGTACCCTTCTACACAGACCTCTGTATGCCAAAAAAAGGGTCTTCCACACTGGCGTGAACAAATTTGGAAAAAGATGAGTTACATACCATTTATTGCCAATTTGAAGTCAAAATATCTTAAAATACCAAATTGAAAAAATAAAATTGAACCGGTATAAGAAATGTTATTGAACATGTTGTTTATGGTATGCCACCAAACAATCTACCATCTCTTTTTGGCATAAAATGTGTACAGTGACTGACACAGGAGGTGCTTTTTATACAACTACTGCCATAGAAAAGACTTCAGCTTCCACCATTTTAGATATAATTGAAATCTGACAGCTATGTATGTTTCTGGAAGTAAAAAGTGTCAAAGTATGCAAGTCCAAAATCCTTCCCGACACTGTGGAACAGTGGGATTTCTTCCTCTGCTCTCCTTCAGGGCTCTGGTGGAAGAATATGGAGGAGGGTCCTCTAAAATATGCTAACTTATCCAGACAGCTTTACAGTTACCTTTATGCTAACTGCTGCCCTTGGTGGCTGACACCAAATCAGCAGTCATTTTTTTGTGTGTTGTCTTCATCGAAAACAAGGAAAACAGAAAAATAATTAGCTGTAAATTTTGATTTGCCAATTTTATGTTACATCTTTTTCTAAAATTAATGGACATTGAAATTTTCTTATCAAGTTCTTCAAATAAAATACCAGCATTAAAAGTGCTACCTTCTGATTCACAATCAAGCCCCGACCTAGAGGGCTGATGCTACAACTTGTATTTGTATTTGGGATGATGACAGCTAACAGCTCGATGCAGCAGAATGCAGATCACAAAAGCGAGAAGCGGAGGTGACGCAATACCTCACCTGTCGTCAGGTGAGGTATTGCATCGCACCTTGTGTATTGTGAGGGACTTCTGGAGGGATTCATTTATTGTGCAGGTTGTGCTTTAGAGCTAAGGCAAAGACCACAAAGCTTCATGGAAATGCAAAGGGAGTAGTTGTTTCACCCACTATGAATGGATTGTTTGTTGAATTAATAAAAAACTGCAGAAAGAACTCAGTTCACCAGATACAAGGCCAGAGGTAAATGCTGTCAAATGAGGAATATCAAACCAGGCTGGAAAAGACAGACAAAGCAACAAACTATTCTGACAAAGTACCAACATCTTGGGGCTTTAACTCTTGGGTATGCCCCAATTATTAAACTATTATTAAACCAGAGGACCCTTTCAGGGAAATACTCAAAAGAACGTAGCATGTGAGGGAAAAAGCAACTCAAATGAAAGGATCCCAGTTCCATGCAATGAACGACTGGCAATGCCTCCAGTGTGTTGTTAAGCTGTAACATCTAAAAATAGGACACAACATGATGAACCAAATTTTTAAGAGCAGCACAGGGCAGACACAGTTTTCATGTATATCAAAATTAAGAACAAGATACAGAAGTGTTGCACATAACATCACAGCACAACTTGACTTACACAGGGAAAGATAAAGTCTCACAAAACTGAACTGTAAGTTGAGCTTACTTTAAAACCACCCAAACGCGACCTTAAAAGGAAAATGAGAAGGAGACAACACGTCAGAGTTTGTCTGAAAGAAAATATAGTCTACTCACTGTTATGTCTTATGGAAAAGAAGTCCTCTTTCCTTAAAAACAGACAGGAAAGATTGGGTTTATAAGTGCAATTGTAGAGTAGCAGTGCCTCAGCTCCCGGCTCATCTGTCAAACTCTTAACAGCTGCTTTCCATAAATTCAACTCTGACTGTGCTGCGGTCAGTCTTCATGAGACTGCCCCCAGCTCCCCCTCTTGCAGACTCATAATATCCTCCTCTGCCTCTTTAAATACTTTGAATACAACAGACACTTGGATATCCTCAAAGTTCATCTGTGTGTGAGACAGAAACATAGAGGGATGTAAGAGGAGATTGAACTATCAAGGGAGAGGTCTGATCTCTCTTTTTCTCTGACGCTTACACAGAAACCATCGTTATTAAAAAACCAAAGGTAGTCTTTTGTTACGCATACCAGTGCCACAGTCACTTCGCAACCCAACCAAAGCCTCCATGCAGTCCAGAGTAATTTAAGCTTTCAAGTATTTGCTCTTATTTATGTATAGAAAGAAGCCCAGTGTAAAGGAAAACCTTTAAATAGGAACTGACCACAGAAGGGCTAGCTGCCTGGTCAATGACTGCCTGTCAGCAATGACTTGGTTGATATTCATTGTCTCTGCACACTTAATAATTAGACAATCCAACAGCATCAAGCACTCCTAGCACTTTCTGGGAATGCTTTTCAAGATCTGAGTCACCATGTGGAGTTTGGGATTGAGCCAAAGACATCTTGGAAAGAAATGCCTGCAGTTCAACTTTACATGCAGACACTTAACATGTGTTTTGTTTTGGATTCTAAATAGATCTTTGTCCTGACATAACAGGAAACAACACAGGTGGATATACAACTGAGTTTCACTATTGTAAGGGACCCAAAACAAGAGGCAAAAGTGAGTATTACATTAAAACAGGAGTCATCAAATATGAGGAGAGAGGAGTCAAATAACATGTAATCTGGAGACATGAAAAGTATGTAGTATATTATTTAAGCTGCAACTTATCCTTAGGCATGTAGCCCAGTTTCAGACATCGAATCATTTCATTTTATTCTGATGATGTTAAGGGGATGAAATAGCGCTTCAAACACTTTTTTTTACATGAATGAAAATAATAAAGTTGGCCAAATTTGATGTACTTTGCTGTTCATGATCAATATAGTTGATACACACCTTAATTTGGTTATTGACTTTTTGCAGGGACACATTGGATTCACCAATTAATCATTAACAGCAGTAATCAGTGCATTATTTCTATTACCTATAAAATGGCTACACAAACAGGTAAAAACAATAAGGTAATTGTTTAAGTAGAGTGAACTTATTCAATGTCTGAAAAAAAGATCTTATACATTCAAAATAAAAAGTCTTTTCCTGTCCCCTCTGGCTGGCCTGCAGTGTTCACAACAGATGAAATCTGTTTTGGGTCGGTAAGGTTGACCATTTACCGTCACTGCTGGTTTAAAACTCCTCCTTGAAGCTGCAACATCTGCACTGTGGATCTTGAAGCAAAGTTCACTGATACAGGCTGTAGAGGTCTGTCAAAGAGCGGGATTCTCCTTGTCTTTTGGTTTTTCATAGGATTATTTCTACAGCCATGGCTACAGCAAGTTATGGATACTACAGAGGCACTATATTTCTGGCCATGTTTGTTGGCTACACACTGTACTCTTTTAACAGAAAGACTTTCTCCTTTATGATGCCATCAGTGATGACAGAAATTGAGTTGGATAAGGATGACTTGGGTATGAAACACTTCATTTCTTGAAGATATTTGTCTATCATTTTTTACACAGTAGTGTGCAATACAGAAAACATTGCTGTAAACTGGAGATATTTACGATCAGAAAATTGTGTTTCATACCTAAAGAGCTCAGACAAAATATACCTCCTGTCCTCTCTCTGTTCAGGCATGATCACCAGCAGCCAGTCGTTGGCCTACGCCATAAGTAAGTTCATCAGTGGCGTGCTTTCAGATCAGCTAAGCGCCAAATGGCTCTTCTCCATTGGTCTGTTCATGGTGGGTTGCATCAACGTGATATTTTCTTGGTCATCCACTGTTGCGGTCTTCTCTGCCCTGTGGTTCCTCAATGGCCTGGGTCAGGGCCTTGGCTGGCCTCCCTGTGGCAGGGTGCTGCGCAAGGTAAGTACCCAGACCACTTGCCAGTGTGCTTCAAACTGGCTTTGGAATAAAGACTTTTCTCTGTTTTTTAAGAAATGATAGAATGGCACCATAATCCAGTACATTATTTACCAGAACATTGAGGGGGCAGGATTTGTTTGAAAATCAAGTATTTATATGCAAACTACATAACTCCAGGAGTTAACATTTGAACATGTCTCTGGGCTCTCCTGAAATTTTTGTTTACCTTAAATCACATCACATACCATGTAACTAACAAAAGCTCTTGATTTGGGGACCCATATCTATCCCTTTTATTTCATCCAATTTAAGAAAATTCATTTAAGATTTCTTCACATTTTCAAACTCTTTAGTCCTTCCTCTGGTAATATAAATCGCTCTCTCCAATGCAACTCATGCTGCAATTTCTTTTATCCACACATTTAGCAAAAGTATGTCACTTTTTTTTTCCCCACCATAAGGCTGTCATTCCCTGAGCCTGTAGGAGTCCAAGTCAATCAAGTTTGATATCTTTGCTATCTTATCTTTGCTTGATACGGTACTCAAACATTGGTACACCAACAATCTTACACAACAGAGTGTAAACAACTGTTTTCCAATATTGCTGTGGTTTTAACCACAATCCAATACACAATGATAAAAGAGACATTTTTTTCCTCTGAACATTTAATGCTAGTGTCTGGAGTGCCAGGGGACCATCTATTTAGTCTATCAGTTCTCATCAACCATTTATACTGTAAAAGCTTCATTCTTGTATTATCAGATTATTTTTGAACTTTCAAACGTGCAACATCCCACTCCCACTTGCTCACTTCCACATTTGGAGGCATCATTATTACACACTTTTAATCTAGAATTGATTGACTGTAAAAAAATATATATGAACTGTATATACGTGCAGTATGTGTTTTTATTCCCACACTATATATTACCCTCACTCTCAGCTCTTTCACATTGTCATGTAAAGGTATCCTCTTCTCTCCTCTTCAGTGGTTTGAGCCATCTGCGTTTGGAACATACTGGGCAATTCTTTCCTGTAGCATGAATCTAGCGGGCAGCTTGGGCCCAATCGTTGCCACAGTGCTGACCCAGAGTTACAGTTGGAGGACGATACTATCCATATCTGGAATGATTTGTGTGGCTTTCTCAATCGTCTGCCTGCTTCTGATCAAGAATGAGCCCAAGGATGTGGGGCTGCCCAATCTAGAGGTAGCAGCAATAAAGAAGGGCAAAGGAGGTGAGACTGAATTCCACAGGGTGTTAGTTTAATTGTCAGTCAAGTGCTCGCTTTCTCTGATAGTGCCTGATTAAGCTATAGCTAGGGTATTTTTTCAAACATAGGTTAATTAACACCATGAAGGCCTTGCAGATGTCTGTGCATCCAAATAAAGATGGGACATTGTGTATTGAGTTAACAACAATGGGTTTTCCAGTGGGTTTTTACAGAATGATGTTGTTTTTTAATGCAGGGATCAAACAGACATTCAGTGTTGGTCTCAGCCCTGCCACTAAAATGCACAGATTTCTCTAGATGCCAAATCTTTAACAATATTATGGCCTGTAGACGATGAAAGCTCAAAATTTCTTTTAAATGTAGGTTAAGAAACATTGTTCTTAAACTGCTGTACAATTTGCTCATGCAGTTATTCACAGTTTTGAACATCACCTCATCAGTTTGATGACCTTTGTATCTTGTCCTTGCAGTGCATTTAATTCAATATAAATTGAGACGTATTTGCAAATCATTGTATTTGTTTTTTGTCAATGATTTACACAGCATTCCAACTTTAGTAGAAGTGAGGTTTGTATCACTTATGTAAACTGCTGTAGTTAGCTTGTACACAAGCTTTGTGTAAAGGTTACGTGCAGGAGGATGAGATCCCTCCTACCCCTATCTTGGTCTTGTTATCCACCGTGTCCTGCTGATGATAGCATTCAGATACATGCAAAATATGGCACCACACTGGATTGACAATTAACACTGGGTCTGATGCTTGCATCCTGTTCAGAATCCGTCCGTGATGAGAGCACCTTGTCAGAATTCCTCCTGTCACCCTACCTGTGGCTGCTATCTGTCTCTTATTTGGTGATGTTTGGGGTCAGAACGGCCCACACCGACTGGGGTCAGCTGTTCCTCATTCAAGACAAGGGCCATTCTACACTCACAGGTATAGAAGAAGAAACCATCATTTCTCTTGAGAGAGTTCATTGGATAGTTGGTTAATATTCCCTGTGATCACTGTATCTGTCTTTCTAGGTAGCTCATACATGAGTGCCCTGGAGGTTGGAGGCTTGTTGGGCAGTCTTGCTGCAGGGTACATTTCTGATAAGGCTGTGGCAACAGTAAGTTACTCATGGAACACACTTGTACGATGAGCATTTTTCAAGTTAAGTCAAAGCTGTTTCTGTGTCAACACAACAGTAACTAAGATCATACATACAGTATATTACAGCAAATGAAGGTTGGTATGCTCACTGTCCTTTAACACTAGAACCACCAACATTCCAATTCCCATAGGACTGCCGAGGGGGGTCATTTTGACCCCCTAGCTCTAAAAACGTCAATGATGCTACAGTGTCTTTGCTAGAAGGTGCCAGGTGACTTACTGTCATCTATTTTTAAAATAATAATGGAAACTTGAAAAAACAGGTGTTAGAAATGTACATTTTTGTGTTTTTTTGAAAGCAAATAAATAATTATTTTGATCAAAAAGGTAAAACACATTTTCAAATTCAACTGCAGTAATTGTTCAACAAATAGCGTAATGATCAAAATATATATTTACAATAACAAAATAACAGATTTTGCTGTAATAATAATGATAATAATAACTAGCGCCCCACGAGGCACCAACAGGCCTGAGCCGTATCGCACCACCGCCTCTGTGGACTGCCTCTCATGGCAACCAGGACAGTTGTGATGGCTGGTGCTTGTGACTGCCTTTGAGTGATGGTCATATTCGTAGCATAGCATGATAAGAAGTCATAGTGTAATATGATAACAACTTCAAATTTTAGTATGAAAAATGTCATAGTATAGTCTGATGAAAATGTCATAATGTAGTCTGATAAATATATCATAGAATAGTATGATAAAAATATCATAGTATTCTATGATACAAATGTCATAGTATAGCCTGATAAAAATATCATGGTATAGTATAATAAAAAAAAATTTGTATATTTAGTATAAAAAAATTAAAGAATAGTATTTAATAAAAATAACATACTATACTATTACTTTTTTCATACTTAAATTTGACAATTTTGTTTTACTGTACTATGACATTTTCTTTATACAAAAATGTGAATTTATTTTATTCTCTGTGACATTTTTATCATACTATCCTATGATATATTTATCATACAATGCTATGAACTTTTTTCATACTAAAATGTCATAGAAGACTATGACATTTTTAGCAATCAATACCAAGATTCTTTTTCTACAACTTTTTCATCATACTATGCTTTGCCAGGAATCAAACCTAAGACCTCCTTATTGTGAGGCAACTTTGCTAATCATTACAAGATTGTGCCGGCCATCACACAGTAGATCTTTTTATCATTCTTTACTTGGATTTTATTTAACATTCTATAATATGTTTGGACTGCCCCATTAATGAGCCCGTAGAGTAACATAATTTTGCAGTATACTCAAAAAGGTCAGAAGACTGCCTATAATAAGCAAACTGATCTTTTCTGAACTATTTAACGTATTCTCTTTTGTTGTGCAGCAAGGCGTAAGGATCTATGGCAATCCTCGTCACTTTATCCTGCTGTGCATGATGGCTGGAAAGTGTGTGTCCATGTACCTTTTCCGAGTCACAGTAACTTCAGATAGCTCAACGGTATTTTCTTCCACACAAGCAACCTACTGAAATACAATAATTACCAAGATATTCTTGAAATGATTACAGTGCACGTTGGACTTAATCATTTTCATGTATGTTTGTCCAACAAGGTATGGATACTCAGCCTGGGTGCGGCCTTTGGCTTCTCCTCCTATGGGCCCATAGCATTGTTTGGACTTATAGCCAATGAGAGTGCGCCATCCAACTACTGTGGGACATCTCATGCTATTGCCGCTCTGATGGCTAACGGTAAGATTGCTGTTTTTTCTATAATTAATATAAATATCTATAATTAGAAATAGTCAAAGCTTAACAAAATACTGTTTAATTGGTTTTATGTATTTATATATTATACTATACAATACCCTTAGGCTATACAAAAATAACACTTTTTATATCACCAATTCTATGGAATAACCCCATCTTTCTGTGACGTCCTCAGTTGGAGGCTTCCTATCTGGACTGCCATTCAGCATGATCGCCAAGCACCATGGCTGGGAAATGGCCTTCTGGGTAGCAGAGATAGCATGTGGGGCTGCCACAATTGGATTTTTCTTGCTCCGCAACATCAAAACAAAAATGGGTCATGTGTCAAAAAAGGCAGAATAAACAAGCTCGAGATCTCGCAATTGTTGTCCAAGGGTTATTGGTCAAAAGATTATAGGTGAGTGTATTTCTTCCGTATCAAGCCTGCCCAAATGATGGAATGCATGCGCATGAGGAAGAGGTTAGTTGCTAGTGATGGTGTATTAAAAGATGAGACTCTGTTAGCTCTGTTTTATTGTGTTAAGGCTGTTATTTCTGAGATAATGTTTTCTTCTTCAGCTTTTTTTGCTTTAATAACTGATTTACAGTATGTTCTCAGAAATTTACAAAGTTCGAATTTTAAAAGTTCCCAGTTACTGCAAAACTTATTTTCAATTAAGGATTTTTCCCAGTAGCGACCAATTAAGGACTGGACGGTTTTAGATACAATTTAGTGTTTAAGGATAGAGTTGTTTAATTTCCAGTAGGAATTCTTATAATCGGTTTGAAGGTTAAGCAATATTCGTATTGATATCGCTTTGTGGCCAGTAAGAGGAGTTGGCATAATATTGACATTAATGGCATTTTTGTCAAACCCATTGGAAATCAGCCAAAAGTCTATTCGTGAATCGTGATAAGCTAGTATTTGTTTTATTATTCCTGGTATATAAGGACAATCCAGGATTTTTTTCTTTCCATATGTCAGTCAAATCAAATTTAAGCATGAAATGTATTAGAATAGATGCTAATGAGGGGTTAGAACGTGGAGGCCACCTATCTTGAAGACCATCAAGGGCAATGTTAAAACCACCGCCCATTATTATCATTGCGTTTGGATGGTAAGAGAGCCAATATAGGAAGCAAGAGTCTAAAACCCCGAATAGTGTATCATTTTCACCTTTTGAATTGTACCCCTATATATGTTAACTAATAGAATTATGGTATCATTGGAATTAATAACTATAATAAGAAAGTGACCTTTAGTATCAGCACCACTGTGTAAAATTTTCCCATTGAAAGAGTTTTTCAGGGTAGCAGTACCCGCTGCTCTTTCTGAACCAGGAGATAACCAAATGTCATTGTCCCACTGAACCTTCCAAAATACTGTATCATTTTTAAGTTTGCTAGTGATGGTGAGATGAAGCCTCTTGAAGCACTGAAGCTTTCCATCCAATCACTCGACTCCTGTGCCGATGCTTCATTATTGTGCTTCATTTGCTCTACTGCGCCATCAAGTGGACAATATATGTAAAACAGGCAGAGTGATTATTAAAGAAAACCCCGAGGCTTTGGTGTGTGAAGCAGGACATAAATTATGGAGAGGGTTGTGATGTGAATCTGCTTGTGTTACTCAGTTTGTTTTTCATACTTTTGTTACGGGGACAACATAGAACACATAAAAATTTCCTTTATTTTTATTTAAAAACAACTTTCAACAAGTCTTGAGTCTATGAATTGTGTTAAATAATCCGACAAACCTGCGAACTGTTTCTTCAAGGTGGGCTGAAAATGAGTTAAAATCATAGACTGTATATGTTATGGACAACTTGGTTCTGCCTCCCGCCTGTACACGGATTTGAGGCCAAAAAGCTCTCGGTATTTCTGGGATTTTTCTTCATTCCTGAAACCAGCGCTGCGCAGTAGCGTTGTGCGCATTCGATGGGAGAGTCGCAGAGTCGCTGTGATGACGCTCGGCTCAAACAGTATATCCCCGGGTGAGCTACACAATCCTTGAACGCCAATAGGCTGTATCAAGTGTCAATCAAAGAAAAGATGAACCCCCTAATAACTTTTAAAAACGGAGCTGTACAGAAAAAAAGAGGACTTGAGCACAAACCAGTTTTACTGTAACTACATATCAACATCACAAGCAGGGGGGAGAAAAAATTACATTCTGTATAATAAATTTCTAAAGTTTGTCCACAGCCCCATAAGCTTTGCTGGTGGAGGTGGGATTTATGACCTATACTGCAGCCCGTCAACAGAGGGTGCTGTTCTCAGAGTGGCTTCACCCAGCAAGGAGGCAGACAGCGTCCAATCTATATACAGTCTATGGTTAAAATACGTTGTAAGCTAACGGAACAGCACTGGGCCTGAGATATTGACAAACTAAAAATCCAGCTGCCGCTAATGTTACGCATGTTATGTCGAGCATGTGTCTTTTATCTCCGCTGCCGTGGTAATATTGTAGATTACATTTAATGAAGAATGATATGCATGTTCGTCAAACAATTTGCAATAATCTGTATCAACCAGCAGAACAGTGTCTAAAGTACTGTCTTTTGCTGAAGCATTAAAATAAGTTTCTTAGGTCTTGGTCCCGGAGAGCCACCTGCCTGCAGGTTTTAGGCATCTCTGTATCCCAGCCCAACTGATTTGGGTATTCTGCTTGTTATCAGCCAACTGTCGTGCCGTGTCTCAGTTGATTGACACCGAGCAGATCACCCAAATCAGTTGGGATACCGAGATCCCTAAAACCTGCAGGCAGGTGGCTCTCCAGGACCAGGACTTAAGAACTCCGATTTAAAATGAGCATATTCTTCAAGCAACATTTGTTAAATGCGCTGTTACTAACAGGGTTGTTTACATCAATACTACAAATTACACCCAGTTAACTCAAATGAACAAACATCATATTTAAGAAGAATACATACACAAGAATCCTTGCGTGAGCGGTACCGAAGGGGTTAAAAATGTGCACTGGCACAATCTGCTGGATTACTGTGCAATAGTGACATCTAGGGCCCTAGTGATTAAGTAACTGGATTGTGTATAAAAGCCACTATGGTTTGAGGTCAGAATAATATTTTAATTTGTTGTGTTAGTGTTGGATGAATCGTGGTTCACCTGCTGTGTTTAAGATTGAAATGTGTACAAGAGTTTGGTCCTGTGGTGCACCCAGCATACAGTGTTATGGCGCGCAGCGAGTGTTATTGTTATTTTGCAACCTGACATACTTGTTAGTTTCACGCCCAGATCCCACACTCTGTCACATGGGCTCCGTGGATGTGGTGGTCGTGCACACAGACGTGTTGTTACCTGGCAGAAGCACTAAGTGTTTGTGCGTCAGACCAACAAAAACCTGGTCTAAAGGTTGAAAAGTACTTTCCTGATATTTAGGGGGACGTTCATATGGACTAGAGGGGAAAAGGGGGGTTAAGAGCTGACAGCATGCTTGTCTTTTACTTTTACATACAGAGATGCACAGATCTGAGTTCTCACTTATAATAAAATATCAGTTTTTGCTGTGCATGTGTTTATTTCAACTCTGTACCTTTATATCTTGTCCATGTACTTTGCTGTTCAGGATCAATATAGTTCATACACACCTTAACTTCGTTCAGTTGACTTTTTGCTGGAGCACATTGGATTCACCAATTAATCATTAACAGCAGTAATCAGTGGATTACTTCCATAACCCATAAAATGGGTACACAAACAGGTAAAAACAATAAGGTAATTGTTTAAGTAGAGTGAGCTTATTCAATGTCTGAAAAAAAGATCTTATACATTCAAAATAAAAATAAAAAAGTCTTTTCCTATCCCCTCTGGCTGGCCTGCAGTGTTCACAACAGATGAAATCTGTTTTGGGCTGGAATAGTTGACCATTAACCCTCACTGCTGGTTGGGAACTCCTCTTGCAAGCCGCTACATCTGCACTGTGGATCTTGAAGCAAAGTTCACTGGTACAGGCTGTAGAGGTCTGTCAAAGAGCGGGATTCTCCTTGTTTTTGTAGTTTTTCATAGGATTATTTCTACAGCCATGGCTACAGCAAGTTATGGATACTACAGAGGCACTATATTTCTGGCCATGTTTGTTGGCTACACACTGTACTACTTTAACAGAAAGACTTTCTCCTTTGTGATGCCATCAGTGATGACAGAAATTGAGCTGGATAAGGATGACTTGGGTATGAAACACTTCATTTCTTGAAGTTATTTGTCTATCATTTTTTACACAGTAGTGTGCAATACAGAAAACATTGCTGTAAACTGGAGATATTTACGATCAGAAAATTGTGTTTCATACCTAAAGAGCTCAGACTAAATATACCTCCTGCCCTCTCTCTGTTTAGGCATGATCACCAGCAGCCAGTCGTTGGCCTACGCCATAAGTAAGTTCATCAGTGGCGTGCTCTCAGATCAGATAAGCGCCCGATGGCTCTTCTCCATTGGTCTGTGCATGGTGGGTTGCATCAACGTGATATTTTCTTGGTCATCCACTGTTGCTGTCTTCTCTGCCCTGTGGTTCCTCAATGGCCTGGGTCAGGGCCTTGGCTGGCCTCCCTGTGGCAGGGTGCTGCGCAAGGTAAGTACCCAGACCACTTGCCAGTGGCTGTGACAGTGTGCTTCAAACCGGCTTTGGAATAAAGACTTTTCTCTGTTTTTTAAAAAATGATAGAATGGCGACATAATCCAATACATTATTTACCAGAACATTGAGGGGGCAGGATTTGATTGAAAATCAAGTATTTATATGCAAACTACATAACTCCAGGAGTTAACATTTAAACGTGTCTCACAGTGTCTTTTAGCTTTCAAACATGCAGCATCCCCCTTCCACTTGCTTGCTCCCACATTTGGAGGCATTCATATTACAAGCTTTTAATCTATGTATTTGTATGTATTTTTATTCCCACACTATAGATTACCCTCACTTTCAGCTCTTTCACATTGTCATGTATCCTCTTCTCTGCTCTTCAGTGGTTTGAGCCATCTGCGTTTGGAACATACTGGGCAATTCTTTCCTGTAGCATGAATCTAGCGGGCAGCTTGGGCCCAATCGTTGCCACAGTGCTGACCCAGAGTTACAGTTGGAGGACGATACTATCCATATCTGGAATGATTTGTGTGGCTTTCTCAATCGTCTGCCTGCTTCTGATCAAGAATGAGCCCAAGGATGTGGGGCTGCCCAATCTAGAGGTAGCAGCAATAAAGAAGGGCAAAGGAGGTGAGACTGAATTCCACAGGGTGTTAGTTTAATTGTCAGTCAAGTGCTCGCTTTCTCTGATAGTGCCTGCACTAATTTTTCCATATAGTGTCTGATTAAGCTATAGCTTGGGAATTTTTTCAAACATAGGTTAATTAACACCATGAAGGCCTTGCAGATGTCTGTGCATCCAAATAGAGTTGGGACATTGTGTACAATGTGAATAAAAACAGTGTATAATGATTTTGAAATACTTTTTTAACCTATATTTGATTGAATACGCTACAAAGCCAAGATATGTAATTGTCAAATGGATAAACCTTTTTTTTGTTTGGCAAATATTTAATCATTTTGAATTTGATGCCTGCAACTTGTTCTGAAAAAGCTGGGACAGGATCCTGTTTACCATCGTGTTACATCACCTTTCCTTTGAACAACATTCAATAAGCATTTAGGAACTGAGGACACTAGTTTTTTAAAGTTTTGTGGGTCAAATACTTTCCCATTCTTACTTGATGTACCACTTCAGTTGCTCAACAATCCTGAGTCTCTGTAGTGGTATTTTGCGCTTCATAATGCACCAAACTATTTCACTGGAGACAGGTCTGGACTGCAGGCAGGCCAGTTGAGTACCTGCACTCTTTGACTCCAGGGTGACTTGGTAGTAAAGGAGGTAGAATGTGCTTTGGTATTGCCTTGTTAAAATAAGCAAGCACTCCCTCCAGCATTAATAGTGTCTTCATGGATGTGCAAGTTAGCTATGCCATGTGCACTGACAACCCCCCATACCGTCACAGATGCTGACTTTTAAATTTTGCACTGATAAAAATCTGGATTGGCCTTTTCCTCTTTAGCCTGGAGGACACCACATCCATTATTTACAAAAACAATTTGAAATGTGTACTCATCAGATCACAGCACACTTTTCCACTTTGTGCCAGTCTATCTCAGATGAGCTCAGGTCCAGAGGAGCAGTTGGCATTTCTGGGAGTTGTTGACATATGGCTTTGACTTTGTATGTTAGACTTTGAACTCGCACCTGTAGACGTAGCCACAAACGGAGTTAACAACAATGGGTTTCCCAGTGGGTTTTTACAGAATGATGTTGTTTTTTAATGCAGGGATCAAAGGTCACAGGCATTCAGTGTTGGTCTCAGCCTTGCCACTTACATGCAGAGATTTCTCCAGATGCCAAATCTTTGACGATATTATGGCCTGTAGACAGTGAAATCTCAAAATTTCTAATATTTGTAGGTTAAGACATATTGTTCTTAGACTGCTGTATAATTTGCTCATGCAGTTATTCACTAAGCGTTGAACATCACCTCATCCTTGCTTGTGAACGACTAAGCCTTTCAGGGATGCTCCTTTAATACTAGGTCATGTTTCCAATGAACCTGTTCCAAAGAGGTGTTTTTGAGCATTCCTCAATTTTCCCAGTCTTTTGCCTCACTGTTTCAGCTTCTTGGAAGGTGTTGTAGACATTAAATTTAAAATGAGTGAATATTTGAAAATAAGTAAATAAATAAATGAAGCTTATCAGTTTGAACAGTAAGTATCTATCTTTGTAGTGCATTCAATTCAATATAAGTTGATAAGTATTTGCAAATAATTGTATTCGGTTTTTTTTTTTTATGATTTACACAACATCCAAACTTTATTAAAATTGAGGTTTTTATCACTAATGAAAGCTGCTGTAGCTGGCTTGTACACAAGCTAAGTGCAAAAGTTACATGTTAGAGGATGAGATCCTTCCTATCCCTATATTGGGCTTGGTTTACCCACCGTGTCCTGCTAATGATAGCATTTAGATTCATGCAAAATATGGCACTACACTGGATTGATAAGTAACACTGAGTCTGATGCCTGTGTCCTGTTCAGAATCCGTCCGTGATGAGAGCACCTTGTCAGAATTCCTCCTGTCACCCTACCTGTGGCTGCTATCTGTCTCTTATTTGGTGGTGTTTGGGGTCAAAACGGCCTGCACTGACTGGGGTCAGCTGTTCCTCATTCAAGACAAGGGCCAGTCTACACTTACAGGTACAAAAGAAGACGCCATCATTTCTCTTGAGAGAGTTCATTAGATAGTTGGTTAATATTCCCTGTGATCACTGTATCTGTCTTTCTAGGTAGCTCATACATGAGTGCCCTGGAGGTTGGAGGCTTGTTGGGCAGTCTTGCTGCAGGGTACATTTCTGATAAAGCTGTGGCAACAGTAAGTTACACATGGAACACACTTGTATGATGAACATTTTTCAAGTTAAGTCAAAGCTGTTTCTGTGTCAATACAATAGTAACTAAGATCATACAGTGTGTGATACAGTATATAACAGCATAAGAAGGTTGGCATGCTCACTGTCCATTAACACTGGAACTGAACACTTAGACTAAAATTCGAAATTTTTGTCTAACTGTACAACACATTTTTTTCATACCTAAATGTGATATTTTTGTCATAATATGCTATGGAATTTTTATCAAAATATACTCGGATATTTTGATCATACTAGATTAGGATATTTTTATCATATTACACTGTAATGTTTTTTTTAAAGATACTATTCTATGACATTGTTTTCATACAAAATGTAAAATTTCCTCCATACTATACTATGAGTTTTTATAATACGATACTATAACATTTTTTTCGTACCAAAATGTGAAAATCATTCTTTACTATGACGTTTTTATCATTCTTTACTATGATATTTTTATCATACTATACTATAACTGTTTTAACACTAAATGTGACATTTTTGTCATAAAAAAATTGAAATTTTTGCCTTACTCTACTATAATATTTTTTCCATACTTAAATTGAATTTTTATACTATGACATTTTTATCATTCTATTCTATTATATTTTTATCTTACTGTACTATGATATTTTTATCATGCAATACCATGACTTTTCTTTCTAAAAAAATTGAAATTTTCATCATGATATACTATTACATTTTTATCATACTATGCTATGATATTTTCATCATGCTACACTATGCCTTTTTTCTACTAAAATACCCAGGATCTTCCTGCTTTGAGGTGACAGTGCTATCCATTTCACAACTGTTTTACCCTTGTCACAGTGGATCTTTTTATCAAACTAAACTATGATTTTTCGCATTCAATACAATGACATTTTTATCATATTATACTTTACTATTTGTATAGTGATATTTTTTACCACACTTAACTGTGATTTTTTTCATATTATACTTTGACATTTTTAACAAACTATACTATAATATTTTTTTCATACTAAAATGTAAAATTTTATCATTGTATACTATTTTTTTTTCACACTACATTATGATATTTTGTCATACTATACGATGATATTCTTATCATACCATACTTTAATTTTTTTCATACTTAAATTTCAAATTTTCATCATGGTAGACTATGAAATTTTTATCATTCCATACTATGATTTTTAAAGATTCTTTACTACAATATATTCATTATGCTATACTGGGAGGCAACAGTGCTAACCATTACACCATATAATAATACATCATATTTTTAACATTCTATACTATGACATTTTTACCACACTATACTATGATATTTTTTATCACACTTGACCATTTTATCTTATTACACTGACATTTTTTGAATACTAAAATTATTATTTTTCTCATAGTTTACTTTGACATTTGTATCATACTATACTATGATTTTTTTTAACTAAAATTAGAAATTTTTATTATCGTATATCATGACATTTTTGTCACCCCATAGTATGACATTTTTTAAATATTCTGTACTATAACATTTTTATTGTAGTATGCCTGACCCAGAATCGAAAACCAGTATCTTTTTCTGTCAGGCAACATCATTACATCATTACATGACTGTGCTGCCCATGTCACAGTTGCTCTTTATCATGCTAAACTATGATTTTTTTTTTTTACATTCTATACTCTGACATTTTTATCATACTATACTTTAATATTTTTTTCACACTAAACCAAGATTTTATCATACTATACTTTAACAGTTCTTAACATACTATACTACGAAATTCTTTTTCATAATAAAATGTTAAATTTTTATCATAGTCTACGATGACCTTTTTATCATACCATACTATGATATATTTTATATCACACCTAAACATGAGTTTTATCATACTTTACTATGACATCTTTTTAAACATTTTATGTATGATAAAAATTTCACAATTTAGTTTGACACATAAATCATAGTTCAGAATGATAAAAATATATTATAGTATGAACAAAAAGTCATACTGTGGTATGTTTTAAAAAAATATTTAAGTATATTAAAATTTTTATAGTTTAGTTTGATAAAATGTTATGGTATAATACGAAAAAATATCTTTTACCGTTTGATAAAAATGTCATATTATAGTATGAAAAAAATGTCTCAGTATAGTTTGATAAGAATATCATAGTATAGTATGATAAAAACATCACAGATAAGTGTAATAAAAATGGTATAGAATAGTAGGATAAAAATCAGAAGTCTCTGCCTATAATAAGCAAACTGATCTTTTCTGAACTATTTAACGTTTTCTCTTTTGTTGTGCAGCAAGGCGTGAGGATCTATGGCAATCCTCGTCACTTTATCCTGCTGTGCATGATGGCTGGAATGTGTGTGTCCATGTACCTTTTCCGAGTCACAGTAACTTCAGATAGCTCAACGGTATTATCTTCCACACTAGCAACCTACTGAAATACAATAATTACCAAGATATTCTTGAAATGATTACAGTGCATGTTGGACTTAATAATTCTCATGTATGTTTGTCCAACAAGGTATGGATACTCAGCCTGGGTGCGGCCTTTGGCTTCTCCTCCTATGGACCAATAGCATTGTTTGGAGTTATAGCCAATGAGAGTGCGCCATCCAACTACTGTGGGACATCTCATGCTATTGTCGCTCTGATGGCTAACAGTAAGTTTGTGGGTTTTTCTATAATTAATATAAATATCTATGATTAAAAATAGTCAAAGCTTAACAAAGTACTGTTTAATTGGTTTTATGTAGTTAATATATTATACTATACTATACAATACCCTTAGGCTATACAAAAATAACACTTTTGATATCACCAATTCTATGGAATAACCCCATCTTCCTGTGATGTCCTCAGTTGGAGGCTTCCTATCTGGGCTGCCATTCAGCATGGTCGCCAAGCACCATGGCTGGGAAATGGCCTTCTGGGTAGCAGAGATAGCATGTGGGGCTGCCACACTTGGATTTTTCTTGCTCCGCAACATCAAAACAAAAATGGGTCATGTGTCAAAAAAGGCAGAATAAACAATCACTACACCTCATCCTCTTACCCCAGAGGAAAACTTTATACTTCACGTAATCAATGTATTTCCATATTTTCCTATTTTTCATATTGTATGACAAAGAATTTTCTGGGTCAGTCGTAAGAGATGTTAACATGACAGAAGCTCTGAGAAGTTAAATCTTTTCTTCTAAATCAAGTTCTGATTTGTGTTTTCTATATACAATGTGAAAACATGACATCAAACACACAACAGAAGATTTTAAGACTACTAAACATTACACTGAGATCACACAATTAATTGGTCATGTTTACAAAAAGATTATAAATTGAGTCATGATTTAAGATTGCAAGAGTAACACAGAGCTCATTGTCTTGATGAAGTAAAATGTGTGGACAAAGACTTGGATAAACAATACTTTTTTTTTGTCATAGTTTGTGTTGATTGACCAGAAGACTCATGTTACATCATATGATAACCCGAAATGAATGAAGCCCTCACCACAAAAAAAAAAAAAAAAAAAAAACCTTTACATAATAGTTTAATGTAATCTTTACATACATTTACAAAACAATGTTTGAACAGGGTGTAAATCATTAATCTTTCAAATGAAAAGAAAAAAAAATCACATATTTCACGTCACCAACCCTCACGTATCTATAAAACCGCTTGTGTTTTCACATAATGGAAAATGTCCTGTCTTCTGATGCTCAAGATCCTGCTCCAAAGTTGCCAGCTTTCTCTGCAATCTCAAGGGCACTCTTGAGGTTCTGATCAAAGAGTTCACACCTGAAAATCCGATAAACACTGAAGTTTAGAGAATAAGAATAACTACATTTGTGGGTGTTGAATATCAGATCTAATTTGAAGAATACTGAAATAAACCAAATACTAAGAATAAGACACAAACATGATAGGATAATAGCTGAAACATGCTCTTGATTACCTTATTGGCATCTCCAGAGAATAAAAGGGGTTCTTGAGGGCAAAATCCGAGTATATTTCATAAATCTTCCTCAACAGCACATCAACGCCAGATTGCCGAGGGTCAGCCAGCAAAATGAACTTGATCCCTGGAAAATCAAGATTGGATCATGTAGAGAAGAAAGAAACCTGTTTATTAAATGGACTTGAGAGGTTTGTCTTAACAAAACAGACATTTTTTATGGGCCATTTGGAAAAAAATATTACCATCTCTCCTTTTTTGAGACGATCACTCATGATGACAAAAAATGAATTCTTTAATCACATTCAGACACCAACCACTGACAACTTTGCCAATCAAATGCAACACTATAAAATGGCTCCAAGAGAAATTCTTTTAACAATATGAAAGGTGATACTTGCTCTTTAAACAATCTGTTTAAGTTGTGGTAGGTGTTGGCGGTGTACTGGAATGCTTAATATTGAAAGATGTTCCCACTATTTTACTTCTCTTATATTTGTTAAACAGAAAAATTAACACCTTCCAGTACACACACATTCAGTCACCACGAACCTGTGAGAGTCTGGAAGCAGTGGATTTTGAACATGTCAGTTTCTAGCATCTCGATCCCTGAACTGCCAACTTCTGGTGACAGCTGCGAACCAATCGCAAACAACCTGAGGAGAAACACACGGACAGGCAGTTTGATGTTTACAGCTGGACTCCACTATGACCGATACCAGTTTGTACAACACATGCTGTTTATAAGATTAGCCTTACAAAGCCTGGTTGTAGGGCATAAGGCCCTTAAGGGACATTACAGATATGATAGACTGATGATTTATCTTTTGTGATGTTTCTGTGTTTTCATTGTATTATATTCATTTTATGTGCCGTCATCTTTGTTCACATTATTTTTGTGTGGATAGTCTTTTTGTGCAGTTTATGTGAAATTCATGTCTGTTTTTTTTTTAATTAAATGTTTCCTGTACTCCTAAATTCTTGTGTTGGTGTTTTGTATGTAATGAACAATAGTATCTTAATAAAGATCATATAGAATAAGAGATAAAAGCTAAGGCACCATCTAGTGGTATTGCAGCGCTAGTAACTTAGCTACACAGGGAGTCTTGATGGTATATTCACAATTTAAACTCTAGCACACGCATAGATGCACAGTCATGGTATAAAATCAAGAAACGTTTCTTTTTATATCTGGTCTACTGTGTGTAAACAGAGGCAGCAAACAGGCAGTGAAACAACTCTTAAAGGGATATTCCGGTGTAAAATTAATTTAGGGTTAAACACCGTAACACAGAGTTAGACACCCCTTCAAGAGATGAATGTTGCAGACTGCTTACTTCTCTAGTGATACCAACTTTAGTAATGACTGAACGATAGCAATACACAGAGCCACACGCTCAACCAAAACTCCACTCTATAGCTACAAGTAATACTCAGAACAGCACCTAACTTCATCAACAGTACATATGGGGTCCCAGCCATAACACTAGCCACCAAACATCTTTTTAACTTTGCCAGATTTCTTTAGCAAAGAGTCCAAACACAAATCACCCTCTCTTCCAGCAGCCGCTTGTTCGTAGCGAGACCTTGACCAGTCCATTACGGACTGCAGCGGGGTGACGCAGCTCAAGGAAGAACATTTATGATCATTACTTTATCATTTCAATGACGTAATAATCATCATATTGATCATTTTCACAGCAAATGCGGTGGTTCTTCTGCCTTGGTGTCTTGGTCTGATTGCATTTCCATGAAGTTATGATCATAAATGTTCTTCCTTGAGCTGCATCACCCCATTGTAGTCCGTAATGGACTGGCCCGAGGTCTCGCTACAAACAAGCAGCTGCTGGAAGAGAGTGTGCTTAGTCTCTTTGCTAAAGAAATTAGGCAGAGCTAAAAAGATATTTGGTGGCTGGTGTTATGGCTGGGACCCTATATGTATTGTTGATAAAGGTAGGTGCTGTTCTGAGCATTATTTGTGGCTATAGAGTGGCTTTTTGATTGAGGTTTGTGTGTGGCTCCTGAAGCTTCTGTGTATTGCTATCGTGCGGTCGTTACTTAAGTTGGTATAACTACAGAAGCAAGCAGTCAGCAACATTCATCTCTCGAAGGGGTGTCTCACTTAGTGTTATGGTGTGTTTGACCCTAAATTAATTTTACGCCGGAAAATCCCTTTAAAGCAATTGTTCCTGTGTCAACCTTTTTTACACTGAGGCTTGTACGAGGCTTAACAACCCAGAAATAGGCCAAATTTAATATTCTCATAGCTTACGAGTGAAACATAGATGCCAGCATCAATTTCTCGTTGGAGCTCAGACGTGCTCTGCCAAAACGAATAGACACAGGAAAATTTGCGGGGTCCTTCAAGTATTCAAGGATGTCTTTTCCTTCAGCTGTGTTCTTGCCAATCACATCAACTCCATTAATGGATAGCAATGCATGGCCCACTGGAAAGAGACATAACAGCAAAGAAAACATAAATCAAACATCAATCCGGGGTTTAAAGTTCATGCAGCCTAATGATCAATAAAGAGCACACTGAGGAGTCTACATCATCTACCACAGAACAAGACAACTTTTGATGGAAAATTGATCACTGGTTAAATCTTGCAGGCTGATACACTGCAGTCAGGAGCAGACTCAGCAACCCCACAAGAACAGTTAACAGAACCACTAAATCCAGTTGATGTGTCCATTCAGAACCTGCTGTTTGCTTTAAGCCTTGAGAACTGTAAGGCATTGTTAGATTGTTGTGACCAAACTTTAGAAACTACTGATTTTTCTTACGCTGCAGGTCTCTAGCAGTTACCAAACAGAATTTCGTTGATAGACTGAAATATCAACATAGTCCCATATTTAACTGGTAGGCAAAAGTTGCAGAGTGACAGCAGTTCCGATACCTCTGATCCCGTCTCGCTGTCCAAATGAAACGACGACCTTTTCATCATGGTGTTTCAAGACTAAATCAAAAGGGTAGCTAAATGTTTTCTCAGCTTCGGCCCTCGGAACGTAATTGTCATACTGGTATATTAAACCCCCGGCCTTATTCACGACGTAAACACTGAAAATCACCATCTTCACAACGTCCTACTTCCTCTTCTGTTCTGGATTGCCGACAGACTTCTTCATCCTCCTGTGTTTCCGGCAGTTTCGACGCTACTCGCCGTATTACTGCCCTCCATTGGTCGGAGTAGGTGTCACAAGTTTGTCTCATACTTTCATATGCAGTCCTGTACCGTGCAGGTACGGTGGCTGAGAACCGCCACTGCTTTAAATAAAAAAGAATGAAAAAAAAAAAAAAAAAAGAAAGAAACCAAAGCCAGCTGCATATATAAAAAAAGAAAGGATGCAGATAAAAAAAGAAGCCACAACGGAAATTAACGACACACACACAAAAAGAAATTGGCGATGCAAAAACAAAACAACATAAAAAAAAAACTATTTACTTACTGCAAAGATAAAAGGAGGCAGAAAAAATAAAAATAAAACAAAATAAATTAAAGTGAGCTGCTGGGGACCAATAATGATGATGCACCAGTGTTTTTTTACGATCAAGGCACAGACAATGATGGCGAGAAGATGAGCAAAAAAAAAAAAAAAAAGTGGAAAGGTAATTGTTTAATTTTGCTTCGTGTGCTTTTCAATGTGGTCAGGCCATGTAGTGCCTCAGTTGATATGTCGATATAGGGGCCAAATTGAGAAAAAAAAAATACTTTACAGACTTAAAGACTAAAGTCAGAATTTTAGGAGAATAAAGTTACTAATTTACGGGAATTAAGTCATAATATTATGAGAATAAAATCATAATATCGCCAGAATAAAGTCATAATATTACGAGAATACAGTCATAATATTTTAAGAAAAAAGTCATACATTTACGAGAATAAAGTCTTAATATTATAGGATAGAGTCATACATTTGTAAGAATATAGTCATAAATCTGCGAGATGAAAGTCATAATATTCTAATATGTTGCTTTAGAGGAAATTTTTAAAATGAGTGCTGTGGAGATATAAATAAGGAGATACTTAAATCTTCGTCAGCATTACTTTGTATCAGTAGATTAAAAAGTACATGCAAGAAAATGCCTATTTTCCGCTGAAAGAGCCGGGCCGGGGAGAGATAACGTTCACCGGAGCTCTACTCCTCTGCAGTGGAGCCCTAACCATTTACCACAGAGAGGATTTCTCCCCTCCAGTAGCCTATTGCGCCCCCTCCGTCTTTTACCGGGACGGTTGGCTGTGTTGCAGTTTTGGTGTTTCTACTTTAAATAAAAAAAATAAACAACCAGTCGTTTATATATTTGGATATTTGTTTCCAAAAGTTATATTAATTTACCGAAACAGACGCGGACCCTTGAGCAACAAGCGTTGTGGTGGTCGTCGAAAGCAAAACGTCAAATTACGCAAAAACTCAATTTCCCATGAATCCCTGTCCTATTTCCGCATACAGGTCCTCTAAAGGTCTCTTGCGCCGTGCAGCTTCCTTTTCGTCCGACATCTTGAAGAGGAAACATGGTGAGCCCGATCATTAAGCGTTTTACAAAACAAAAAATCAACAAATTCAGTATATTTGGAATTTATACAAGCCATAAAACTTGGATTTGTAAATGGGACTATGGCTACATGCTCCATACACCGTGATAAGATGTGAAGGTGAAGCCAACATTTAAAGTATAGTCTGCGACAGGCGTGCTACATAGCTATGAAGCTAACTCCACCATGTGTCTGGTACGGGATCAGTAAAGAAAAGTCCTGTGGAATCGAAATTCTTCATCTCACAATGCGCTAACCTCTACAAAATAAACCAACATAAAGCATAGGCCACTGTTACTGTGTGAAGTAATCGTCCCAACAACGATGTTAATCTTATGAGCTCGGGCTGTTTGCGCTCTCTGTGAGGCTAACCATAGCCGGTGTCACGGTTAGCAGAGTGCCTCTCAGGTCGACATTGATGCAAAACATAAACTTGGTGTCTATATGTGGCGATCTTTGGGACGAGTTTTTACCCCAACAATGTGAGCGATATATATAATATTGTTAATTGAAAACTAATAATGTCAGCCACTTTGAACAAAGTGAAGTCATGCAGAAGACAGGTTTATAAAGCATGTACTAATCTCTACAAATACAGCATCAGACACGATTGTGTAGTCATAAGATTAAACTGGTAGGTTAAATTGGAAATGAAACTTCTTGATATGTCAATTAATAACCCGAGGACAACAACATACACTCTCGACAGCAGCTATGTCAACCAGACTCTTTCCCTACTTTAAATGTGAGGCTGTGTTGGAAGTTTTATAAATTATTATTTTTCATTTCCAGCCCCCCAAGCAAGACAAGAAGAAGGACACCGGGAAGTCCAAGAAGGACAAGGACCCAGTCAACAAGTCTGGTGGCAAAGCCAAGAAGAAGGTATGCTGTGGTTAATCATTATCCAAAAATCTTCACTACTTCTACAGATGTTTTAATCCAAGAGGCCCATTATTGCGCTTGTCTAACCACCAACACATTTCTGTGATTCTGAGCAGAAGTGGTCCAAGGGAAAAGTGAGGGACAAACTCAACAACCTGGTGCTCTTTGACAAGGCCACATATGATAAGTTGTACAAAGAAGTCCCCAACTATAAACTCATCACCCCTGCAGTCGTGTCTGAGAGGCTAAAGATCCGCGGCTCCCTCGCCAGGAACGCCCTCCAAGAACTACTTGCTAAAGGTAAAATTGTCTACTGACTGTCCATGTCTGTAGGTTGTCTTTTTCAAGCTGCATGTTAAGTTGTACTCATCATACTGTGGTCAGGTTGTTTGTGGCATGGTACTGAACAACATCTCAAGTTGATTATGCTCGGCTTTTATCAGAGCACAAAAAGGGTTGGATTGGAGGTTAATAGGTATGAAGCACGATGTTTTTACAGAAAGAAACTTGTAGGGAAATTAAAATATTTCGTAATGTAACAATTTTCTATCCATTCAGAGGAGGCATACTTTTAATATGTTGAAATAATAAGGTATCTTTGAGTATCTCATTGCCTGGTTTTCGTTGATCAAAGTATTGCCACCCTACCAAATTTTGCTCTTCGTTTCTAATTGAAAGGCTGTTTTCACATATGCTAAAGTTAGCTGCTGACATGGCATAATCTGCTATTGATCTCTATGTAATAACAGCAGGCTATTCCAGATCAGCAGTCCCCTGACCGAAGGATAGTTTACAGTGATCAAAAGGGTGCTTTGATGGATTCTTTACCTTTTGCTGCATGAGTCATTTGCTCCTAAATTATGTTGAACAGAAGTTCATCATCAGCAGATTTAAATTTTGGCCAAAGAAGCAGAAAAGAAGACTTTGCAGATGTTGTAAAGGAGTAGTTTGTGAACTGCAGTTTAGAGGGGGGTCTTTTTGTCATATTTATCTACATTAGCCTCTGTCAGGCAAAAAAATATCATTCATTGTGCATCACAATTTCAGAGTATCTTTAAAGGTTCTGAAACTCTAAAATCTCACGTAGGAGATGCCTCTGTCCTACTTAATGTAAGGTTTATGATGATAACCAGCTGTTGTTGTCCACACTAACACGATTTCATGTATCGGTTTGTTTTTAAATTGTATAAGTTCATGGGACTACATTAACTTCTTTGTACTGACATAGTTTTGTTTACAATTAATCATAGGCACAGTTTGACTGTAAATACACAACCACAAGCAACTGAGTTGCCAGGCTAGCCTACTGCAGTGTATACAAACGGATTGCATGGTCAATGTGTTGATGAAAATATACTAACAGAACACAATTCTATCTTCTAGGCATGATCAAACTGGTATCCAAACACAGAGCACAGCTGATTTACACTCGTAACACCAAGGGTGGAGATGAGGAGGCAGCAGCAGAGAAAGCATAAACAGGTACATACAGGTGCTGAAATTATCGAAATATATCCATGTTAAGAGTTTTTTTTGCAACTCCACTCACTGATTTTTCTCCTTGTGTTTTGCAGGATGTCTTGTCTGCTTCTTTTTACTGAGCTGTTTGTATGGAAAGGTGAATAAAATCAGCAAAAGAAGAAAAAAACTCTGTTGTTCATTCATGAGTGGTCATTTTCTGTGATAAGTATTTGTATGGTGATGTTAATATCCATAGAAAGAGTTTATCAGAAAAATCTAAAGTACCCTATCTGAGGACAGGCTGCAAAAAAAATTGAGCACTCAGAATAAAGCACCTAAAGTGTGCCTTGTAGGTATTGATATAAATTATGGATAATATTTTCAAAAGAACTTAATGCACCACCTAAGATGACTGAGTAAAGCAGTGCTGTTACAAAGATGGCTTTCTTTTTAAGTTAGTTGAAATACCATTTGACCTTACACTTAAAGGGGAACTTAAGTATTTTTCAACCTGAGCTCTATTTTCCTGTGTTTCTGTGTGCTTAGGTTATGGGGAGAACAATTTCTGAAATTAGTTCAGTGTTGAGGAAGAGCGGAGCAGCCGTTAAATTATGTCTACTACAAGTGCTTTATTTTACAACTACAATTTGTTGTTATGAATTCCAAGAACTGAATGGCGAGGGTTTCTCTTACCTTCCACCTGTGCCTGTCTTCTTGCAACCAAATCTTGATGGTGAAGTGTTACGACGTCCTGCGAGATCTCACTTGTAGGAAGACAGAAGGGATCATGACACAACAGGAGAGTCAGTGAGCACAGGGACCAGAGCAGAGCTTGTTAGACAACAGTGATGTAATGAAGCATCTTTTAGAAACAGAGTATTTGGCTGATTTTGATAGTGTGGAAAGAGGTCTTCAAATACAAATGTTGACTGAATTTATTGGAACCAGAGTATACAAGTTGGGCAAACTGGGAGAGAGAGAGAAAGGGATACCAGGCAGAGGAGGGCAAACCTGCTGCTGCAAGGCCAGAACTTTGGGGGACTGGTGCTGTTCCTTTGGGTGCTGGTAAAGAGATAAGAGCTTTATGAAAAATTCAACAGAAGAAAAAAATTCTGGGGAAAATTCAGAGGAAGAATACCTGTGTTGTAAAAAGTGGGACCTGTTATGGCGTGGACACAATGCCGTGTGGCCATGTCAGATCATTTTTAATAATCAGAGTCTGTCAGTGGTTAGACAAAGCACTTACTGTAGACACTCTTTGACCATGCGCAATTGTACAACTACATTTTAGCTTGTTTCAAAGCTGCTGCGCCCTTTCTTGATAATACTGGACTGACTTCAGCAACAAACTCTCCCCATGAGTCCATCACACAAGTTCTTTTCAACCTGGGCCCAAGTTTTTGGAAGTTCCCCTTAAATTAACCTGGTCAGGAGCAGGTTATAGTCAGGGATGGGCCTTACACCAGCTGTGAGGGGCCATTATATCATTGATGGACACAGCGGTGGTCTTACCATTAGTAACACTAGGCGGTTACCTAGGGCCCTTAGTTTCTGGGGGCCCCCTAAAACTCCTCATACACTTATGGTTTGTTGAGGTTTTACTTATTTGCACACATTATGTTTTTCATTAAAATCCATTCGCTCAAATGCCAGCAGAATGCTCATCAGTCACCACTACATTGGATTAGTCCATCTTACTGCGCCTGTGCAGAGAGGATTCAGGAAGGCCGCAGCAAAACATACAAAAACAAATCGCTTTAATGTGCATAATCGTTTCCTGATGTTTAAGGTTGAGCTAATTTTAAACACATTCGTGTACTGTTGGGCATTTTAAGCAACTGTCATAATTTTGTGGCATCACTATCTCACATCACATCTCTCCTGTCAGATTTAGAGACTTAAAGACAGTTCGGTTGTTTTTCGTAATAGAGGGTTTTTTTTTTTTTTGTTTCCCTGGAAAAAAAGGGCAAATAAATAACAACAAAAAACAGAATGAAAAAACAGACAAACAAACATCAGCTATCAGCCAAATTGTTATTTCAAACATCAGTATCAGCCCAGAATTTCCCAATCGGTGAATCCCTGGAATAAAGGATGCAGAGGGCCCATGCCTGCCTCTGCCTAGGGCCCCCAAATTCCTAAGTCCGCCCTTTGATGGACAACATATAACATCTACTGATGTATGTATACGGGAATTTTATTCTTGTGCAGTCAATTACTAAGGTCTTAATACCTTATAGGCGGTGTACTTGTGCCTTTTTACATATTTACAACAAAACTTGCAGAGTTACGAAGTTTGGTTTCAAGTAGAAGTATGTAAAGTTTCAAATCACTGGAGAGACGGATTTTCCTATAATCCTAGAAAAAGTTGCTCGACACTGGGCTACTCTAGATCAGAGGTCTCTGGTTCTCCGGACAAATAATTCTCCCATGATTCCCTTTTGTTATAAAGAAGAAAAAAAGTGTCCATTGGTGCAGACGACGATGACGCGACTCTGTCTACTCCACGGCATTGGATTGCATCGCATAATCGCTCCTCCTCTACTGTTGCGCAGTTGTCACCATGGTAACAGACAACATCCGTCTCTACCCGTGATAAGAACAAAACAGACAAAACAGATTAAAACAACAACATTGAAGCATTTCGCAAGTAACCTATTGTTTTCCTCGACGATTGGTCAACAAAGACACAGAAACAAAACAACAAGAAAGGTGGCATTGGAAAAAAAACCTTCAGTCAACAATCTTTTTCTGCTGCTTGCCAAGCCAACAATTGAGGATCATGGTAAGTTTTTGTTTTTTGTTTTTGGTAAAAAATGTCAAGTTTTTAGCACAACAAAGTTCAATACTTGGCCATTTAAATAATTTTATATTATCCCAAATTATATTGTGATGTTATTGATGGAATTTGCCATTACTGGGATCAAATTTCAAGTGTTCAAGAAGCAGATCTTATACCCGCCGGTACCGTACCAAAGCCCCTACCTCCCAGGTAGATGAATCTCTGTTCGGGAACCCAACAAGGGTGAGTTCTACATCAGTAAATCAGTATAAAAGCTTTCTTTTAAAACGGATTTTCCAGTGACACCCCTTAACGAGAATTTCTCTTCGAGGATCAATAAAGTTCTTTCTTGTGTAGGTGGGCTACTAACAACTTTAGTATAATGATCTTGTAATTCATCAATGGTTTAATACACCTGCCCCTTTGAAAAGGTGCATATAAATGTGAAGTATTGAGAGGGTTATCAGATGTTGATTAACAATGGCTGTCATCACAGATGGATGCCAAGAATCAGTCCAAGCAAGATAGTGAGACTGTTCAAATCATAACCAAAGACCTCATTCGCCATCTCAGGTAAGCCATATCCGACTTTAGAGACCCAGAAGAATTTCTGTAAATATCTGCTTCTTTGGGAATTAAAAACACATATATTTCAACAGAGTACAATTCTAGGCGCTGGACAGATTAAACCAAAATATATATCTATGTATGTATGAGTTTGTGTGTAGCATATATGCTTAAAAACATGTTATTTTGCCAGGATCCCATTGAAGGATCCCTCAGGAGTTTTCATGGTTTTACCATCAGCGGAGTATAAGCGGATTGTCTCAGTGTCCCAGGTTCTTACTAAAGAGGAGAGGAAGAAGCTGATGGAAGCTTCTCGGAGGAAGAAAGAGGAGGAAATTGTAAGAAATAATTATCATAGATTATCAAATCTGAGTTGCCAAAAGACACTTAGTGTTTTTTTAATGTAATCCTCATACAGAGAGTAGCACAGGACAGGAAACATCAAATCCATGAAGCTGACCTGGCTATAAGAGAAAAACAGGAGCTACAATCTCAAGCCGATGCACAGTGCTCCGTAGAGCAGGACTTCAGAGCTGAACAAGAGGAAGAGATCAGAAAGCTCAACACGGTAGGAAGCAGTTTTGTACATCTGGATCACTGAAATTCACAAGTTTCTGAAAAGTGCTCCTCATGTAATTTTTGAAACCCGACTCTTATCCTTGTGTGTGTGTGTGTGTGTGTGTCTGGGAGTTTAGCTGATTCTTGGTGCTCAGTGTCAAGCTGCACGTGATACCCAGATCACAGAGCGGAAACAAATCCAGACAGAGTTGTCAGAGGAGGAGAAACGCCTTGATAACATGATGGAAGAAGAGCGCTTGAGAGCATTAGAGACCATGGAGCAAAGTGATGAGCTGCGCAAACGCAGGAGGATGAGGTTAGAGGAGTTTTACCAAAGAATTAAGAGATGCTTCCTTTCCTAATGTGGCTAGTGATAGAGGCAAGAAGCCTCTATTTTATTATGTTGTTGTTTTTTTTAATCTCTGTGATGTATTTCAGTGGGATGCAAGAAATTTACAACCAAATTCTACAGCGTCTCGAGGAAAAGCAATTACTTGAAGAAATGAAAGAGCAGGAAAAGCAGCAAATACAAGAAAAACAGGAAACCATAAACCTGGAAGATCAAAAGGTGCAGTTAAAGCAAAATAAAAACAAAACAAAAAAATAAAACATTTACCCCAATTAGGCTCAGACTTTTATGCCGCAGAACTTGAATTTGAGCGAGTTTTTCTTGCTGGTTGTCTTCTTCCAGGCCCTTGAGAAGAAGAGGGATGAGCAACAGCAACTGCAGAAGGAGATCATGCGCATCAATGCTGAGACCATGCAGGCCAAGAAGCAAAGACAAGAGGAGGAAAAACGGGCTGACATGAGAATTATGGAATACATCCAAAACAAACTGGTTAGATAAAAAGCATACGGTCTCTGTGTATAATCACTAAACTCTGTAGGATCAGTAGAAAATACAAATTGACTAACAGTAAATAAAAGAACAATCGAATTCTGTGAAATCGCTGTTTATATCATCTTTGGATCATCTTATTGTTAAGCTAATCTTCTAACTTAAAATGTTTTTTTTTCCATCCAATGACCTGACCTGATCTATACAGGAACAGGAGGCAGCATACGAAGCGGAGCAGAATCGCATCAAGAAAGAAAAGGAGTTAGAGATCACCAGGATGAGGGCTCAGCAACAAAGAGCAAAAGACTACATTGCCATGCAGGTCGGGCACACAACTACTGACCAACCACTGCCACAGAATTTGTATCTACTGAATAAAAATCTGTAACACAGTAAAATAACACTGGATCACATCTACGTTCCACCTAGACAGGTCAATGGAAATTGAGGCATTAGAGAGTTAAATTTTTGTGCTTGTGTCATTGGAAGGATGAGATCCGAATGCGAAGGAACCAAGAAGTTGCAGACAGAGAATGGAGAAAAAAAGAAAAAGATCTCGCTGCAAAGAAAGTACGAGAGGAAGAAATGCTACGAGTGGCTCGCTTGGAGCAGGTTCACTGCAAAGAGCACTTCCTGGCGATTGAGGCTGCCCGGGAGAAAGCAGAAGTGAAGCAGATGCTTAAGTAAGAAATCTGTTGTACTTAAAATATATAGATTTGCACAGGCTGTAATATTTGTTTATATTTCTTCATTTATTTACAACTAGTCATGTGTTTTAATAAAGTTAGTTTTGGTTTCCTTTTTCCACAAAGGGCACAAGAAGAAGTGATCAAAAGACTGAAAGAGGAGGAGGGAAAACATCACAAGAATGCCAAGCTTCATGCAGAGGCTCTCCGGCATCAAGTAAAGGAGCGAGAAATCTCAGCCGTAGCTAAACGCAGGGAGATATTGAAGGAGGCTGAAGATTTGATTCTGGAGGCCCAGCAGAGACGTGTGCGTCTTGATGAGATAAAAGAAAAGAAACTGAAGGCGCTCAAGTAAGTATGGGGCTGATCTTTTGACAGAGGGAACGAACTCTTGGTTTACTTGTGTTAAATGAATAAACCTGTTGTGTGTTTGTGAACATCCAGGGCTACAGGGCTCTCTGAAAAGTACTGCAGTGAAGTGGAAAGGAAAGCCAGAGTGTGCTTACTCTGACTCAATCACAACCCGGAGTTGTATGAAGCCTCATCACAGCAGGAAGTAGCACTACTTGTCCACTAATAAAGATTTCTTTAACCTCAAAGGTTTTCATCTTGTCTTCGTTGAAGTGAAGTGTTTTCGATGTCTCTTTCAGGTGCAGTTCCTTTCTCTTGAAAGACTGATTGTACAGGAGACCGGATACAATTTTACATTTTTATTCAGTCTAGTATTTCCCTTTCAGTCAATTTATATATTTCCACTTATTAGTGACCAGGTCCCCACTTATCACTAATATGCATGGCAAAAGGAATTCAACTTAGGGTTAGGATGACACTTTACATACACTTGAGAGCATGTAGGGAAGTTAAGAACATCAAGATAAATACAGTCTATTATTTAGGATCATTCTTGACAAAGAACTATGTATACTTAGACATAATTTATTCATCTTAACCATCTAAACATGTAACATATAGGAGTGCTTCTGGATCTAATTAAACTTACATTAGACACCAAAGGTTCCATCTGCCTGTATTCTTCCCTATCCTTGTTTGATACACTCGAAATGCTTAACAAGAGAGGAAATAGGACAGAAAGGTGGGGTCCCGTTCTAAAAGTTTGAACTTTGTCATTTTCACATCTGTACACACAAAAAAAGAAACGGTGACCAAAATAAACAAAAAACACAACACCTGGCATACGTAGGCCTCAGCACGAGTAGGGTTCCGATTAAATACACACACATACAATACAGTTAAAGAGTTAAGGGCCCTTGGGTGTGGTAGCCGTTGTCCTGTCCTTGCACATACACATATACAATCACACATAAACACTGTACACAGCACAAGAGGTCACCTCAATACATGGATCTGATGGAGAGCTAACATCTAAAAGGATGGATAAGGGTGGCCCAGAACAGGCTGAGATGAAGTTAAATGCCCATTTAGACCATCAAGTCACACCCCCACTTACACACAAACATACCCTCATTCACACAGTAACACACATTTTAAACTCCATAAAGCTACACACCTGTGCAGATTATACGATCATTACATGGTGTTGCTTGCTATAGCCATTAAAATGGCAATATACTTTGTCGAAATATATGTAATACTATCTTTTACTCAGAATATACAATGGTAAAATGCATTATACAGACAAATGAGACAATGTGTATGCTGTTCACATATTCAGTACATTAGAGAGCTGCATCTCTACAATACTGTCTTCTTTAGTGCAAAATCCATTGCTGTCTCTCCTACTTCAAAGGTTAATTGCCGAGCTTGAGCAAGCTGACTTCAGCATGAAGCATAAACCAATTTTAAAAAAGACAAACAATTGTAAATATATAATAAATATGGAATGTGATTTTTGTCTTTCAAACAATGCTAATTAAAGTCCGTCAATGCATTTTAAAGTTTGTAAAAGAACAAAATAAAAATTAAAAAATACATAAAACCAAAGTACGTAGTTGCCTGCTTGAAGCTCTTGAGAGCAGAAGACCGTGGGAAGCTGGTGAGTTACCCAAATGGAGAAAGAGCAATGGTTAAGATGCAAAGGACTACAGCCTTTATACATGAGGAGTGGAGGAAGGCTGGAGCTTGAGGGGCTGGAGATGGAGTTGTGGGTGTTCACATGCCGTAGCCAAAGCCGGGCTGCTGTGGCTGACCATAAGCTGGTGCTGTATAGCCGTAACCATAAGCCTGCTGAGGGGGCACTGCCATGTTGGGCCCTGCTGTGAGCATGAGTTGGGGCGTCCCTGCACAAAAGAAGCATCAGAGTAAGTAGTATACAGAGTATGACTGTTGTTGTTCACTAGAGCTCCTTTTGCACATGCATTGAACTCCTGAAAATTTCTTGAAATCACTTAGGTGGACCTAATTGTTAACCCTGAGTTTATCCAAGCTTTATCCTGCCAGCCCAGGGAGGCTGTCTTGTAAAAGCGGTTAAAACAGATAAATAGATTGGGATGAAGACAATCTGCCTAAGCCAAGTGAGCAGCTCGATGCTATATACTTCCCTCAGTTGTCAGCATATTGTATTTCATTGTTGTTTTTGTGTTATGGTCATGTCCTCATACATGTTGTAGTGATATTAACTCAGAGGCAGTCACCATTACTGACGACTCCTGACCCCTCAGCTGCCCTTCCTGTATCTAAATCGAAATACTAGGATTTCAAGTTTGGTGTCTGATACAGATGATCCCTCTCTGTGAGATTTTATCAATAATAAGAGGGCCAGAATGTCTGAAATGTATCAACAAATAGTCAGGAGTTTGTGTTAAAGGGATATTCCGGAGTAAAATTAATTTAGGGTCAAACACACCGTAACACTAAGTTAGACACCTCATCGAGAGATGAATGTTGCTGACCGCTTGCTTCTCTAGTTATACCAACTTTAGAAACGACCGCACGATAGCAATACACAACAGTCTGAGGAGCCACAAACAAACCTCAATCAAAACACCACTCTATAGCCACAAATAACACTGTAATACAGCTATTCAATCATTATCTGCAGTAGTGTTTTTACCGTAGACAATGGGTTGAGACTCGGTTGCCTGCTCCTCCTGTTTCCTCAGGGACTCGGAGGCCTCAAGCTTGTCAACCTGTGAAAAACACATCCCAATCGGCACAGTCAGACTCTGGCTAAAGCATGTTGGGCCCCTGAAGACCAAGGGCTAAGATGCCTACTTTTGCCAAACTGACCTCTGGGTTATTTCACTGGCTGACGGATGGGACCATTCCTGTCAGGTGAAGATGAATGCAGTCCAGATTTAAATAAAACAGACTACAGGAGGCAGGTTTGCTAATGTGTTGGAAAAGAACAACCGCAACTGGGAACCAAATGGCTACTCTAATCAAGCATGGTTAGGACAGTTACTACATTTTTGTGATTAAAAAGTAGAGATAGGGAGGGAAGAACAGGACAAACGTGAAGTTGGCAATAATGGTCCCACCATCCAGCCACCCATATCCACTTCTGTGTTCTGTTGTAAATGCTGAGTATGCAGAGAACAAACTCTTTGCTTATTCAAAGACACAAATTTACATTTTTGACCTAGTTTAATGTTAGTAGAATAACAAATCTAATCTACATTTTTGCATAGAAGTTTATAGATAGAAAAGTATAATAAAACTTGACATAATTTAGAATTTAAAGTTTTTGAAGTGGTAATTATATGTTTAAGATGTAACCTTAAACATTACATTAAATGATGTAAAGAAAGGTAAATGCCTGATTGTGAAAACCAGGCTCTGCAAATGCACTGAGCAAACAAGCAAATTTACACATGTCCCATGTTGCACTTTCTTGTTTTCCACTTCTTCTTATATGTATTTATTTTGAACATTTTGCCTTTTTGAGAGGCCAGCTGAAAACAGAGTGATTGTGGGGAGAATAGAAAGTGGAAGATGAAATGCAAGAAATGTCATGGCCAGGAATCAAATCAAGGACCACTGGAAAGAGGACTATAGCCTCAGTTCGTGGGACACGCTGAAACTGCATGGCCGAGTCGCCGAGACCAACCCAATTTTTTTTCCCCCAAGGAAATTTTCATTAATAATTTTCACTGACCTTGTTTAGATTATAGGTATAAAAAGTAACTAGTATATAATTAAATTGCCAAAAAGAACTTTATTTTTATGATTATTATTTCTCCTATTGTTACAAGATTAAATCTTACCGAGCTCAAAAAGTTAAACAATCTTAACCTGCTTTATTATTCAAACTTTTTTCAGTGGCTGTATTACATCTGTAGGCAACCAGCAACTGACAATCAAACTAGAGAACCCTGATTTCAATAGTACTATATCATGCTGATTATGTTAAAATTAATTGCAAATAAAAATGAAAAATTGCTGTTATGAAAAAATCTCTGGTAACAAGCAAATAAACCAACATCAAGAAAATTTTAAAAAATATTCAGTTGCCTACTTAGTTTTTGAAAAATTAAATAAGATGAATGATTACTTCCCCTGAGTCAGTTAAAAATATTTTCGTTGAACCAAGATCTAAGAAACTTTGAGTAGATATTGCTAACACAATGTTGGGCAGTAATTGATTACAATGTGACCTTCATGGATTGGATATAATGTGGTCTAATCCACCAATTGGTATTTATCAGTTTGGATTTGAATGGCTATGACTGCTTCTTAACATTTGAGCTTTTATTCATAGCGATGCATTACTCTCCACTTTCAACAAAGTAGTGACACATGAAGTATAAGTTTAGTGTTGCCAATGGGTACAGTGGCAAAATGCCCATTGTTTTATTTTCTTTTTAAAAAACTCAATTTCACTGCTTTTATCAGACAGACTGTTAAGTAACAATGTGTATGATCAGTTCTCTACATACTCTGATTTTTTTCAACAGACAGTCTACTTAGCTAGGCTGTCTTTAAAAGAGAGGCTATTTTTTTTCCCCGAAGGAGAAGGGATTTAGAGACATGCTAAAGCAGCAAGTTTGGGTATTTTCTCTTGCAGTGTAATGGAAGATAAAGTTTGAAAACCAAAAAGCGAGGTGAAGGCAACGTGATAGAGGGAATGCACAGCCAGTTAAGGGTTTCCAAAGGCAGGCACAACAAACAATGAAATGTTAAAGCTGGGCCTGGGTGCCTCTAATGTTACAGGGGGAGGAGTGGTACTGTAAATGCTTATTGTGCATTTTCGTGTGAATCAATTGATCAATCAAATGAATACATCAACCGACCAACCAACCAATCAATATTTCTATCTTTTTAAGAACAAGTCTTGTAAATTATGAGTTGGCCTGAGGATTGAGATGTAAAGAACATGAAGACAAAGATTAAAACCTTACAACGCTTGTTTTAATGTTGAAACCATGTCTGAAAAAGCAATCATGGATTCTTGTACTTAGATTTCCTGCCTCCATCAGCATTATGAATATGAAATGACTTTAATGTTGTGACTAATCCTTGTTTACTGCAGAAAAACCTTCCCCTTCTGACACACTGTACCTGTACCTCATTTTACTGACATTTACTGACAATTTTAATTTATGTTCTTCAAATAAATTTGGAACAAATAAAATGCATAAAAATAATACAATTCTGTCTTATGTATAAAACGATTTCACTGCACTCATCATAAAAAAAAACAAGTGAATTGTCCTATTGAACTCTTAGGAATGATAACACGTGCTTCCTCATAATGTCCAGAGCCATAGCAGTATGATGTCTAGCATAACACTAGAGCTGAGTAGAAGAATAATAGTTCACCATTAAAATTTAACTCAGGGTCTGTGAGAAAAGACCACAGCAGATGACGTATTTATTAAGCAAAGTGCTCTGTACTTTCACAAATAAAGGGCTGGTGGGCATGCTGTAGGTGGATCGCTCAAAGAGAAGAGTTTGACGAAGACTAGTCATACAGTTGCTCAGATAGATAGATAGATAGATAGATAGATAGATAGATAGATAGATAGATAGATAGATAGATAGATAGATAGATAGATAGATAGATAGATAGATAGATAGATAGATAGATAGATAGATAGATAGATAGATAGATAGATAGATAGATAGACAGACAGATTCAAGTTGAAGAAGTAAAAATAAACAAAACAAACATCTAACACTGAAGCCCCCCCCCTCTTCTGTGGGACTTCTTTGCATTGTTTACATCATTGTTTTGGTTTTCTTGTCTGTAACTGAATATTTTGGTTCAATCTCGCTGCTTTCAGTGAAAGCCATGGGCAGCTGTTTCTGCAAATCATAAAATATGAGATGATGAGTGTTTTGAATTGTTTTGTTTTGCTCAGATTTATTCACCCATTTTAGCCAGGTTTAAAACAAGAAAAGTCAGTGATAGTCCATCAAAATTTCATGATGTTACCTTTACCTACTGCGATGATGGTTGGCCATCTACATTGAACGCTTTCTGATAAAAATACTGAGAACAGATACTGGCTCGTTTCAGTTAGGCTCACAGCTAAAGAGGACTGTGCTGATTAGCCAGAACTAATCCGCAGAAGAAGAATAGGTTATTGGTTATAATTAATAAAACATAAGTTTACTAGTTTATTAGTCAGGCATTAAACTTGGCTGATCCAGAGCTTCACCTACTCAGCAGAACTCTGAGGGACGGGTATTATGAGCCTTGTTAGAGCCCGATATATAACAATGACCCAAAATGTAACAATGACCTGAAATGTTATCAAAATAAACCCCGAAATGTAATAACTGACCCAAAATGTAACTACTTGCTACATTTTGGGCCTAAAATTACTGTTTGGACTGGGCATCTTGTTACATTATCGACCACTTATTATATTTTGGGTTTTATTACATTTTTTAAATTAAATTCTGGGTCATTGTTACAAATCGGGCTCAAACAAGCCTCTCTCTGTTGTCTCCTAGGTTGAATGGCAGCTTAGTGGGGAGGTGAGGTTTAAAATTAAACGAAGCAGAGTGACATCAGGGAGGGGGTTCATGCAGTTTTAATTTGACTCCTTGTAACTACAAGCTACATGATGAGGGAGAGGGGACATAAAGTATGATTAAAAACTGATTTAATTATCACCTTTTCCTTTATGGCATCAACCTGGAAAGGAGATTCAGAGAGGCAACTTAAAGGGGAAAAAGGAGACAGAAGTCTCCCACAGTATAAAGATTGAGAGTAAACAGACACAAAAACAAAAAAGAAAATAAAATACAAACAAAGAAAAACCCACAGAGGGGCTGCTGGTAATAAAGCCACCTTTTATACAAATGCAGGTTTGAGATCACAGGTTTTGTGAATCCTCCCCTTGATTCTTGCACCACTTATGATAAATAAACCATCTGTATGTTTGATAAAAGAGCCTATGGTGAGTTTTAACATCTTTTTCTATTTAACACCATTTAGGTCTAATATGAAATACTCTGCCTGATTCACTGTCAACAAAAGAGTAAAGGGGAAAAGAAATTTGAAAAAAAAGCATGAAGTAGCAATGATGACAATGTCAGCAACAATGTCTTGCTTGTTCTTAACGTTCCTGACAATTACTGCTCCGTTCCCACATAAGCTGAACTACAAATGATACAATCTTCGCTCTACAGTGGTTTCAGTATTAAGGGCATTTGATGTCTGGCTCGACTGGCTGATATGGACACCTGCATTCTCATTTACAGACAGTACAGGCAGTGTCCCAGCATTCAAAGTAATTTAAAGTAATTTATTGTGATTTTATTGGTGTATCCCAGTTTCAACTTTTTCTTCACTTTTGTACATTTGACAAATACTTGTATACTGCCTCTTATGAAAGCAATTGGTGGGCTGTATTCTTTGCCATCTAACATAGAACATTTGCATATTGAGCAATAAAGCACTTGTGATCTCCTCTTTCACACATTTGTATGGAAAGGAAGCTTAAATGAATGGAAACCCAAATGAAGAGAAATACAAGAAATAATACTTAACCAGGAAAATGAACAGGAACAGACGAAGGAATGGTACATATTTGGGACTGTTATCTTTGACTCAGTCTGGGTATAGGTTTTTAAATACTCCCTTGTTAAGTATTAACACCCAACAAGAGAAGCAAATTCAACATGTTGGACAACTACCCAACTGACTGGTTACCTCTTGCCAACCTACCTTAGAGAGGTACTCCCGCATGACCTGGATGAAATATGGCATAGAGAAATCCATGATGTTGTGTCGCCACGCGGTCTCCAGCACCACATCAGGCCGTAGTAAGTCGTAGCAGGTAAAAAGGCAGGCTGCAAAACACTCCTTTTTGTCCTCCCCCAGAAACCAAGCCAGGAGCTCCTCTGCCAGCTCGATGTCTTTGGACTCTGATGCATACTGCATGGCATCCTGAAGGAACAAATGTACATTTCCAACTGTGTTACTTTTCTGACGGCACAGTTGTGGAATCTCCCATTTTGCATTCAAACATTAAGTTTTTTAGGATGTAAAAAAAGAGTTATTCAGCCTTATCTTTACTTCCTGTTTATTAGTCCTCTAACAACAGCAAATATTGTGTTCCATAAATATTAACTTCATTGGCTATCTTCACTTGTGTTACGATGCCTTTTCTCTGCTATTTCTGTCTTTTGTGGTTTTCCAACAATAACAGACTGTTGCCATGAAATCTTGCTTTAAAATGACAAATCAGAATTAAGCACTAAACACAGACATGTAATAATCAGACACTAATAAGCACCTTATAAAGCTTGTCCTTCTTGCATAGCTCCACACTTTGTTTCCAGCGGTTGTTTCCCTTGAAGAGATAGGCAGCAATCCTCCTAAACTCAATCAGTTCATGCTTCTCCAGGCCCTGGGCCAATGAGATGTTGTCGAAATTGTCATAGGCATCGATAGAAGTGCGGAGTGCCTGGATGAGATTGAGAGGAGGTTTAAGGCAGGGCTGAAGAGGAGACTCGGCAAATACACGGCACTCAAATTAGCTTGTAGTTTGACAATAGTTTGGGTTTTATTTCCCTGCCTTTTATCAACACAAATACATTAAAATAGCTAAAAGATCTGATTAAAAATGAGTAATAATTAAATATCATACAGTGTAATCTTCCTCATTGATGAAGAGGATGTTGAGGGCCTCATTCACGGACTTGTTGTTGTGATTCTGGACCGACCTTAAGTAGGGCTTTACCAGGGGAAGCTGTTTCACCTACAAAAAAAATAAATAATAGAAAACAGAAGTCATCACTGTTCATCTTTGTTTACCATAACAAGGACAATGGTAATCCAAATTAACAGTAATTAATTCATTAAATCTGTTATAGGGCCATTGTCTTGCTTTTAATGAATTTCACTTTGACTTGAGATCATCAAACAAGACTCTGGCATGAGCTGCACCTGTACTACACCATCAACAGCAACAAACTCTATTTGGTTCAATTGAGAAAAAAACTCTTAATTTCTGAACAAGTGGCCAGCAACAGAGTAAAGCTCTTGTCTAGGTGAATTGGTCATGGGTAGTGTGCCTGTATCAATGAACGATCAATGTTGACAATTGAAATTTTCTCTAACTTGTTAAAATATCAGGAGATGAAGAAAGAGCGCAGAGAGTATCATATGGGAAAAAGGGTTGCTGGCTGGAATTGAACACAGGCTGCTTACTTTCATATAGGGTGCAGTAATCCTGGTTGAATACTTAATATTTTGATATCAAATTCGAGCACACTATCTGATAAAGGGTTACCTTGCTGAAGAAGTTAACAGCACGTGTGTGATCCAGCCTTGGGGAGAGGACGATGAGCAGGTCGTTCAGAAGCATTGGTTTGAACTCTAGATAAAACTGGACTGCTTTGTAGTACAACTCAACATTGGCAACCTAAAAGAAGAACACAGTAAACTTAACAGTGATTTTACTACCATCTAGTCACCAGAATGACAAAAAGTACCAATAATCAACTTCAATCTTTTTACCTTGGTAACAATGTCCTTGAACTGGCCCTCCTTCCAAGCATCAGACGGATGGCTCATCATGGTGATGATGGCATTGTCATATTCCTCATACTTGTCATAGAGAAACACAAGCTCCGCCCAGAGGTGGGCCTGCTCTGCTGCCCTAAGCACCTGATGCATACACACAGAGTAAGTCGTCACTTTATATTTCAAGTGGTCATTGAAGCAGAGAAATCCAACATTTACTTCCAAGAGTAATAGAAGTGTTCAACCATGGGATGTGTCGTGAAGAGGTTGCCTACCTTTGGGATGTTGACACGGGACCAAAAGAGCTCTAGGTGCTCCCTCATCTTCTGAGGTTTGAATTTTGAGTAGAGGATGGCCAGCTCAGTAAACATACCCATGTGGGCACGCTCCAGACCGAGGGCGGCTTCTAACATCGTGATCAGCTCTTCAAAGTAACCACGGTCCTGGGAAACACAGACTTATTGAGATCGATCTTACGACACATTGAAATTACTAGTCTTGTTTTATAATCATATTAAATCAATGGGGAAGATCTTTGCTCACTGTGAACTAAGGGCATGTTTCCCCTAACCACCCCAGTTACCTGGTAGTAATTTATGAGTTCCTCCAGTTCATCTGCGTGGACGACAATATGCAGGCCACACATTTGGGCAAGTCGGAATTCTTTCCCATCCACACACGCAAAACACACCTGAAGAGAGAAAAATCATGTGAAAGTTAAACGCAGGTGTCTGGACCTGAAAAGGATAGAAGAAGACACTCAGATATTAAAATCTGATTTTCAACACTTTTAAGGAAATATAACTCGTAAATAAAGTGAATGTGGCTAACTGTACTCATACTCCTCATAGAGCTCTACTCACACTTCATTTAAGAAAGGACAAACTTAGGTACGGTACTTTCACAACGGATGGTCACCCTTCTATCTCTTATTGAGGACACGCTGAGCTCACGATCACCAATATCAATAATTAAAAAATAATAATTTTGTTTATATCCTTTATTCCCTGTTTGGAGCATGTGTGATTTTTTAGTTTTAGTTTCTTTTTTAATTGTGGTTGTATATACAGTATGTACAGAAAACAGTGCATATTGTAAACCATGAGCACACGCCAAGTGACACAAGTGGCACTTTGCAATGTGTGTACCTAACGATACTATTTAGAATTGCTCTTACAAAACCATTTGAAAACAGAAGACGTATAAAACCATCTACTCGTTTCTAACCTCTTTCCAGGTTCGGGTGCTGTTGGCCTTGCGAGCTCCATCCACAGCTGCCTGGTATTCTCCCAGATGCACCAGAGTGGAGGCCAGACGGCCAAAGTTCGACACATTATTGTAAAGCAGTTTTGCCGCCTCGTACATCTTATCATCGTAACAACGATCACCCACCTGAAAAAAGACAGACAGGATGTAGAGAAACAGTAAACGGCTGAGATAATTAAGGACTTACTTAGAGAAAATAAACCGAGCAGCTTAGATAAGTATGTGCTGTGCAGTTCCCAGGACATACTTGCTGAATGTGAGCGTTATTGGGTCCATTGATGAACTCTTCCAGTTCAGCCAGGCGGTTGGTCTTGGCCAGAGCAAAGATCAACTCTGTTTCAACATAAGACTCACGGGCCTTTTTACGGGCCATCTGCAAAAACTTCACAAGGTCCTCCCAGTTTCCTGCACACAACAAACAACTTTAAGAACTGACTGTATATTACCAAAAGGAGAGTTTTTGTTTTAAATTAATAAAACGAGTAACAAGGCAGATAACATATGCGAAAACCACAGCAAGCAAAAAAGAAATGAGTCTATCTTACCTCCTTGGGCAGCTGCTTGTCCCACCTCTATGTAAGCAGAAGGGTCATCAGCCTTGATATAAGAGTCAATGGCTTCCTTCACCATGCCCCTTTGGAGCTGGGCCTTTGCCAGCTGACTCCACACTGGTGGCTCATTACAGCGCTCTGCAAACTCATACGCTCTATCCAGATTACCAATGTGCTCAATCAATACCTGGATGAAATCAAACAATAAGCAGATCATGGTTTGTAAAGCACAATAGTCATGGTATGCATTGTAGTCAGGGTTTAGGTTATAGACGTGATTCCATAGCATGCTTGGTATAACAGATTTCAGGTTTAGTTCAAGTACAATCGGCTGACCTGTACAGCGGAGGTGTTAACATCAAATTTCCGAAAAATCGCAAATGCCTCTTCAAACAGTTCATTGCTGATGGCGATGTTCGCAATGTCCGGGGCGTCGTAGTTGTCTAAGCGGCTGATGTACTCCATAACACGTGTCCTATCAGCTTTAATAGCTGTTAGGATAAGCAGATTCTGGAGGTTTCTAGAATAAACAACAAAGGAAAGTCTTAGTTAAAACCAAGTAAATTAATTACTGAACATTCTTAGATATCACTATAGTCAGTGTTGTGTACTGTGAATGAGTGAAATGAACATGTTCATTAAATGAACGGTGAACAGAACCGCTCAGTTTGGATCGCATGAACGGGAACGGGAGCGTAGTTCACTCCTGGGGCAGTGAACGACCGCTCATATTCTGAGAGAGCTCGGCAGAAGAACTCGGATCTATGGAACTCTCCATGCATTCAGCATAAGCTAATCCTGCTGACAGTACAAACAATACAGGTAGCAGAGGTTTTGAACTGAGTATCTGTCTGTGGTGCTACAAAAGCATACAGTGATTCATTTATTTGGAGAATTGGCTGAAGTGTTAGGGATTAAAGCATATATGGCTCTACTGAAAAAGAGAACTTGTATCTGAAAAATAAACATGAACTAGTTCATTATTTAAATCAAACTTAAATGTTCAAAAATGAACTATAGACATTAATTAGTTCATTTTAATTGGTGTGAAGTGAACTTTTTTGTGTGAACTAATTAACTCTGTTAATTAGTTCATGGAGCTTCAGATAAAAAGCCAGAAAAACTGACTGATGCTGAAAATACTGAAAGATGGCTCAGGAAATCTGATGCCTACAAATGTCTGTAATATTTTGAAATTTATCATTTTGTTAAATAATCACAAACATTTCGGAAATAGAGGACCTCAAACTCACTCACCTGTGCTCACTAAAGACAGAGTTATCCAGGACGATCTTCTCCAGAAGTTCAATGAGTTCATTTGGAAGGTCAGCAGTCATGAAGGCCTTGACTGTGACGGAGACTTCCTCTGGATCCTGGGTCTCAGACAGCGCCGTCTGGACAACCTGTAAGCAAGATGGAAAATGGACTTGATACACCACAGCTGATGTGGAACAAGATCCCCATTTTTACATCAAGAATCAGATAATGTTGCATAACCTGATACAGCAGATATTACGGACTCTTACCTGGTCAATGAGCGGCCTTCTGTAATTGTTAGTCTCCAGCAGCACGCTTGCCCACAGCTCAGGGTTCTTGCGACGCACAAGGTAGCGAGAGAGACTCTTGAACAGTGAGTTCTCATTGCACACCTGAGATGTATAAAGCAGAGTTAGCATGGGAGGAATCTATAGATCTGAAATGTCTAGAGTGAGGAATTTCTGTGATTTAAAAAACAAAAAGAAACATGAATAAACATAGTGTGGATCAGTGCATGAAACATATTCACCAGTCATGAAGCAAAGCATCTAAATAATGGATAAAAACCTACTGGCTTGTTTTTTTTTTTTTTTTTGCCCTCGTTACCGACATGATTTTCGTTGAAACTCACATGGATTAGTTCTTGGTCACACTGTCCTCTTTCATAAGCCACACAGGCCAGGTGCGGGTCCCGCTTCTCACAGTACTTGCCAACCACACGGCTATCATAGTAGGGGTTCTCCCTCAGAAAGCGCTCAGGGTTGTTGTTACTGTCAATGTAGATCTTGGCCAGGGCATTGTGTGTAGCAGGCTCCTCACAACCTTCATGAATACGGGCCTCCAACCAAGGAAGTAACAGCTTCAGTCTGGAGATAGATATACAATCAGGATTTAACAGACCTCTAGCGCAGAAAATGAAACAAAAATATCAACTAACACTAGGAAAGGTAAAGTGAAACTTGTTTTAATGCGAAACAAGTCAATCAAAGAAGTGAATCAGTGATTGGATTGTATTGCTGCCAAAATAGATAGTCTCTTCGTACCGATTTCTTTTCTCCACTTCAGCCACAAGTTCATCTGTCGAGAACTGCCCTCTAACCACCATAATCAGATTTTTAATTACATCCTCTGCACAATCAACATCCAGGAGCCCTCCAATGACTACAGGCAGACGGCTGGGATTCACCTACAATAAGTGTTCATTGGTTATCTCATTTCCACGGACAAATGAAAACACAAGTGTAACTTCAATGGAGCATGGCAGTGAGACATCAGCCATAACATTATGACCACTTGACAGATAATATGCTGGTTCCCTCCTTGACAGGTCAGTGCCATACAAGTCCTGACTTGAGGTTACGCAGAGTGACTAGACACTGGAGTTCTGATACACACATGCTCATTGTAGCCATGGCTGTGTCCAGTGAACATGAGCTCCCCGGCCAGTCCACTGCTATCCAGCTTCATATGCAACTTAATGTAATGCATGCGTGTTTTGACACCATGAAAGAATTAACATTTTCACTAATTAGAGCTCAAGAGGCTGAATGAGATTAGACCATGAGGTCCAGCCTTTGTTCCCCAAACATAACAAAGAGCCTTAGCTGCCCATGACCTTGTTGCTGAAGAAAAACAAACCGCAATCACAGACAAGTGCCAATTAAATAATCAATTAGTCAATTCATGTCAATCCCTTCATCTGTCAGTGATCATGATGCTGTGGCTGATTGTTTATATGAAACAAGAAAAAGAGGCAGCGTGATAAAAGATACAGTTTGGATTTAATCATGATACTTGATTTTACTTACAGTAAATTAAGAGAAAGGTAAACATGCAGCTAGAATCAAATTTATACTCTATTTTATTTCTTTAATTTTAAACACTACTGCCATCTATTTACGGGGTAAAAGTGTACCTTCTGCACGTAGATCTCAATGTATTTTTGCAGGCTGTTGCGGTAAAGATAAAGGACCAGATCATGGACAAAATCAAAGCGGTCACACACAATGATCAAAGGCAGCTGGTCTGTGAGCTTGGCTTCCTATAAAGAAAAGATACAGAGACAAAATACAGACAAAAAAATTAGTACTACACACCAAGACATGTTATACTGTGAATTTTTTTTTATTCCTCTTAAGGACCAATTTCGATTCCCTACTAACCCTACAGCGTGAAGAGACGTAGGACAAATTATGTCACAAAGTGTGGTTTGTTCGGGAGCGGTGTGCAGTTATTTTTCTCTCTCTATTTTTTGCTATGTAAATTGAAAAATTTATGGGAAAAATTTGCATACTTGAAAAAGGAATGTTTGTTGTAGGTGAGCTCCTTGTATATAATGTAGCATTAAAACTATTAATTATTTGAAATCTTTTAAGAATCTCATCATAGTGTTCACATCCTGGCAGTAGCCCCTGTGGCCTTTTCTAAATTCCCCAGTGTTATCAATGTTATTCTTGGACATGCAGTAGTTCATTGTTTACCTTTAAGAAGTTCTTTACACGTTCAGGGTCGTAGCAGTTACTCTCTCTACAGATTCTTTCCACTTCTTTGATTTGACCTGTCTTGCAGGCAGCCTGTATATATTTAAAGTGAACCTCTGGATCTTGGCTAAAGTTCACAATGGACCCCAAAAAGTAGAACAAGCCTGAAAGAAATGAAAAAGAAAATCAGAAGAAGACTGAAACCCATTTTTAAAACGTTCTCTCAAGATGGACATATTAGGGAAGACAATACAACATTTATCAACCAATGTTACCCTCAAAGCTCTTGAAAGACTCGAAAAGTTCAGTGAGGGACTGAGTGGAAAGCTGCTCATGATATTTGGAAGCAACTTGAACACATATTTGAAGGTTCTGTCGAATGTTCGCAGACAGCATTGCTTTCAGACACTCGAGGGAGTCCTCCACTGATAAGGAGCCAAAGAAATTCACCAACCACTGCAGACACACACAAAAAAAACATTGTCAAAACAAATACATAATTTAAATATGAATCCATGATTCAAGTTTACTGCATTTTTAATGAGCCTATGTTAGGAACAGGATTAAAGACATATTTGATCAACTTTTGTTCCTGTTAACATTTTGGTGTTGCTTAGCCAGGGTTTTACCTCGGGGTTAAGAAGGTGTGTGTGCACTACGGCACGTTTTATGTCATACAAGTCAGTATAATGCTCCAGAGCCCTCTGCAGGAGACCAGCCTTCTCACACAGCTGTGCAACATGAGCACGATCGTAGTGTGTAAACATCTGATTTCCAAGGATAGCGTCTGCAACCTGCAAAACAGGAAACAAATCAAAGACGATTTAACAGCGACTAATGCTATGGTAACATGAAACTTAAAACAACAAGGACAGAGTTTTATAATAAGATTTTTTCAAGAAAGAAAATCTTAAAAGTTTAATTCAAAAATCATCATCATTAGAGAGTATATAAACCGCTCCATCAAAATTCTGTCCAGTGGTGACCTTTGACTCTGTAAGCCTCACCCACTGACCACTGACATTCAAAAGGTCCAAAGTGTTATCCCCTAAGTCCTTTCCTATCCTCTTTCCATAACCCTGATTGCAAATGCTTACTATTTCTCTCAGTGCCACAGGGATTGAAGGCAAAAAAATCTTTCAACTAAAAATGTTCAACATACAAAAGAAGTTACGGAGGAGCTCCTCATCTAAGCTTCCACAAACTGTACTTTCTTAGAAAAAAGACAAGTAGGAGACTGTGGAGTTATTCTGGCATGCAAATAGCTGTTTGCAGCAATTTGATATTAGTTTGTGGGGACATTGTTTCGGTACCAAGAAGGACTGTAAAATAATTGTTCAGATCTATAAGGAGTCTTAAAGCAGTCATACAGTACAGTATATGGTAAGATTTACATTGCACTAATAATTACCAAAGAAATAGCACAAAAATATCAAAGTATACTTTTGATAACTAAATCAAAAGTTTGTCATCTAACTGAATTATCTGTTTTAGGATATTTTCAGATTATTTAATTGTATCTTCAAGCATTTAAATAGTCCATTGCATTTTTTATTGCTGCTGATTAAATGCGGGGCTCATTTTACTGATATACACTCAACTTTTTCATACTTCATTGGTAGCTAGGACATGACAGAGACATCAATATTCATTAAACTGTATTGTAATCATTCTGGCTTTTGGATGAATGTAACCAAAACATATCCATACATTTCTGATTCTTATATATTCTTTTATACCTGTGGTGCATGTACTAAATTCATTTCCAGCAGTCGTGTCTGCAGTTGTCCTTCCATGGGCCTGTTGTTCTTTAAGGCGTCGAGTAGGAAAGATGTGCACTGCTGGATTAGGTTGTACTCCATGAACACGTCAACTATCTAGAATAAACAATAGAGACAAAGAATCAGTATACTTGTCCATCTACCTGAAATCACTTTGGTTTTGTTTGGTTATTGGCTCTTAAAGTATTTAGTAATTTTCTTCACAATTACACAAGAATACACTTCTTAACTTAAGTCAGTGACTTTCTCAACCCCTGGAAAATGACCATTTAAAAGCTACACAAACATGTTAGTGCAAATGAGGTGAAACTCAATTCTTATTATGTCAATACAAACAGTAGGTACATGTTATATAAATGAATAGCATATATATATATATATATATATATATATATATATATATATATATATACACTCACCGGCCACTTTATTAGGTATACCTGTCCAACTGCTCGTTAACACTTAATTTCTAATCAGCCAATCACATGGCGGCAACTTAGTGCATTTAGGCATGTAGACATGGTCAAGACAATCTCCTGCAGTTCAAACCGAGCATCAGTATGGGGAAGAAAGGTGATTTGAGTGACTTTGAACGTGGCATGGTTGTTGGTGCCAGAAGGGCTGGTCTGAGTATTTCAGAAACTGCTGATCTATTGGGATTTTCACGCACAACCATCTCTAGGGTTTACAGAGAATGGTCCGAAAAAGAAAAAATATCCAGTGAGCGGCAGTTCTGTGGGCGGAAATGCCTTGTTGATGCCAGAGGTCAGAGGAGAATGGCCAGACTGGTTCGAGCTGATAGAAAGGCAACAGTGACTCAAATAACCACCCGTTACAACCAAGGTAGGCAGAAGAGCATCTCTGAACGCACAGTACGTCGAACTTTGAGGCAGATGGGCTACAGCAGCAGAAGACCACGCCGGGTGCCACTCCTTTCAGCTAAGAACAGGAAACTGAGGCTACAATTTGCACAAGCTCATCGAAATTGGACAATAGAAGATTGGAAAAACGTTGCCTGGTCTGATGAGTCTCGATTTCTGCTGCGACATTCGGATGGTAGGGTCAGAATTTGGCGTCAACAACATGAAAGCATGGATCCATCCTGCCTTGTATCAACGGTTCAGGCTGGTGGTGGTGGTGTCATGGTGTGGGGAATATTTTCTTGGCACTCTTTGGGCCCCTTGGTACCAATTGAGCATCGTTGCAACGCCACAGCCTACCTGAGTATTGTTGCTGACCATGTCCATCCCTTTATGACCACAATGTACCCAACTTCTGATGGCTACTTTCAGCAGGATAATGCGCCATGTCATAAAGCTGGAATCATCTCAGACTGGTTTCTTGAACATGACAATGAGTTCACTGTACTCAAATGGCCTCCACAGTCACCAGATCTCAATCCAATAGAGCATCTTTGGGATGTGGTGGAACGGGAGATTCGCATCATGGATGTACAGCCGACAAATCTGCGGCAACTGTGTGATGCCATCATGTCAATATGGACCAAGCTCTCTGAGGAATGCTTCCAGCACCTTGTTGAATCTATGCCACGAAGAATTGAGGCAGTTCTGAAGGCAAAAGGGGGTCCAACCCGTTACGAGCATGGTGTACCTAATAAAGTGGCCGGTGAGTGTATATACAGTATATGTACACATGTTGTTTTTACCTGTGAAATGTCAGCAAGTGGCTCCTCATCCTGAACCAGCATCTGAGAAAACTGAAGGCCCTGTTCTGGACTGATGCGCATTACATTCCGTAGCAAAAAGATCCAGTCTGGAGTGTAACCCACCTGAAGAGATAACAGGTTTTTTAAACTGTAACTCATCTGAGGTGTGCAGGGGCCTCATTGGTGGAACTACATAAAAATAACACGTAAAGACAGATTTCAAAACTGCTAAATATTCAGTATCACACACTCACAATAGTAATGGTCTAAAATTGTCCATAATAACAAAGGAATAACATAAGTAATGCTTTGTCACAAACCTTTTTTGCATAGAGGACAATCTTTTGGAACTGTCCAGTTTCTGCAAAGCACTGAATGACCTTATTAGGGACGTTGGCTCTAAGGTAGACACTAAGGGCAAGAGTAGGATCTACTGACTTCACCAAGTCTCCGAGCTCTTCGGAGCACTCCAGCTGTATGTACACACAAACAAACACACAAACAAAAAACAACAACAACAAAAATAAGTAACCAGGCAAAGGGAATCAGAAAACAACACAAAAGAATCGGGATGAATTGATAAAGAATACATTATTGATGACCAATTTTGTTGTGAAACAAACAATTTAGAAGAACACTGTCAGCCTTCCCTATAAGTGTAAACTGACTCATGCATCATGAGGATGTTCCTCTTTAGTCCACAGAACTGTGGACGAACACCAGGCTTCATAACCAAACAATGTCTTCCCCATACTTAAGTCTTCACTTGTAATCGGATCACTCTGGATACTTGTCAATGTGAGGTCCTAGTGAGGGCCATATGTGAGAATTCTTGTTGCGAAAAGTTTGGGGAAGCAGCAATATCCATCCTAATTGTCATTTAGGTTTAAAATACTTTTTTCACTTAAGATAGGGTTTAAAGATTTACTTTCTAGGACATTGACTACAGGATAAGGAGCAGTATTTTCCCATTTTGCTCTCTAATGCAGTCTTTGTAGAAAGAGAGCTGTTGAATATTTATAAAGGATGTCCAATGATCTTTTATCGCGTCAAAACTTGGTGTTCAATAACATTTACAGGTAATGTACCGACCTTGTCCTCCTTTAACCATTTCTCAAGTAGTTGCTTGCGTCCCTGCTGTAGAACAGGCCTGCAGAGCTCCAGCGACTCAAACTTATTAAGCTGACCTTGGTCCAGCAAGATACCAAAGTACTGGAGTAAGGGAGAAGTCTGGCCTGGCTGGGCTGGAACACTCTGGAACCTGCGAATGGTTTCTGGGGTCCGCAGGATACCCTGGAGGAGGAAGACGGATGAACAAATCCAAAATCATCTTAGCCATCAGCCTAGTGTCAACTGTCAGACTAGGCAACAGAGATCTTCTTAGATTAAACAGTCCGAGCTTAAATTTGTTTCGCGAGTAATGTCAGGTAGTGTGTTAGTGCTTGAAGTACACTGGATCTACCTTTGGTGCGTTGGCTGCCACTTTGGCTGCTTCAGAGTAATTCCCGGCTGCAAAGAGTGTGTTGAACTTGCGGGCAAAAAGCTCCTCAGCACCAGCTAGATTGTTACGGACAGCCATATGAAGAGCTAGGTCTGGGTTCTGGAGGACATTGGTGATGTAGGGGATAATGTTTTCCTCCTCCACACACACTGACAGCACCTAGAATAACACATTTACAAAATGCTTTTGCAAACACAACAGCAGACAATTCAGGCGCTGATTGATTCTCTTAAAATAAATGTAATGGTTAACTCAAATAAAGGATTTTAATTCTCAGACCATTAAAAAAATACCACTTCATCAAATGTATATAATTAGGCATATAAACATCTTACAAGAGTAACCCTTCAGTAATATGTGCCATATGTATGAACTACAAGTTGTGCACTTTTAATTTAATAAAAAGTTCTGAGAGGAATGATTGTAACAAATTAATTAAAGATTTTTGACATGCATTTCATTGCATCAGACCAGAGTGTGTATGAAAATGTACCTGTCCTTTCCTGTTGACCCCAATGATACCAGCTGTGGGTTCATGGGGGGCAGTAACAAAAATGGTCTCCCCGCTGATCCTATTCATATAAATGCAAGTCCCAGTCTCCAGGTCATACAGGTGGATGTAGCCATACTTGGTGATGAGAAAAACTACATCTTGCTTGGAGCTGATCTAGAAGTACCAAATGATAAGTCATTAGTTTTTTGACTAAAAAATGAGTTCAAAGTTCACCAAAAACATGGTGAAAACGACAAACAAAAACAAAACATAGACAAAGTTTCAATGCCTCGGCAAAGCGTGTTTTCACATGATCTTAAAACATTCAGGGTGATTATTTCAGTGATGTCTTTAGATGAGTTAGCTCAGGCTTCATGTTTCAACAGCACTAAATAATAATGCTAGTAGACTTGTAGGAAATATTTCAGACATAGTGAGGTGAAAAGCTTGGCTGTTTGTGTCACACATACAGCTCACCAAAGTACTTTTAGTGAAATTTTCTGGAATTTTGTGCATGTCTGAAAGGAGTTAATAAATTTAGTTGATAATTTAGGAGGAATCCTGACCCAGAAATAACTTACACGAAAAAGCACCAAAAAAGGAGAGTATTGTTTCTCACAGCTCGAGAAGATGACACTTTTTGCGGAACAATTATAAATAGGCAGCAAACACAGTCCCTCTGTATCTCCTTACTTATAGTTTTTGTACCTGCATCGCAACAGGAAAGTCATTCTGTGCTTCTGGAGGAAAGAAAACATCCACAGCTTTCTTTGGAAATGGCTGGTTCCCAGTAGGCGGGGTTCCAACTTCGATAATGTGCAGCTAGAACAAAAAGAAAGATACAGAGATAAAAAATAGTCTTGGGCAATAAAACGACATCAATTACTGTGTTACAGTTTGTCTCAGTAGAAATATAATAAACGTTTGATAAAAATTTGATAGATTTAAACCTGAAAATACTACCCAACCACTGGGTAGGGAAATTATGATTTGCAAATATCATGATAATCATCAATATCACTAAAATTTTCAAGATAATGTTTTTTACATATCAACCAGCACAACCTGTAATGTTTAAAAAAAAAACTACTTAATTTGGATTTGTACTGCTGTAATCTTCATTTGCATAGTTTACACACAACATTTCAGTCCAAGTAAATCTTACTTTTCCGCCTGCTTGTCCCCGTACAGCGAAGCAGAAAAGGGTTGACTCTTCAGTGTTGCCCTCCATCTTAAACTGTGCAAAGCCTGCAGCATGCCCCTCGATTGGCTGAGACACTTTTCTGTCAACGGAGTAAAGCTGCATGGCCCCAACAACACGATTTTGCTAAGGAGGGGAGAAAGACAACGAATTAGGCAACAACTCAAAAAAACAATTACGTGCTTAAGAGGCACAATAACATTGTTTTTGTTTCACTGCTTCTTTCAAAACACTGCATTCAATTTCAGCATTTTAAGGCAGAAAAATGTGGTGTTTTCTTATTCCCTAACCTTCCATATAACGTACAAGTGTGGTAGATAAAGTTGCATATCCCAGACAAGATAAAATGTCATTAATAAAACTATCTGGCTTGTAGGTAAGCATGATCACTACACTGCAATTAAAAAAAAGTTAAAAAAAAAAAAAAAAAACATTAACACAGAAGAACTTCTGTTTATTACCTTTACAAAGTCTGAATTAAACCTAAACCTGCTAAGAATTGGGACAGCTGCGGCAGGGTTGATAATGTCTCAGTCCTAAGGTTTGATCCAAGGTCTGGCACTTCAAATGCCTAAATGGCCCGAGATACCTAACCCCAAAATAATGGCAAACCTCTGCTATCACTTTAGATGCTAACAAACTGCCCATTATTCCTCCTCAACACTATGTAATGACCAAATGCATAATGGCTAGTTGAAGTTGCTCTGCCTCTGATCCTCCCACAGAAGCAGCAATTTAGTTAGAATCTGGGGAAGGAGGAGGCAATGTGTGGCATCGGAGGCGCAGAACAGTGCTGCAACAAGGCAATGCAATGTGTGATGATGACACTCTGGGAAACCAACAGGGAGTGGACGGGGCATACTACAGCATCCTAATGTTGTAGTACTCGAGATCGGTCTTGGTCTCCAGACCATTTTTTGAGGGTCTCGGATTTAGTCTCGGAATCAAAGGCATTTTCACTCGGTCATGTCTTGGTCTCAGAGTGAGCGGACCCAGGTTTTTGAACGAGACCGGTCGAGCTTATAATTTTACATCATTGGTAGTAATAATTTTCCCCCAGCTGCAGCTGCTAAGTTACCTGCCCAGTGTCACACAGTCTGAGTGACTGACACACCCCCTCCATACAGAGAGAGGATGGAGACGATGGCTGTGTTTGTGCTTGGCACCCGGTGAACTCGTCATGAAAGATGTCTGCCAACTCAGCAATAATTAAGTTTGGCTTCCTAAACCACAAGGAGTTTATTTGTAAAACGACATGCAAGCAAAAACACTCTGCAGTGTGCAAATTCTGCAGTGCACAACTCACAGATACAGCTGGTACAACTTCAAACTTTTACCGTCACCTCGAGAGGAAGACAGGTAAGCTAACGGTTACCACACAGTAGTGTTGTAGTACTCAAGATCGGTCTTGGTCTCAAACCATTTTTTGAGGGCCTTGGTGTCGTCTCGGAATTGAAGGCATTTTCACTCTGTCTTGTCTCGGTCTTGGTCCTTTCTGGTCTCGGTTGGTGCGGTCTTGACTACAACACTACAGCATTCTCAGTCCCCCTTTTGGTCTTGTATGCAATCTGATAAGAATCCTGTTGTGGTCCAACAATTGGGAGGATGGTGTCTAGAACCAGTTTTTCAAGGTATTTCATGATTATTTAAGTGAGTGCAACTGGCCAGTGATGATTAGCTTCTGAAGGGTGGGGTTTCTTGGGCACAGGTATGAGAATTAGTGTTTTCCATAGGGTTGGCCCTGGAGCAGACCTGTAGGACTCACAGAAGATGGAATGGAGAAAAGGAGAAAGCTCCATTGAGCAATGCTTGAGCAAGCGTGCATGGATGCCATCTGGTCCGGTATGGTTTGCACTGGCTCAACTGACTGCACATGTGCTCCATTGTGAATGGAGCAGAGTGAAGGGTTTCCAGGATGGGCGTGGTCTCCAGCAGGGCCTTACAGTCTTGTGTGCAATTTATGATATCAAAACTGCAATAAAAGGTGTTCAGGTTTTCAGCAAGTAAGGCAGGGTCAGTTATGCAGTTAATTTTGGTTTTGGGTTGTAACCGGTCTCACTTTATTGAAAACCTGTTTAGTGTTCTTGGTGCTGAACTGCCATTCAAGTTTTTGTTTGTATTTGAGTTTGGCCTTGGTTTCATTCTTTATTTGAAGGTTTATTGCACTCCTGTCTTATTTGTATAAGTTAAGTTATTTGTATGAGTCAAATTCCTTGCATGTGTACACATACTTGGCCAATAAAGCTGATTCTGGTATATTGAGTGATTCAGGGTTTTAAGTTGCAACGTAATCTGTGATGACAGAGATCCTGTCATTTAAACTGTTGACAAAAATGTCTCAGTCCATGACCCCTGCAGCCGTGCAACAGCGTTTTTAGACCACGCCATGGCGCTGGGGTTTGTGGTGCTTCAGCACCTGTCAGTAATGCGGAAGTAAAACAACAATGATGTGGTCTGCAAAGCCTAGTGGTGGTTGTGCATAGGTAGTGTAAGCAACAGTACCACTACCATAATACAAGTCCAGAGTATTTCGCCCCCTTGTTGGTATGTCCGCATATGTTAAAAAGAAGGCAGAGCACTGTCAACTTTGGAGCTGTTGAAATCCCCAACTATGAACACCAGTGCCTTCGGGTATTTCCTCTGCATGCTGCTAGCACAGTTAGCCACTAGCTTAGCTGCACCATTGGTGTTAGCGCTTGGTAGAATGTAAACACAGCTGATCACGACAGTGGGAAATTCTTTTAGGAGCTGAAAGGGATGAAGGGATAGGGTCAGCATCTCCAGATCTTGGGTTCAGACCCGATTATGGATTTTGATGTTATTACACCAACTGTGGCTAAAGTACATGCAGACCCCTCCACCTCACTCCTTCCCCGACTCCCTCGTCCAGTCTCCCCATAAGAAGGTGTACCTCGGGGTCTGAGCAGCCTCGTTGAGCCAGGCTTCAGTCAAGTTGAGGATACAGGGTTCCCTGAAGGTCCTCTATGCCAGGCATTTTGTATGGAGAACGTCCGTTTTGAGACCAAACATTTGCCAGGGTGATAGATGGAAGAGGGGGTTTGAAGGGTCACCTCCTCAACGTGGTGCATACCCCACCTTGCCTGCCCCTCTTCCTTGGACAGATTTCAGCCGGAAGGACAACACATGGTCTGGCATTGCTGAGAGGGTAAGACCAGAGTTGTAGCAGATTTTCCCAGGTGTAGGTAAGTCCATTTCTGCCAGGAAACTTGATAATCCAAAGAACGAATGGTAAAATCCAAAACACATAATACTGTGGAATCATAATGACAGACAAAACCAAGCACACTCAAGATAAGACAGCTTTGAGTAACACGAGAAAAACGAGCACAGAGTACAGAGGTGCAGACATGCTTACAGACAGTGTTGTTGCAGCAGAGCATGCGCTGGAGCCAGCCAAGGGAAACTTGTAGTTAGTTTGAAGGACTTAACAGGCAAGTGGGTACACAAATAAAAGCAACCGGTTTGATGGTAAGGTAACACAGCTGATACTAATGATGATGATAAGGCTCAGATTGAAGATAGAATTGAAGAGATGGGCCTTGATGATGGCTAGCTGTATTAGTTGAACATGCTGCAGCTTAGCTCTTCAAGCCAATCGAGGGCTTAACACGGAGGAAGCACGAATTGAGCCAAGCTACAAAGGCTGGCATTCAAGTCAGGTATTGCGAAAAAAAAGAGCTCAAGTTAAAAGATTAAGAGTATGCAAGATTGAATAAACAGCTATGTTTGCATGCATAATTTAGGTAAACTCAAAGTGAAGGAGGAGGAACAGAAACACTCTCAGCCTGCTAACAACCCTGCACATGTTAGGAAGATCCCAAAAAGAACTCTTCAGAATACAGAGCCCCAGAGAGTGACAACAATACTAATAGGCAACACTGACAGACAACAGTGTGACAATAGCAACAACTGCATTGCAGAATGTGACAAGAGATGCTGGTTAATCAACAGAAAGACTTTTTTTATCAGATCATTTGTATTCAGAGAAGGGCTGGCAATGATAAGGACAAGTTATACTATTTGCAACACTACATTGCAGGAAAACCAAAAGAGTAAGGTTGAACGCATAATTAATGGCCAACGAAATTCAAATGCCTCAGATGAATTTCATGACATTTAGCCATTTACACCAACCGTTTGTTGCTGGTGAAAGGACAACCCAACATGCCACCTGGAACCTTAAGTAAGTGATGGATATTTGCCACAACAGGGCCAGAAATGGACCACATTGCACAGAAACTTAAAGCCTGGAGCTGATCATACTCATTGTTGATGGTTCAACTCTAGGAAACACATGGATCATGGGAAGACAAATCCAAACCTTGCCAGACTCTAGCGGAACTGTACACCAAGTGAAGCTGCAAACTACAACTATCACCCTGGAAAGGCCTGTAAATGAACTGTTTGCCACAAGAAGCTGTGTTAATACAAAGGGACTACATGGAGAATTGTGAAAAAGAAAGGACTGATAAAAGTTTGAATAGTAATTTTAGTTTTGATTCGATGGCTTTTAATATTCAAGTTTTTATTCAGTGTTTATTCCCAAACTAGCCTTTGATGCTATGATCATCTGACACCTAAAATATGTACACTTATAAAAAAAAATGTACATGTTTTACCAAGCAATTCCTCTTGACAGGTGGGGAGGGAGTGGAGCTCACAGGGGGGTAGATACTCACTTCAACAATCATTCATGCACATCACCCTCTTGGATGGATAATAACATATATCAAATGTATTTGCTTTGCTTCTGCTTAAAACTGATGAACCAAAGTTTCTGTAATGAAGCTATGAGGGGATTCCACACAGTGACTCATAATAATCAAGCAGCTGCTGAAAGCCTTCGTTACAGTGATCTAAGTGTTCAACTCTTAAGAAAAAAACATGACAGTGTGTTTGTGATCATTTGATCCTGCTGAGAAGGAACAAGGAAAGAAAAATTGAGTGGAAACTGTCATTCTGTGTTAATTAGGTTGGCACACTCTGTCTTTGTGTAACAGCTCTTTCTTTTATTACTGGTGCCTGATTCAGAGTGGTGTTTTGTCATGTGTAGACATAGCTTTGTCATGTTGCTGCAACATTCTAATCCAAATGTTCTCATATACTTCCAGTTTTGTGGCAGCTGCCTCTTTTATTTTGGTTTGATACATGCTACATCACCCAATTTGGCTTCTACTGCCATCTGTTGGCTGGTCTTGCACTGCACCATAGGCCCCAGTGTTTTTTAACACTGAGGCACTGTCAGCATGTCACTTAACCAATGCTCCCCTTCCTTGATTGTTCATATCAGCTTTGAGTTGTATTACTGGAAATGTTATAGTTTTATTTTGGTAGAAATGGTATTGGTTTACAAAATAATTTTGTATTGAAAATATCAAATTATTGTTTTTTTTCCTATCACTTAGGTTGACAAATGTAAAATTACAAGATCCTACAAAAGCCCATTGGTGCCATTAATTTAACAAAAGTGTATTGTATTGTATATGTGCGCACAATAGCACCTACTTTCAGTCCATTATGAAAGAACCTTTTATTATTTAGACATGCATGACAAACATGTCTAATTTACACAAAATTTATACAGTGGAGCCTATTTTTGAGTTCCTGTGGACAAAGGGACTTGAATTTAGCTGCTCAATGCAGAATCAAATACACATGAATATTCTGGGCCTATCCTTTTTTTTTTTACCTGTGCCGAAATGCCAATGAGCAGCAACCACTTCTGTTTGGCATCTGTTCGATAGTTGATGATTTGGCAGCCTGCTAGGCTGGAATGACGGTCAAAAACTTTGACTGGCTGAGAGTCACCCTCCATGCTCCAGTGGTAGACTGCATTGTCTGTGACCAGGGCAACAGTGTTGAGGGAGATCCACTTCCAGAAGGTCACATCGTCCGTCATTGTATGAGCCTTCATTTTACTCTTCATCTCAATGTTAAAGATCTGCAGAGTCTTTGCGGCTGAAAGAATTCAGAGTTCAGGTTAGCAGTGATACAGATGAATTCTGTACCTCCTTCTAAAGAACATCCAGGAAATAGGACTAAAAACTGTTCAGTAAAATTAGTATGGTGACTTAAGTAGAAGTAAAAACACAACTTGTGCATACCAAACTTCTTGAACTCAAGAAATGTTTCTAATAAGGGTTTGGGTAAATAACAAAAAACTGACACAAAACAAAACCAATCAAACAAACAAAAAACAAAAACAAAATAGGCTTGTACCAGTGTCAAGAATAGAGGTTTGACCAACATAAAATGCAATCACTTAATCGTTTAATCTGCATTCAGCATGAGGTTGGCTAGTAATTGACTAGGACAGAGTGCTGACACAATAATCTCCAGTGTGTATGTGGCATTTCTACTGATGGCTTTGCTATAAATGTAATGGTTGCCCAAACCAATATTACTTTTACTCAAAAATCATGGCTCTGTCACTTGATCTGGCTGTTTTTTTGTTTTTTTTACTGAATTATGCCTAAAAATTACACCCTCATAAAAAGGTATGTAAGAGCATAAGTATAAACATAAGTATGTATGCGAATACACAAGTATACGTATATATATGTTTGCACCATAGATCCTCTATTCATTGGTTTTAGAAATCACCAAGATTATGGGTTATATGAGTGAATAAAGGCTAGCTTTCAGTTACTTTCTTTTTCTTTGTGACGTGACCAAGTTTACTGCTATCAACATCCCCACGCCAGTTTAGAGCTGTGCCATGAGTGTGCATCCCAATAGCGCAAAATTCAACCCTTGTATTTGACAAGCTGGATAAAGATTCAAAGTTTTTATCATTTGAATGTTGAGTTCTTGCATGACAGGTGTGACAAATTTTAGGTTATAACCACCTTTTTTCCCTGAGCGAGCGAGCAAAATATGGTCTGAATAGAAATAATCCGTTGTACATAATAGCACCGTAACCATGTATTCTGGGTTTGCCAGACTGTTAAAGGGGCACAAAATACAACAACTGTTACCCTAGACTGCTGAGCAACTTAAGTGGTACATCAAGCAAGACCTACAAAGTTTAAACATTAAGTGTCCTCAGTTCCAAAACTGGAATTATTGGATGTTGTTAAAAGGAAAGGTGATGTAACAGTGGTAAACGTGCCCTTTTTTGGAACGTGTTGCAGGCACCGAATTAAAAATGAGTGAATTTTTTTTTAAGTCAACTGTACTACTACTGAAAGGGACCATGCATCAATTATTCACTTCACTTAGAGGTGTGAAGACTTCACTTCATTAAATGTAATTGGGCCATGACTTTGTAAAATGCCACTAAATTAAGCAAATTGAATTAAAAACACTGTCAAGAACCACCAAAGCATTTGAGCTGTTTAACTGCGTGCATTTTAACACAGGCCACAGATCTTGCAAACCATTCAGTCTTTTGAAAGTTTTTATGAAGCATCCTCTATAACATGAAGACATGGGCTTGTATTTCATTATGATTCGGATCAATGTCCTTCACTTTTTAACCAGGCACTTGTTAGCTCATTAACGCCTGTGCACACACAGGATTGCATTTGCAACAGTCTCTTTCTCGTTGTGCTCATTCTGTCCCTTGTATTTTTGGCACACCCTGTTCCACACTTGCCTCCTCCTGAAAGGCAGAGAGGGAGGATGGCCTCCATTCAATGTATAGGACGCAACAAGGGCAACATAAGCAAGCACTACAGTATCATTCAGTCTGGATTATTTTATTTTTATGACTGTGGAGAGCCAACATTATAATCATTGTGAAATTGTAATTGATTAGTCCCCAGCTCTACAATTCAGTTAAGAGGCAATTTAGTTGCAGGTACAAAGTTGCACATAAAAGTAATGGTTTAAAACCTGAATAATTACAAACTTGATAACCAACAGAACTAAGTTATGTTTGCTCATATACTTTAAGAAAATACATCATTTGACACACATTAATTGCACTCCTAAAGTTTTGTTAATCAATATTTTAACTTCAGAGTATCTATGCCCTTAAGTAAAAGAGGCAACATCAAGCCCAAGTAATGGCCTTTAATCTGCTGGAATATTGAAACTCCAGGCATTTTGTTAAATTCTTACTAAAGTGTGGCATGAAGGATTTGGGAGTTTTAGTAGTCTGAATGCAGATTAGCAACAGAAGACCACAATGCACATAAACAGATGTAATGATGGGAAAGATGTATTCACCCAGTTTTTCCCACCAGTTCAGCATCACTGAAGGCCACATCACTTTTATAGGCCAAGGCATAAATCTACATATAAATCAGGCACATGCCAGTCTCAATCCAACACCATCCCAACAAATAAACAACATTTCATAGTCTACATTGAGATGTAAAGCATCCAATGCAAGTGGCTGCCTATCTGGTAGCCCTGATATTACCCTTAGGATCAATTAAGTATCCATCTATCTATCTTATAAATAACAGTGAAATTTTCTGAATTTTTTTATCTACCAGAAATAGTCAACATTTAACAGAAAATCTGTGATAGCATTTTGCCTTTATGCAACCATGTGTTGAATTTAAAAGCATGTTAATCGTCACTGCTACTCTGGTATGGTGTAAAAGGTCAATAACAAACCTTGTTACAGTATTTCATGTTGGGTTTCACTCTGGATATACATGTTTTAAAGACTGTATTTACTCAAAACCCTTCTGTATTGTCAGTACTTAACTGCTGAACGGAACAGCCGTTAGATTTATCTAAAAAGTAGCAGAGGGAGGAAAGTAACCACCATGTTTTACTGTGATATCTTAAGTGTCCTTGGCTGGTGGTCTGTCACAGTGACTTTATAAAGGAAGGGATGGTGTTTGGCCCTTATTTGATTGAACAGCTTTAGAGGGAAATGTGGGAAGAGAGACAGAGCAGGGAAATCACATCTACCAAATCCCATCAGGACTGAGAATCAATTCTTCAAACAGTGCAGCTAGAATTGAAATTTTTTTTACATTGGACTTGACCTAATAAACTAAACCTGCACCTTGATTGTGGATTGTTTTGGTACATAAACCAAATGTTTTGGGCAAATAAGCAATAATCACTACCGCTTTCCTAAAACCTGATACTCCAGTTGCATCCACGAAAATGACGAACCTTAACAACTGTTAAAATATTAAGACGTCTTTGTGTGTGGTTTATTGCTTATCATTGACAATTGGTATCTGTGACCAACCATACAACTCTTGATGTTATTATTCTGTGATTGGGATAAGTGTGTTCTCTCACACTTTTTTTATGATACCAAGTTTGGATGCTCTCGAATACAATATCACAGGCCTGTGGAGCACTATTTTTGTTGAAAACGTCCTACCACATGAGAATATATTTTCAAAAAGTTAATAATTCATCGAGCTACCATTGTGTTTTCCTGTTGCTTAAATGATTATATAATTTTTTCTTAACATTTCAGTCCTTTTACTTCTTAGACATAATTTTCATCACAACCAACCATTTTCTAAAACACATAATACTTTCTTTCATTTCCGAAAAGTCAAGTTACTTTTCAACTCCGGAACTTGTTCTTTGAAAAAGAAATTAAACTGTTGTATACTTGGCATCAGGCTGTGACTGACACATTGAGATTTAATCAGAACCTGCTTTATTTAATATTTTTACAAGCATTTATTTCTTTCCTTTTATACCCACTCTTCTAGAGTTTGTCTCAAAGTTTGTTTTAAGTGAGTCAACTTCAGACTAGTTCTTGGCTCTTGACTGTAAGTGCAACTTAAGTGCCTTTAAGGACAAAGTGAATGATCAGCACACAATGTCAGAGCAAAGCACTCAACCAGGATTTCTACTGTGATAAGTTACAGATTTTCATATCAATTTTGAAACTGCAATGACCTTATGTTCATACTGTAATTAAGTAAATGGAAACATAACTGTCTTTGAAGTAAAGCATGTTTTAGAAAATGGTCAGCTGTCGCACAAAACCTCTCCAAAGTATATTATAAGGGTGACACACAGACACACACACACAAAAAAGAAAAACAAAACAGTCCTTTAAGTTGCCTTGAATTTTTTTCTGTGCCCTATTTCTTTAATCATTTCAAATTAAAGCATTCATTAAATAAGTCATGTGCAAACATTTCAAGACAATGCATACAGGATAACACTTTTATAACTCATATGTAAAAGTCAACTCACCGTCTGCAAACATAAGAAAGCAGTAGGAAATGAAAAAGAGCAAAAAACAAGCAAAATAGACAAAGCATTCATGACAGCATGACATTTTGTTTTTACCACTTGTACTAGAACTATTTTAACATTTAATTATCATGCCCTCTATACTCAAATTTGATGCACTACACTTCAGTAGAATGAACATTTTTGACAAAAACAAATTGGTTGTCTATGAGTGAACATCAAAATAAAAAAGCAGACTATGACAGCTACATAAATGAGTAGAAAGCAAAATTTATTCAAATGACCCTATGTTTTCAAATAGTCAGAAGTATAACCTCCAAAACTTTTCAATTCTTTCTTTTCTTTTTCAGAAGCACTGTACACTTATTTTCTAGGCTGAAAATGACGTTATGAGGTGACAACACAACATATTAGTTGTAGTAGAACCTACCTTTGAGTGCGATTACTTTACTAGCAGGGTTCATGATGGCGCTGTCTGCGGAGATGGGCCTGCGAATGGGGTTGTTTGGGTCTGCCATATCGATGATGACAACCTGGGCCTGCTCACCCACCTTCTCCCTTATACAGATGAACTTGTCAGATTCCATGGTTAGAGTACTGAATCCAATGTTTGCTGGGTTAATACCCAGGTTCTGGAGCTGTGATATGAAAGAATGCTCTGTTAAGCAGCGTTGTCCACATAAAAAGTCATTGACACAATACATTAATCACGAGACTTAGTAGTATGATGGTCTCTCATTTAAGTTAGCAAATATGCAGATAAAGAGACAGCTCATTTTTGGAAGTGAGGTTGTATAGACGGGTTTCTGTGCAACATCATCGCAGGTATGCGCGCGCAGCCAGGGGTCAGAAAGCGGGACATTTCTTATTTGTTTACTTGCGGAGTCAACGGAGAAAGAAAATGACAAGGAGCTGTTGTGCTGTAAACTGCACGAATCTGCAAAACAAACAATTGGTTGCGGTCCCTGGTTGTTGTTTGTACACAAGAAACCCGTCTATGGGGCACAGGAGATCTGGGTCAGTTCAATCCCTTTGTTTAGAAACTGGCTGGCAAAGTGGAATAGAAGCAAGGCATTAATCACTACAGACAGGGTCAGCTCTGACACTCATTCAAGCCATTTTTAACAAACTCCAAAAAGAAGAAATTCTGATAGAGCCAATGACATGGCCTGACTGTACACTGATTATAAGCAGGAGTTCACATAAATGTTCTTCCTTGAGCTGTGTCACCCCGCAGCAGTCCGTAATGGACTGGCCCGAGGTCTTCGTACAAACAAGCGACTGCTGGAAGAGAGAAGGTAAGTTGTGTTTAGTCTCTTGCTAAAGAAATTGGGCAAAGTTAAAAAGATGTTTGGTGGCTAGTGTTATGGCTGGAACCCTGTACTGTTGATGAAGTTAGGTGCTGTTCTGAGACTATTTGTGGCTATCGAGTGGCGTTTTGGTTCAGGTTTGTTTATGGCTCCTCAGACCGCTGTGTATTGCTATCCTGCAGTCATTACTAAAGTTGGTATAACTAGAGAAGCAAGCAGTCAGCAACATTCATCTCTCAAGGGGGTGTCTAACTCAGTGTTATGGTGTATTTGACCCTAGATTCATTTTATGCCAGAATATCCATTTAAAATGAGAGCTAAAATTCAGCAGTATTTCTTTGAATAATCAATATAATGGGACACACCTGGGCAACAAAACACACCCGTCAGTCAAATGGGATTTGATCAAAACTGATTTGCCATCACTTTTTTCAATTGTCTATGAGATCAGCTAGAACTCGTGTCTAATCACGGCTTCACATTGATTTTACATGTAATTCACTGGGGCAAATGATTGAATTTTTGCTTGGTCTAAACACACCATGAGTCCAAACACCAAACAAAATCAAGTGACACCCGCCCACTTCAGCCGCGTCACTGGCTTTATTAAATGATGATGAGTCCAGTGATGAGTATAGTGACAACAGTGATGAAGAGTGGCTGCAAGAGAAGAATAGAGATGTAGGAGCTGAGGATGATGGAGGTACAGACAGTCAGGATGCAGAAAGTGTGGATGCCTATAGTCAAGAGGATGAGGACCAGGATGATGAGAGGCAGGATGCAGGGGAAGGTCAGCATGATCAGGGAGCAGTGGAAAATGGGCACATGACACCTGACCATTCTCAAGCTTGCAAAAATATCTGGAAAGTCCAAGACAATGACTTTGATGGAGATTTGCGTGGAAATTGAATGTGGAGGGAAGAGAGCCCATGGGTTTCTTCAGACATCTGTTTCCAGCAGATCTCATTGATGATATAGTGAACAACACCAAATACATCTTCATGCATTGCTGTGTGCCACTGTGCCCTGGATGCTTTGTGAACTTTCATACATCCTAGGTTTGATGAGCATAGACATGTTTGGAGATGCAGCGACTAAAATATCAGTTTTCGTTGTTGAAAACAACATGCTCGTATAAGGGCATGGTAATGTCAGTCCTGAATCCTTATAGTACCGTGGGGACTAACAATATTGTTTCCAATGTTGGAGATAGTTTGGCATATTTAGGTGTACTGTACTTTTTACATTAAGTTCACAATGTTTTGTGTTGAGTGCTCAGGCGCATATAGTCCACTTGAATGGATACTTTTGTAGTTTCATGAAAAAACAACATTTTTGGGAAAAAAACAAAACAGTTTAACATGTTCTTTCATGTCCTGAGAATAATATAAACACTTGTGAAAAAAAAGCTTTCATAATTTATGCATCGTAGGGTTAAGTCTTTTCAATAAAATCAACATAGAGTAAATGTACTTTGAATTAAACCACCGTTTCATTTACAGGCATGATTTTGTCATAATTATCAATATAATTATCAAATGCACCGCCGAGTTGATTCGGGATGTAAGAAATCACTGAATGCGTTGCGCGGCTGCGCGGCCGTCAGCTGTACTGAATGAATGGGGCGCATTTTGGATGCTCCAGGACGCGTTTGGTGTGCTGCCACCGCCAAAAATGTGTTCATGTAAATGTAAACATGAAATGTACCCTTCAGACAGCAGTCGCACATCCACCATGAAGCGCCTGTGCTTCTTTAATCTCTCACGACAAACAGAGCGTCACATGGTTAATGAAATAAACTTCGAGCAGTTTAGCATCACACCGGGGTTTGGAAGGTCGACTGATGTTACCATCTATAGAGCCGTCGTTAACAGATAGGATAAGTTAACGGTGGGCGACAATGTCAATGAAATTTATAAGAGCCACTGGCCTGAAAAGCAAATTGCCAGTCGTGAGCTATACGGGGGATGGGAGGTCGTTCATATATTGCGGGTATTTACGTTGATCCATCAGCTTTACCATCAAGCTATCCATCAACTTCTACAAGGAGAAACTTAACGTCGATGGGAGTGTCAATTTATATCAAGTTCAGGAATAGGAAAACATACCTGCAGGTGCTCCTGAAAGCGGATGGGTAGAATCTGAGCCATCGCTGTGTCTTTTACGTTCCCCGGAGTGTAAATCTCCCAGCCGTAAAGCTAGCGAGCTAGCAGGAGTACTATGCTAGCTACGACCTCCTCTATATGTGTGTAGGTCGAAGCCAGTCAGTGAACGAGAAAACAAACACTCAAAGGTTGGTGTGGCGTATTGTCAATGGTGTTTTAAAGTATGAACTCAGTAAACGTGTTTAATACGTCCCACCGCTGCGTTTCTCTTCTGAAATGCATCAATAGATAGCAGTGGCCACAGCTGATCTTGTCCAGAATCCGTAATGGCGGCGGAAACGGCAAAGGTTCTCGCATCCGGAAGCATCTAAGGAGACCTGGAAAGACACTCACCCTCTCATCTGTCAGCCTGTGTGATATTGTTTTCAATCAAAGGGAATTTAATCTTTGACAGCTTTGTTCGCATTTCTTCAGCTCTAATATTCATTCATATTCTTTAGGCGTAAACACACATCAATAAAAAAATAAATTAAAATTGAAAAACAAAAAACAAAATTGAGCACACAAAATATTCAGATTTTTTTTTAAAGCTGCGGACAAATATTATAATTAAAACTGAAAAAATGAAACACTAGTGCAGGGGCGTCAAACTCAATCACAGCAAGGGCCATAATCTGGATTTAAGTCTAACCTGAGGGCCCAACAGGGTCAACATTTAACCCAAACTGTCATCCTCCTTTCCAAAATATATAACAAAATCAGCAATAATTATAAACCACTTGGAAATTCAAAAAGTAAAAAAGATAAATTTAAAGGCAATCTGAGATTTAAAAAAACCCAATAGATTAGTTCAAAAGATCAGAACATGATATTAAAATAGAAAAAAATGCTTTTAAAGAGCAAACACATGAAAAGAAAGTTAAAATCATAAGTGTGAAAGGTGAAAATATGAGATCATGAGTTTAAAGTCAAAATTTGACTTAAAATTTCAAACTAGAATCTAAAGGATTAAAATGACATAAATCTAAATACTGAGTTGAAAAAAAAACAAGGCACTAAATTAAAAGTCAAATCATGTTTGACTTGTAATCTTGAGATGCAAAATTTGAAATATGGATGAAACACAATTTTTCCACACATTCTTGACTATTTATCAAATCTTCCTTACTCTTTGCTTTCCCAGATTTTCATGGTTTATTAAGGATATTTTAAATAATGGTGCTAAAGTTTACATTTTCATCCTGGAGGAAATCTGCAGACCTCATACTGGTTGGCCAATAATAATACGAATATGATATGATCTCCTGGGCCAGATATAATTGTTCCACGGACCAGATTTGCATACAATAGGACACAGCAGTTAACAAGTAGTGCATTAAATCTGCAGCATCCTATCATTGCAGCAGTTTGCAAGGGAACGATTTATGTTCAGTGTGATTTCTTCTAAACATTCAGTGAACGAATCACTCACTGAGCCCAATTTACCAAGCAGACCAGACGATAAATAGCATACCATAGGACAGTACACTTTAAACATAATGACTTATAAACAAGTTCATTTTTACAAGCCTGTTTGCCAAAGCAACACAGCCACAACACTCGTGTCTCCCAGTCCTGGAAGCTATGAATTGAACTGAATCCTAAAACGTTCAGCTGTGTATCAGTTCAGGAGGTCGGAGTCGCAGGCTTCACCGGTGATTTGGTGAACGAATCTTTTTAGTGACCTGATTCTAGTGGTTTAGTACATGTAAAAGAACTGCCGTGCCCATCACTAGTGTGTTGAATAAAGTGTGAAATAATTGGGGAAACATCAGACAGGTTTATGTGAAGGGTGTCAGGAGGAGGAGTCAGTGGAAGATGTGGTTCTGAGGTATAGGAGGTATAGGAGGCAGAGGCAATGAGGAGTAGGATAAAGGAGTTAGGGGTGCAGGAAATCACATATAAAGGATTACTGGGTGAGAGATCACAGGTTAGGATTTTGTTAGGTTTTTTTAAAAGAAACAGAAGTGTTCTCAAGAATCTGAGGATAGGCAGGATAAGGACAAGAAGGATGGTGAAATAAGGGAGACGAGAGTAGGAAGAACAGGAGGTTTTCGTTTGTTTGTTTCTCTGTATGGAATGGGGTAGAGTGCTGGAATAGATTGTAAGTCTTGTCTGACCCACACTCCATGACAGGTGGCGGTAATGCGCCAAAAGCTGGTTGCCAATCATGTAATCATCAGTTGACTAAAGTCAGTCTGCATATCTTTGAGTTTTTTGAAACTTGATTCAGTCATGAACCACACAGCTGTGTATTTTTTATCTGAATAAAAAGGTCTCGAGTGTTTTATTTCTGGAAAAAAATCTTATTTTCTGCAACATATGTAGGCTCAATTCAAAGTCTCCTCTACAAGATTAATTTGCATATCAGAGTACATAAGTTTGTGCCATGCATCCCCATTGTTCATATCAACCCATTTCCATTTCAACGAATCTGAGTAACTCACGATTAGAAACAGATCTGGATATTGATAACTCAGGACAAAGCAATTCAAGATGCAGCTGTATTCAACTATAAAGACATCTCTAATCCAGTGTTTATAAGCTGATTTCTTTACATTTCAGTGTAAAAAGCTTAGGCTATCAGAAACAGAAAAAGTAACCCAAAATAATATTTCATTACAAAAAAAACAAAAGGAAAATATAATCCCCATTCACCAGTTATTTCTGTTAAAATAGAACACCATTTCTTTTTTGAAAATATTTGCCCTCAAAACAAATATAGGTTTTCCATATACGCTGTATATATACACCAGTCAGCCAATACATTATGACCACCGACAGACTGAGAGAATATCATTGATTATCTCATTTTAGTGTCACCTGTCAGTGGGAGGGATATGTCAGGCATCAAGTGAACATTTTGTCCCTGAAGTTTGTGTGTAGTTAGCAGGTAAAAGTTGACCGTTGTTAGGACGTGAGCTGCTCCAACAAGGACCAAAACTATGATGGCTACTTGGTCAGGGTATTTCCAAAATTCCAGCTCTTGTTGGGTGAGCCCAGTCTGCAATGGTCAATACCTACCAAAGAAGGAAAAGTAGTGAACTGGGGACAAGGTCATGGAAGACCAAGGCATTTGGATATGTGGGGAGTGAAGGTTGTGCGTCCATTCCCCCTGAGGGCTCACAGTTTGAGCCACTGGAGCTCAAATTGATGAAAATGTTCATGCTAGTTCTGATAGAAAAGTGTCACAACAAACAGTACATCGCAATTCCTTGCATATGGGGCTACAGAGCAGTCAGGGTGCCCATTCTAACTTGTCCTCTGCTGAAAGCTCCTGGAGTGGACACGTGAGTATCAGAACAGGACCACAGAGCGATGTAAGAAATAGGCCTGGAGCTGTGTGTTCAAGGTGCGGACTCGATCTCTATATTCCCCAGATTTCAGTCCAATCAAGTCTGCAGCAGATTTCTTAGTGTCAGATAACATGGCAACCACCAGAAGTCCTGTGGAGTCTATGTCCTATCAGGTCAGGACTATTCTAGCCCTTAATAGACAAGAGAGGGTTCTCCAGAGAACTGGGCAGGTGGGCATAATGTTATGGCTAATTAGAGTATACATGTTTACTTACTCAAGGCAGTTGGTCATGGCCAAATTAACCCACCTTATTATGGCCATTTTTCATGCTCTGCAGTATGGAAAATAAGCTAAAATATAAGAAAATAACTAGAGGAAGCACAGTATAGGGCCTCTACACTGGCACACAATCATCTTAGTGTAAAAAGGAAATCTCTGAGTGAAAAGAAATAGTCTATCAAGGCAGTGTGGCACTGAGGCTCACTTCCCCTGGAACAAGTGCAATGCAAAGAGAATACCCTCTTACATTATAAAACCACAACACATGCTTTTTTCACATCACTCCGGCTACCCACCAAGTTCCCTTTGTTTGTCTTCTCCTCCTCCAACTTCTCTATCTTGCGGCAGAGAAAAACAGGTGTTGTTCTGTCGAAGTTCTTAGCCACCTCTTGGAGCTCAAAGTCAATTTCAGGGAGAGACTTTGCAGTGGGGTTGCCAGTGCGTCCTCAATTTTGTTGTACACAACACCCAACCACTTCTCCACTAATAGAGACAACTACATACTAGTAGGTGACTATTCGTATAAAAGTTTGAGGTTAACAATTGGTTGCCAACTGAGACGGACTACTATCAATCCCAGCAAGCCAGCATCATGCTACCAAAGTAACAATTAAGATTCATAGTTGTCCCTGAATACTGAAGAATGCTTGATAGCAGAGGGGAGGAGACCCAAGTAGCAGGATTTCTACAATGATTTTTCTGAGTTTACATGATGTGTGATGATGTGTACATGATCATAAAATTAAAAATAATCAGGGGAGAAATAGGATAGGTGGATAACAGTGGCAGCAAGTATTCATTGAATGTGCATAAAGATGTTCCCTGGGTAACAGTTTACATTAGGTGATTATGCATGATGTGCATATAAGCAAGTAAGCTCACATGTGTTTGTTGACTAGACGAGGAGGAAAGAGAAAATGTGCAGCAGAAAAAAGAATCCCTGGGCTAAATGGAAGGATGCAGTGGTGGAGAGGTTCCTGCTGGTCTTGAGCACATCCATCCGTCCATCACATCCCTCTGATATTACACTCAGTAGAATTATGTGCCTCTCTTTTGCAGCTCCTGGATAAAGGCTATGAATGGGAAGATTAGAAACATGCATGAAAGACATGAATTGTTCAGGAATCAAACTTTTTTTCTAAGTTAAAATTTCAAAAAGTACAAAGTTATCTCACCTCCAATAATTTCCTCCTTGACTTTCTGTAGTTCTTTTCGCACCTCCTCAAGAATCTCCTGCAAAAAAACACAATAAGTGTTTACATACGTTTGACTACCCAAGGTATTCTAATGCATGTAAATAAGCATATCTCTAAGCATATGCATATGAGCATATGTTTGTGCTCACAGTAAAACAACAGAAATTTACTGTGTTAATTTTGTGTGTGCATATCAGTGAGGGTTTGTATTGTTGGATATTTGTGTATTCACATAAATTGGTGGTTGTTTACAGTGAAAGGATTACCCAGGTATGGGTAACAGATCATCTCAGTAAGAGTGATCCAAAATCAACTGATTAACTAAATAAATAACAACAAAGATAATAAGTACAAGAAAAAAATAACAATCCAAAATATTACAATAATGAGAATTATAGTGTGATACTGAAAATACTACGTCAGTGCATTGAATGTATCATGTTTTGTTGCTAGGAGCTTTCCTTATTGTGCTTGTATGTACCGATGTCTACGTCCTGTGCTGGACAGAGTGCTGTATGGTTATATGTGATATGTATTTCATACTGGATTTTCTACCAGTGAGTGTTATACTAAATATCAAGATGCTGTCATATTGTTATTGCAATGTTGCATATAACATATTGCAATGTTGCAGCTGATGGGTGTCCTAATAGACTAAATTAAACTAAGTATACAAACAAAGATAAAACACTTTCTTAAAGGAGTCTTGCAAGTCAAACCAGCATTGTTCTATTCCCTTCCCAAATTGCATAAACAAGATATGACACTTGCAGGTTAAGGGATTACAAATAAGATCAATTACATGTATGTATGCGGTGCGATTCACTAAGATTGACGATATGAAGATTTGGACTGATGAAAATTTACCTGTTTCATTTTCTCTAAATCTGAGTCATCAGCTCCGCCTGCGTCATTACTGTTTCCTGTAACCTTTGACCTGTAAAAAGACAAGAAATTTTTTTACATATTTGAAGTGAATGTTTCACACAAGGAAAGGAGAGCCTTGGCACTACAAAGAAAGGTGAACCGTTAACATAGGACTTATACATTGTACCATAGAATTATGGGAAAAGTAATAAGAGGACTGAGAAATATACATATACATTATGGATATACATAAAATAAATGAGTGTCCTTTTAAAAGAAGGAGCTACATATTGTGCTGTACTGAATTTATCCATCTTAGAACCTACACATACAAATGCCTCAAATGGATTTAGACAAAGACATGCAAAGCAATCAAAGATAGAAATCATATAAAACTGAGTGACATACTGTGGTAAAGTTCATCACAAAATAAGACAGTATTTGTCCAAGCGTTTTGTAGTGACTTTGAAAAAATGAGTGTAATGTGCTTAAATGTGTTGCCCTAGCACATCAAATGCAGCTGTGTCAAAGGGGAGAGAAAAGAAGCACAAGGGCAACTTAGGAATGAGTGAACAGGAAAGCATGTATACCTGGAACTTTGGGACAGTGAGGGGGTCATGTCCATGCTCTTAGCAACTGAGTTATTCCTGTTAGTGAGACACACACATCCTCTTCTTAAAATGAAAATGGAAGACACTTAGACGCAAGCACACTTGTGATTAAAGGGAACATAGATTCACGCATAGACATACAACCATGCAACAAGCCATGGGGGACTACTTTTGGTACAACTTTGAACTTTGAGCACAAAACACAGAGAAGCAATGGGTTTAATGGCAATGGCTGTATGGAGGTGACAGAATCCTGGATTACCTGGCCATGGACGATTTCTCCCAGGGTCTTCTTAGAGAATCTAAGAGGAACGTATATAAAAACATTTTTTAACCTGATAAACTGCTGAAAATGTAATACCAGAATCAGTTTTTATAATAACATTCAGTTCTCACCATTTTGACCTTGGGATTCTGAATCGTCCTGTGTGAAAAAGAGAAGTAAGCGTAAACCATGCTATTTTTTTTTTTTATCTGGCCTAATATTGGCCTTTTTTTTTTTTACCAGAAAGTACAATTTAAATATTATAAAAGGCTGAACAGTTATCTTACATTATCTTGTGTCTTCGCAGGTGGCTTCTCTCCAGTGTCTGCAGCTTTCCTCCTGGTGTAAAAAAGAATTCATTTAAACAGATGGTTTAAAAACTTTATAAATAATTTGTTTATATATAAAGACTGAGCTCGAAAAGTATTCAAATATTCATACTATTACATTTCACATCAAAAAATCTAGCTCAGGCTTTTTCGTACCAGTTGCAATTAAATTGAAGTTGTCAAACAAAAGTTATAAAACATAATAACTTTATTTTTATAGCACTTTTAAAAACAGAGGTTTACAAAGATAAATGGACTTTTGATAAATGGTCCTCAATACATTTACCACACAATACCAAATAAGAGCCTTTAACAAAGATGAAAACTGCTTTATATTAAAACCAAAGTGATCAAGTTGTCACATTAATATAACGTAGTGTTAGGAATAACAGATTTTGTTTGGCACCAAACTTGGGATGTTGCCCACCTTCGTGCCAAGATGGCACTCATTTCGCCCATTAGTCCACCACCTCCACCTCCTCCTCCAATAGAGGAGTTGCTGCTGCGACTAGAATCTGCTTTGCCTGCTGCAGGGCCTCCTTCCTCCTGCTGAGAGCAGCAGATACCAGAAAAATAAAATCCATATGAGTTTAGCTGACGTCGATGAAAACTGATGAATAAATGAACAATTATTAACAATATTATGTAAGAATGGGAATTTTAAAATCAGTGTTGATGGTGATCCCTTGGTTTTGGCAGTCAGCCTCAAGTGGACACTAAAGGCATTGCACTGGCTCTGGAGGTTGCCTTTAGCTTTTTGCACTCACCTTGGATACTTTGCGGAGTTTAGCCCCTGCCAAAGCTGCTGCCAACCCTCCACCACCACCAAGGCCGCCTCCTCCTCCTCCTCCTCCTCCTCCACTAGCAGGTAGGGGTGGGGCTGGGGGAGGTCCTGAGGGAGGTGGTCCTGGTGGGGGAGGGATGCCACTTGGGGGTGGAGGAGGCGCTGGTGGAGGAGCAGGACCCCCAGGGGCTAAAGGTGGTGCTGGGGGAATAGGGGCTAAAAGAAAAAACATAAAAGAACCATCAGTTATCATTTGCTAGGTAAGAAACACTGCAGTGAGGAGATGACATGATGCAGGTGTTATATAACTGAGGAAAGAAGAGTTTTGGTGAAAGATGACAGCTATTAGGGCCAGAACACCAAAGTGGTGCAAGGGTCCTTATGCATTTGGTTCAAATCATAGGAGGTCAAGCAGATCCAATAGAGCCGAGAAGGTTTTACTGGACTATTTTGTTATCATGAAATGGACTTTTATAAGTTTTTGAGCTACAAAGTAATTGCATTTTTGGCTATTTAACATGTCAAAAACTCAACATGATGTTCACACATTTCAGGTGTAGTAAAAACTATATATGACCTGGATGGGTCCCCCTACCTGGATGTAGCAATCTAGCTCCATATGTACAACTTCCACACACTGGGTATGTTCTCTCTTTCAGACCATTCTCTGTAAACCCTAGAGATGCAACCAACAATGAGGCTGTTTTCAAAGACACTTAAATCTCCTTTCTTCCCCATTCTGATGCTCAGTTTGGACTTCAGCAAGTTATCTTAACAATGCTTTCTTGCCTAAATGCATTGAGTTGCTGCACTGATTAGCTATTTGTGTTAAAAAGCAATTGAACAGGTGTACCTAATGAAGTGGGCAGTAATCATACACTGGCAACACAACCAATCTTTCTGATCACCCATCAAGGTGGAATAGTAGCATCGTAGTCGCAAGCTCTGTTCCTACAGCAACAGCAGCCTCAGCAAAAGTTACAGGCATCATCGACAAGCCCTATGTCTCAAAGCTATTAACCACAGTCTCCTCTGCCTTCTATCCTCAGCCGAACCAGAAGTAGTCACAGACCACTAAGTGCTATTCCAAAGCTCTCAATGTGGCTAGGAGGAGAGTGAGCAGAGAACAGAGAGTGGAAATCAGAGGCATGATACATGGGAACTGCTTTCACGGAAGTCTTTTCACCGACAGACCTGCCCCCCTATCGAATATCACTCACTTCTATAGTGCAGCGTACTGAACTTCACCGAAACCTTGAGTTAAACAACGAGGGAGAGACGGACCTTAAACATTCAGAGACGGGAGTCTTGAAAAATTTGTTTTTCAACCGTCATTATATGATGAGCTGAGGTTAAAAAATGGCTAAAAAAGTAACGATGCATTGTTTTAAATGAACCAGTTAATTGACTGAACATATTGGGTACCACTTTGACTGTATTTAAGTTTTCTGTTGTTATGTGTACCATCCCAGCTGTTATCTGACCTGCTGCAGCTTGTCTCTCTCTCTCCAGTCTCTCTCTTTCTAGTCGTTCCTGCTCCTGTCTCTCTCTCTCTTGTCTCTCCCGTTCCTGCTGTTCCAACCTGCAAACAATAACACACACATACACACACACACTTTTCAGTAGCATGCTCAACGAACGAACAGAACATTTACCTATCAAAAGGGTATGATGCATTGCAAAAAACAGTACAGCATAAACTGTTTTCAAATAGCTCTGATCTGTATTTGAAACATCTTTTGAAGCTTTATTTAGGATTTGTATTCAATGTAGTGACCTTGATTAAAATATGAGGGTTAGATTTAACAACTTCTAATTAACCAATTGCTGAAAATTGAGCTAGCTGTGTACACCACTGACCCCTGCTCCCCTCCTCCAGCTAATATGCCTCTAAAAATTAACTGTATGATACTGATACTGGTACTGTAAAGTACTGGGGAATTACAGCAAACACATCCACGACTTCATCAAAGAAATGCACACAATCATAAAACTCAAGGCAGTGTGTTATGGCATTAGATCGGCCTTAATGTGAATAAATACACACAGAAATTTTCACAAACACATTTTGGGAGGTTCAATCTGTATTTTTTTTCCTCCTCAAATTAAATTGGAAGAGAAAAAGGCTTATATATGAACCCACATCAATTAATAAGGGTTCACAAATATATTTCTGATACATTCACTTGTGTGTGGATTTTTTCTGGTTCTTTGCTTCGCTTGGATCGGCTAACACATATTTTCAAACGGGAACCATCTCTTGGCAGTCACACATCACCCTTATTTTCAGCCAATCATATACATGCACTCCCACCTGAGTTAACCGAGCCAATAAAATGGATCTTGTGTAGTATACTTGTTGGTTTTAGCATATTGGAGAGGGGGATCCATATTTTCTTCTTTGTACTGTTTTTTTATGTTAGAGGACAAATATTTCTGTGTGTGTTGAAAAATATTTATTTGAAGAAAGTCACTCATATTACATTCTATATCATAACCCTGTGTGCATTTATTATTTTTTTTGTGTAAGTTCTAGCTCCATAGTCTGAAGGTACCTCCTCTGCTGTTCGAGCTCTTCTGGGGTTGGTCCGTTTGACACTGGGCGGGGAAGGGTTGCATAACCTACAAAACACAAACACACACAAAACTATTTGTGACAGAAACAATTGTTTAACGTTGTTTATGTGTTTTTTTGTTGGCGTACACACCCTTATATATAATAATAATAAATACAGGATCTTAATTCCACCATGACCATCCATTTACAATACATTAACCTGCTTATGACTCTGCTATGTACTTAAGGAATCAATATTCTACACCATCTAAGAATTCGAAAAAGATTATATTGATTTTAAAATGGCTGTTAGAATTTGTTCATTACACTCATAAACTGCCAGTTCCGCTTGTCATGAATCATCGACTTATTGGGTTAACAATGTGGTGTGGTATGACAAGGCTCAAACTACTGTTATGGATTAGCAGAGGACAGGATATAGACTGTAGCCTGAAGAGCTGACACCATAAAACAAGATTAAATTTGTCCCATCCAGGTATGCTTTACAAATTTCAACAGTTTGCATGTGACATGTAAGGCTGAGTTTACGCTTTCAAGCATAAATTTTACACCAATCAATTCACTGTTATCCTTATAGCAGAGATGAGTATCCATGAAACAACAAATACTGAGCTGAACACATTTACCTGCATCTGACATGGAAGTGAGCACCTCCAGGGCATGTGACATGCCGTTGGCGAATAGAGCAGCATCCTCCTTGCTCCCAAAGTTGAGACCCCACACCTGCCTTGCATCCCGCCACTGGTGAAAATTAGGTGTGGCCTGGTTATATTTCAGACCTCTAACAATTGGACAGTTAATGACCACCTAGAAAAGGAAAAAAGATAGATAATCAATAACAGGGTTTATCCTGCATATTAATTACAAAACATCTGACTCTGCTTCATGTCACACTGAAATAATCAATTTTCCAGGGACAGCACTTACTATGTACAGTTATAACATGACGCTGACATGGTGATGGTCGATATCAGTCCAGTGCACTGAACAAGGTGCCACTAAAATGGCCGAGGAAGAAAAATAACAAGTTTGCCATGTAAAGAGTTTCTTAGGGGAATTCCTACTGATGGATTGTTTGACTCCTGCCACCCTGGTTTTTATACTTTTATTAGATAGATATGATAGTTTCACAAACCAACACCAGATGTGACAATTATATGTCCTGTCTTTGTTTTATGCCGTCACTTATGTTTATATTTCTTTCTTTCTTTCTCAAGAATTCAGAGTTTCGATACAAGCAGAAATCAGACTAAATAAGTACTTATTCAAATGGCGACAAAAACCGAATCCCCAGGCACCCTTAACAGTTAATTTCATTGATTTTGATTTTCAACTAGCTTGGACTGCTTATTCTTAATGTCACTGAACACAGAGCAACATTGAACTTAACGTTTGTAGTAATAAAAGGCAAAATACATATAGTTTTTCATAAATAGGCCATAATGTACAACCTCAATTCTATAAAATTTGGAATTCTGGAATTCAGCACTTTGTACATATTTGGGAGCCCAGTTCAGATGTTTTGAAAGTGGATTTTGTTCCATTTATTGCCCAGAATTATTGCTACAACAGAGTGAGGTTTTGAAATTCAGATATTGTGCTGATTACTTTATTAAAGCTTGACCAATTCTTTCTTTTCATAAATGTTTCTGATGGGCAGGACAACATCATTGCTGTGCTGAAAGAGACAGGGTCATTCACAACCAAATTTGAGAAAGGCAATCTTTGGAGTTTCCCAGCTTAAAGGTTCCCTGTCCTCCATTGACAACGGAGGGACAGCATTGCACTTGGACACACTTGGACAGCAGCTCTGTCAACATTTCCTAAAGATGACCAGAGGAAATACTTCGAAGTGCTTTACTCGTGTTGGTTCAAGATGGGTTAAATATTTTCCCATCTTGAGGTCAGGTCTTTGAAATACATCAAACAATGACTTTGGTCTAAACCTGCTCTATTGGAAAATGTCATGGGACAGCGGCTGTTGTGATTTGGCACTATATAAATAAAATAGATAAAAAAGATTGATTGATTGATGAGCAACAGAATTGGGAAACCCATTCAGCATTGACGCCTCTAAATGCCTGAGGATTTCACAGTTGTTGAGCAAGAAAGTTTCATATAATTGCCTTGTGATAAAACATTGAAGTTAGCTTTCAGAAGACAGTCTGGGATTTTTGGATATGGCAATGCAGCAAACACACTCCTCTTTCAGACAAGGACATGCACTTTCTCCTTCCTTCTGTATCCACATATCTGTGCAAGAGAGGCTTTTCTTCTCTTTCATCATCAAGACAAAACACAGAAGCAGTATGTTTGCTGAGTCAGCCCTGAAACCAAAGATGACCTTGATCAACCCAGACACTGCATAAACTGTGTTCACAGGGGCAGGTGCACCCTTCTCATTAGGCGTATGTAAGTTGTGAAAACTTAACCAAAATGGTGTCCAACATTTAATAATGTTTTTGACCTGAAATTAAGCTTTATGACAAAGGATGTGCTAATGAACTGAAATGAGAGTCAGCGTTAATTTAAAAAGGGCTCTTTCAAAGCACAACTTTCTTTAACTTTTATGAAATATAAAACCTGCTAAATCTGCCCAAGGATACAGGAAATAAATTGAAGTGTTATACCGCTCATCACCAACTACGATAGCACGCACTGCCGTAGTGTCCTGATTTTTTAGGAATACATTTTGTAGTTAGAAGTTTGAATACAGCCATAGAGAGGTAATGCATACACAGTTCGCCAAGGACTTGCAGATTTACCTGCTGGTCCGTCTGCATCTTGCGTCCCACTACCCTGAAGGCATTGGTGGAGGGGTTGTGGTAGATCTGGACTCTGCTGAAGGCCTGGGGCCCGGCACCTGCCGGCAGCCACTTCTTATTACTGTCATCATAGATCATCACAGTCGCTCGAGCCTGGCAAATACTTGACTCACTAAAGAGACATAAGAGAAATAATTCTGACATTAGTTTTTACAGAACAGAGGTCACACATACATGTAGAAAAAAATTACCCTTTTTCTGGCGAGGCTTGTAAATGTGTTGCTTTAGCAGCAGATGGAAAAAATGCATGCCATAACTAAATAAAGACACAATAAACTTAAAGCAGAGGTGAAGCCATCTGAAGTAAAGTCCAACTGGAAGTGTGAACTAAAATCAACAAGATCTCACTTATATGGAAGGTAGAGGCACTGATGTCAAAGAAACAATGATTCAGGCATAAATAACTTTGTCTCTTCTTCTTCATTTTTATCACCCAGACACTGATTTAAAGAGATGAAATTTCAGCAGATGTTTAAAAACCTGTAAATAGTGACCAATCAAGAAATATTAATTAAATAAAAGTTAAAATCTTTGTGGTTGTACAGTGGAGGTGTCTCGTCATCCAAAAAGAGTCCTGACAAGTTGAGCTCCTTAGAACAAGCTGTGAAAATTTTTGTGCTCTACATTGACCAATCTCAAAACACTTTGTGTTGTGGTGCTGTGAGATAAGAGATGACTTATTTAGTACTCCCATGCAACCAGAATTTACATGTTAAAACAAATTCAGGAATGTCTGCACAAATGCAAGCTTATGTAGCAGAGTTGGAGACCGCAGAGTGTGTTCCAGTCACTGTGTTCTTAAGATAAACAAGAGAAAGGAAACATTTCCACAACTTAGTATGAATGAATAGAGCCCATACGAATAGTTAAAAACAGGAATAAAAAAAGCTAGAAAAATACAAAGATTCTTAAACTTTAGTGATTAAAAGTGAATGTGGACAGAGAAACAAAAGTGAATGACTGAACTCCAGCTTTTATTTTTCCCCAAATCATCCATCTTCACTGCATTTATCCCTGTATTCTTCCTACAGTCCCTCTCTCCATCTGTTCAGTCCCTGATACAATCTGCTACTTCCTGTGACACAACACCAAAGCCACAACCCATTTCCTGCTGCCAACACTGCCTAATAAGGTTTGCCTCAGCCTCAACAATAACTGTCCACACACTCACAGTTTCTAATTTTCCTGAACCTGATTCCAAACATTTTTCAGTACAAACAGGTGTTATATATATATATATATATATATATACATATATATAAAAAAAGAGAGAGAGAGCGAGAGAGAGAGAGAGAGAGAGAGAGAGAGACAGAGAGATATTTTTAAATATGTATATATATCTTTTATCTCTTATTAGTATATTTTTATATGTAAGTATATTACATTATATAAATTTTGTAGCTACATTGAAATACAGCTAGAGCAGTTTGAAATTCTGGGGTGCTACAAAAGTTAAAAAAAAAAAAGAAAGAAAAAGAAAAAGAAAAAGGAAAAGGAAAAGAAAAAAAAAAAATTTTGGTAAAGTTTTTTTTTTTTTTTTGGGCGCTCCTAAAACATTTTATAGTTTGAGCTATCTCCTCCAAGGCCATGGTATGACCTTAGTGTTACCTTGAGATGTTGGTCTTCATGTGTATACTTTGCCAGAGTTTTAGCCGGAGGGTGACGAGGTCGCTGCGCCATTTACAGGATAAGTCGGGGAACTTTTCTAATGGCGGACAATTTTCAAAGTGAAACCGAATCTTATTCTCCACATTTCTTTTCTGAAACTATCAGCGAAAATCTGCGAATTTTGGCCGATTACCGATTAGTCTCAAACAGGCTAGAATTAGCCGATTTAATTGGCTTGCCAATAAATCGGTCCGGCCCTAGTAAATAGGCTCAGCATTGACAATTGAATATTACTAGGCATTTTGAGTAAGTTAAATAATCTTGGGTCTGGTGGATAAGCCATATCTAACATCATCTTTATCTAGTATGCTATGTAAGGGGGTGACAACATATGGGATCTAGGAGGAGATAGAGAGAGTGGGAAATAGATACACTTCTAATAGCAGAGAGAGCAAAGGCTCCGTAACATGACAGATTGAGGATCTACATTATTGACTTTGGTCATAGAGGCATGAAAAGCAGGAGCACAGGCATGTAAGGACAGGGGCTCACAAATGCTCTCACAACTGCTCTCAACACATGTGCGGCCAACAAAATACTGAGTGATATACAGTTGACTGTGCTTTGACACTGAGAGACGTCATGAAAGGTGGACTCAGTCTTAACTTGCTGTTAATGCAGTTAGAGTGTGCTTATTCATCAGCTGTTATGCCGTCAGGGAAGGGTTAACAGGAAATAGCAGGGCACAGCCTGTGTTCTCCTCTGAAGATGTCTGTATAAGGCTGTGATCTGACTGCTATTCCCCAACTGTGCTGGCAAGTACAGGCAGGCTCAGTAGCTCCTTGTCTTCTGTCCTCCTCCACCTATGTTTGCCTGACCCTCCCTCAAAGCTCCTCTGCAACTTTTCGTTAATCTCTTACTAGGCTTCTTGGTGGAATAAAAACTGGGATTTAAATACCATGTAAATGACGGTAAAACACATGATTCACAGGATAAAGGTTTTTTTAGACAAATGACTAACATATATTAGTCGCAAAGCGGAAACAAGCCACACTCTTTTCAGTTCATTGTCCAGACTTTTAAGTACAGCAACACCGTGTATAGCAGCCATTCTTCGATTTTTGTCTCTCAGGATTTTAAAGACTTTTTCCTCCAGACCATCACCAACTCACTAGCCTTGCCTTCAGGTCTCTCTGTAGCTAACAGACAGCAGTACCAAGTGAAACCAAGTCAACAGTTTAACAAGCTACTGAAATCAAACAATAACATCCATGTCTCAGTATTAGAGAAACTTCTCTTTCACAGCTTAATTCACACACTCTGCAAAGTAAACATGGAACAACAAGACAGAGATTACTTGTGGAAAGGGTGGCTGTGCTGAACAAAAGATAGACAGTGATTCATGGAGTTGATCATTTTAACCTACAGTCAAACTTCCCATTTAAAGGAGCAACAACAGGTCACTGTGTGTCTGATCCTCCCTCATACAGCCTCACTAAAATACAGACCATGTGACACTGATAATAGTCAATTTATATACTTCTCTACCTTTGGTAAAACCAAAAATGATTATTTTTATATTCAATCTTTTTATGAATTTATACTCAATATTATTTTAAACTCCAAAATAGTGTCAGATAGTAAAGATGATTTTGTTAGGGCTTTCTTTTGTTTTGGAGATGATACCGTAGCTTGAAAACTGCTGGATGAATTTTAATTAATGAAATGGAAAAATACGCTGGCACTGGGTTATGTTGTAGATTTTAAAACATGACATATCTTGAATGGAAGCAACACTAAACAGACTTATCCTGTACATTCTACTAGAATTTACATTAAACATTAGCCAAAAGTTGTTAGATTTGATGTGCTGTCATTGTAAGCGTGGACTGACACATTCCTGTATATAAAAGGCTGTCAAGGTTAACGTGTTAATACCGCATGTATGATTTATTCTTTATTCACTAATCTTTTAACCCATGATGAACACACACATGCTCTGTAATCTTTGTAATACTGCCTATACGTCTCTGATGTGACCATCAGCCAGAGGTCCATTTAATGTCATATAGTTGCAGTGTCAACAAATGCCACTCGATGGAAGTTCCTCTTTTAGTGGTGTTATGAGACTCCATATTATCCTGCTGTCACCACAGACTTTGGCTGTAATTGAGGACTCTGTGGTGCATCTTATGCCCTAATTTATGTCTGCTGAATGCAGAGCTGTGGCGCCCCAACATTATATGGTAGACTTTAATTTTTGTTGAACAGACTGCCATGTGGAGATCCTGACCTTGCTGTTTGTAACCCTCTGATGCTAACTTGCGATGCTAGGGCTACTGGGGCTACTGCTGATGCTAAAGCTGCTAGCAATTCAGCAGTTACAGATGGCGAGCAGAAACAGACCTCCCTGTGCAGAATTGGATGAAGACATGGACTTTTGAACTGCAAGTTTACCATTAAAAGCACTGTCAGATGGCTCTCCACAAAATCAAGGTTTTTTGCAACTTGACAGCCATGCGTTTGTTTTTGTTACATCTAGGAACTCTCCTATCCCACAGCGAAGAGCAGTATGTTTTTAGAGACTGTCTCTCAAAAACGAAGGTAATCTGCAAAGATTTACGTATTACTTAAAGTGAAACTGCAAGTTTCTGTCGATGCTAGAAGCTTCCATCTCTGTTTTGGTAAGAGGCTGTGTCTGAGTTCAGCTGACCGCCAAAGGTCCGATCTGAAGCCAGTCTCCCTCAACTCAGCAGAGCAGTGAAGATAAAACTCAGAATTAAAGGATCATAAAAAATCATTCTGCGAAGGATTTTACCGGGTGAATTAAGAAATACTTAGGAAACACCACAGTCTACAAGTCTACATCTATAAGTTCAAACTCTGCCATGCAAAGCCAAAGCCATATATCAACAACGACCAGAAACACAGCTGGCTTTTCCGGACCCAAGCTTATCTGAGATGGGGTGACGCATAGTGGTAAAATGTGCTGTGGTCTGATGACTCCATATTTCAAAACATTTTTGGAAGTCTTGGACGTGGTATCTTCCAGACTGAAGAGGAAAAGGACCATTCAGATTCTTATCAGCGCAAAGTTTAAAAGCCAGCATCTGTGATGGTACGGGGGAATGTTAGCACCCATGACGCAGCTAATTTACACATCTATGAAGGATCCAGTAATGCTAATGCAACACGTGCAGCAAAACAGTGCGACCAGCCTGCTGCACTGACAGAGAGAAGGAGAAAGAGAAGAACTTTTTTTGTAGCCTCAAGACAACCCTGTGTCATAGCTGATAAAAAAGACAGGTTTGTTTTAGTGACAGGCAGAATAGAGAACATGAAAGTAACCCTCATAAATAGCTATTACCTACAGGGCCCAAAGTCATCCTCTGAGCCAGAGAAAGGAGAACCCAAAGGATCCTAAAGGCACTGGTTCTGCATTCAGACCTATGTGCTGTCACTCCTGGGCCATCTCTCTCAAACCACCGACAACAGTCAATTAAGGTTAATATGTTAATGCATATTCACTTACTAACATTCATTTCAATAGTCTTATTTTCCTGAGTTCTTGTCTGTTAGTGTTCTTCCAGAAGTTGAGTCCCTGAAATGAGAATTCCAGCTTGAGATATGAGATTAATTTCAAATTGATTTAACGTTTAATTTCTGAATTAAACTTTTATTTCTATTTCATTTTTCCACTTTTAAAAGGTGGGTGGTGCCCCTTTCAACAAGTGTAAATGTCATATCTTATTATTATCAAATATTAATCTTCAGACATTTATTATAAATCCAAATCACTACTTTTTTATGGTAGAGTGTTTTTTTGGACATGTAGGGCCATGGTAGAAACACGTGACCCTCTTGTCAAACGTACTGTATTTTATCAGTGGAGAAAAGACTTTCCTACAAAAGTCTTATTCCCGTCTTAAGCCAAGCAGATAAGAGTCTTCTACCTGACTTCTGTACTTCAGTGGGGAACAGGAACATATTTGGAAATTCATCCAGATATGGCTGAAAGCTGAGGTAAGTTAGGAACACGCTAAAATCATTTTGTAGGTTATTTATATATTCATTTATTTTTTTGCTTTAGTTGTTTTTGGTAGAAGACAACAAAATGGTGTCCAGCACTTGCCCATCACTGAGGCTCGGTTTATATTTTAATATAAAACAGAACTATGAAACTTTTTAGCCTGGAAGTCATTTGCTTAAGGCTTGTTTATGCATGTGATCACTACAGCTTTTCACTAGTCTGCTCCTCTGTCTCCTCTTCCTCTCTTTATCTGTGGCTGCATGATGAGTTTGTACTACCATAGCACAACATATCAAAGATAGGGCAGCCGATTATAAACAATTGCAGCATTTACACAACGTGAAAGCTGTTTGAGGAGGAGCGGGGCAGAATACATGCTTCGTTACAGAAGGACAAAACAAGTGTAACACAGCAGGCGACATGGTAACTGTTCACTCTTGATATTCATATTTTTATGTTCATGTATCAACACAATCATAACTGAACTTGAAATTGGATTAATTGCCTGATCCTACCAAGCAACCCATGCTTGTTACATCCTTGTTCTCACTTGTATGATTCTGTTCCCTGGTCATGCTTGAAACTTCCCTGGGTGTTAACTGAATTGTATTGAACAGGTAATTGCTGCGTGTATGCAAAGTCTGCATGTCTCATAACACATATAGAAAGACTCATGGTGTGAATACTGTGTAAGCATATATGGTCAAATGATATGTTGTGCAGCCATACTGGGGATCCATTCAGTTTCCATCACTGCCTGTGTTCAGGGGCTACTTGTTGTTGACCGATTAACATAGCAGGGTTGTTGCTGTTCTTGTTGTCAGATTCAGGTCTTTTGGTCAGTTAATCGGGAATAGGACTTGAAGTCAACTCTGATAACAAAGGTAAACAATAATACAGATGGGAGCGTTGTCTGTGCCACATTTTTTAAAAGGAAGAGATACTCTGAATAGTTATCACACACAAGAAGATGTTGAAAGAAAACATGGAGGGAAATATGTAAAGCTGACACGTAAAATAAAAAAAAAGTCAACATTAAAGAACTATTACTAAACACATACAGTATGCACAACAGATCCTCGATAAGATCCAATAGCATCCTGAATGCAAGTGCACCGAGGCCTTTAACGACAATACAAATTTAGAACGAAACTAGAGAACGTCTCTTTTGACTGTTGTACTGGCAGCTTAAATTTGGGATACGTTAATGAACCACTTTCACGACTGGGACAATTTGTTATATTTAGGACCAACTGACTGCACTCCTGTGTCAACATTCACATGCCACAGGCACAAATGACAATGAGCATGAGTGAAGCCGCATTCCAGTCTCTGCCTATTGTACAAAGTGACATAAGCTGTTAAGGTCGAACTGAGAGCTAGTGAGAGCAATTTTCGGTTTAAATAAGACCTCCAATCATAAAACACTGTTTCAAAAAATGCACAGAGACAACACTTAGAGGAGCAAATGACCTGGGGACAGACAAAGGGATCTACCCTTTCAAACTGAAGTGTGCAGTCTCACTGCAAGAGTTGTAAAAGTGTATTTCAAATGATGAAAGCACAATAGTGCAGTTGGATCAATTAAAGCTTTACAATATTTATCATGGACTCATACAGCAGCAAAGTGGCTTATGTATGTTGTAAAAGGAAAAAGAGACACTGAATCAGCTACAGCAAAAGACTCTGTCTGGACTGTGCCTGGGCATACAGAAGGTGAGGGGGAGTACAAGAAAGCTAACGGAATTTACTGTGCTGGCTGACCTGCTATTTAATATCGTTGAGAACCCCGTATTCCGTCGCTTGCTGGTGTACCTTGATGCTCGCTATCTCCGCCCAGAACACACATACTGTGGTGAGTGTATACAGTAAATAAACAAGTTATTTAAGTAGACAAATTGCTCCCTCATGTGATCAGATCATGATCAGTTTTCGGATTATTTTAACACACTAATTGGTAAGGGTGAGAGAAAATCTTTTTTTTTGCTCAAAAAATATATAAATATATAAATATATATTTTTTTTAAATTTAAGAATAAATCTTAAAAACTGACTTACATGTGATGTGTATTTTTATGGGGGAAATATGGTTCCTGGAATAGTCAGTGGACAATCATAATCATTCAACTGTTTCACTGGTGTTAAAAATGCAGACTAAAAATCGAGAAAATCATAGAATTGCAAGTTAAATCAAATTGCCATCCCAAAAAATTGTAGAAGAATCGAATCGGGAGAAAAGCATATCGTTCCAGCCCTACTGATAGGTGATCAGCCCCAAAAATACAGATGGTGTAAAGCCTAGACGGTATCTATTCTATCAAAGGCTACCCCATCATCCCTGTGCCAGGTCATGGTAAATGGAAATAATGTGTCCATCTTTGGCCCAGACTACAGGTATATAGATATTTATTTATCAGGATATTTTTGTACTCCAGTCTAAATAAATGTATCTGTCCACACGTGTTAGCTCTCAAAAATATCTGCGTCCACATGTAGCCTTCAAACTCAATCCTATCTGGTGCCGCTTAAAAAAAATTCAGGAACAAAGCTACCTGATTGGCCGATAAATCGTAACAGCGTGATGCGTCATGCATTAAAATCTGCTACATAATAGGCCATTTTAGTAACTCTATGAGTAATCATTTTATCTTTTGCTGTTACATTGTTACCCTGAAATTTTTTAGCGATATGCCAGATTGCATGTCTGAAATAGCTTACCTGTGTTTTGTACCTGAGTGCAACAAGATGTTACCACAGCTGTTCCTACTCGCAGTGGCTGGGTTGTTTTTGTGAACAGGAGACTGCAGCATATTGAATACACTGCATTCCTTTAAATTCCTGCTGCGCCGTAGTAAATGCTTTGTCATGTTGGACTTGCTTTCTCTCTATCTATGCCATTATCTTTTAAGTGTAGATTATCTGCAGTCTGCCTTGATACTCCTCTCACAACTGTCTTCACGAACTGCATCACGAGTAATAAGATGATTTCCGCAAGCACAGCAGGTCCTGGCAGAGAAGTAAAACTTAATGAGGACTGCAAAATTCTTGCATGCTGCTAGGAATCAACAACTAAACTAAAATTCATGTGCCTTATCAAATTCAAGAGGAACTTGGAACCGCTTCAAAGTTGGAACCAGTTGATAGTACCCAAACCTACTCAGGGGTCAAAGTAAGATGTATGTAAACATGTGGAAGTCACAGTGCAATATTTGCAACATATACCCACTTACATTTCACAGTATACCATCATTTTCCTTTTTTTATCTTAGACTGTACACTAGTGGAATTTCCCAACATCCAGTGCTTTGCATTGACTGAATGGTTCAATGTGGCTCTGGTGTAAGTGACTGACTCATTCCATTCACACACCACTGGGCGCAGCCAATGGAGGCAAGTGGGGTTAAGTGTCTAGCCCAAGGACACTTTGACATGTGGACATCCCTAGGATCGAATCCTCCCATTAGGAGACGACTAACTCTACCACTGGGCCACAGTAGCCATCACAGCATCGTTCATACTGAGAGGATGAGGAATTACGACAACAGCAAGCCACTCTTTAAAAGAATACCTCCGTACACCTTATGCTATCAAAACTTGTGCTGCGTTCGAGTTAACTCGGATAGCGGAAGTCCAAGCTGGGAATAACGTCCCTTCTTACCAGCGTTTCAGTCACAAAGTTGGAAAAAAGCAAAATCGGAGGCGGAAGCAAGATGGCTACATCCACGAAAGTTATTTTAGCGCTTGCCTTGTCCTTGCTTATTTGGCCAAGGCAAGCGCTAAAATAACTTTCGTAGATGTAGCCATCTTGCTTCCGCCTCCGATTTAGCTTTTTTCCAACTTTGTGACTGAAACACTGGTAAGACAGGTGTGACCTCATTCCCAGCTCAGAGAAAAACAACTGTCTATACACGAGTTCTGACAAATCACAACATTTATATCAAGGTGGAGTGATCCGAGGGACTCAAATGTGCACTTCTTGCCGGAATTAAACATCTCTTTGGCATCAGGCTAGTAGCTAACATGCCGATGAACAAAGCGCTCTCCCACATAAATTTCACCGACATAAAAGTGACCGTTCCATTTTTCCAAGGTGCGCGTTCAAGAAAGTGTCTCTGGAAGGGATTGTGTAGACCCATCAGGTTAACACAACGTGTGACATAGTGCAAAACAATAGCAACGGAAATAGCAGCATGGAAGGCAACGAAACACATCTTCCTCTCCAATGAAGGCTGTTTGCGCAGTTGTTCGGTCTTGTTTTAATGAAAATACATAATCTAATTCATTCGAAATGCGGGTTCAGTGGACCTTCTGGCAGCATCTTGGCTGTTTATATGCAAAAGCTGTACTCCTGTGCTGTCATCTAAAACAAGGGACAGTGATCATGTTGGTAAATCGGCCACAGATGGAAAATGTTTGAAACAGTGGTTCCTGACCCACCTGCCAGTGAATTTGAATATGAGCTGGCTGATGGGCCTGGCAATGCAAGGCCACCTTCATAAACGGATACTGTAGTTGAAAATGTAGTTGGGTTGCTTTTGACAAGTTTAAGTGGAACTGTCCTGTTGGTAGAATCATAGTTTGTTAATAAACAAACTTGTACAGTAAAAAAAAATATTGGGTACTGCAACAGAATATCAATAGACCAATTGTGTTGAGTAGTAGCAGCATCTTTTTGCCTGAACCTGTTTGAGGTGCAAAGTGGAAACTATCCTATGATCTGACAAACCTAAATTTGACTATCATTTTAGAAACCATGGATGCCGGATCATCTGCTCTGAGGGGCTACCGGGCACTTGATCAGCTCATCTGTGGTGCAATGGGAGTACCCAATGCACTAGTATTGGGAGCTAAATAGGCCTGCCAGCAGTACAGAGAGGGAGCGGGATCAATCGGATTTCAATTTACCTTACAAATATGACTTCCAATAATCAAAGAAATATAATGATCAAAACTATAAACAGACCCTCCCTCTCTTCCTTAACAGCAGCGCATCTGTGCAACCCCTCCCCTCAAACAGCTCTCACTTCCACTGCTCGCACATTTCATCATCATAAGCAGCTCCAATCAACGCGAAACAAAATTTGGGAGCACAAGGAAGTTGTGGCTCCTGCAAAGATTAATGGTGGACCACACTTCTTCAACACCCCGTTCAACGGCGGTACAAACTATCAAGCAGCAACAGGTGGAGAAGGGAGAGCAGGATGAGGAGTGGGAGGAGGCAGGTGGTTGTATATTTGTGTCTGAAATGCCGAGGTGCATAATAAGCATGAAAAGAGAGAGATGCTGCAGCTATCACGAGAGTGTACGAGTGCTTACAGGCTAATGAGTGCAAGGCTTAAAAGTGAGGGACATCAATCAGAGTCACATTAAAATACAAGCCCAAGTCTTGGCATTACAAAAGACATTATATAAAAGCATGAAAAGCTTGAGTGATTTCTTAGATATGCAATCCGTGAAAAGATATCTAATGTTCAATTTTATAACCTTTATTGTTCGTTGTTTTTTAAATATTAACTCATTTTGAATTTGATGCCTGCAACAAGATCAAAAAAAGTTGGACAGGGGCAACAAAAGACTGGGAATATTGTGGAAGGCTCAAAAACACCTGTCTGAAACGTCCTGCAGGTTGGTAAATTCAGGAAAACCATTATCAGTTAACACAGTTTGTCGCTACATCTACAAGCAAACCAAAGCCAAATCAACAACACCGAGAAACACCACTGGCTTCTGTGGGTTGATACAGCCTCTCTCACATCATGCTCTAATGTCCCTCAGAGACACACTGATGCACACACCTGTCTGCCCCGTTCCCTTCTCCTCACTTTCCTCCTGTGGATGCCTGACAGTTTGTACCGCCGTTACAGAAAAGGGTAAAGATACAGCAGTCCACTATTATTCTGAGTGGGAGCTGTTTCACACTGGTCAGAGCTGCTAATGATGAAGAGAAAGTGAGAGCTGTTATGGAAGAGAGAGAGTGCGCTTCAGTGAGGTACAGGACGTAGCAGAGGGGACACAGCAGGCAGCGCAATAATTGTTCAGTCTTGATTTTCTTATTTTTTTATTGCTGGGGGCTATTATTATAATTGTAATTAAAATCTGATTAATCGCCTAGCTCTGCACATAATCCTGTGTGCCCTTGGTATTGTCCACATTTGATTTCTTTCATGACAGTTTGAGTACCACTGACCCATCAGAACAGCAATTTGTCTATGTTCTGGTACATAAGGATTCATAAATTACCCATATATAAATTGATAATGGTGCTTTGCTTTTGTACTTGTTTACCACGCAACTGTTTGATATTGGTGCCCCCATGTGTGATTTTACATTTTTTTCACAGGAGCATGTGAAGAATTTCTGTTGCTGTAGGCAACGTTCAAACAGTTTCTATAAAGTCAATATATATCATGACTGGAACTTTTTTTTTACCCTGGAGAAGTGAGTAAAAGATGGAGAACAGTTAGAAAAAATTCACTTGAACATAATTAAATTTGTGATTCATTACTCTGGTATGGATATGTATCTTAAATTACAGATAAAGTATTTAATTTGATTACAGCCACATGCATGGAGAAAAGTAAGTACACTATGGATTCACAGTCTGCAACTGTTTCCTGAATCTGGACTTGTCTACCAGGTAAGTACCTGCTCTACCTTGTCCCGTTACTAGTGTGATTCTATTTTTCTAAATAAGCAGCTAAGAAAAAAAAAAGACAAATGCCGCTAAAAAGAACATCCTCACCTGTATTATATTAACCTCCATTTTGTTTGATAATTCATTTTTTTGTGTCATTTATTTTATTTCTCACTAATTTATTGATGCTGTGATGTTACATCACTTGTTGCATTGATATAAATAGAAAAGGCTGTCCTAGTCAGTCAATTGTTTTTTACTTAATTTTGTCGCATTAATGGTCAATAACACAGCAGTGAATTTACAGACACATGCCATTAGGGATGCACCAATCCGATATTTGATATCGGTCCCGATACTGAAGAAAATTCTAGATCGGGTATCGTGACAATAGGCCCGATGCATAGGGATCTATTCAGTCTAACTCTATGCTATGCGCCATGAGTGGCATCCACAAGTAAACATGCTGAGCGACTGCCCACATTGTTTTCAAAATGGAGCAAGCAAAGGGATCTGCTATTTTGAACTATATCACAATACTGCAGCCTACAAGCTCAACGGCCACTTGCAATACCTGCGCCGGAAAAGTTTCTGAGGAGCAGTGGTAAAACTTCAGGTTACAACAAAAGGTAATTCAGCGCGACTTTTCTGTATCAGAATTGGATCGTATCGGCCGATGCTAAATTGTAGATATCTGTATCGGTATCGGAGGTGAAAAAAGCTGATCAGTGCATCCCTACATGCCACTGGGTTGAGAGACAAACAAAAACAAAGAGACTCAAAAAAATCATATGAGAGAGTAAAACTAAAGAGTCAATAGATTTAAGTTAGTGAGCTTAGGTGTAAAAATTACAACACAATCACTGCAGTGTCTATTTGACATCATGATCTGCCTCTGAGTTTCCTTTCTTGACAGAGCTCTAGGAATTTTTCCTGAGGTTTTCTGGGTGCATATGTCAAAACAGCTGAAGTGTTAAAATAGGTATGAGATGAGCCAAGTTTACACTGCTGGAAAGTTAATGAATTATTCCACATTGTTCATTTCAATTTTCATATTATTCAATTGTATCAAGAAAGTAACTTGTGTCATTGGATTACTGTAGTGTAGTTATAAATCACAATATTTTCCTCTTACATGTTAAGACCCAGAGGCATGCTAGTAAAACTTAGAATACATTTAAGTTAATTTGCTCCTCCCAACTTTCCTTAAAACTACTTAAATAAATGTGTTTAAATACTAACTCAGCAAATTTACTGGATTTTTTCAAAGATTTGTTTCTTTTTTTTTTTTTAATTACCGTCTCATAACTGTCAGGTTAGGAGTGATGATGATTTTTTAATTTTTTCATTTAACCAGGTAAGAACCCGTTGAGATTGAGACCTCATTTACAAGACTGACCTGGCCAAGAGGTTAGCAGCACACAACAAAATAATAAATATTAATAATAATAATAATAAAGAAGAAGAAAATGTCCTCCAGAAACATAATTAAAAACACAGGCGCTGTTCCATGGTCTCCCAAAGTCTGTCATGTAAGATTGAACGAAATGCTTTCAGCGAAATTAATTCCAACAATTTCAGGTCAGTCTGGAGATGATTGATGATGCTCATCAAGCGGGTGAATATGCTGATAAGACGTAAAAATAAAATCAATATGATGACCACAAACAATCGTAACAAAAAGACTGCCAATACTGATGTGATACATAACCTAAACAAAAAAAGTTACATTAATTATAGCTTGAAGATTTACTAAAGATGGGTAGGGTTAAAAAAAAAACAGTCTTACGCCTCTGAGTGGAAGAATACATGGTAAGAATTGGTGAGCGAAAGAAAACAAAGTCAGCCAAAAGAAACCTCTTCCTGCAGCAATATTTTCAAAGCGAGTAATTGCCAACTGCACAGGCTGGGACAGGATGTGGAATTTGAGGCAGTGAGCTTTTGGTGTTTTTTTTTTTTTTTTTCTTAGGGGGGTTGAAGATGCTCACTTATTACTGCACAAGGAGGAAAATGTTAGCAAAATCCTATATCCTTAAGGGGGAGAGTTTAAAATAGGGTTTTATTCGCATGCTATCATTACCACAGAAAAATGCATTAAGGGGCAACTGGATAGCTAAGTAGACATTGTGCAGTTTATGGACACACAACATAAATATTCAGTGACTTTAACTTATAGAAATAAACTGTTGCTTTCTATTTTAAATCTGTTATTTTTATACTCGAGGTGTTTTGAGTTGAGGTGGATACAAACTATTTTAAACTGCTTAAGCCCATGGAGCAAAACAACCTAACCAAAATGAAGTGTCCGGAACGGATTCATAAGTATGTGTTCCCTCATCTGACCCTACCAACAACACTAACTTGGGTAGACTTTCCTTAAAAGGGGCCACACACGAGCGGAAAGGTGCTGGCTTCTACAACGACCTAATTCTAGACATCAAGTTTTTTTTTTTTCCCTAAAACGTGCCAAACCCGGTACAACGATTCATGTGCAACCTGTGTAACTAAGAAGATAAACCGTTTTTTGTATTATTTATAGGGATGTATACAACAGTTGTAGTGATTTATCTTCTCGGCAGAAGTTCGAGACACATCTATAAGTCACAACTGATTAGTCGGTTTTGTGAAACGAGTGGCCGGAACACAAAATGTAGCCTGGAAACACAATGAAGATGAAGGGATTTACGCTACTTTACCCACCTCATTGTTCGCCGGAGTGGAGATCCTCTCCTCGTAGACAAGTTTAGCTGACTTCAGAGCTCAAGCCCGACTTTAAAAGTCAGTGTACTGAAATAAACACGGACAAATTTCGGCGAATAACACGCATCGACACAGCCACCAGTAGTATGAAGGAGTGCACCTCGACGATTTCCTGGTTGTGGTGGAGCAATGGAAGAGGGGGAGGGGGGTTAGACAACAGATACAGTGGTGGTGGTGGTGGAGCGGGCTTGTCAACTCCGATCACTAATACACATTGGTTTCTACAAGCTAAAGAGGCGAAGACGTGGAGAAGTAAAGATAATCCAGAATATACACGTCTATTCGCACTCTTCGAGTTGAAGCCGAGTGTCTGCTCTAGACTTTTCCGCTCGCACTGTCGTTCGTCCGCTCTGTCGGTCTGTCTATATGGTATAAATTCATTGGAGTTTGGCCCAACGCGCCAGCTTCAAAGTAGGCTTAATCCCATGGTGCGTTTACGTTCGCATCGTACATAACCATATTCTGGGTCTGTAGCTGGTTTGGGCCAGGGTTAAACCAACAGCATCGTCGATATCATTATTTTAAAATAGAGTGAAACAAGGTATAAATAAATCAAATACATAAAATTTCATTATATTTTGTAATAGAAATGATAAAAAATTACAAGAGATATTTTAAGTAGAGTTGGATCATTGATAAATCACTGTTGTATTTTAACCTTTTATTATAGTTTAATTCATCCATATCTTATAAACTGTAATACTGTGTGGGCAGCAACCTGTCCCACGTATTTAAACAAGATTTTGTTAATTAAAAAAAAACATTCTTAAGACTGATTAGTTTTTCTGAAAGCTGTGACTCATCTGTTCCTCTAGTTAAAAAATATAAACTTTTATCAATTTCTAATTTGAACAAATTTCAAACATGTGAGTTCTGTATAAATTAGGGCCGACAGACATCGATTGTTGGGGAGGGGGGAAAATCCGATTACCGAATAATCGGCCGATTTTTTTACATTTTTATGAAGTTCTAAAAATTAAATATACTATAGATATCTACAGTATACTATATACTGTAGATATACTGTAGGCTACTGCTCTTCACGCCATCTACAGGATAAGTCGGGGGATCTTTTCAAATGGCGGAACATTTTCGAAGTGAAACCGAATCTTATTCTCCGCATTTTATTTCTGAAAATATTATATTATAAATAAGAGTTTTGGCCGATTACCGTTTAGTATCAAATGGGCTAAAATTGGCCGATTTAATTCGCTCGCCGATAAATCGGTCAGGCCCAAGTATAAATATGTCCACTTGTAGGCTATCATGATCTACCTGGACCTTTCTGGAATTTCTTCAAGTCCACTTCAGAGGTCCATTCATATTATACAAGAGAATGTTCTGGACACTCAAGGACAGTTTACAGAGTAAAAACAGCAGGATAAAAGCAATAGAGAAAACGAAAAAAAAAGTATATGTATGTATAAATTAAAAACACAAAAACATGACAAGATAAATTATAAGGAGGGAGAGAATCAATTTTCAAACGTTTTAATGATACATTTGCTAACATAATAGATATTTTTCCTCAGTGTAATATACTTATTAAATAAAAACTGCACAACATTTTCTTATTTTCATTATTTGGGTCCTAGTCCCAGACTAAAATGCTGTTTGAGTGGGTTTAACTTTAAATCACTCGCACCGATTTATCTTAGTCATAGATTCAGTCTGTTGTGGATTAAACAAAGCCAATTGCAAGAGGGTGGATTAGAGCTACTCTAGGACTAAATTGAAGTTCATATTAATCCTACAAAGAGGCAGGTTTAACTTCGGCTTTATACTCTTTGTGAAAGGGAGCACAGATGGTTTGGGAGCAAAGAGTATTTGGAATATCTAAATGAGGACCAATATTGGCAACAGAGGCCAGTCAGACAAATACTTGTGGATAGGGGTAATCCAATTAATCAGTTTGATGAAATAACTTTCCGAAACCGCTTTTGTTTGTACAAAGAAGATGCACAAGAGATAATTACTTTCCTCCATGTGTCAAAGATAATGGCCTGTACCCAGTCCTCTCCAAGTTCTGATCACTGAGATTCTTGGCATCTGGAACCTTTCACCATAAAACTGGAGATCTGTGTGGTGTCAGTGAAGCAACCATGTGTAGAAGAGTTTGCAATGTCTGCAGTGCCGTTTGTGAACTGAGAAATCTGTACGATAAGTTCCCTGGTGCCACTGAGCAAGCCAACTATAAAGTGCGACTCCACAAATATGGGAACTGATTGGCTGTATAGATGGATGTCATGTTGAAATCAAGTGTCCATCAACTCTTGAAGCTGAGGAGTACAGAAACCAGAAGAACTGGTTTTCCATCAATGCTCAGGCTGTATGCAGTCCCAATTTAGAGTTTTCAAACATTGTTGCTCATTGGAAAGAGAAACACATTATTCAAGGATTTTTTTAAACTCTTCATTGTGCACTCAGATTGAGAGAGGGCAACAGAGTGGACGACTACTTGGTGACTGTGGATATGCTCAGAGTTCCTGTTTAGTTAGTTTGTTAGTTAGTTAGTTGTCCCTTCTGGGAAATTCATTTTCACAGATTCTGTACATGAAGTGCATTAAGAGAAGCACATTACATTACATTACATTACACATTGTTATTAGCCTCATTGATAATTTGTGTTGATATTTTACGGAGAACAGAAAACCATCCAGTGTCCTGACTTGATTAAATTTATACAATATGGATTCATAAACCATGGAATATTCTTCTCAGTAGATCCAGTCAGTTCAGATAATCATGTGGACAACGTACCTTAGATTGAACTCTCGACCTTACAATTGAGAGGACACTGACTCCATCACCGAGCCACAGCCATCTACATGAAGACTATGCAGGGTGGTCAATAAGACCTTTCAAATGTCGCCACTTCAGTGTTCCTGAGCAAATGAATGAATTTCTATATTTAAATGTTTTAACAGGTATTACATAAATTGTTTTCTGGTCATTAAAAATACAATTAAAATGGACACATTGAGTCTATTGCAACATTTAAACTCAAGAAAAGTATGTTGCAGTTAGATACCATTTCCTTGATCCTTTAGGCTGACTGTCCAAAAGTTTTCCAAATAAAGCAACATGATCTCTTTGGTAGAAGTCAGTTTCTCATGAATGTGATAGGTTCACTGCATTTACAAGTCACAGATTGATGTCCCAGCAGCCAACTCCTCCTGACCCAGGAAGCCCATTTAGAACCTGTAAGTCAGCCATACCCACACACAAATCACATCATAGCTGTGGTTAATACTTCAGGTATGATGTATCAAATTTCAAAACACAAGTCTGTCGTATTTTAGCAACAAGATTTGGGCGTGGCATGCACTGTATACTTTGACAGTCAAAAAGGACTCCAACCGAACAGAATAGGATCCAAACACTTGGATTGAAGTTTTGATGTCATTAATCTCAATAACAATATAACAATACTGAAATACAGAAAAAATGTTTTTACTCAATGGTAAAGGGCAGGAGCTGGGCACAAGTTATTAGTGAGAAAATAAGAGTTACTAAGACAACAGACAAGTTGGTCTGAAGGGGCTTTGCAGCAGCGGGAGCAGAATTTTAAGCCAGACATTGAGATGGTATCGAGGGAGTTCGAAAAGAACAACAGCTGAATGAAGAGGTGATGGTGGTAAAACAGCAGAGAAGGCTGTCAAGGACAATTTTCTACGAAGTCTTTTTTTTATTTTTATACTTTAAAAAATGACAAAAGACTGGTTTGTCATACTTAATGTTGATACATTACACATAAAACAGATCGAACAGATCAGAAGAATAACGAAAAATAATAAACCCATGATAAAAATGTTTGTGTAAAAGTAGAACCACTTTTATTAATGGGGTACATTTTAAACTAAGGTAATAACATTTTAAAGACATATCCTGTAAAAATGATAAACAAATTTCAAAGCTTGTTTCAAAAATCTCGTCATCACTTTTAATGTACCAATGAAAACCAAAAAAAAACCTCCACAATACAGTTCAATGGAACTATTAAAGAAAAGCAGACAAAAAAAGGCTTTATTTGCCCGTAATCAAAGGATTTCTCAGCACAATGATGACAGAGTCACCCCTCAGGAACATTTTAGATATGTAGCGGTCCTTGTTCACTGGCTTGGACTTCTTCTTTCCCTTTCCACTCTTTGGCACTTCTGTCCACATCTCCTTCACGTTCTCTAGGACCATGTTGCAGTGCCTGCATCGAGGGGAGGAAAATGATCGAAAAAGGTTCATGGATGAAGTGCTAACATCACATTTTCTTTCTCAAAGAAAACATGTGGTATCATATAAAATCGTATACTACAAGTGTTGTTAAAAGAGGAGGTGATGTCAAATTTCCAATCCTTCTCCCTCCCAGCTAAAGTTACAGTAAAATTATACATCTCCCAGGCAGAAAAAGTAGGTTGGGAAATCCAGTATGACAAATTTATGCCATCACCTCCATGTGTATTACAACCTTGTCTGGCACTTCACTTTAAGTCAGTAACTAAGCTGTCAAAACTAACCTGTCAAAAGCCTTGACTCTTCCCAACAGCTTTTTGTTGTTTCGACAGTTGATGAGGACCTGAGTGTTGTTCTTCACAGACTGGGTAAGTACAGACAGAGGGCCTGTGTTGAATTCCTCTTCCTCTCTTTTCTGGAGCTCCTCTGGGGTCATCTCCGACTTGGGCTTTGTTAACAGACTCCTAGAAAAAGAAAACAGCAATTTTATTCATTTTTTAAAATAAATTAGTTTGATTTCAAAGCAAGATGGTATTGGTATGACATATATGTTGCAAAATTTTTGATATAACAATATTTGGATTTAAATTGTAAGAGTACACACAGTAATGTTTTAATGCTAACTTAAACAACATCATATTGCAGGTGACAGGGCCATTAAGTAGTGCTGGGCGCCACAGTTTACTGTTGACGTCACACTTGACGGTGTCCATTTTCGGAAAACCGCAACACTGTGGTGTATCAGGCATTGGCATTCGAATATGTGCTGTTGTGCATGATGCAACACCAGAGCTCAGCCCTTTTCTGTCTGCATATCTATGAACAATAAATGTGGAATTGTACTCATGAAATGCGCAAATAACATAATTTTGAAAAACCAACACTGGAGTCTGAACTTCCTGTGCGCCTCACTTGATACTGGTGGCAAAGAGATCAAAGAGCAGAGTAAAGGGCGAGAGAAAAGGATGAGAGAAAGGTACCTAAGAAGGATAAGTTTAATGAATATTTGCTTAAGCCTCTGAAAATGGCCCCAAGTAAACGTCAATGTTACTAATGCAATGTTAGCTACAGTAACATTTAACAGTAATGATATTAAGTTTTGCCTTCACATTTTTTTTCAGATGATGTTACAGTTACGTTTGGAAAAACAGAACGATGTCAGGTTTCCTGTGATGATAATCATACATATTTGTTTCAGAACATTTCACTGTGTTAACAATGTTATGCTGAAACTTATGACAGAGTATGCCATTGCAACTTTGAAGTAAAACTTTTATTTACTTAAATCTATCAATTTAGACTTGACTATTACTCATACTGAAGGACTATAGCTACAAAGAGGGCCATAAGGAAAATCCTCAGGGTTCCGCAGCAACAAAAAGTATTTTGTCAAGTAATAGCTAAAAAAAATCTCCCATACAAACCATCAAACTTTTGCAGATTTGATTTGTATTTGAATAAATTAGTTATCCATATTTCTTTCTTGTATGTGTAAGAAAATGAGAAAATCCAGACATAGAGCACACTGTCCACAGAAATGCACACCTCCATTCACCTCTTCTGGATAATAAATGACAATTCAGTGGAATTATTCTATCTTTCTATGACTAATTTAGCTTACCACTAAAAAATAGGTTAAGCATTCAGCAACTTTTTATGTTTCAACAGTGTGTGCAGGTGTTTTATACTGTTTTACAGAAACTTGAGCCTGCTATCCAAACACAGGGATTGAAAAAGATATCTTGGATAACACAAAACTGCATGGGGGTAGGACTTGGGTGTGGAGCTCTTAGAGAAGACCTGGTGGGATAGCTTGGCCCACATTCACATTTCCTTGTTTTGTGATTTATTATCTAAGCATACTGAAGAAAGAAAAAGATGATGGAGGATTTAGAAGAAGATACAGAGAATGAAAAAGAAGTGGAAAGACAGAAGAAATGGACAACTTTAAACTTTAGTTTGACTCACTATTCGGCTGGAGTAAATCTTTAAAACAGAATAGGTGTTTTGGTTTAACCCTAGAACACTATCACCCGACCAAACATGTTTACGTGATTTTCATTATGTTGCATTTGTCTGAGTTTCATGGGTCCCTGGGTAGCTTCAGCATTTCCTTTGACATCTTTGAAGGCATATTTGTTTCCCTGATTCAAAACGTGCTTTTTCCTACAGTCATGTTCAGCTGATTTTCACCCGGCAATAGTGATAGAGGGTGAAGTAGGTTTGAGTGGATTTGATAGATGCATGTAGGCGAATAGGGTCAGTAAGAGTGGTCCTGGAATTTGCATGCTATCTTTATTTAGTGCAGTGGTTATGAATAACTATCACAAAGTAGTGAATTCATAAAGTGATAAGAAATATTTTAGTCATTTTTACTCACTCAAAATATGCCATATTTTGGTTCTCTCTCCTGCAGCTGTTATTGTGTCAAGGACCCTGAGTCTTCACGAGAGAAGACTCACATGCCCCAGGAATGGGTGTCAAAGACACTAAGTTTACAGTTTCTTAATTTTTTTAAGAAATCGTTTGTTAATGAATGCCTAATTTCTGTTATTTTGTTGCATTTTTATGGTCCCCTCATGACACTTTTTCCCTCTCCCTTTGGACATTGCACAGATAAAATAAAATAAAACTTACTTTAGTTTGTCATCTATCGTCCTATTTTGATATATGACGAGTGCTTTTCTTGGGTATATTATTTCAGGGTAAATTCACTCACTCGGCGATAGTGATGGTGTTACTAATTTTAGCGATAGTGTTCTAGGGTTAATACACATAATCTCTAATTTGACTAAATGTTGTATTAGTGTTTTACATTGATCCAGTAGATGGCTCTGTCGCACAAACAGAAGTAGAAGTAGAAGAAGAAGAGTCGCTACACCGCTGTCTCCAGCTCTATTGTGCATGCTTTATCTCCCCAAGAGGAATATATCAGCATTCATAGTGAAGATATTTGATTAAGATTCACACCTCATAATAATGTTCATTTTAATACAGCTCTAAGTTGATAATAAAGAGAAGGAAAACAGATGCTGTAAGCTGGATATTATTTATACTATCGATGTACTATTGCATAAAATACCGAGCGGAACTTTACGGTTCGGAATAAATAAGGTTTATTCAATGACACAGTAAAGTAAACCTAACGCAGTTGGGACTAAAATGTTTGGTAGCAAACAGAGTTTCACAAACACATTGAACTAGCATCGATACCGATTACTAGCGGGCTCTGTAGCAAAGCCACATTAGCTCTAAAACCGAGTGTTTTGTTAAGGATTCGGAATTGTTATAATAATATTTATTATTACTTACATGGCTGGCAAACCCAAGTTTTCCCGACACGTCCCGCTCTGTTCTTCTAGGTAACTTCGTAACTACAACGATTCAGTGGGGTAGCGTGGGTCAATGGGCTTCCGTCTTCTTGCCTCTCTTTTCTTCTTCTTCCTCCCTGTTTTCTTTGCTGCCTTTTTGGCGGGTTGTAACCGTGACTTGAAGAGGTGCGTGGCGCCATCTTCTGTTCCGGAGTTTGTAGCTTCTGTTTTATCCAAAGACTGTATACTATACTGTTTGTTTCACAGTCGATGGTTTTTCACGATAATAACGTGCTTTAAGGTGAACAAAATTGCATTGTAGAGACTTAAGTTTTGTTTTAGAACTCTGTTAAAGGTGAATGTTTTTATAGCCACAAACAATGTCTAAAACAATTGTCTCTAGCTTCTCAAAAAGATTCTGATAACCATACAGGAATTTTGGTAATACCGTCTTAATAGCATTGATTCTGCCAATCACAGAGAGGGGAAGAGTCCTCCTGTATTTAATGCCATGTTTCAGATTGTTTATAATTTTTGAGAAATTTAATTGTAACTAAAATGTAGATATTTTTTTTCATTTTAGATGTATGGCCTAAATGTGTGATATGTTAAACCACCTTGAATGGAAAATCTTGTAGGATAACATTCACTGAACAGGAGTTCCCTATATCCCAGTGTATTATGCAACTAGATATTCTACTAAATGTTTCATTTATTTTAGAAAATAAGGATTTCCTTGCATACTGCATACTATTTTACTATTTTGTGTTGTATATATTGTACATAATTGTATATTATCTTTTATTTTTACTGATTTTACTGATTTTATCTATTTATCTATTTATTTTTACTTATTTTTTTCTATTATTTAGCTCCTCTTTCTACTTATCTGAACTGGAGTTACAGTGACAAAAAACAATTTCACCCTGGGGATTATTAAAGTATTTCTGATTCTGATTATTCTGGATTAAATGAACTAAATCTTTCCCAGCAGGAATATCCCTCAGCAGACAACAAAAGACAACAAAAAATATGAAAAATAAGACAAAAAAAATTCAGAGACCAGACTTTGCTGCCACCACTTGATTCTATAATGGTAAGGTAACCTGGAGTCAGTAGACCAGCTCAGAAAAATGAATATGAGCTGGGAGGGTCTGGCAAGGCTATGCATTTTTCCGCTAGCTTCATTTATAAACAGTGGAGATTGCATGGGGTGTAATTGATTGCACTCAATGCAACTAAATATTTCTTACTGCCTCACTCATGTACTAAAAGAAATTAAGAATTTATATTTCTTCACTAGGGTAGCCACATTATCAGATATTCACCTCACGGTTGTCTTGGCTGTAAAATATGATAGCTATTACAGGGGCAGAGCAACATAATATATATAAAATCATAACAAGTCTGTAAATTTTAAAAATAAATATAATTATCTTGTTATCATCTATTTCAGATGATGTTAAAATATGAGATTTATTCACATCACCAGCCCTGTGACTGAAACTTCTGTCTTGCATTTAGGTTGCATTATTTCGGTCACTGCAAAACTATGCAGTTATCTGAATTAATAGGCCACTTTTGGAAGATCCTACAGTCAAGCAGTTATAGGAATAGTTAAGAAAGTATAAATGTTCAGTGAACTAGTGACTACTAGTGACTCAAGGAGATTCAAGCTACAAAACTGCATTTTGATTAATCAAATATCACAGAATTTTAATTTTCTAAAGTGCCTAATCATTTCATAAAGAGCTGCTTCAAGGCAGTTCACAGGACGCCTTCTGCTTCTTCTTCGTCTCTCATCTGTTTTATGACATCCGACAGCCAGCTTGACTGACCACAAATATGAACTCAGTGTATTACTATTACTTTATAGTGGAATGGTGCTCCTAAAACCTTAAAACACAAAGTTATCAAGAAATGTGTATCATCACATGCATGACACGGAAACAAGTATATAAAATACCAGCTAGACTGTATTAATAATATTTAATCATTACAAGTTCCAGTGTTACTTTTCCTGTCCAGTTTTAAAATGACAATAAGAGGAAGATGTATTTCTTTACATATTTACAGAGACTTTACAATCAACGATATATTACATGTCATGATTCATGTTTACATACAGCCCATATACCAGCTGGTGTATCACACACCAACCAATTTAGGAAAAAAGACGAGATGTTTATTTCATATCGGGTTAATGTTGGTAATTGTTCAGTGATTGTGCTCTTCTTCCCTATCACTTCTGTGCAAACAGTAAAAATTAATCAGCGTAACTTTGCCAGTCTGACATTTCTCCATTGAGCAGAAATCTAAACCCTACTGTGTTTTTAAAACAGTATGTGTCACTGTGGGACTTAACCAAAAGACCAACGCTCAGCCTCAAAACACACAGAGAAGACAAGTTGCATAGTTTGGGGTTTGAATGTATGAAGGTGGACAAAGTTGCTTGGAACTGACACTGTTGTGATGAACAGTAGCACCTGGTAGAAAGGTAAATACAAAAAAACAGCTGATTCAAAGCTTGACTTTATAAATCACTAAAAAGCATTTCCTGTTACCCAAGTGTTTTGCAGTTATGACTGTCAGTAGTGCTTAAGGAATGACATCAGTAGCCCAACAGTGCAGCAGTTAATACTTCTCGCTAATCTTTAAAACATTTGTTGCTATTAAGACAAATTCTCATAATTAATGATTTAAGTTTAAAATAGTATGCAAACAGTCCCTCAAATTAGCTGTGAAGGCCTGCATTTCTGTATGTGGTTACATCCTATGACTTTAGAAAAAAAAACATTAAGACATAAATTGAATGGCCTTGCATGTATATAAAAAAGATTCTGAAATCAGGGATAATCTACCATAAATCAATTGACTGTTTCTGGTTAAAAATAGATTAGTGAGATTATTGTTAAATAAGACTTTAAATGCCCGAACAGTGCAAGTTCAAACACACACGCACACACACACACACATTAAAAAAAAGCTTTCAACACATAAATGCTGGATCAAATACTGCATAATGGAATAATTAGAAATAATTCGTATTGACTATTTAGGTAACTCTGATTCAGGATTGATCAGTGTAAAACATAAAAACAGTGACACCGACAGTGGTTCTTTAAAATTAAAATATAAATACCAGGTCAAACAGAATGCAAATTTTATAACATTTTTGGGTATTGTTGGATAAAAAATAAACATAAATTAAATTAAGACACATGAGTTGACATATCTCAGTCAGTTATATGATAAACTTCCTTTGATTCAAAATTAAGCCTATTGTTGTACATGTATATTAAAAAACATCATATTAGTATGACACCTTATTTGCATTTCATACATAAGACAACCTTTAATCAACCATCTCAGAGCAGCAACGATGCATCTTGTGGACGAAATAACATTTTGGACCTACAGTGTAAAAACCTTGACTGTCAACTGCAAGATCAAATCCTTATCATGGGAACATTAGATGTCTGTTTAGAAAAGTTAAGGATATTTCTCTTACATAACCGAGCTTTGAAGATTTTCTTGTGTTGACTGTATTCTATGTGTTGTGAAAAAGAACTAATTTATCTAGAATGGGTGAGGATAATTGTCCATTAGATAGCAGTTCAAACAGCATGACCAAGAGGAGGGTATATATTAGAACACAATATCCCATACCATCCGATTTTTAACCCCACTCTCTTGGCCTACTCGCCAATTTCATTTGAGATAATTATTATTTTATCAAATATCACCCAGCTGTGTAAATACCTAGATTGGACTGGTCAAACCCCCCCTGACAATGCTTTTTAAAAAACTCTGAATACCAATGGTAGTGTAGATCACACACGTCACACACACACACCATACATATCAAGTCAATACATCATGCACTGTCAATGATTTCACCCCTTCCTGTTGGCAATCCCACGAAAACGTTACTTTCTGACAGCCTGGGTAGACAACATGGAGGACACTTTTAGCACTACTCTCAGTTTATTTGGAGAGCACAGAACTTTGGGTTAATGGTTAATGGCCAAGTAGAGAAAAGGAGACCAGGCTTAGGTAAACAATGAAAACGGAGCGAGAGTGAAATAGACATATGCCGAACTGAAGGAAAAAGACACAAAGCAACCACAAACCACAACATGGTTTGGAACTTTGGCAGTGTTGCAGGACTGGTTCAGGTAGAAGACAATGCCAACAGAAAAGTGAAGGGGAAGAGGCTCTCTCACAGGTATTGATGTTATTTTTGTGTCTCTTAAGATTGCGGTTGAAGGAACACTACTGTTCAGACTTTATCATGATTGAAAATGTTAAGTTAGATGTGGTTTGTTACAGTGGAGCGGTCTAATGTGCGGCTTACCCAACTAGCCTGATCTCCCAGTGGAAATCAGGCCCTCTCTGTTCCTGCAACTCCCAATTTGGCTTCACCAAGTTATCAGCCAGACATTTTCAGGTAACGGTTGCATGTATGTCAAACCTTGTGAAGTCACAAAGTTTATCTTTATTGTACTTTCTTCCTTTTATAAATAAAATGTTAGGTGTTAATTTGATATAAATGAAAAAGAATACAGTTGTCATAGACTGGTTAATCTTAGGGTTTATATTTGTAGCTGTATAAATAAATCTTCTTTAGATCAATACTTTGTGTCAGTTTGTTTGTATATTTATTTGGTAGCTAGGTGATAAGTGAGGTAATGTATAGTTAGGTAGTGAAATAGACTCCCATGTGTTGTGGATTTGTCTCACCCTAATTTGTTATTCTAAATTCAGGGACAAATGCATTTGTTAATTTCATGATGCTTGCTTGTTTCTGTCTTGCCATGCTGTATGGACACACTGAGATGAAAACACATTGCATGGACTCCAAATAAACAAGAAATAAAAAGAACAAACACACTGAGATATCACACTGAGCAAGCCACAAAAAAGTATTGGAATCAATCTGAATCAATTTCTACCTCATTAAAACATCCAAGGGGGTTAAAATAAGTTCTTATAACATGCCAGGAAAATTAATCCAGTGAATTGTTAAATCCTATCTTGTCCATGAAGGGGTTCATAAGGAAATTGCATGAAAATAACTTTGCACTTGAAAATACCAGTATGTTATATAGTAAGTTGATCAGGACTTATCAAAAGTTATCGTTGTAAAAGAGCAGCTGGTTGCATTGCTTCTTTTTTATGTCTGTGTAGTATTGGAGACCATAAAGTCACAAATACTATTTTAAATCTCTGAGAAAACAGTATCATGAGTCAGATTCAGACCAGTGAACCCGCTCTGCTCTGGGCAGGCACCATGACAGGCACTGCCCCCATCCGCTCCAGTGTGGCTTGGCTCACCGCATAGGAGTGTGTGTGTTGCCCATGTGGGGAAGGTACCACAGGTTTAAGGCTCACTGAGCCGTTGCTGCGCACCATGGTAGGGGGAGAGGGGGCAGAGTTTGTGGTGACAACCAAAGTCTTTGGTGGTGGTAGTGTGTGGCTGCCATTGGCAAATGATGCCATTGTTGCTGTTGTGGGCTGCATATGGCGGGTTGGTGGGGCTGAACCTGGTGCTGTGATGACTGTGCCGTGGCTGTGTCCTGTGTTGTGTACCTGGCCTTGTCCATGGGCAGTGGAGACGGTATGGCGAGTGTCTCCATTGTAGCGTGTATATGAGTTGGTATCATAGTTGGGTTTTGGGTTGTGCCAATATCGGCTGTTGTATGTGTTGGTGGATGTCAGAGTATCATTTTCTGATGACGAGGCATCTGCATGGAAAGCCTTCACTGAGGACGACCTCTTAGGTGGAAGGTCATCTTCTCTGCAAATAAGATCAAAGTTAGTGTTATGGATATGTAGACTTAGTTGAAATACTAGAAGTGGGTAAATAAAAAAGAAAATGTAGCGCTACTCTTATTTGACAAATGAAATTTAGAAGCTTCTCCATGCAGTCGTCATGTACCACAGTGAGTTTGTAGTTTTAATTTTCTTTTTTGTTTGTTTTCTAAAATCCTATTAAACATTAATTGATGAGTTAAAAATAACAGGATCTGGAGTTAAATGAAAAATATAGCAACTATTATTATTATTATTAATAATAACAAATACTTTAGGTGCTAGCTTCACATATAATCCAAAACAATGATAATTTTCTTTTTGAGTGATTTTACAGATTACTTTAAAATTATTTCACTAATTAAGACATTTCCTGGACTTGAAATCAATCCATAGAAATTCAATACAATAAGGGGTCACAGATAAAAGCCAAACCTGATCTCATTTGGGATCTCTTCCTCATCATATTTGTTCTTGTTTTTCCAGTAGAAGAGTGTGACTGCAATTAACAGGGAACAAATGATGACAGCTAGGACCCCTGTAGCGATAGTCCCTGCTATCAGTCCAACACTCTGAGGCTGAGCTGCAGGGCAGAAAAGAAAAAGTACATGTAGACAAAATGGAGGAAAGTCTAATGTTCACAGACAGTTTCTAAATCCTTAATAGTATTTAGAAAAGTAAGCTGGATGACTTTTATAAATAAAATAAGAGAGAAATACATGTAAATTTTTTCTACAGTATATAATCAAGTGTATTTTCCAATCATTAAGATGTATGTAGACACATAAATTAGCTTCTTTTTTTCAATTCTTAAACTTTTAACACAAGTAGATTTCTGACTGTTTACTCATTTTGGTATTGAGGTTTCATAAATGTACATCTCTGGACATTCACAGCCATGTGTCAACAGTTATCAGCTGTTAAAGGAGCACCATGTCGAAATAAACTTACGTGCTTCAACCTGCAGGTTGAGTACACAGGTGCTCTTGCCAATTGCATTGCTGGAGGTACACTGATAAAGTCCTGATGTGCTGGTGCTGATGTTTCTCAGTGTGACGGTCCCTTGCATCTGATCTGATGAATATAGTGAACCAAAGGGTAAGAGTCAAAACTAAAAACACACAACACATATGGCACAGTGGAGCCAGTTTAGTGTTGCAGATCCCTGTCTTTCACAGATGATGAATTGATTGTGTTGGGGTACCAAGTTTATTTAAAGAGCATCAACATCTCCTTGATGAGAAGTTATAAGAAAGACAGATTTTCAGTGTTGTTAGTAGCAATAAGATGACAGATCTCACACCAGACTTTCAAACTTGACCCACACACACAAAAAAATGCATTTGGTTTAAAAATCTAATGCACAAAGCTGAGATAAAGCACAAACCAAAGAGGCAATTTGATTTTCTGATTCAAAAGTTTTTAGGTGTCAAAACAGTGGGCTTTCTGACTGCTATCAAGAAAATGAAAGCAGACCTATTTTAGGCCTTGTACACACGTAGCCGGTTTCCTTTAATAAAAAATCTGAAGAATGGATTTAAACTGATCTAACCACTGCATGTGAAAAACTATGAGTGGAACTGTTGCATTTATTCAGTAGTAAAAGATCCCGATATCACATCTATATTTACTACTTTTGCGTTACCTTGTAGATGTGAGTGCAATTTGAAGCACTATTTTAATCGTCTTTCTCCCAGTTCTTACTCAGCTTGGGGAACTCTTCAGCCTCTTAAAAGTCCTCCTGACTCATCCTAGTTTTTCATAAAATGCTTTGTGAACAGCTTTCAGCTCATCTTTGGTGAAAATTCTTTGAAAATGTCTCTGAATTTTCCAGAATTTTGTTACCAGGAGCCACTCTTTAAACTAGAAAGCTTTGTGAACATGGCCACTGAGCTGAAGCAGGACACAATGGACATATTCACGTCCCCACAAAACCGCCCCAGGGGCATCCCAACTTGAGCTGTTGAAAAAGTCAGAATATGAACGCCTGATAAAAACATTTGATGTATTAAATGCTTCTCTAACTGTAGTTTGTGTGTGTTTATTAATTTTAATGATTTTTGTGCTATTGGGGTTGTATTTGAAGTTTGCGTCATTGCACTCAACAAAACAAGGGACACAGAGATGAAAAAAATGAATCACTTTTGCAGTTACGTATGAAAGAATGAGGGAGAACATTGAGACGTCACACTATGTGAACTGGGTAGGCAGAACAAAAAGCGTTCCTGATACATAAAAACACAAACTCAAAAATTCTTGTGGTTTAAATCAGTTCTTCATCATCATCATCATCCAGTGGGATCAGTGAGGAGAGGGCTGTTGGGTGAGCAACAGATAAGGCCTCGCACAAGATGAAGGGGGATGACTGTTGAGTCTGAACTGAGGGTATGTCACATTTACCAGCAAAGGTGGGGCAAAAGGGAACTCCGATGGCCAGCTTGTTTGTAATACCTTGCATGGCGTTGTGCGGCAGTTTGGGTAGAGAATCCAGCTTTTCCCAGGAGTAGGACGGTGTTGGAATACCATCTTCTGAACTGCAGAGCAGCATAATGTCACTGCCTATATCGAGCGTGCCCTGGATTTGACAGGCTGGCTTTGAAGGGGGCACTAGCAGAAAGAGAGAGTATGGGTAGAGTTGTGTTCAAAAAGCAAACCCTAACCCTAACCGTGATGTAAAGAAAATAGAATTTAAGCATCTAAATGGCATCAAACAAAAAGCAGGAACCCCGCCCCTCCCCAACACACAAAAGACAACTCGCATGCTGCTTGGAAATGGTGTAACGAGTCTTTGTAAATGACTTGCCTTGTTAAAGGGATATTCCAGCGTATTAATGTAGGGTCAAACACATCGTAACACCGAGTTACACACCCTGTCGAGAGATGAATGTTGCTGACCCTTTGCTTCTCTAGTTATACCAACTTTATTAAAGACCGCAGGATAGCAATACAGAGAGCCACACACTTAACCAAAACTCCACCTACTCTCTTCCTGCAGCTGCTTGTTTGTACGGAGACCTCTGGACGAATCCATTGACTGCTACGGGGTGACGCAGCTCAAGGAAGAATATTTATGATCATTTCCTCATGGAAATACAATCAGACTGAGACTCTAAGGCAGAAGAACTACTGCGTCTGCAGTGCAAAATGATTGATACAGTGATTATTACATAAAGGAAATAATAAAGTAATGATCATAAATGTTCTTCCTTGAGCTGCGTCACCCCGCTGCAGTCGATGGACTCGCCTGGAGGTCTCTGTACAAACAAGCAGCTGCTGGAAAAGAGTAGGTGAGTTGTGTTTCGTGTCTTTGCTAAAGAAATCAGGCAAAGTTAAAAAGATGTTTGGTGGCTAGTACTGTCGCTGGGACCCTATATGTACTGTTGATGAAGCTAGGTGCTGTTCTGAGTATTATTTGTGGCTATAGAGTGACGTTTTGGTCGAGCGCATGGCTCTCTGTATTGCTATCCTGCGGTCATTACTAAAGTTGGTATAACTAGAGAAGCAAGTGGTCGGCAACATTCATTTCTCGAGGGGGTATCTAACTTGGTGTTAAGCTGTGTTTGACCCTAAATTAATTGTACGCTGGAATATCCCTTTAAATCACTACTGAGAAATAATGATTAAACCTTTCGTCATTAACTTACACTTAAAACCTAAAAAGCTACATGTTCTCAGTATGTGGACACAAAACATCATAAAATGTGCAGCAATCGATTCTGTTTCTAAATCAAAGAAACATTTCTTCTATAGTTTGTTCTATAGTTTCAATAGTTTGTGGTTAGTTACCCAGCACGGTGAGCCCGATGACGCCAATATTGCGTCCCCCTCTGTCTGGGAAGTTGTTGACCAGGCACTGATACGTCCCAGTGTCGGTTAGTTGGGTGTTGTTGATGAAGATTGAGGCACTTGTACTTGGCATGGTGGCCACGAAGCCCACACGACCATTCAGGTGGTTGGCAAGGCTGAACACTTGGCCACCCTGGTAAATTATGACCTGGATTGGGATGTCAGACAGTGGAAAGGGGTGGAGGATAAAAAAAGAGTCATAGGTGACAAAGAAGTCACAGTAAAAAAGAGATGAAAAGAAAGGAAATGTGATCAACTAACATCAATAAAAATCTGTGACATTTAATTTTCTTTAAAAAACTGACCCAGCTGTCAAAAGGATTATACCTAAAGATGCCAAAATTTGCTTCACTGGGACTCAGAAAGGTCTCTTCTGCAGCCAGTTTCCAATATCTCTCACTAGAGGGAGACTTTGTTCCACTTTGATGATGGAAAATAGCATGACAGAGGTAAAAAGGCAGTCAACCCTCTACGACCAAAGAAATTAATGAATAGACGGAAATCCTTTCCCAGTAAGCAGATTTTAGGGTTAGCAGTGTGTGTTATTAAAGTTGACTTAAAGTATGCTTTTATTGTTGTCATGATAGTGCTTTCCTCTTCAGATAAAAGCATACTCTAAATTGTATGTATAATTGAAAACTCTGCAAACAGAAAACATATTAACTACAGTATATAGTCCCAATGGATGCTAGAGAAGGAGGGTTCTCTACAAGCTATATATATATTACTACACTGCAGCTAATATCACAGAGAGAGGACACTTGCATTGATAATTCAAATATACAGAGGTAGATTCAAATCACAGGTAAGGTCAGCTTCAGTCAAAAATTTAATATGCAATGAATTATAAGTACAAAGGCTTCAGCCAGGCTGAAAACTTGAATTTAACAGCTCATTTGAGAGACGGAGCTAAGTGCAAACCAGCTCTCATCTATCAGATGTGCCCACACAAAAGATGAAGAGGACACATGCAAACACTTTGTGTGTTCAAAAAAGTCAGGCACTCACTCACTCACATGCAAAATACCCTCACTCGTCAGCTGGGCCCACACAAAAGCTGAAGAGGACACACATGTACGTAAACTACATGCGAGCAGTTCTGGCACTCTCACTCACGAAACTAACTCACACAAACAAACGCACACATGTACACATAAGGCTTGAGGGAAATCAGAGGGTCTTTTCACTTTGGTAAAAAGAATCCTCATTGAAAAGCTTCAAGGCCGAGGCAGGGAAACAACTGTGAGGGTAAGTGTGAATGTGCGTTAAATGCTGTGTATGTATGAGTGTTAGTGTGTGTGTGTGTGTATATATTTGGAATGTGAGAAACTGGCGTGTATGTGTGTGTGTGTATGCCTGTGCAGTGGGAACAGCTGTGATATAGAGCCCATTATGGGGTAATTAGTGCAGAAGATGATTGTATTATTTGGACGGCCGACCAGCGCAGGGGTTCAAAGGGAAAGGAGGCAGGTGAGCTTGTATGGCCTGCAGCTGCATACAGACAATTCAAATGAAATCCCATAAGTACTACCAGGGTAGCAGCGTGGTGCAGTGCGGATGAAGAGGGACACAAATGAGGAGGAAGGGTTATTTTGAGAGTCCACAACAGTAAATTAACAACAATAACTTATAAGCAACTCATGTAAAGGCTTTTGCCTGCCATTAATTACTGCTAACTTTCTCAAAAATCATATAAAGATAAACTACTTTAGACGCACTTTGATATAGATGTAGGTATTTTCTATTCTATTTGACATGGTAATAATAATAATAATAATAATGATAATAATTTTTGTATAGCACCTTCCAGGAACAGTTGTCACAAAGTGCTTCACAGTCATCAAATCAAAATGGGTGAGACAACAAGACATTAAACATGTTATATAATATGTCAGACTTAACACCCTGCCACTGCGACTGAGAGATATTTTTATTCTTATGCATCATACGCAGTCATTTGTGTTTTCCACAGAGGTTTGTATATCATTATAAATTATTTTGCAATCCGTGTTTAGATGGGATACTACTCAAATGAATGATGGAAAACATCGACATATTGATGTGAGGATTTGAACCCGATCCTCTGTTTCACAATTAAAAGGTAGTGAGCTGAGATATAAGTTCTACAACACTGTGGGACAAGTATCACACAAATAGACAAAAAATGCACGAGTCAATGAATTATTACGAAAAGAATAACGTACGTGTGTACACATGCATCCATCTGCGTCTATTACATTCACTCCACACATACACATGAATGCGTGAAACGTTAATGGCATAACTAGTGCCAGGGTGCACACACAATGCATGGACGCAGGATGATTTACTAAAGTTACACGCGTAAGTGCATACATGCATGTGTTGTGCATTCAGGTGGACTCTCAGATGCAGGTATGCACATGTGGTATTTTTCTTAAAGTTTTCTTGTGTTTTGTGGTGTCTTTGTCACCTCTGACGTGTCTGCACTGTGTGAAGCTATGATAATCTTAAAATCTGTTGACCTTTTTTGTTAAGGTTTGATAACAGTTGACTTTTACTGGTGAGATGACATTATTTTTCCAATAACAGCCCAACTTTCCATCCACAGCACCTGCACTTATGGAGGTCCTACTCTGCACACACTTATGGAGGTCCGCTGTGTCTGCAGCCAGGTACTCTTGGTTCAAGTTTCATTGTAATCATTCAATGTAGTTGCATGTAGTTTAAGTTTTAATAGCTATCTATTTAAAAAACCTGCTTTGTTGAGTAAATTCTGTTGTTTCACAAGCAGTTATTTTTGGTTACCCATAATTGAATATTGTAGTTAGTGCTGACTATAAAGGTCAATGCTTGAATTCAAAACTTATTTTTATAACGGGGAGGGTGTATATTCTAGTATGTATTTGAGAGGGTCAGAAACAGTAATGTTTCATAAGGTCCTAATATTTTCCTCTGAGTTAGTCATGGAAAGTGAGAAACTGGCATGTTTTCTTTTTTTGCATCAATCAGGCCAAACATTTGATATTACACTTCGATCGCACATATAGATCACAATTACTTGGGTCGTGCATGATGTATCGTGCTGACTGATCAACTCTTAGGTCTCTGAATAAGTGGATGTCTAAATAGCTCTTTACCTGTTCTGGCTGATTGGCATTGGACAGTGGTATTACCATCCAGATGATATTCAGGTTGTTGAGGGCAGCACTGGTGGTAAAGGAGCAGGGCAGGATGGCTGCTTGGCCACGGGCCACCTGGATACTGCTCTGGGAAACCGTCACATCCAGCCCCAGCACACACACTGCAGGAAGAAGTTGGCAGAGATGAGTGTCTTGACATTCAAAACAGAAGAAAAAGCAGAAAATAGAAAATTACATAAAGAGACTGAATGACAGACAATGAGTCGCATCTTAATTCCCCTGACTCTCTATCCCTACTTGGAGGATCTGGGATTAAAGAGGGAGGAGAAAAATCAGAGGAAAGATGAGAAAGGATACACAAGAGAGACCTTCACAGGAATCCTTTGGGTGATAATCAATAAATGACTTTGTGACAGCAGATACAACAACTTCAACTTGAGATATTAGCATTAGCAGAGTTTCATCACTTACAAAAGATGGGCCTCAAAGCAGATAGTAAGGGGTGTCTAAAACAAACATTGAATTCTGCAGCTGGCATTTGATGACTTGAGATAAAAAAAAGGATCAGACGAACTGAATATTGAAAGACATACAAATACAGGTAGTTAAAAAACAACAGCGTAAAAATGGTAAAAATGGTCTACGTGGTTTTTCACAGGATATAGAACAAACACCCCACAGGTTCGTCATGTGCAGCACATGTGTTTATGTGTATTTTTTCTAATAAATAAAAATGGTATTTACCACATTCACCAATTCAGATCACATTTACACACTGATGGCAAAGAGTACATCAGTATTACCTAATCCCATTCACACACTACTGGGTGCAGAGTGTTGCCTGAAGATACTTCAACATGTGGGCTGTAGGACCTGGGATTGAACCATCACCCTTGTGATTGATACAACTGACCCTACCACTAAGCCACAGTGGAGACAGAGCCATTATTGTTCTTTCTCTCCTTTGCAACATTTCCATACAGCTCCGACCAGCTGTAAAAGCTGTCTGACAGCTGATCCATCTGTGATCAGCTTAAGCCGTCATCTTAAATGGATGGCACTTCATATGAGGCTTTGCGGGAAAGACAATCTCTGCATCCTAAAACATATTTCCTTGTTCTTTCTCTCCTTTGCAACATTTCCGTCTACTTTCCCATGTGTATTTAAGAAATAAGGAACAAGATGCAAAAGAAAGAGGCAAAGAATACACTGTTTTACCTGTTTAAACAGACATTTTGTTGATATGAGAAAGTAAGGGGTTACTTTTCTGTGGACAAAGATGTCAGCCGAACAGAGTCTAAAATGCATAAACAGTATGCTATATCTGGATCAGCTAAATACATTACAGACTAAATCAAGTTAGACCTCCTCCACAGGAACTTATGCATGACCAAAAACTTAATAGGAAGTAATCATATCTTTACATGGAGAGGAGGATGATGGCACTAAAAACATATGATGCCCCTAGAAACTTCCTCATAACCTGATATAAACAATAGTCCTCCACAAGTCTAAAGTAAAAAGTATAAACCACCAAAACAAAACAAAAAACGGACGCCAAACTGGAGCAGCTAATGTTGCCAGCAGTAGCTGACGGCAGAGGTGTGAGAAACTTCCCAGTGATGGTTTAAAAGTGTGAAAAATTAGAGATAATTATTAACTACCCAGGATGAGAAATGCTTGCAGATTGTTGAAAGCAAAGGATCCAGCAGCCTGGTTGAACACTTAAAACCTGGGTACAGTTTACATGTACACTGGTTTGTGGAACATGAATAAAACATCATATGGTGCGCTATTACAAGCTCAGTCAAAACCACCATAAACCCCCCACCAGTAACATGATTTCAACTGCAACAAAGGTTGTGCTTCAGTAGCATTAAAACGAGTGCATGTCAGTTTGTTTGCACTATTATGTGGTATAACTGTGTCATGGAAAATCTCTTGTCACTCTCTGCTCCTGTATCTGGTAATCTAGCGCCTGATACAGGTTCTACATGTGAGGGAGAGAGGTCCTCCATTATGTCCCCCTTAATGCACTGTGTCAGGAGTTAAGTCTAATATTGTGTGATCCTTCTTATACCACATATTTAGTTACACACTTTTGATTGCTGCCGTCAATCTGCACTTTCTCAGTTTGTATTGCTGCGAAACACTACGTCATTCACAGGTTCACATGAAGATCACCTTTTGTGATGACAGAAACACAAGCTGTGTTGTTTGGGTGTCTTTATGAAACACGCTGCTGAAAACGTCAAAAAACAATCACAGAGAAGAGAAATAGATCAGCTGATTAATAATCGGCATGTTATTAATATTGGAAATCACAAGACTGACGTTACCATCATCTATCTGAATAAAAATACATGGTAACACTTTATTGGACATTTATTTTTAAAAAAAGAAGTTAACTCAAGGTCAGCAATTTTCCTACTTATTTGTTAGTATGATTAAATTAAAGTAATTTGTCAAAGGAAAAAAACAACAAATACACAAACAAAACAAGCCTAAGATCAAACAGAAACATTAACACATCAACACATTAATTCAACACCTGTGCCCACACACAAACTACGTCCACGTCTTTTGCAGAGCCCAGGGGCTTCAAGAGAAACTGTGTTTTTGTGAGACAGATCCTGTCATGCTACCACTGCCTGTTAGGCACTCAGGCAAATCAACAAGCAGGCAAGAGCATAAGTGTGTAACCCAGGTGGTATAGTTGTGTACCCAGCTGCTTTATGAGAACTCATCAAGCGCCACGCACAAAGCATGACTGATGCAAAGGTAAGGTCACAAGCACACTCACTTTTCAGTTCTCATATTGAAAGGTTGTTTGTATTGCCTTAACAACAAATTTAAATAAGTCTTTTATATAGAAAGTGTTGAGGAGGGCTGAAGAATGAAGATCTGCAGCCTGTGATCTGCAACCGGCTTTCAGTAAACTGTAGAATAGTCCACTTTGAAAAAATGAATTATTTGTTCATGAATTATCATGAAAACAAAGTCAAAGCTCATAAAGAGATGTGAGGAGTTGAAGCATGGTCACTTTCAGTACCATTAAACCTGTTTTTCTTTTCCCAGTTAAACAGACAGGTATACCTTAGCGAACAAAAAAGGTTTTCAAAAATGAAACGAAAATAAACTAAAATCACTGAGTGTGTTTTTAAAAGAGTCTGGAATGTTTTAGTTAAAAGAGTTTTAATTTCCACTGAACAGGTGATTCAAAGGTTGAATCATAAGTGATCAGGATTAATAATCTTATTTAATAATAATAACAAAAAATGTGTGCAGTATCTGCAGAAGGTCTTTGTAGGTGGACACATCATCACACAAGCTAATATACACGGGGGGGGGGGGGGGGGGGGGCAATCTTATCACCCATTAATCGGCCAATTTTTTTTTTTTTGAAGTTATAAAAAATACATATATACTGTAGATATCTACAGTAGATATCTACAGTATACTATATACTGTTAATATACTGGAGGACCGACTGATCAAACTCAGACCAGAAAAGCGTTTTCAACTGTGAGGTAGTTAGTGGATGAAGATAGTCATGATGTAACTGCGCCATCTACAGGATAAGTTGGGGAACTTTTTAAATGGCGGAACATTTCCGAAGTGAAACCGAATCTTATTTTCCGCATTTTATTTCTGAAAATATCTGAAAAATATTCTGAAAATCTGTGAGTTTGGGTCGATTTGCTCTACCAAACGGGCGAAAATTGGCCAGTTTAATCAGCTCGCTGATAAATCTGTCAGGCCCTAGTAGACACTCCAATCAGTGGTTCAAAGCAGGTCTACTACTCCAGCTTTACACATCTGCCCATCTCTTCAGAGTCCTCATTGCAGTCCTTAATATTTATTTCCAATAATTTTTCTAACAAATTTAAAACTGTTTGTTGGCACTACATCATTTACTCAGCCATTAGCTGGAGATAATAGAAGCACAAAACCCCAAACAAACATGAGCAGCTACATGGCTAACCATTGCTAACTTCAACACGACAGGTTGCATGCATCACAGTCATTTGCATAAATACTTGGAAATTAAAAGTAAGGTCCCATAGCTTGTCATTATGTTCCGAGATTTTCTTTCATTAACCAATTGCATATTACTACCTTCTTTTGTATTTTGGCTTTCTTTTTCGGCAGGTTGGAAGTGAAAAGACAAAAAGGAAAAAGGTGAAAGAAACTGAAAAATCAGAAGCTAATGTTAAATCAGAAAATGTTAAATTTTTTATGAATCTTCAAAAGTAATAATGACCAAAAGACTGGTTCTCAATGGATATTTAAACAAAGTTAATGTCGATAAGTAAAAGTAAGACAAACCAGATTTAAAGCTTGACTGTGTACAATTAGCAAACAGAGGGTTAAAGTGGGCCACTGCCTTCATGCACAGATAAGCTTAAGCACTGAAGACTACTGCCAAAGCAGTAAACAGATGGCTTGCCCATAAAGTCCTGGTCACAGCTACAAACAATGCTTAAAATGACAGTAGGTTCCAACTTCTGGGTAGTACGTTTCTCAGAAGTACTTTACTGTACCCAGTCATTACTCCTTCTGACAGCATGCAACAAAAACTATCATTTTTGCTCAATTTTGGCGTTTTTGCTCTACAGACCAGACAAAATTCTGGCAATCACAATGATCTGCCAGATGAATGACATGACTGGTGAGGGTTGTTACCCTATCTTTGGATATCACAAATGCCTGCTCTACCATTAATGCTCTGATCAACTAACTGGTTTGTGATGTATGAGACAGTGTGCGAGCAGCAAATACCTGAGATAACCTTGCAAAAACAATAACAGCTGTATAGTTTGTAATGTAATGGCTAACACCGGGTATTTTTATGAGGTAAACATATCATGTAAACCACAAGTTTTGCAATAAAAAACAATAAGAGCTGAACACTTACTAAAGGCTCTTACTGCTTTTCAAGGTGGGATATTTTTCTTTGCCTTTTTTATGCCTTATATGCAGTGCAAAGTGGTGTAATCACACACTAGGACACCAATATTATGCTGAATACAATCTGAAAACATAGTGCTGACTGAGCCCTGTTCCAGCACTGTTTTGGAGTTGCAGTGTTTAAAAGGCTTATGAGGATGCACTTCTGTCCTGGTTTCCAGATTTAACTCGTGAATATTGTAGAAAGATAGCAACAAACGGCAGTGTTAGTAAGACAGGGAGCTCTGGATGGGGAGTAATGCAGACTGCAACCATATGCAAGCTGCTGGCATATTTTGATTCCCCAAAGGCTCTGAGGTAATGTTAGTAGTTCTTTTGGTCTGTGGCTTACGGTTCACACAAGGTTCAAGGTTTATGTGGCCTCGATTGCTTGGTCCTGCTGATTTGCCCTCTATAACATCAAGATTAAACCTGTGCTCATGATCCAGAACTCAGCAGCACGTCTGGTCTTTAACCAACCCAAGACAGTTAATGTCACTCCTCTTTTCGTCTCTCTACTCTGGCTTCCTGTTGCAGCAGCTCACAACAAATTAAAAACTCTAATCATTGCTTACAAAGCAGCAACCAAGACTGCTCCTGTTTACCTGAAATTCAGCCAGTGAAAGGCACCTGGTACTTCCACCACATCAGGTCCCCAAGTCTGTGTTCCCTAAATAGTGAAATGAATTATCCAACTCCATTCAATCCACAGAGTCCCTCTCTACTTTCAAGAGAAAGCTGAAGACCCAGCTCTCTAGAGAACACTATGCACTTAGCTCGACCATTCTCCACTGTTGTCCCCAGCGGTAAAATGACTCTTTCAACTACAGTTGGCCAGCACTGTCCTGCTCTACTCTGGGATTTTTTTCCCCAGCTCTTTGTGAGTGACCCAGCACTTGGTACCTTGGTCTTTTTTTGTTTTGAAGGCAATTTAATTGATGGTGAAAGGTCTCACAATGGATTATTGGTTATGTCATTGTTGATGTTTATCTTACATTTAAAACACACAAAAAATCATTTTATACACTATGCTCATTGCCTTTAACACTACAGTATCTGCATCCAAATGGACTTGCAGCACTTTGTGGCTTTTACAGATCTTGTTTCTCCTTGTCTAGATCTTTGCATGTGTTGATCTTGCTCTTGAACATACGTCACTTAGGATAAAGCATCTGCTTGATAACATTGTACACACCTCAAACACCAGGTAAACATAGAGGTTTCTCCAGTTTGTAAAGGTGTCCACAGGACAAATACTTGGGTCAAAGTCTCTTAAGTTAGCTGAATCACTTGCAAGACAGCCCAGTCTACTGAGATGTCTTGAACAAAGATGTCATCTAATTTCAGGCTATATGTTGTACTGTTTGCAAAGGAGATTCAGTTCCTCTCCAGAAACACTTTTTTTTACAGTACATTCAAACAAACATATTGGAGGTGCATTGACTGTGCTTTCAGGAGCTGGGGCTGGATCTAGGACCAGGGCTGGGGTCTGGCTGGGCCATCATGCATCATTGCCATCACGCAACTTACAGGCACCCGGTCTGAGACAGACCTTATTGCTGATGTCAGTCAGGGACCTCTCCTTCGGTAACACGCATTGAGTTAGCCTTGCTGTATGTTTGAAAGTGTGTTTGAGTGTGTTTTTATGTGCTTGACAGAGCAGAGCACCAATGCTGATCACATCTGTTCCAGACGCCCCTGGCACTGCCATATGGCTGGCAAACATGCTTCCTACAAATCCAAGACAAAGTGTGCAATAAAAATAAAAATAGAATACCCCTTAAAACGAGGGTACATGCAAGGCAGAGATAGAAAAAAAAGAGCGTGACACAGCAAAAGGGAAGCAATGCAGACAGAGTTATAGCTAGTATATAGAAGGTGGCCCAATGTGATCAGATAGTCAACCAACCTGCAAGTAAGTTAATATGCCACTTTAAAACCATATTTTAATCTACACATAACATTTAGAACTTACTTAGGTGCTTAAACATATGGAGGCGCATTGTATTCACTGTGATGCGAGAGCAAATCAAGAAAAAGGGAATGTCTGTAGATCCTCTCTCAATGGCGATGATGGCGCTGTCGTAGTTAATCCGCTTTACCTTCTCAGTTTGAGACACGAGGAAATACTGAAGTTTCTCAAAAACGAGGATGGTATTACTGTTAAATTATTATTGTGGTGACTCTGCTGTAGACTAATGCTCCAGTTAAAATGTTGAAGTGTTCTATGTTTCCTGACTGTCAGTGAATGTACATGAGCATGTATGTGGTTGGATGAGCGAGGGGGGCGGGATAAGTGATAAAGACAAGGGTATGGTGTGTGTATGTGTGTGAGTGAGGAGCTGAGAGAAAGTGATAGCAGTCAGATAAGTTTGTTGTTTTGGTGAATCTACATGTGATTCCTGTAATAAAGCGAAGGTATTTTGGATCAACTCATTCTTTTATCATTCTTCTTAAAAGGTCCAGTCGGACGCTACAGTATCTCAAGTTTTTTATTGCAATGAGCTTCCATATGAAGTAACATCTTTGTGGATGTGCAGTTAGTGGTTCTGCGTGAATCAGTGGACAATGTGGCACCTTTCCTTATCTAATTTACATTGAAGATTTCTCCCAAAAACTGGCACTTCCTCAGATCTTGCCTACCCCACCTTTAAGGGATCTTGTCTTGTAACTACGAGATTATGTTCTGAATATTACTACACAAGTTTGCAACCTACAGAATTTATATAACTTTACCTTTTTTGACTTAATGTTATTTTCAATACATGTTGTTTTCAATCCACTCAAATGCAAACAACATGAGCATCAAACTCATATTTTTTTTTATGTGTTACCTTTGATTGCAATATTGTTTTCTGTTTATTACCAAGAAGTCTGGGTGTGTTTTTGTTGAAACATTTCAGAAAACAGTTTTTTACTGTTTACTTTGTACTTGATTAATGCTTTTCCAATGAAAAATATACATAAAAAGAAGCACAAAGAGACTTAAACATGCATTCTTTTCTCTTCCTTTAGGATTTCTTGTTTCAGGTGATGTTCTTTCATGCACTTCTAAAAACGCAGACAGAAAAAAGCAAGCCCCATTTTAAACAGTTGAGCTATTCACCACTCAGGGCTACATGCAGAATGAAACCATTCATCACGTAATCAGTGTGGAGGCAGTCACACATTTCAACGGTCTATTTCTGTCTCAAGCACCCCAGATAGAACATTGAACAAGTATGATTTCCAAAAGATATGATTTCCTTATGACTCCATCTAAGGAAAAACAAAAAAGGGTGCTGCATTTACAAAACATAACAGACAGATTTTGACAGATCCATTTGTCTGTGCCAAGGTCATATACAGTAGTTAAAACAGGAATTCA